TGGGTGCTGTCCCTCAGCTCTTCAGCTCAAGGCTAACACTCTACCACTTAAGCCACAGCGCTACTTTCGGCTTTTTTCTTATGTGGTGCTGAGGAATCGAACCCAGGGCCTCAAGCATGCAAGGCAAGTGCTCTACCACTGAGCCACCTTCCCAGCCCATGAGTTCATTTCTTATTAAGCATTGTAGCCTCCTCCTTTGTTTACCCTTCCCATCCCTTCCCATCCTCCCCCCACTTCTCCCACCCAATCCTCCTCCCCCCCACCAAAGTTGTAAAGTTTGTTTTCAACATAACGACTTGTACATCTCATTGTTGCAATGGGTCCACCTGTATCCCTATTTAAACAATGTTTTTTTTCTTCTCCTCTTCAAATTATACCAACATCAAATACAGTGAAAACAGGGGTTATACAGTGGGGGAGGGACATACAAAGCAACAAAGAAATCATCTTATAAATGTGTTAGAAACAATCGCATGAAAGACAAAAAACATTTGAATACATATCTTAGGGTTCATTTCCCTAACATCAACTTATCTGACCTTTTCTGCTTGTCTCAGACATATACTAGATATTGCAAATAAGGGAAACCATGGGACCTATGTTTCTTTGGGCCTGACTTACTTCACTTAACATAATTTTTTCCATGGGATTCTTTAAATACAAGGTCATGTCATCTGCAAAGAGGGATAGTTTTACTTCTTATCTATTAATTTAAATGTTACCCCTTTTAACATTCTCATTCAATCCTCCAAACTCCCCCTTTCCTCACTTTTCATAATTTTGCAAGATATCGATTAAATTTTTTGTCATTTAACAAAGTAGTTTATGTATACAAGCATCTTGATGTGTGTGACACCTGCAGTATTTTCACCCTTCTTCAATCCACCCATTTTTCTTCATTTTATGGCATGTACTTGACTGTATTCTCACTCCTTCTCCTTTTCATTTGTCTGTCCCTTGGCCTAACCTTCATAAGTACCATTTTCTGGTACTTATTTTTTGGGGTTATTAAATCTTTTTGAGCCTTAGATGTTGTTGTTGTTGTTAATTTGAAGAAGAGATTTAGAGTTAGATACCTGACCTAGGATGTACATTAAAGAAATTTAGCTTTTCTTTTTATTTCAGTGCATTGACTACTAGAAACAATTATAATAATCAACTTTACATAATATACTTTTCCAGGTAGTATACTCTGAAATCATTGGGAACACAAAGTGTGTGCAACACAATAGATTGTCAGTAAATGTTTAAAGGAATGAAAACACAGAGAAATTGATCTCAAGTACTGAAAGTTTCCTGTGGTAGAAAATATTGCAAATAGTGGCCTCTAGGTTAATAGCATTAGCATTATCTGAGTACTTTGTCAGTGCTGATTAAACCACCCTGCAAAGAAAGTCATTAGGTTCTATCTTTGAGAATTTCCTACCAGGGATTCAAATGAACAAATCAGTCCAGCTCCTAGTAAATATACCTTCCAGTGCAGACAGCCTTGGCATTTGCAAGAGAGGCTTTGGCCTCTCTTCCCTAATCTTTATAGGCAGGATGGTGGCTGGCTCTAAGGCCACTACTAATAGTGTAGTAAAATGCTCATCTTAAAAGTACTTATTTTTTAACTCTCAGTATCACATATGCCTATGTTTAATTATTTACAATTGTTGGCAAAATTATTAAAATGTATTCTGCATTTGTTACAAGTCTCAGTGCCTTGTGGGCTCAAGAGAGGCACTTTTTTATGCGCAAGTCCTGCGGCCTAGGTCCTGCCCCTGAGCTCTTAATTTACTCAAGGCTAGTGCTCTTACCACTTGAGCCATAGTTCCACTTTTGGCTTTTTGGAAGTTATCTCATAGACTTTGCTGCCAGGGCTGCCTTCAAATCTCCATCCTCAGATCTCAGCCTCCTGAGTATCTAGCATTAGAGCCTTGAGCCACTGACTCTTGGTGAATGGCACTCTTAGGTTGTCTTAGCTAATTGAAAGCAAATTGTAATGGAAGGTGATGATGCTGACAGTTGATGCTGCCCTGGGTGATGATAATGGTGATGCTGGTGAGGTTTTTGCAGTAAGATTGAAAACCTCAAGTGAACATTATTTTTCCCAAGATCTAAAATTGGACTTTGGAATTCTAAATCCAATGTCACTACTCTATTTTGATGCTGTATATTAGGAGATACAGACCTGATTTGTCCATGGGCAAATGAGTGCAGTTCACCATTGGGATTAAAATAACGATCCTGCACTGTCAAATTATTGCCCCATTCAGGCTACTTTATTACACCAGAGAGTTCCTCCCCACCCACATGGATTAAAAAAACAAGCCATGGAAACAATCCTAATAGGTACTATTGCATCCTTATTAACCCATGTAAGTAAAGTCTGCTTATTTTGACCATCTTTGTACAAGTGTTGTTTGGTGGCAGTTGAGTTTTGTTTGTCTGTCTGTGTCCTTTCTGGTTTTCTTATCATCAGCAGGAACAGTCTTTGGGAGTCAGTGGTCAATATCTCACCTTCTGCAGGATGAAGTCATTCCATCTGTGTGCCGGACTCAGACTTACTTCATGACCCTGAGCAGCACCCTATATCCAGGCTTTATTTGTTCAGTAACCTTTGAACTCTCTGCATCCTGCTTTGGGTAGCTGACATTTATTTTCACTTTGATATCTGAACTACAGAGTCTACCAGTGGGATTCTTGCTGGGAGAGAAGCCAAGCCTATTCTGGCAGACTCCATTGGAAGGCACAGGGTTTAGGCAGAAATCCCTAGAGCTGCCTGGATCCTTATAGCAATCCCCTGGCAATGTGAGCTAGACCTAAAGAACATTTTATTTGAGAGAGGTGGGACTGAATACATGTGAGCGTTTGATAAATTCCAAGGAGAAAGCATTATGGGGTTTTCTCCCTCTCACCCCCAGAAGAATGTCTGGAAGTTCCCTACAGCCCTCAGCATCTCAGACTTGAGAGAGTCCAGATGGAGCCTAGATGTGAACTTACTGGTCACTTGACCTGATGCATTTCTCTAGTCCTAGGGAGAGGAAAAAAAAAAAAAAAGAAGAAAAAATTTGTGGAATAATGAGGTTATCAACTAAGTCCCTAGACCGGAAAGACTCTTCAAACCTTCACTTCAAAGACTAGATCATGAGTTGAAAAATGCACTGTTTTCCTAAACAAAAATGGAAAGGGTGATTGTAAGCTTCAGCAATTAGGCACTAATTAGAGTTCTTCCGTTGTGTAGCTGCCACCGTTAGCATGAGAACTTCTGTGGAAGTCCTTTGACTAAGTGTTCTTAGTGAAAGGAAGTCAGAATTTTGCCTGCTAACTTATAGTAATGAAACAGCGTGAACATATCCAGTGGCTAACTAAATTTCTCAATTTCACTTAGAATAAAATGCCGTTTCAATGGAGAGCAAATGGCATGTGTTTGCCTCGTCAGTGCATCTCTTAAGCACAGAGACAGGCACGTAATAACTGTGGAAACACACAAAAGAGAGTATCAATGAATTTACTTAATTCTGCTAATAGTCCTTGGATTAGTCTGTTTCAACCAATGGAGGGATGGATTTATTTTTATTTATCAAGTGGACATTTATATTAATTATTTAGTATTCATTTGATGCCATTTGCTTTGAAGATTGTTGGTGCTTAGTTATGTGGATGTAATATGGATAAATGGAGTAGACCAATTATGCCCAAAGCTGGGCACAGTGGCTCATGCCTAATCCTAGCTACTGGGGAGGCAGAGTTTAGAAAGATCATCATTGAGAGCCTCCTAGACAAAAAGTTAATGACTTACCCTCTCAGCCACAAAGCTGGGCATGATAGTTCACATCTGTAATCCCAATTATGCAAGACGCACAGGTAGAAGGATCAGGAACAAAGACTGGGCCAAGTCATGTACCAGTGGCTCACACATGTAATCCTAGCTACTCAGGAGGCTGTGATTTGAGGATCATAGTTCAAAGCTAGCCTGGGCAGGAAAATCTGTGAGACACTTATCTCCAATTAACAATCAAAAAGCCAGACTTAGAGCTGTGCCTCAAGTGGTAGGGTACTAGCATTGAATGACAAAGCTAAGACACAGCAACCAGGCCCTAAATTCAAGCCCCAGAAGTAGCACACACATCCACATACGTAAAGAGACACTGGCCCAGACAAATAGAACTGGGGTACAACTCAAGTGACAGAGCACCTCCCTAGCAAGCACAAGATCCTGAGCTCAAATGCCAGTATAGTAAAAGAAGAAAGCCAAAAACCAAAACTGTGTGCTACCATCTCAGTTACTATAAAATTTTGTAAGTTTCTTTTTGACAATAAATTCCTGACTTCAGATGTCTCTATGGGTGAGAGTAAATGATCACTAGCGTAGGATCTTGAGAGGGACTGGCAGTTACTATAATTCAAAGCTAAGTTTCAGTTTAAGAGTCACTTCCATTCCATCAAGTTTTAAGTATCTTGTGTATCCTGGCCACTGCCCACAGTGGAAGAGTTATTACATTCTACAGACAGTAATGGGTTATGGGATGATATGAAGAACTAGTCTCTGACCTCAACAGAGGTATAATTTAATAGATCAAAAGAGAAAGATCAATAAAGCAGACAGCATAACTGCTCCAAACTGTACTCATTGTCTCAAACCAACCAAATGTCTTCTTTGGACACTTTGCCTAGAAATGGGCTTATATGGAAGATTCAGTTCAGCAGATAGAAACTTCCAGTCAATTGGTAGATTGAGGTAGCACAAGGCTTTGGGTAGCAGGTGGAGTCACAGAAAAAAAATTACACCATCAGCATCAAGCCTGCTTCATTTTCAGTGCATGTTTCCAACTCTTGCCTTCATTACTTTTGGTTTCTTTTTTTTTTGCTCAGATAGGGCCAGATGCTAATAGGGCCATCTGCAAAGAGAGCAATGAATGCATGGTGGTTGAGAACCTACAAATCTGCTGGTAGACGAATCTTCTAGTGTCAACATAAATGGACCTTTCACTACATAAGTCTCTTTTCACTTTCAGAACCACCCAAAGTCACTGTGATGCCCAAGAATCAGTCTTTCACAGGAGGATCTGAGGTGTCCATCATGTGTTCGGCCACAGGCTACCCCAAACCAAAGATTGCCTGGACCATGAACGATCTGTTTCTAGTGGGTTCACACAGGTACTGGGTTTGTATCATGTTCTTTGTTTTTATGGAGTGGAAAGGAGGTTGATGACATTTCAGGGCCAAACAAATATGACTGAATCCTTAGTATTAAAGAAAGTTGGATGAACACCCTTAGTTTTATAGTTTCTAACATCAGTGGTGACTTTGATGAGTTTAAATAGGCTGAAAACAAACAATATATGAGTTGCAAGTATATGTCACTATGGAACTTGGTTTTAAGTTGAGTAAACTAGGATAATAAACTTCTAGAAAAGTTCTCCTGGCCTTAATGTGAGAGGGGCGGGGAGGGGGGAAGGGAAAGAAACAGAACTCAAAAGTAGTTCTAATTACGGTGTGAGGACGTCCTTAGTGATTCCTTCCACTTTGCCATATTACATTAAGAAGCATTTTATTCTACTGGGTATTTTTTATTTTCATGTGCAGAGACTAATAAACATGTAGAGCATAAGCAACCAAGTTTCCAGCCATCAGGCTTCTATTATCCTGGGTTTGGCACAGAGTGGAGAGTTTAGGTATGATCCAGCAAGCTGAGCCAGATTCTATTCCCAGACTCATCACAGACTCGCTGTGTGACGCCAGGCATTGCATGTCTCACCATTTTATTTTGAGGACATTTACCGTAGCAGTTTACCACACGGAATAAGAGTGCCTGCATGCAGTTCCAAAATTTCCATTGGTGACTCTGATTTTGCATGTTATATAAGCTTCTTGCTTATCGGTACAATGTCCATACTAATATTGTCTAACTCAGTGACATGTTAAGAAGGCCAAAATGTTAACAAATGGCAAATTCCTAGACTGTCTCCTGGCATGGAGCCAGGTCTGGGTATGTGGTATCTATATCATCATCATCATCGTCGTCATCATCATAGTTATTATTATTACATCTCTCCTTGTAAAAATGATCATGCTAGTCATTTCTTCAATCAGTTCCAGGATTATAATTCTAAAATTTTGAAAAGTGTTAGAAAGAATGGTGCTATAGTATCTTTTAACATTTTTATTAGCATAAATTATACAAAAAAGTATCATTGATCACATTCACCCACCTACATTACTCTTCTATAGTCTCCCTTTCTTCTGTCTCTTCTTTTTAAACAGTTTTAGTCGACTTCATTATGCTATCTTCGTGTATGTGTGTGTGTGTGTGTGTGTGTGTGTATAATGAAAATCTATATTTACTCCTTTTCACCTGTCTTGTTCCCCTTCCCCCTCCCACTGATTCCTTCCCTAAAAACCCTCTTTATTATAATAGTAATAATAATAATAGTTATTATTATTATTATGTGGGCCTAGATTGAGAATGTGAATAAAAGCGTGTGAGAATTATCTTTCTAAGCATGGCTTTTCTCACTTCACATGGTGGTCTTCAGTTTCATCTATTTTCCTGTAAATGTTATACTTTCATTTTCTTTAATGCTAGATAATTCTCCACTGTATATTTGCAACACATTTTCCTTAACATCTTGATATTACTATTGTGATATTGTGATATCAGCATTATTTTCTTCTTGTTTTGCACACAGGTACAGAATGTCCTCAGAAGGTACTTTAGCTATCAAAAATGCAGTTCCTAAGGATGCAGGGATCTATGGCTGCCTGGCAAGTAATGCAGCTGGAACTGACAGACAAATTTCCATCCTCAGATACATTGGCAAGTATAATCCCTTTAATAAGAAATTCAAATGGGATGAATTTTGTATCATGCAATTTAAAGTGTCTTTCTGAAAATTAATGTTAGGAATACAATTTACCTAATACTATAATTTATTATTCATGTTACACATGGACTAAAATTAATACTAATTTAAGTTAAAGCTTCAGGACTGGATAGTTTCATTAGTCAACAGAATTCAAGAGCTTCCAGATTTTGAAAAAGTCCAGGTTGTCCACAGAGTTTTTCCTTCTGTGCTTTTCTCTTCTTTATGTTCTACATCATCTACCTTAACTTCCATTTCGTATTTTCTGCTTATATTCAAAACACTAGCCTGGTGCTTGTGGGTTCTGCCTGTTATCTTAACTACTCAGAAGCTGAGATCTAAAGATCATAGTTTATAGATAGCCTAGGTAAAAGGTCTCTAAGACTCTTATTGCCAATTAACCAATAAAAAGCCAGAAATGGAGATGTGGCTCGGGTGTGTGCCTACCTTGAAGGTATACTTTGTGACATCATTGTCACATAGAGTATTTATTTATTTGATCTTTATCTTAAAGTATGAAAACATCATAATCTCAGTGTCAGCTTGTAAATTTTAAGTAATACATATAAATTGTAATTATAAATAAACTGATTTAACTTCAGCCATTATAGTTAATAAAGCTGGAAGTGCTGAGGGAAGAAGTGTACTACAACAGTGATGTGAATAGAGACTGTAGTAGGCAAGTGTAGGTGAGGGAGACAACAAAGTATCATGAGCATTGGGCCTAAGGGCCTGGAAAAGAGTGACTTTAAGAAATGCACTTGAAATCCAGGAGCTGGTGGCTCATGTCTGTAATCCTAGCTACTCAGAAGGCTGAGATCTGAGGGTTGTGGTTTAAAGCCAGCGAGGTAGGAACAGTCTATGAGACTTTTATCTCCAATGTAGTATGTGGACCTGTAGCTTAAATGGTAGAGTGTCAATCTTGAGTGAAAAAGCTAAAGGATAATACCTAAGCCCTGAGTTCAAATGCTAGTACCAGCATGTGAAGAGAAGAGAAGAGAAGAGAAGAGAAGAGGAAGAAAGAAAAGAAAAGAGAAAGACAGGAAGAAAAGAAGAAAAGAAAAGAAAAGAGAGATTGCACTTGGACAATTTTTATAAGGGAAAATGAGCTGAGGTTTATCAGAGATCGTTGAATTAAAAGTATCCACAGATCCCAAGTAGAAAGGTAACAGACAAATAGGGATGTGAAATGTGTGATTGAAACCAAATTGTGTATTTGCAGCAACAAACTTTGGTTCATTCACATGGAAGACAGAATATTCAACACATTTATGCACTGTAAAAGTATGTGGAGCATGTGTGCAAAAATGTTGTGCTGGAGACAGCATAGAAGCCAGCCCTTATTTTTCAAGAGGCTGTCTGCCATGAGGGGACATGTAAAGAAATATAACAAAGCAGACAGTGTGAGGTTGGCAGAAAGGAAGATTAATCCTGACTGGGGAATCTACAGAGATTTCCCAAAGGAGACAGGATTTAAGTGAGGTTTGAAAGAATGGGTGGAATCTGAAGAGTTGTGACAAAGGGTATTTCCGGAAGGAAACATGGCAAAGGCTGGGAGATAGGAGTGTTAAGTGTGCTGTGCATTCCAAGGCCACTTTATCTCTAAGTCTTGTGTTGGAAAAAGACAGGAAATATAATGGAAGTTCTAGTGAAAAGAAACCTGCACCAGTATGTGATTTTTGTTTTAAACTGAACTATGGTATTGTGAAAACAGAGGAGATCACTGAAAATGTAGAGCAAGGACATGATCTTTGAGACATTAACTCTTAGCTTTATTTAAAATGACATTACTGAAAATTAGGTAAACTGAGGGAAGATGTTCTCTTGTCAGGAGTGGAACAAACAAGGCTAAGGGAAAATTGCATTAGAGAGATCCCAAAGAAACATGTGTTGTTTTAGAAAACATCTATATTACTCATTACCTGATTCATACAACTGTAACGTCTCTATATATCAACTCTACAATAACAATAAAATAACAGTAAAAATTGTTTTTACAAAAGAAAACATCTATATTTAGCATTATGGGAAAAAGTAGAACAAATCTGAAAGACTCTACTTCTTTTAGATGGAAATGCTAGGCTTGGGCTCCAGATATCTCTGATAATTGGTCATGAATATACTTAAAATCAATAAAGATGTTATTGTTGAATCCATATACATTGGTATTATCTTCAAGTCTTACACTAGTCAACTTGCTGCCATTATCATCCCTCTTTGGACTGTGTGTGTGTGTGTGTGTGTGTGTGTGTGTGTGTGTGTGTGTGTGTGTGTGTGTTGGTACCGAGGCATAGCTGTCTCTTAGCTATTTTACTCAGGCTGGCACTCTGACGCTCTACCATTTAAGTCACAGCTCCACTCCCAGTTTGTTTGTTTGTTTGTTTGTAATTAATTGAAGACAAAACAGACTTTTCAGCATGAGCCAGCTTCAAACTGCAATCCTCAAATCTCAGCCTCCTGAGTGGCTAGGATTACAGGTAAAGCCAGCAGTGCCCAATGACACTGTGTTTTGTGTCCTTGTGTGTTCCTTTAATATCATATGATACATACTCAAATCACTAAGCTTTTTCGTTTCTCTTACACTTGTTTTAATAAAGGTTTTTTTAAAAATTATAGATTTTGGACTTTGTTTTATAAATAATTATTTTGTGTTTTGGCCATTATTTTTGTTTAGTATCCTTTTTTGAGCTAAATGATTTTTCATATATACAGAGCTAAGCATGAGCATTATAAGACTTCCTTTCTGTTTATAAACACTGAGAAAGCCATGCACACATAACTACTGTTAACTTTTCCACTGATTCATTTAGAAGACATAAGATCCACATGGCCTTGTACTTGATGATGACTAGTTGTGTACTTGTGTTTCTTTCAGAGGCTCCAAAGTTGATGGTAGTCCAGAGTGAACTCTTGGTTGCTCTTGGGGATACAACAGTTATGGAATGCAAAACTTCTGGGGTCCCTCCACCCCAAGTGAAGTGGTTCAAAGGTATATTCACAGTTGTATTCATATTGGATTCACTTTGTTTTTCTTTTCTTAAAAAATGGAAAAAAAGATTTGTTAAAAATATGTTTTGTTGTGTGACTTAGCAGCCCCATTAAAATGTGTTTATGATCTCAATGGAGACAATAGTTCAAAAATTCTGAACTCCAAATTTCAGGATTTGACATCTGGTATGGATTACAGGACCGTGAAAATCAAAGCAGGAAAAGTTTGCCTCTGCTAATCCAGCTGTACAGTCTCCTTGTTAGTTTAGGATTGTTTCCTGTAGAAAGCCGTCCAAGAATATTCCCTTAACATTTTAAATAGCTTCACAGAGTTTTGTTCACTTCTCTTGATCTTTAAGGATGCTTCTTATATATTCAAGACACACATTGTAAAGCTTACAGGAAAAGGGGAAATGAATGTAGTGGTCAGCTTCTTCAGACACGAGAGATGCTTATATGGAGTATAATTGTCTATGTAGCACAAAAATCACACCTCTGTGATTCTATAAGAAAATAACAATAACATCCTACTTGGCTTTTGTGAGTAAAACTTGGATTTTGGTCAAAGCTCAGATGTAGACAATAGATATCTGGGTAAAAATCCTGCTTCTGTTTCTGTCTCAGTTTTTCTAATTTAAAAAGAAGAGAAAAAAAAAGAAGATCTGCAATTGCAAACATTCTAGCAAGGAGGTTGCTAGGATTATTGAGATGCTGTTTGCAAAATACTTTTTAATCTTCCGATGAAAAATGCTAAGTAGTACAAAGCCATATTGTTATGATTCTGTTTAGTAAATCATAGATGTTCCCATAGCAACCAATGGATGTCATAATCACAAAATTATGAATTCACCTCAAGTTCAAACTCTTAGGCAACATGAGGTGAAAAGGAAAGCTTTATGCAGAAAACAAATATTTTTAAATAATATGAATCAAAAGCAGGGAAGGAAGCTAGGACATAAGGCTATTTTCATGGTTTTATATGTCTAAAGATATTTAGTCTTCATTTTGTTCCTGATAAGAAGGCATTGCCAGATTTGCTCCTTAACCAAGTTTATTGCATTTAACATAGCTAATTTATTTGAAATATTAATTAAAAATTATCTTTGTTTTAAAATTATTTTAAATACTTAAATATTTAAAATAGTTGTCTTTGAATAATTGTATAACAAATATGATTTTTGAAATTCAGATATTAATTATAAATCCAGACAACAATTTATAGTTATGATGGTAATAAACATGGAAAAAACATTGTAGTCAAATGAGTTTTCTGCTAGCAAAACACACATAGTTTTTATTCTTTTGAAATTGGTTTATTCTCCCCCCAAATGGAATATTTGTGCCTCATCTTGGTCCCACAAAAGGAAATAGAATTAGGAGACAGAGAGCCATGTAGCTACCAGGTGGAAGGTTCTAGAATTCATCTATTAGTTTCTTCTCTCAGTCATAGATTCTCAATTTCAGTGGATGCAGTAAATAACTTGTCATTTCCCGTCGACGTTATGAACCAACAGAGATAGAATGTAGACATAGTATTGGGAAACATATTCAAACCATTCAATATACGTTGCTCTTCTGAACACCCAAATCAGAACAATTCATAGTCAAACTATTTATTGCATAAGTGGAGTCAGGCCCACCAAGAGAACTAGAGGACAGGTCCTTCTTCATGCAGATGGGCTCCAAAATGAGAGGGCTGGGCCCAGGTGGACCTTTCTGTCCTACCTTTTTGGGGGATAAAACACACAGGGGCAGGGAGGAAGGTTAGAAAAATCCTATCTTATAGAAACCATAGGGTTGAAGAATAGGTTTGGGTCTTGACCTTATGTGTAACTTCTTTGTACCACACTTGAGGCAATTCTGATGGAATGGATTAGTATTTAAAGAAAAATAAAACCAACAATATTCCATTGAGACTATCCAAGAAAAGAAATTCTTAAGAATATGCTCTATGGTTTTACATCTTCATTTTAGATATTTGTGGTGAAATATTAAATTTGATTTATTTGTTTAGGCTAGTGGCTCATTATATGTGGTTTGATATTTTTTACAATTCTCTCAAGGGCTCCACATGTTCAACCTCATTTTCATCATTACACTCTGAGGATATTTATCCTTTGCACTCTCGTTGTCTTGCAAGTGAGTGGGGTGGCTGGTGTATGATGACTAATATAGAGAATGCAGCAGCAAGTATGTGTTCTCAGCTATCTTCAATTAAGCTACACTTTAGACATGATGGAAATTTGCAGAAATGTGAACCAATGCCACTCTTCCTATGATTTTTTTTCTTATTTGGAGGAACTAGTTTTTATAAAATATATTTAACAAATAAAATATTACTTGAATAAAATATATTTGGGCATGCTTTTTAAATTTTTTATTCTGATTTCTAAAATGCTGAATACAAGTAAATATAATCCATGTGAACAAAAATTCACTGAGATTCTGGATAACTTTAACAATGCATTTAAGGGGTCTTGAGTCAAACATTTTTGATAACTGTGTAATCATCATCTACACTTAGAAAGGATAGAATGCTAGAATAATTACATTGGTCCTTATGTCCACAGCGGTCAGATCTGAATTTAAGGAAACCTTGCTTTGTGGAAAGTCTTATAGTAGATTGACCAGGAAAGTTTATACATTCACTATGTCTAATGCCCTTCTCACACATAATCTTAAAACAAGTAGATCCCTTTTTCCTATCCATTTCCTACCTGTCTTTCTCTATGTCTTCTCAATAATTAACTCATTTCTCAGTAAAAGTAAAGGAGAGACTAACAAAATGTGGTCAGATTGCACATTTGGAGGAACTAGTGTTTACCAATTTACCCTTTGTTTCATGCCTACTATTCTTTAAACAGTTTTATTCTGAAAAAAGAAAACTAGCAAGAGGTCTTCATGTCATCCTTTAACAAATGTGATTTGCTGAAACATACAGAGGAAATATAAAGGAAAAAATAAATTTCCTAAATCGAAAGGCTTTTTATTCCAAACATTCAAATGCATGATGAACAAGGTCAAGCTTCATCCTCCCTTGGTGGGAGGAAAGTTCATGTCAACATCATCTGCCTTTATTTATGAACTTTTCTCAGTGGCTCCCAGACCCAGCTTTCGATGCTCCTCTCATTCTCCAGAAGCACATAGTAGCAAGCTTAAAAAAATTGATAGGAGGTTTTAAATAGTGCAATGCTGGAAAAGGACTTTGTTTTTGGCACTGATAGTTGCTAATCAGTTGCTAATGCACTTTTTCTTTTAAATTTAGACTGGCTTTGATCTCTTCTCTCCAGAAAATTACATAAACAAAGAATTGCCTGTTTGTTGCCCTGAGTTGTTGGTGGGTGCTGTTTTAATGTTCCAGAGAACTACTTGCTTGTGGGTTCTTTGTTTATTGGAAACCAAGTTCCTATGGCTCTCAGATTCAAGGAACACAACTGCTCTGTGACATTTTGGAAAGTACTCTTTCTGTCCTAATATCTGGGGAATGCTGTAAAACCCTAAGCATAAAGGCTCTCAAACCTCCTGGAAGATTTTAGGATATTCTCCATTTTATAGAACAAATGTTCTATGGATGCTGAGCTGGCTGGCACTGAATTTCTAGTCCTATGTCCTTTTGATTGGATACTGGCCATTCTGGTTAGTTTCAATGTATGGAAAGGAGATCCTCTGGAAGAAGGAGCCATAAATAAGGTTCATAGAGGGCTTTGTCTCCTTTCAGAAGAGGTTCAGGAGATTTATGGTACAATAGAGACACACTGCCTTTACAGGTAACTCAGATGGAGATAGTGTTTTTTTTTCATTCTGTCCTCATGTTGAGGTCAAATGCAACATGTGGTTCAATTTCCCACACATGTATTTCCCACCTGCTTCCTCCCAAATCCCACATTGGTCCAACTTCAATCATTATAATGAATAATACACATTTTTAGATGAAGTAGCCTGGGAGCTGATATAATAGTACCCTCTCTGGCCATTGTCGGGCGTTTATCATCCATCCTTTCTCTTCTAACATGCTTTTTTGCACCAGCTTCTTTAGCCGGCTTAAACTCCTCACAACTAAAAAAGATTTTAGCAAACCAATACCTTGCTCATTCTGAGCCAAGTGAATTCCTGTCCACTTTCAAGCATCTCTTGGGTGGTGAAATATGCATCCTGTCCAGGGATGATAGACACCTATTTTTGACCTTCACCTTCCTACACCGTTCCTTTCCCATGGCCACCACTCCAACTGCTAACCTTGCCATTTCAAGAGCTCATCTTTATAGGTTCATATGCGGATACAAAGATAAAATATTTGTATGCACATCATTACAGGACCAGGTTCAGACCATAGAAAGTGTCTGTTGTATAAGACACTTGACAAGAAACTGCGAGCAATCTTATTCCGACCACTTCACTGAGTAAACTATATATTCTCCCTTCATTTTGACAGGAGATCTTGAGTTGAGGCCTTCAACATTCCTTGTTATTGACCCTCTCCTGGGACTTTTGAAGATTCAAGAAACACAGGATCTGGATGCTGGCGATTATACGTGTGTAGCCATTAATGATGCTGGAAGAGCAACTGGCAAGATAACACTGGATGTTGGCTGTAAGCCTCCTGCTCTGATTCACCCAATTTGCTTTGAGACTGATCTGCTGGTTTTCCATGTTGAGTCACTGTGAAACAATTTGGTAGGAATATTTGTCAGAATGGCAAAACTACAGCGAGTGTTTTAGATCATTCATGCAATAATGGTGGTTAGCATTTACTAGATGATTTTTTGTGGACTTTGATGGTGCCAGGAACTTTTTATGGGTTATCTCATTAAACCTGTTTAAGAACCCAGGAAGATGCCATAATTATGTTTATTTTATAGTCAAGGAAACAAGTTTGTAAAGACTGAGCAGTTAATGAGGGTTCAGAACTAGAGAGGGGCAGAGTTGGGAAATTTGAACTCCAGTTTCTAACTTCAGAGACCATGACTTTACCCATGTATCCCCATATTGCTATTTTCCCATCAGTAGTCATGTTTTCTATCATCAGATTCCTAAGCATTAACATCTGGAGGCCAGAAAGTACTCTTTGGCCCTAGAACAAAATTTGGAAATGTGGATGACAGCAAAGGTAATAGATTGAGCTTTTGTTTTATTTTTTTTTAAATTCATTAACAAGTATTACCAAGCTTTAAAGTACTGACTACAGGAATGTCAATTGCCATATGAAGATAAAATGTGTGCATGACAACTCTATTTGAGTTTTTCGGGAAGCTTCCTTTGTCTCTTTATTTCACTATTCAAAAGGGAAGTATAGGAGGAGAACAATGGAAGGAGGGGGGAGAAAGGGAAGAGAGAAAGAAAAGAAAGAAAGAGAAAGAAGAAAAAGGAAGAAAGATAAAAGAAAAAGAAGGAAGAAAGGAATGAAAGGAAGAATCTGCACATAGTATAGTAAAATTTGAAATAAAACAAACCCTGTTTTACACTGCAAAGAACTAGCAGCTTAATTTTAACAAATAATTGAAAAATATTTCTTAAAATTCATAAAATATGGTATTTTATTAAGTTGTAACCATATGTGTGTATTATAATGATATTTTTGCCCCAAATTGATTTTTTCTCCTAACAAAAGTTAAGAGAAATGCATCTTTCACAAAGCATTTTAGTTCTATTACCTTAAGTCTAACTGGAAATTTTGGCCCTCTGTTCTTGGAAGTTTGTTTGGTGATAGTTTGTTTTTTCTCCTGTGATCCTTGAGGATCTGAATCCTCTTCCCCTCATTCTTGGTGATTTTGCCCTTGTGGTTGAATCACAAAAGCTGGAAATTACCACAAAGTTCACTCTACAGTTTTTCTAAGCAATACCTGATAATTTCACACAACCAAACATGCTGATTATTAATGAAAAATACCTTGAAAGTAAGATTGGGATCTCTGGGTAGAGAGTATCTCTGCATCTAGCAGCAGGATGTAAAGCACATGGACACTTTCAGACATGAAAACCTCAGCTAAGGCGGGGGGTCACTAGAAACAGAATTCTTTTTTTTGGGCGGGGGGGGGGGGGGGGTCCAGTTGTGGGGCCTGAACTCTGGGCCTGGGTGCTGTCCCTCAGCTCTTCAGCTCAAGGCTAGCGCTCTACCACTTGAGCCACAGCGCCACTTCCGGTTTTTTTTTTTCTTTTTGCTTATGTGGTGCTGAGGAATTGAACCCAGGGCCTCGGGCATGCAAGGCAAGTGCTTTACCACTGAGCCACCTTCCCAGCCCTAGAAACCAGAATTCTTGCTTTCAAGAAACACACTGATAGCTACATTTCAAGTTCTCAACATTTACTCCTCCTTCTGCCCCCTTCCTGCTGACATATCTTATTTCAACCTAATATGCTTCTAAAACTTTCTAGCTCTAGCAGAACAGAGAAATTGCCTCAATAATTGTTCCCAGTCCCTTTGACATTTGTAGGAAGTCTGAGAATCTTATGCATGCTACCTTGCTTGCTGTCTTCTTGATAATATGTTTATCTTCTGGATTTTCCAAGTTCTCTCTGTTGTTCAGAGATCCATCAACAAAGCATGGATATCTGTGCTAAGTACGTAGTGTTGGAAAACTAACCTAACCTAACCTCTGTATGCTTCATTTTAAATACTGAACTGAACTTTGATTTCTTCTTATTTACATTCAAAATTCAATCAAAATAGTACAATCCAGGGCTGGGAAGGTGGCTCAGTGGTAGAGCGCTTGCCTTGCATGCTCGAGGCCCTGGGTTCTATTCCTCAGCACCACATAAGCAAAAAGAAAAAAAGCCAGAAGTGGTGCTGTGGCTCAAGTGGTAGAACGCTAGCCTTGAGCTGAAGAGCTGAGGGACAGCACCCAGGCCCAGAGTTCAGGCCCCACGACTGGACCCAAAAAAAAAAAAAATAGTACAATTCAAACAAGAGATGTTCAAATTTCATTCCAGCAATAATTCTGATAGAGCCACTAATAAAAATGTCATTATTTGCATACTGAAACCTTGACTATGACCAAAAAAAATCTCCAACTTACTAGTGAAGTTCTCACCATTCATGCTGTTGCTATGCCTAAACTATTCCTGATTCTCCATTGTGTTCTTCTCAGAGTGGCTCACAGGAGTTGGTTAGACCAGTCTGTCCACATCAAACTATTGTTAGATACCCCAGCAGATACAGAATGTGTAGTTGTAGATGTTTGTGGTTTCTACTGTGGGTTTAAAAGCAAATACACTGTGAATCAAAGCTTTCTTCAGAATTTATCCAATGGTAAAGAGAATGGAATAGGTTGTCTGACTTTGCGTGTCTATAAAATAAGGAAATAAATGGTATTTGCCTCATAGGTAGGTTGTAATGATAAAATATCACCACCTATATACATTCAGCATGTAAATTATTACTAATAGATTGATGCAACATATATCCAGTAGGTGAATATTAACTTAAAAATTAAGGTACTTATTTTGATTCTTTGAGTCTTATAATATCAAAATTACTAGGTCATAGTAACAATTTAAAATTGAGCATTAGGCTTTTAATAAGCCCCTGTTTCAATTTCCTTTTAGAAAGGTCTTGAAGCAAGTTAAGAATTAAAGTTGGTAGTACATCTCAATTCCAAAATTACAGGGCTTAAATTTAAATAGCTTATAACATTAAAAGGGAAACATGTTTTATCCATATCACATGATATTTAGGCTTGTGGACTGTTTTTGTGGGCCTATTACCTCACAGAAACTATATTAGATCAAAAAATATAATTCATGACTTCCAGCTTCTTGTTGAGACTGGCTTTTATCCTGTTTCTCAATATCATGGCTTTAAGAGATGGATGTTTTGGAACAACAAAGAGAAAGTTACCAATACCTTTTATCCTTTGTATAAAAGGGACAATGAATTGTGAAGTCATTTAGAAGGAGAGAGGATTAGCTACACACACCAATAACTTGGCCTGTCATCAGTTTCTCTTGTAGCTTTCCACCACCCGGAGTTTGAGTCTTAGTCTGTGGTTTTGTGTTTTATGGTTTGGTGGGAACTGTGTCTACTCACTTTAAGAAAAAAATCTCTGACTGATATCATTTGAGAGTTGCCATGGAGAGAATATATATTGAATTTTTTTTAATGGTAACTATATCAGTTTTAAGGAATAGTTTTAGAGCAAGATGGTCAATCTGTTCATGATATTACTAGTGTTGCTGTTATTGTTACCACCACCGCTGCTGCTGCTGCTTATACTACTACTACCACTACTCTTATTTTGTGGCACTGGGTTTAAATCAGGGCCTTACACTTACTAGGCTGGTATTCTCAGCCACACCTCTAGCCCTGCTTTTTCCTGGTTATTTTGAGATAGGGTTTTACTAACTGGGCTAGTAATGAACAGTAATTCTTCTACTCTCAGTCTCCCAAGTAGCTAGGATTGCAGGTGTGAGCCACAAGCATCAACAATTTTAATATTTTCAAGTATCCCTTAGTAACAATAAAACTGTTCCAGGGCCTTAACCCTGGGCAGGCCTCAGGCTACTGGCACACCAAAGTTTAGGGGGATCACTGAGGATCAAACTTATACTATCCTAGTAGATACTTGGAAGAAGCCAAAATTGAAATTAGTGACAGAGAAATGAAAACTCCAACAATGGAGACATAAATAAACAGTCCAACTAAGATTAAAAAATAACTATTTATGTCCCATGATTGTTAATGATTATTATGTGTTAAATAGTTAATAAAGATAATCCATTTTAAGAACATAAAGTAGGAGATTTTATTATTTGTTTTGATTCATTGGCAAATCTCAACTGGAGTTGGTAAGACATAGTCCGATGCTTGCAGATTAAGCAGTAGAATTGCCCTCTGAACCAAACCACTTCTCAGGCTCTTGGGCTCTGAAAGCCCCAGAGCATACTCTGGGTCAGTATCACTGCACCCTGTAGGATCCTCTGTTCCTATTCTTCCCCCTGGTTTTGTTAAGCTGTTTACCATCCACCACTGTAACTCAATTGGAGAACTTGTTGGCCACAATCAGAAATAGGAAGTATTTAAGAGGCTTCTTGGCTCTGTTCGGAGCTGCCTCATTTTCAAGATTTGCTTGTTACAGATGAGTTTTGGCCGCTTTACCTAGTGCCTGCTATTCTCATTTGCCTTGTTTTCTGATACTGGTTCATTTGCTCTCTGACCTTGTGCTGGTGCTTGTGTTGTGGCTGGATGCACTTCCCTAAGAGCTCCTATGAATGTCTTCTCCTGTCTTAATGGAAATTTGTCAGTACAACTTGAGCTTTGCTCCTTTTCTTTTCTTTTTTCTTTTTTTGGTAATTCTGTGTTTTTCCTTCTGAACATCCTAGCTTTAAACAGCCTAGTGTCCCTCCATTTTCACTGGGGTCACTATTTTAATGTAACAGTAAACTGGGCTTTCCTTTGTCCGTTACACTTCAGAGTGTAGGCTTCTGCATATGTTTATATTGTTTGGGAATTTATTTTCCATCCATTCCTACATCTGCGTGCCTGAACTCTGATCCTGATCCATCTAGAGACTTTTAGACTTATTTTATGAAAAGTTACAGGTCTAGACCAATAGGTACTTCATTCCAGAAAGTACCTAGGTCTTAGAGACAGGGCAAGTCAGCAATGAGCTACTTCATCAACTATGTATAAAATGTGTTTATCTCACTGATTATTTTATGCCAAATTTCTCTATATTTAGATTAAAATGAATCTCAGCACAGAAACACAAAACATCATGTTCAATTGTCATATTTAATTTTGTTTATGCCCAATAAATAAATGACTAGGATTTCTAAAATTACCACATTTCCTTCAAAAGTAAAAGTTCATCTAGACTGAGTCAAAGTTCTCTCATCATTATATACTTAAGTGCTCTAAGAGAGAGATTATATTACTGAAGTTTTTTCATACTGATTCAAAAATTTACTCCATCATTCAGTGACAACATATCATAAAAAAGGTATCATATTAGTTGCTGGCAAAGATAAAAATATGGTTGCAAATGTAAACTGGGCAAAATAAGCATTTTGTCTATAGTAGGATGGATGTGGTGATTTTATAAAGTTGTCTGAAATTTCAGAGGAGAATAAAAAAATGTTTATTTCAGATAGTAAGATATAGCATCCTAGAAGAGAGTTCATTTTACCTTATCAGGATAACAGCCAGATAACAACATCAAGTGTCCCCTCTGAAGGGGAAGTATGACAGTACAGGTGCACAGGTACTGATATGGGAAGAGTCCATCCTTGTTTGGATGCTGTGGCCCAGTGGATAGGTTTCATGTAGGGAAAGTAAGAGGAGATGGGCCTGTAGAGGCGAAGGAGGTCCTTCAACCCAGTCTAAGAAGGCATTAGCGCAGCTTGGGAACAACTGCAGAAGTAACAGAATCTCTATAGTCTCTTTTATAAGTGTGCTAAATAGTATGAGCAGTTTCTACAACCTGTGGACAAGGAAGGTTGATAAAGTGACAAAATATGGTGACTCTGCAGTGGAAACTAGTTTTCAATCGTGTGTTGTGTCATTCAGCTCCATCTGACACAACAGTTAAAATAAGTTTCCATTTCTGTTTCTATAAATTCATAGTAGAGACATGTTGTAAGATTAAATGAGATCATGGGAAGTATGTAAGAAAATCTGGGACTTTGAAAGTCAGTTATTGTCATTACAATCAAGAATTTAAGTTTTTTGTCAGTCATGGAGCTTGAACTCTGGGCCTGGGCACTGTCCCTGAGCTCTTCAGATCAAGGCAAGCACTGTATCACTTGAGCCACAGCATCATTTCAATCAACGATTTAAATTGATCTAACAGAGAGCCATCCCTAGGCTCTGGTCTCTTAGAATCCTATATGAACATATGCCTTCCATTCTCTCAATGCTGCCCTATGCATTCCCCCTTTCCTGAAGCCACAAACATTGTTACTCACTGTTAGTTACAAGTTTCTGCAACATACTGGCAGCCTCATACATTTGTTCTTACTGATAGCTTCATCCTTATTCTAGGTTCCTGTGTTTTCCAAGGTGTGTCTTTGATGTATTTCTACTTCTTCCTTTCAATTTCTGCCATTATCTAAATTACACCGATACTTGTAGCCTTCATGTCTTTGTTTGGCATTACTGGGGTTTGAACTCAGAGCCTTCTGTTTGCTTGGCTGGTTCTCTTCCATTTATGCTACTTATTGCTGGCTATTTTGGATGGACTCTTCAGGACTTTTCTTCCTAGAATAACTCTGAACTGCAATCCTCTGGGTTTCAGATTTCTAAATAGCTAAGATTGCAAGCATGAGCCCCTAGCACCAGCTTTATAATTACAAAATCACTATGAATTATTTTTCAATCCCATTTAAGATGTTAAACACTCTTCTTCCTTTGTCAAAAACTATGTTCTGATATTTTGATTTGTGTGACTATCTTGCAAATGTATATTTCTCTACCTTAATGCTGTGAGATAAAGAACAAAAATCTGATACTGAATAAGGTCATAATTAGGAGTAAATACAATTAGCATGTTAGCTCATATTTCTTAAGTTAAAATTCTAGTAAAATTGAAGTTCATTGAGAAGACTCACCTTTTAAAAGAGTGAATTTCAGAAAATAGCAAAAATATTACAAGGAAAATTTATTTATAAGAAAGTCTTAAGATTTGAGAATAACAAACATTGAAAATGTTTCTGAAGTGGAAACTTCTATTCAGTTAAGTTGATCCTCTTTAAGTTTACACTGTACAATCTACTTCTTTAAATAAATAGTTGAGCTTGGTGCTTGTATTCATTTATAAAACTTTTGTTTTATATACTCTACATATGTGATTTCTGTATCATAGAAGAATAACACCAGGGTAAATTGATAGGCTTTCATGGATAGTGATTTGTTTCAAAATCAATCTGTTGACATTTTTACTAAGGTTGATATTTATAGCATGCTCGTATACTATACCAATAACTTTTAATGTCACTTCTCTTTCAGCACCTCCCGTTTTCATCCAGGAACCTGCTGACGTGTCTGTGGAGATTGGATCAAATGTGACACTGCCTTGTTATGTTCAGGGTTATCCAGAGCCAAAAATCCGATGGCAAAGACTGGACCACATGCCTCTCTTCTCCAGGCCTTTTTCAGTTAGTTCCATCAGCCAGCTGAGAACAGGAGCTCTCACGATTTTAAGTAGGTCAAAGAAGATATAGTTGATATAAATATCTACAATTACATAGTACCAGTCAAACTGTACTTGTTTACAATAGTTACAAGGTGACAATCACTGTATTTGAAAATCAACTTCTACATAAAATCCACTCACTGTATGGAGTTTCAGGCTCAACCTCCTGACTGACCCCACTCAACCTTACCTACCCCGAATGCCTGCCTCCCCTATGGTCTCAAAAGAATATTACTTGGTTCTAATATTCATCTGTGGTCATGAAAAACAATTCTGTATAGTTGCTTGACCTACACCATAATAATTCTCTTATGATCTAGCATGTACAGTGAAGGTGAAATAAAGGAAAGTAATTCACACTCATTATGACGAACTCTGCAATGGCACATGTGTGTACATAGGATCAACATGAATTCAACTGCCAAATACAGACTGGTGTGGAAATACGGGGTTACTGTCTCCCCAACTCCAACCTGGTGAAATGATTTCTGAAATGGTAAACCATGTTTGCCAAAGATCTATTTTCTGCTACTTCCACCAAATTAGTTCCAATTCCAATTCCAATTAGTTACAATTATAAGTAAAAAAGAAAAATATTCCATGGATTTCCAGTGGGGCCTTTAAAATTCTTGCTGGACTTGGAATAATTGTTCTTTCCTGAATCTGCCCCCATGTTCTGCCTCTCTAGTGTTTGCCTATGAAATAGGAGTAGATTTTTACCAATTTAAAACAAAACAAGAGGGGCTGGGAAGGTGGCTCAGTGGTAGAGCGCTTACCTTGCATGCATGAGGCCCTGGGTTCCATTCCTCAGCACCACATAAGCAAAAAGAAAAAAGCCAGAAGTGGCGCTGTGGCTCAAGTGGTAGAGCGCTAGCCTTGAGCTGAAGAGCTTAGGGGCAGCGCCCAGGCCCAGAGTTCAGGCACACGACTGGACCCCCCCCAAAAAAATAAATAAATAAAACAAAGCAAAAGAAAAAATCTCCCCTGCTAACTTCCAAAATGCCCCCAGGGTCATTTACTCTTTGATCAGACCTTGACTTCTTTCAATCATGCTTTGCCCTTTGTAACTCATTAGAATTAGACTGCCATTCCTCTCTTCTACCTACTCCGAGGTAGAGTTCAAATGTTGCCTAAGATGGGATTCTCCATTCCTCCCATGGGCCTTCAGCCTCTCCTGTCTGTGTGTTCCCAAGGCTCACTGGCTGAAATTCACATATCCCCTACCCTAGTATAGGTGATTGCTGAGTATGCTGTGACTCCTCTAGCAGGAAGGCTACAGGAACAGATCGTGACTTCTGTCCAAAGATTCCAGTACTGTACCTGGCAATGGTCAAGGTTTCCTTGAATAAACAACTTCATTCTTCTTTAGACTTATGGGCAAGTGATAAAGGAACCTACATTTGTGAAGCTGAAAACCAGTTTGGAAAGATCCAGTCGCAGGCAACAGTGACGGTGACAGGACTTGGTAAGATCGTGTCACTGTCTAGACACTGCACTCTTCAGATCTCTTTTGACATGTTTGGCACCTGCCAAGTTTTCTTTTCTTTTCTTTCCTTTTTTTTTTCTTTTGCCAGTGCTTGAAATCAGGGCCTGGACACTGTCCTTGAGCCACTTGGTGCTCAATGCAAATATTCTACCATTTGAGCCACAGCGCCACTTCCGGCTTTTTCTGAACGGTTTACTGGAGTTTCACAGACTTTTCTGCCTTGGCTGGCTTCGAACCATGATCCTCAGATTGCAATCTCTATGTAGCTAGGATTATAGACATGAGCCACAGGCACCCTGATAAAGTTTTATTTTCTTAAACCAAGCAAAGGCTCCAGGAGTTCTTTTCTGGTTGCCTGTTTTATATCTATTGTTACCATTCACATAAGATTATATTTCATATGATGTGAAGCATAAATAGTTTACTTCCAAGTGTGAGACATTTGATTTAGTGTCTTCTATTGAATATTCTCTTCTAATTTCATTTGATCACATGCTGAATTTATATAATCTTGGTACTGGTACTATTTTGCTTCAACGATCATAGCATTCAATGTGATTTTTAAATATATTAGTGCAACCTGGCATTGTGTTGCGCACTGTGGTCCCAATTACTCAGGAGGAAGATGGTTCATGTCCAGTGATCAAAAATTCAGTAAATTTCTACAAATAACCTGAGTGTGGTGGTATACTTCTATAACCCCAGTATTCAAGACCTAGGTAAATAGATGAAATGTGGTTTGAGAATTTATAGAAACTCCTGTATATTTTCCTACATCTATCTATATGTATCTAAAATTTCAGAGTAAAGTCTCTTAGGGATTTTGCTTTGACTTACGTTAATCTTTTTATTAATTTTTAGAGAAGGACTTTTATTTTGTTTGGTTTTGAATGTATTAGACTTTGAACTTGGGTCCTCATGCATACTTGACATTCTTGCTCAACTGGTGCTCTACCATTGAGCCATGCCTCAAGTCCTACTTTTTGCTGCTCATTTATGCCCTCATATCTTTTTACATAAGCTGCCTAACACTGAGATCCTTCCGATTTTAGCCTCCTGAGTAGTGTAGATTACAGGCATGAGTCACTGTGCCCAGATAGGATTTACCTATAATATTTCATTCCTATTGTACTTAGCAAGTATAACTTCATCAATAAAATGAGCCATTATTGTTCCCATTCCTTTCAGGCTATTCACCATGATCAAATAAATAGTCTTCATTTGTCTTCCAGATACAATGCAAGTATTTTCCTTGACATTTCCAGCTTTCCATGCTCCTGACATGCTTTTCGTTTATTTTCTTCTACACTCTTACCCTTTTGCTATTTCCTTGGTTGAAGAAGATTCTTCCTCTCTACTCTCAAGGTCATACCCATTTTACTTAAAACTTTTTTGTCCCTGAGAGAAAACTGATTTTTGCATCAGCACTCATGGGTCATTTTCCTTATGAAGTAGTTCACCTTGCTTTGGGGTGAGTAGAATTGAAAGTGCCCATTCTCTCTCTGGTCCAGTTGCTCCCCTCATTGGAATCAGCCCCTCAGTTGCCAATGTTATTGAAGGACAGCAGCTTACTTTACCTTGCACCCTGTTGGCTGGAAATCCCATTCCAGAACATCGATGGATAAAGAATTCTGCCACGGTAATGGTATTCAATGCATGCATTGACATTTGTATTTGTCTTAAGTTAGAAATAATGTCTTCCAACCACTGAAATGAACATTGAATACACATGCAAAAATATGCTTTACAAGTGTATCAAAGCCTTTTATTTATTGTTAAAGTTTATTAATCTGGGGATTCCTGTAAAAATGATCAGTGGTTTGACTTGCATACTTTCCTACTAAATTTATTGTCACTAATAAAGTCCCCTCTCAATATGTAAGAACTGAAGTTCTTGAATGCTATTTTTATAGCAGTTAGATATTTTATATCCTTCAATCCAGGATGTTTATGAAATGTAAGTACACACATAAAAATTCTTTCATATTACATATTAATCTATTGTGTTTAACTTTGTACATTCTGTTTTTTATTATGAACTACTCAAGAATGTAGATGTATAGTATGTCATTGATTTTTATTTTATAGCTTTTGACTAGGAAAGAATGTGGGTGATTTTTATAGTTTTATGAATTTGTGTGTGTGTATGTATGGGTTTGTGTGTGTCTGGGATTAAATTTGTACTTCCCACTGGGTGCTGGTGGCTCACATCTGTAATCCTAGCCATTCAGGAGCCTGAGATCTGAGGATCAAAGTCCACACAGGCAAAGAAAGGCCTGTAAGACTCTTATCTCCAATTAGTGGAAGTGGAACTCTGGCTTAATTGGGACAGTGTGAGGCTTGTACAAAACAAAAAACTGAATGATGGTGCCAAGACTTTGAGAACAAGCACGCGCGCACACACACACACACACACACACACACGCACGCACACACACACACACGCACACACACACACACGCACACGCACACACGCATGCACACCAAAACAATTTCTACTTTCACAAAGCTTTCTTGTTCATGGCTGATGCTCTACCACTTGTGCTATGCCTCCAGTCGGGTATTTTGCTGGTTAATTGAAGACAAGCATACAGACTTTTTCCCTCAATCTGATTGTGAACCTTGGTCCTCTAGGTCTCAGCTCGCTGTGCAGCTAGACTGCAGATATGAGCTATGGGCCCCTCAACTTCTATGAAATTTTTCCATTAAAATGCTATTTATGGTGTTTTTTTTTCATCTAGTTTAGGGCATTTCCTTCCACTTTCCAAAGGATTCTCTCATTTTCTTCCTGAGGTACTCATCTTAAACAAATTGACTTAAAAAATTAGAAAGTTGTTCATATTTGCATGAAAACCCTGAGGAAAAATAGTATAGTTTATTGGAAAAATAGTATACCTTATTGGAAAATAAATGCCTTGAATGTGGTAATTCTAGTTGACTATTAACATATCCTATATGCCAATCTTAATAAATGATACAGATGTTGGAGGTGATCATTTTAAATGAAAGTATTGCCAGCCTTCTCTAGCATGCTATTTATACAGTGTCCAGTATTGTTTGCTTCTGCCAGCTGATAGAGTGGGCATTGAAACTGACTCCCTTTTCATTGGCTTAGTAAATGCCAATATGTCAAAAACAAAACAAAAACAAAAACAAAACTACCAGATAGCATGGCAAAATGACTGAAGTGTTAGAGAACATGCCTAACAAGAGTTAGGTCCTGAGTTCAAACCCCAGCACAGTCAAAAATATATGCAATATGCATATAAATCAAATTGCTTCCTAGTAGAAATAAGGTCTTGTAAAAGAACAATCTGAGTCAAAAGTCAAACTTGCTGGTTAATTTTGAGTCCTGAGTAGTAAAATTTGCAGAAACAATCAATGTTTCTTTCCTTGTTCAACATGTGCCTAACTCTGTGAAAATTTTAGTAGGTATAATTTTTGGAGCTATATCAAGATTGACTATGATTGATGAATTTGTGGTGACTTTTCTATTGTTTTTGTGTGTGTATGTCGTTCCTGGGGCTTGAATTTAATGCCTCAATATTATTCCTAAGATTTGTGCTGAAGGTTAGTGCTCTACCACTTAACAGCAGCTCCATTTCTGGCTTTTTAGTGATTAATTGGAGACACTCTTGTCCTGGCTGAATTTGAACTGCAATCCTCAGTTCTGAACCCTTTGAGTAGCTAGGATTATAATCATGAACCACCAACATGTGGTTTGCTGACTGTTTTATCTAGAGGTGCTAAAATATTTTGCATAAGCTATAAAGTTTTAGCTTTTTCATGATTCAGTAAGCCAAAAAAGGATGATCCAACCTTGGCTAGACAAATTCTTTCCTTTTTAAATTAAAAAAATATTATATTTCTTTTCCTTTTAGTTGGTACAAAACCCGTATATAACTGTACGAAGTGATGGGAGCCTTCATATAGAAAGAGTTCGACTTCAAGATGGAGGTGAATATACTTGTGTGGCCAGGAATGTTGCTGGAGTCAGTAACAAAACAACCTCTGTGGTTGTTCACGGTAAGAGACACACAATGCAATTATTCTCAGATCTTATTCAAAACTGTGTTCATGTCCTTTTTTTTTTTTATCAGATGGCTGTCACTCCAATGACGAGAAGTAGACATCTCTCTGAATTGTTATATTTCATGAACAATATCTGCATTGTTAATGTCATTTCTAGATTTCCCTCCTGTACACAAAAAGACATTCTTGGGAATGATCAGATGAGCTGAGGGCTTTTGTGAGTGAAATTTTAATGGATAAAAATGAACTCGGCTCTCAAAGAATTATGTTAAAAAATACATTTTAATTACAGGCAAGCTGAACTTATTATACTACCCAAACTAACTTAAAAAAATGGTACAACAAGCATGTCCTTACTGATGACCCATTAGTATTGGAGCTAGAAATGACCTTAACTTTACTGAAGTTGAGTTTGTGTGTTGTAATCCATCTTCTTGCATGTTAGATAACTTAGAGGTCACAAGATAATCCAGAGCCAATGTTTATTTCCATCCATGACTAATAGTGACCACTTTTTTTCATCCCTTAAATAAAGGACTTCATAATTTAAGAAATTACCATGATTGTTTTGCATATTTCTTTTCTTTTTCTTTTTTTTCTTCAGTCGTGGGATTTGAACTCTGGGTCTGGGCGCTGTCCCTCAGCTCTTCAGCTCAAGGCTTGCGCTCTACCACTTGAGCCATAGCACCACTTCCGGTGTTCTGGTGGCTTATTGGAGATAAGAGTCCCACAGACTTTCCTGCCCAGGCTGGCTTTGAACCACAATCCTCAGATCTCAGCCTCCTGAATAGCTAGCATTACAGGCATGAGCCACTGATGCCTGGCTTGTTTTGGCTAATTCTTTTACAAACATTGCAACATTGGTTTTAGAAAGTTTTAGTATTAAAAATAGTTTTGTGACTGCAAGGCTGAATATCTTAGGAAATGAAGTCTACAGAACACCAGTTTTTAGCAGTTGATTCACACTTCATTTAGAAAATGAACTGTAGAGTCAACCAGTTTGCAAATATTGTTTTGTCTATTGAAAAATTAAGTGAATGGAGAGTCTTGTTATGACTGTTTTGCTTCCATCTCTCTCAGTTTTATACTAATCTCTGTAAGAATCACCTGAGATAGTCTTGAATAAGTATTTTGAGTGCTAGGGCAAGGCTGAAGTACTAGAGCACCTGCCATAGAAGCACAAGGCACTGAGTTCAAATCCCAGAAACATCAAAGAAAACAAAAAAGAAGAAAGCAAAGGAGGGAAAAAACGAGGAGAGGAAAGAAAAGGAGAAAAGGGGAAGGGAGAGGATAATCAGTGGAGAAAAGAGTGAAGAGAACATAAAATAAAATTATTTTGAAGAAATACTAAAGCAACCTAAATCACTCACAGCTTATTAGAGTAAATTAATAATAGTAGATTGGATATTGTGGTGTGACATTGTTTATAAAGAAGAGCAGGCCATAGATATCCTACAGGGTGATTATGAACTATTAAAAATCAACTGTGGGAATAAGCTTATGGCATGTCCTTTAGCTTTTAATGATTCCCTAGGGTATTGTGTGGAGAATTCAGGAAACAAATTTATACCTGGGTGGATGCAGGCACGACTAGATTATATGTGATGTCTAATACATCAGAGTATTGAGAAGAGAGACAAACATTGAGATGCTTTTTAGTAATGCAACAAGTTTTAGTAATTAAAAGCTCAGAGGCTGGGCACTGGTGGTGGCTCACACCTATAATCCTAGCTATTCAGGAAGCTGAAATCTGAGGACTGAGGTTAGGAGCTAGCCTGGGCAGGAAAGTCAGTGAGACTCTTATCTCTAGTAAATCACAGAAAAATCCGGAAGTGGCATAGTGGCTCAAGTGTTAGAGTGCTAGCCTTGAGCGAAACAGAGCCCCGAATAGTACCCAAGCCCCGAGTTGAAGCCTCATGACTGGCATAAATAAATAAATAAATGAAGATATCATGTCACAACAGTTGGTCCATTTTCATCCAAAATGAACAGCTAATTTTATAAATAAGTTTTTTTTTGTTTTTTTTGTTTTGCTTTTTTTTTTTTAATCAGCCCTGTTATTTAGGATGTTCCACACTGCACCATTCAACAAATGGGTGTGTATTGCATGTCGACTTCTGAATGCCTGTTTCATGTGAATCAGCCGTCATTTCCTTTCTGCCTGTTAAGGACATGTTCAAGGACATCTATTAAAGGCTCTCAACTCATTCTTTAAAAATATGAATGAAAAATTAAAATTTAAAAAAAATGTATACATAAAAGAAAAATATGAATGGATGCAAATAAACATAACAGAAGATTTTGTCATTTTGCTGCAGATTGACCATTGCAAAGAAATATTTCTTCCATGAGAGATGGCATCAGATTTCAAAACTGGCTGGAACTGGCCCCTTTTCTTTGCAGGCAAACTTAATATAGGCTTCAGAAAATGTCTTATTCCATGTTGCTGAAAATTGACAACATATTTGAAAGTTGAAGATTCCATCATGTTTCTGGAAATCTAATTTCTTGCTTAAGTGAGCAGCCAGACATTTGTGTTTAGAGCTGATGAGTCACTACCAACTCTTTAAGAAGAAATTATCCAAAACAAGGCCAGCTACAGGAAAAGATGAGCATGTGTGTTGTATGTGTAGTTGGTTAGTTTAAGCCATTCAAGGGATATTTGCAAGGACTTCTAATAGATCTTGTGTTCTAGAAAACTTCTACTTCAAGGAAATATGATAATTCTGGAAAGTTTTGATTATATATATACATATATATAGGTGTGTGTACATGATCAAATTCCCTTTTTTATTATCTTCAGTTGTATAAAAGATTCAACCCATGGCAATTTATGAGTACCATCTATCTTGAGCAATATCAGTTCTTTCTAAGCAAGGGACAAGGTGATTGACAGAAACCCAGGAAGCAGGTCTAGTCTTATCTTCTCAGAAGATACAAAGGAAATGTCTGAAACACATCAGTCTTTCATTGTCTATTCTTGAACTGTCATGAACACTCATGTATGGATGTTCTTTTATCCGAACATAGCTAGCAAGATAAATAGAAAACCCACAGAATGGATGAAGATCTTTACCAGCTATACATTGGACAAAGGCCTCATATCTATAAGAGCCTTGAACAGATGCCTTTGAACATAGACATAAATCATTACTTTGAAATTGGCCACTGATGGCTTATTCTGTAATTCTAGCTACTCAGCAAGCTGAAATATGGAGGACTGAATTTCAAAGTCAGACTGGACAGAAAATTCCACTAGACTCCATCTCCAGTTAACTAGCACAAAGGTGGATTGCAGTTATGACCCAAGTGGTAGAGCACTAGCTTTGAACAAGGAAACACTGGCTTTGAACAAGGAAACAGCAAGAATGGAAGGCCCCAAGTTCAAACCTCATTACTAATTGGAAAAAGAGAATGGGAAAAAAGGAAGGAAGGAAAAAAGGAAGCAAGATACAGACAGAAACAAAGTAAGAAAAAAAATTATAATTCTGAGAACATTGATTACCAATAGTCTGTGTGTATGACTTGGTTGTAACTAATTGTAATACACACAGAAGGGAGTAACTGGAATCTCCTCTTTTTTACTTTTACTCATATCAATTTCTCACTTTCCTTTTTAAAGCCAATGATACGTTCTTTTTATTAATGAAAAACATTACTTATATTTTAGAAGTTTAAATGTAAACTCCTAAAGTCTTTCAAGTTTTACTGCTGAATCCCTTTTAAGGAAACACATCCTTTTTTAAAAAAAAGAGTAGTTTAAATTTGGTAGCCTGCTAAGTGATTCTTTTGTTATACGTGGTAGTTAAACAGCTCATTCTGTGGAGGTGGCTTATGTCAGCTCACTGGAGATTACTGGTAATGGATGATGTCCAAAGATGGGCATTGAATTTGTAACTGTTAAGGTTTAAGTCTATCTTGGCTGTTCAGGAAGAAAAAAGAATTTTGTTAGTTAAAACCATTTCCTGTAAAATCAGGAGTGAGACAAGGATGTCTACTCTTCAATGTCATACTGGAATCCCTAGCAAGAGCAATAAGGCAAGAGAAAGACATAAAGAGGATCCAAATAGGAAAAGAAGATCATGTCATGCAGATGACATGATCCAGTATTTTAAGAACCCCATAAATTCCTTTCCCAAGTTATTTGTGCTGATTCAAAACTTTGGCCAAGTAGCAGGGTATAAAATTAATCCTCAAAATTCAATAGCATTTCTGTTTGCAAACAATAAGAAGAGTGAGACTGAAATCAGAAAATCAATTCTATTTATAATAACCTCAAAAAATAAAATATCTGAGACTGGGAAGTTGGCTCAGTGGTAGAGCGCTTGCCTTGCATGCCCGAGGCCCTGGGTTCGATTCCTCAGCACCACATAAGCAAAAAGAAAAAAGCCGGAAGTGGCGCTGTGGCTCAAGTGGTAGAGTGCTAGCCTTGAGCTGAAGAGCTGAGGGACAGCGCCCAGGCCCAGAGTCCAGGCCCCACAACCGGACCAAAAAAATAAAATAAAATACCTAATACCTCTAGGATGAAAACTTTAAAAATCTGAAAAAAAGAAATTAAGCAGATTTAAGGAAATGAAAAAAAAAAAAAAACCCTTCCATGCTCCCGGATTGGAAGGATTAACATCATGAAGATAGCAACATTGTCCCAAACTATCTACAAATGCAATACAATACCTATCAAAATCCCCAAAACATTCTTCAATAATATAGAAGACTATCCAAAAATTCATGTGGAATAATAGAAGACCCAAAATAGCAAAAACAATCCTTAGCAGGAAGAATAGTGCTGGAGGAATATCAACACCAAATTTAGAATTCTATTACAAAGTCATAGTAATAAAAACAGCTTGCACAACTGGCACAAGAATAGGCCTAAGGAGCAATGGAACAGAATAGAAGACATAGAAATGAACCTACAGACCTATATCCATCTAATACTTGATAAGGGAGCCAAAAACACAGGATAGAAGAAAGATACCTCTTCAAAAAATGGCGTTGGCAAAATTGGCTATATATGTGCATAAAACTAAAGTTAGATCTTTATATATCACCCTCCACCAAAATCAATTCTAAATTGACCAAAGACTCAATGTAAGGTCAGCTACCATGAAAATATTACAGGAAGGACAGAAGAAACACTAAGGTTCCTAGGCACAGGTTGAAACTTCCTATGATCCAGAATCACTACAGATCAAAGAAAGACCGGATAAACAGGCTTCATCAAATGGAAGGGTTTCTACATGGAAAAGGACATAGCTAGCAAGATAAATAGAAAACCCACAGAATGGAAGATTTTACCAGCTCTGCATTGGACAAAAGTCTCATATCTAAAATATACTTAAAACTAAAAATTAACCTCCTAAAAATTCCTCAAAGAAACAGAAACCTCCAATTAATAAATGGGCTAAATAATTACAGAGAGATTTCTCCAATGAAGAAATAAGAATGGCCAATAGACACATGAAGAAATATTCAACATCTCATTCCATAAAAGAAATGCAAATCAAACCAACATTGAGATTCTACCTCACCCCAATTAGCATGGTCATTATCAAGAAAACTAACAATAACAGATGCTCGTGGAGATGTGGTCCAAAGGGAACGCTTCAATATGCTTCAATACTGTTGGTGGGAACAGTAATGTGTTCAACCACTCTGAAATACAGGCTGGAGGTTCCTCAAAAGACTAAACTAGGGCTTCCCAGCAATTCCACTCCTGGGCATTTATCCCATTGACAACAAACCTGGCTACACTAAAGCTACTAGCACAACCATGTTCATTACACTATTGTTTGCCATAGCCAAGATATGGAATCAGTCTAGATGCCCCTCAGTGGATGCATGGATCAAGAAAATGGGGTATATATACACAGTGCAATTCTATGCTTTCATCACAAGAATGATATTGCCCATTCATAAGGAAATAGAAAGACAGAAAAAATTGTAGTAAGTGAAATAAGCCAGACCCAAAGAAATATAGGTTGCATGGTTTCCCTCATTTGTAGTCATTAGAATGTGCCTATAAATTTACAAGTAAACACAATGGTTAGTAAAAGACAAGAAATTACATTTAAACAGGACTCTACACATTCACACAGTCAGACCCAAGAAGGATATTCTTAGGATAGAATCACAAAGACTCAATAGCTATTTGCATATGATCATATAACATGATATTTATCAAAATAAACTCTAAGAAATGGAAAGAAGAGGTTCTTATTTTACTTTTTGTCATTTTTTGTTTTGTTTTTGTTTTCCCCCTTTTGTTGCTGTTTTTGATTTCTGTACTTTTTGTCTTATAAGTTTATCTGACTTGAAGAGGGTAAGGGGAAAGCACAGAAATAGTGGGACAAAGAGTGAACTAATTCAGTAGTGATAGTCATTAGACACTATGTTGAAAATGAACGATATAATTTGGGGGAGCGTACGGGAGGAAAAATATTGGGAGAAAACAAGGGAAGAGGTGACACTGTACAAAAAAGAAATGTACTTATTACCTGACCTATGTAACTGTAACTCTTATGTACTTTACCTTTACCATAACAATAAATTTTAAAAAATAATAATTTTGAAAAAAGATTTTCTTCAGACCTCTTTTTTGGAAGGAAAGACATTATGCTAAATATCCCACACCACTTCAAGTTTTTATTGAGTTTATCCGAAGCATAGCTATTGCATTTTCTTTGTTTAGCAGAACTTCACATCAAGATTTTCCTAATTTCTATCAGAAAGTGTTAAAATGTTATCATTGATCATTTTTAGAAACATTAAGTATATATTGGAAAAGAAGTTTAATTTTAAACATATGGTGCTAATTGAAAGAGCTGCTCAGATGCTGACTCTGGCTTTCCTTTACAGTCCTGCCAACCATTCAGCATGGGCAGCAGGTCCTGAGCACAATCGAAGGCATCCCAGTGACTTTACCATGCAAAGCAAGTGGAATTCCCAAGCCATCGATTGTCTGGTCCAAGGTAAAGGCTACCTCTAGTGTTATTGCCTGAGGATCAGAGGGTAAAAGTTACTAGGAAGTGGCCTCTGAAGTAGAGGAATGAAGCCCAAAGGGACAGGCGCTAAAAAAGGACTTTACTGTGTTGATTTCCTCTGTGAGTGGGTTGGTCAACTTCAATGTGCTGGCCACTCTCTAAGAATCCCTGAGATGCATCTGAGAAAGACTTCCCTAACAGACAGGAAGTGGGGTGTTTATACCTAACAGCACTGCATTTCCTGGCTCTCTGTATTCTAGCTCTTGGGAGGCTTTGGGTAAAACTTTGTGGTCAAAGAGCAGGTTCACTCAGCAGTAGTATAATCCTGGCACAGGACACTGAGCTGTCCAGTAGAGCTGCGCTGAAATCAATAGGGCTGAGGCATGTGGCCAGAGGTAAGAAGGGTCTGCTCCAACACGTGAAGTGCTTAGAACAGTTCCCAATACACAGGCTTGCTCACAGAAATTTTTATGGTTGTGTTGTGATGTAATTCAAGCATCATGTGTATAACTATGTGGAATTTCCTTTGAATAAAACCTCAAAGTAGAGTCACAAATCCCAAGTATGAATAAGAATTGTAAGATAGGTGAACAAACACATTCTCTCCTATCCCTGTCATATGGTTGTCCAGTTTTCTCTTATATTCTTGCAGCAAGAAACCAAAACATGAAGAAGTCCCTATCTTTGAACTACTATGGCACTGGCATTTTTTTTTTTTGCAAAGTAGTTTACATCTGGCAGATGCAAAATGTAATACAAAATGATGGTAAAATAGTGGAATGTGGTATTTGTAAAATGAGCACTATAACAAAAGAGTCTCCTCATACCATCTCATTTTTTTCAGCAAAAAAAAAACCAAAAAACTCACCCAACAGCCTTCTAATATATTGGGGATAACATCTGTCTATAAATAAAAAGGTTAATATTTTTATATTCTAGACCCAGAAGTTACAATGATGAAGCTCATCTCCAAATGCACAGGGTTTGGCACTGACTAAAAATTCAATGCCCTTTTAGGAAAAGGCCAAAATGAAGTGTATAAGGCTGCTTTTGTGTTGGAACCACAGAAGTAATGATTCATGCTCCAGGACTTAACTCCTGGGGTTCCAATCCCAGTCTGTCACTGATGGGCTTTGTGATCATGAGCCATATCCCTTCCCATCCTCCCTTGTTCCTCAGGCCTCTGGACTGTCAAATGGGAGTTGTGGAAACTTCTACTGGAAAGATTGGTTTTGAGTATTGAAATAGTTATACAATACAAGTACTCAGAAAAGAGCCTGGTCTAGCCCCAGAACTCATGGTAGCATACCTTGAGATTATTCTTATTTTCTCTTGTTTAAGTACTGAAGTAGTTAAGGGCGTGGTGTGGCAAAATACCACCTAATTTAGTACATTTTGCTCAAAAATAACTCCTTTCTAACTAACACTGTTTGTTTTTGTTTTAATCTGCTTTTTCACTACTTGGAGATATTTTTCTTTCTCTCTTCCTCTTCCAGACATGAAGTCACTCCTTATTATCTTTAGGAACCCCTTGCTCTTTGTTGTGTTTTTAGAAAGGAGAGCTGATTTCATCTGGCGATGCCAAGTTTTCTGCAGGGGCCGACGGGAGTCTCTACGTGGTGTCTCCTGGAGGCGAGGAGAGTGGAGAGTATGTGTGCACGGCCACCAACGCGGCCGGCTATGCCAAAAGGAAGGTGCAGCTGACGGTGTATGGTGAGACCCGCTGGAGGAAGATTTCCCTTTGATCTTGCCTATGTGTGCCAAAACTCATATTTCCTTCCCAATAGTGCCACCCCCAAATAAAACCCCCCCACACACAAATGTGCACGTCGCACAGAAAATCATTTCTACTGCCAACCAAAATCAACTCTACTGAGATTCTGATTTTAAGAAACGTAACTGTATAGTCCATTAGAAACCATGTTATGGTATTTGTCCAAGAAATATACGTCTCTCATCTACCCTTTTCAGTAACACCATTCAGTTAAAACTCTTGGCAAAAGTTGGGCTCTGATGGCTCACACTTGTAATCCTAGCTACTCAGGAGGCTGAGTTCTGAGGATTTTGTTTGAGGCCAGTTTGGGTACATAAATCTGAGAGAATCTTATTTCCAACTAACCAGCAAAAAGCTGGAAGTGGAAATGTGGCTCAAGAGATGGAGTACAAGCCTTGAGGGAAAATGCCAAGAGAGAGTGCGTGGGCCTGCCCTGCCTCTCTGAGCTGCTGGTGCAGAAGGCAGGCTGAAGGTTATTTGTGCCTTTTGCAGCCCAGCTGACTTGCTTCTGTATGCTGAAAGGAACTGCTGAGAAAAAAAGGCAGCTTGCTCCCCACTTTGCCCCAGCTAACACCATACAACTATTAACTGAACTTTTCTGTATACCCTGAAACTAGAAGATAATCAACACCTTCTTGTAACCTACTTAAGAGCATTAGGAGTACAGCAAACTGTGCTTCATATGCAATGTACTATTTCCCTTTCAAATGATGTGTTTATTTTAGTAAGGCCCAGAATATTTGGAGACCAGCGGGGGCTGTCCCAGGATAAGCCTGTGGAGATTTCTGTCTTGGCTGGAGAAGAGGTGACACTTCCCTGTGAAGTGAAGAGCCTACCCCCACCCATCATTACGTGGGCCAAAGAAACCCAGCTCATCTCCCCCTTCTCCCCAAGGTAGGAGAGTTGGGATGACTGGCACACACAGAAATGGAAATCTGTTGGGATAGGGTTTTGTGCCTGTTGAGGTTTTCACATGGGTCAAACAATAGCTTTTAACTTCGAGATCATTTTCATTAAAGTATACGTCTGAGCATTTTGCGAATATATATTCTTCCAAATGCGTTTTTAAAGGCTAGAAATATTAAGGCACGGCTTTGCTATAGTCTCCCACTGGTGCATTTTACAATGTCGTTATTAAAATAGAGCAGATTGGTATGCGGATTTCTATGAGCCCCCTGTGTAGCACACAGAATTCTGTGACTCTCGGGAGAGCAACAAAACTCAATAAGCACTGTAATGTCTACGACTTAATTTTCATGAGATGGTTTGTAAGTCTTCTTAATTAAACCCTTATACAAATAAAGAGCCACTGAGGTGATATAATGTATTGGATAGGGGACATAGCAAGAAGAATGTCAGAGTTTTAAGAACATAAACTTTCTTGCCATCTATATCTGAGTTGAAACTGCTCTCTGTCTAATGCTTACCTGAATGTTTGGAAAATCCTTTAAGGGACCTCTCTATAGAGTGTTTGTTTGTACAATGAGATTGCAACTTATTTCAGAGGATTTTAGATTATATTCTACATTTCACATCTCCATCTCTACTCCCAATTTCTTTTTAAGCTCAACATCAGGCCAAACATAACTGGTAAAAAAAAATTGCAGTCTCTAACCAGGTACTGGTAGCTTATGCCTGCAATCCTAGTTACTCACAAAGCAGAGATCTGGAAGATCACAGTTCAAAGACAGCTCAACAGAAAAGGCCATGAGGCTCTCCAATTAATCAGGAAAAAGCTGGGCTGGAGGCATGTCAGCATCTCTGGAAGGTCAAGTGTCAGCCTAGCAAGCAAGCTGAACAAGCATAAGGCTCTGAGTCAAAGCTCTGGTACCACTTTAGGAAATAAAGAAAGAGGAAGACAAAGAAAAGAAATAAATGCAGAATGCCTCTAGCTATCAGTGACTCATTGCTATGTGATTATGAGAATATATAACCATGTTAGTGCTGGTTCTCTACCACTGGTGAGGATAAAATAACAAGGATTTGCATGATTTTACTATTTCTTTGAAAAAAATACTTTTATAGAAAGTGTTTTTTCTTCTTTCTTAATATATATTTTTATTGTAAAGATACTGTACAGAGGGGTTACAGTTACATGAGCAAGATAGTAAGTCCACTTCCTATTGAGCATTGTTTCCCCCTCCTTTATTTTTTCCCTACCATCCCTTTCCTCCCCACCCAACTCCTCCCTCCTGTCCTTCCTTTACCCCTTCCTCACCTCTCTCCCCACAAAGTTGTAAAGTTCGTTTTCAACATACTGTCTTGTACATCTCATTGTTACAATGGGTCATCCTGTATCCTTATTTCAGCATTTTGTTATTTCCCTTCCCCTCCCCAAATTAGAACAATGTATATACAAGATGCAGGACACCGGACTCAAATACAGTGACAACAGGGGTTATACCATGAGGGAAGAACATACAAAGAAACAAAAAAAATTATAAGTGCATTAAAAAGAACAGCAACAAAGATAAAACCTCTTGTGTCCCTATCTTAGGGTTCATTTCACTTAGCATCAGGTTATATGATCATATGTACATACCTTTTGATCTCTTCTGCTTGACTCAGACATATACTAGTTATTGCAGACAAGGGAAACCATGGGACCTATGTTTCTTTGAGTCTGGCTTACTTCACTTAATATAATTTTTTCCAAGTCTTTCTATTTCATAACATATGGGGCAATGTTATTCTTTCTGATGGAGGCATAGAATTCCATTGTATATATATACCACATTTTCTATATATTTTTTATATATACCACATCTACTGAGGGACATCTGGGTTGGTTCCATATCTTAGCTATGGTGAAATATGCTGTCATAAGCATAGTTGTGCTGGTAGCTTTAGTATGGCCTTGTTTGTGATCATTTGGGTAAATGCCTAAAAGTGGGATTGCTGGGTCATAGGGGAGCTCTATGTGCAGTCTTCTGAGGAACTTCCATACTGCTTTACAGAGTGGTTGAACAAGTTTATATTCCCACCAACAAGGCAGTAGGGTTCCCTTTTGGCCACATCCCCTCCAGCATTATAGAAAATTTTGAATAAAAATACATTAATTATTAAAATACATTAATTATTAATAACATTAAAATTCTATTGTTCCTTTAACCAATCTGAATTTTTTAGCCTTCTTGGGAGCAAAAATTGCCAGAATTTACTGTGTACCCTTCCATTTTTAAATACCATGGAAAACTAATTTTGTTTCTAATTTTGTTTTATGTTTCTTTTTTGTTTGTCATTATAGAATATAGTAACGATATTTTACTACTCACTTTATTATATGAACATTTATTCACAATTAGATTCAGTTTATTAAAACTAGTATAAACATGGGCTAAAGTTATCTATTTCCCTACATTTGAGTACTATGATTGGTTTATTCTTTCTCATAATTTTTCTTTCACCAAATCTTATCAATGAGTATGGGTTTTTAAAAAAAGATATCTCTTTATATGCACTCACATGAACTTCTTCAGGATCTATATTTGAAACTGTAATCTCAGGTCAGAGTAAAGTCCTTTCCCAGCCTTGTAGACATTGCTAAATTGCTCTCTAATGGGGCAGCTGTGACTTACCTTCCCCCAATAGAGTATCAGTCGATCAGCTGGCACTTCCTAGGAACTCATGGCATTGACTGACTTCAACGGCTTCACCACTTGCTGGGTAGGAAGTGGGATCCTGTAATTGTTTTCATTGTCACTGGACTGACTTCATGTGTGTTGGCAATACTTGGACCTGCTCATTGGTCATTTATGTGATCTAAAAAATGCCTCTGTAAGTTGGCTGCACAGTTCTCTGGTAATGTCCTTTTTTTTCAGGGAATATAGAAAGTTGGTATGTATTCTTAATAACAATATTCTGTGTACTTTTTGCATTGAAATTTTTGTTGGGATTTTCCATTTCTTTAGGCACAGGGTCATATGGTATAGAAGTTTAAATTTTTCAGTTTTTAAAAATATTTTTATTTATTTATTGTTATTTTATATGTGATGTACAGAGGGGTTAGAATTACATGTCAGGTAATAAGCACATTTCTTTTTGAATAGTGTCACCCCTTCCCTCACTGCTTCCCTCCTGTCCCTTCCCACAAATTATTTCCTCCTGTCCCCACTCACAAGTTGTATAGTTCATTTCCAGCCTAGTATCTAGTATCACAGCTGCATTTGTTCACTCTTTGACATACTCTTTCTGTGTCCCCCACCTGACCCTCCCCAAAACAGATCAGCTTACAAGGTAAAGAGCACAGAAAACAAAAACAACAGAGAAAAATAACCTCTTGTTTCAATTTCTTGGGGTTCATTTCAATAAATACTATTTTATATGATCAATCCACATAGCTATTGAGCCTTTATGATCCTCTCCTAAGAATATCCTCCTTTGGTCTTACTATGTGAATATCTGGAGACCTATATAATTTATCATGTGCTGGCATTTTTTGTCTTTCATTATGCAGTGTGTGTACTTGTAGATTTATAGGAGCTCAGTGTATTAATTCATTTTTATAGATTTCTAATTTTCATATCTTCTTGGAAGATATAAACTCTAATGTTTTATCCACATTTTTAAAGTTTTGTTTTCATGAACTTTAATTTGTTTGTTTTGTCACATGTAGTTTTAGGTAATGCTCTTATTTATTTACTTATATATCCTATTTAGAAATCCAATTGCCAAATTGCATTTTCTTACGTTTTTAAATGTTATCTCTAATACTGACGCATGTTGAATCTCATATAGAAGTAGGTATATTTGGAGCTCTCTATCCATTTCTGTCTTTCTGGATTAATAGCACTCTTTGTTTAAGTTAAAATTGTGGTAGTATACAGATCTCTGTATCCTCTGCATCCCATTTCCAAGTATCTTAATACAATTTAATAACATTTTATGTGTAGTTTGGGTTCTCCTACTATGTTATTAGTTGATAGGAGAAATATATTAAAAATAAATTTGAAATATATACACTTTGTTTTTATTAAAATACACTAAATGTTTTATGAAGTGTTATAAAAAATAAAATCTTTAAAACTAAGTTTAAAATGACTAAGATATATATTTGCTTTACATAGTTGTAACTTATTAAAGCATAGAGATGCACAATTATTTATGATTTGAGACCATTTAAAATCAAAGGTAAAAGTAAACTGAGTTTGTGTTTATAAGAATATCAAATAAAATCCACAAGATAATTGCGAAAATTCACAATTTTACAGTGCACAACACATAGGAAGATAGTTCCAAAACTCACATGCAAGCCACAATGATTCAAGCCTTCAATCCTAACTACTTGGGAGGTAAAGACTGAGGAATCACAGTTTGTGGCCAGCTAGGAGTTCATAGTTTCTGAGACTCCCATCTCAACCAATGGCTGGGCACATTGTTCCATGCCTGTTATCCTGGCTGTGGAGGAAGCATATGCCTGTCAACCCCAGAGACCCAGGAAAACACAAGTAGGAAGATTATAGCCTAGGCCGACCTCAGCAAACTCAAGAGATTACCTCTAAAATAATCAACCCAAATGGGGCTAGAGACATGGATCAAGTGGTAAAGCACCTGCCTCACAAGGGCAAGACACAGTTCTATCATATAAAAATGGAAAACACCATTTTCTGAGTAATACTTGCACAGTAAAGTGCAGCTGCATAAGGGTGTTTGAATGCTCACATTCTGTGGTCTGATATATGGGGTTTTCTTTTAGACACACGTTCCTCCCTTCTGGTTCAATGAAGATCACTGAAACCCGCATTTCAGACAGTGGTCTGTATCTTTGTGTGGCTACAAACATTGCTGGCAACGTGACTCAAGCTGTTAAATTAAGTGTCCATGGTGAGTATTAAATTGAGGGGCCAGGCTGGCTCTGTGGACTGGCCACAGGGAAACCTAAAATCCTTGTTTATTAATTATTAGTCTCCATGTTGTAGATGCAATGATTATGACAAAGTCTTCTCAAATAGGCAATTTATGATTGTTTTTATTTACTCTGAAATTTTTATCTGGTATTTATAAATAATATCACCCTCTTTTTTCCTTTTACAAATCTCCTTAAATTTTTGGATCCAAGTTTCTCTCAATATCCACAATCATTATTATTACTGTAGATATCCATCAGAAAATAAATGTGTTTGAAATTAGCTTGGATTCCCAAGTACTAATTTTATAGTTTTTAAAGAGCTCTGAAGAGAAAAAAAACCCTAACTCCCTAACTCTCTAGTTAGTGTGCTTTATTTCTTCAACTTATCACATCCCTTTCTAATCATTCATTCATTCATTCATCCGTCCATCCATCCATTCATTCAATCATTCATTGAGTACCTGTAGATGTCAGAGATCCAATATCAAAAGACACCTTCTCAGACAGAATTGATCTGGTTTGACTTTCAGATTGATCACCATAATTGTATTATATTCATCTCAGGGTTTGACATAAGATTCCATTTCTGTCGTTTACCAGTTCTGTGAATTAAGCATACCACTTAGTTGTTCCTATCTTAAGTTTTCACTTTCGTAAAATGTAGTCACAGTATCACAGTCACAGTCAGGTATGAGATTATTGTGAGTGTCAACTTTTAGAAAGGATCCAGTAAATATTAAATATTAAGTTAAAGAAAAAGGACAAAGAGTGAGGCTTTTAAAGTTGTTGATTATGTAAATTCTAATCTTTCCCTTGTGCTTCAATTTGACTGTATTTGTGCAGTATATGTGTGCAAAAACTAAGAATCTTTTCGAGTGTTTTGACAAACTACCTTATTGTTAAAGTAGAAAAGGAGAAATTAGCAGACTTTGAATGATTTTCTTTGTATAAAGCAAGAGACTTTATAAATGCTCTTTTTGCTGTGTAAGTCTTCCACAAAGAGAACCAAATGTGAGTACAGGGAGAGAAATGCTTTTTGTTTTATTTTCTTATGCTATACAAATTATATGAAGTGTCATTTTACAGGCCTTTAAAATGTTATTTGTAAATTTAAGGCAACTTAGCGGCTTTACACACTTGCTATTATTCCTCAAATTTGGAACTAGGAGCTTTATATGTATTCTACACATTTTTGCAGTGTACTAGTGTCTCGAGTTCATTTTGCCTCAGGAAGTGTACTCTAACTAATACAGCTAGTAAAGGACACAGTCTGAAGGTTGCTCCACTTTTTCTATTTTTTTTTAGTTTTATTTTATTTTATTTGTGAACAGAGGAGTTACCATTACACGGGCAGGATTGCTCCGCTTTTTCATGCAAAATGAGAGAACAAAGGAATTTTGGAAAGTCGAGTTATTTTTTTTATTGTGATAGTGTATTTGTTTATTGAGTAAAAAGCAAACAATATTCAATAATTAAAACAACAGCATATTTCTGAGTACAATTAAGAGAGAGAATAACAGGAGAGCAGAGACATGATATTAGTTTCCAGATCATTCACATAACTGTAATTATTTTGGAATAATTCTGAACGTCAAGTTATTAACCCTCAATTATCGATTCCAGTTCCTCCGAAGATACAGCGTGGTCCTAAATATATAAAAATCCAAGTCGGCCAAAGAGTGGACATGCCCTGTAGTACCCAAGGGTCACCGCCCCCTGTGATCACCTGGCTTAAAGGTGGAAGGACGGTGCTGGTTGATGGAGGGCAGCGTGTCAGCAATCCAGATGGAACTTTAAGCATTGACCAGGCCATGCTCTCAGATGCAGGCGTGTATACGTGTGCTGCTACTAACATAGCAGGCCGTGATGAGGCAGACATAACGCTACATGTTCAAGGTGATTTTATGACATAAGAAATATATATGGTGAGGCTGACCAACTCGGCAATGAAAGTGATCGATGATGCCTCAGCAAGCAGAATTTTAATTGTCTAAGGATCATCTGTGGTAATGCATTTATTTTTGTAATAGAGCCACCGACAATGGAAGATCTAGAACCTCCTTTTGACACTCCATTCCAAGAAAGACTGGCTAATGAACGAATCACATTTCCCTGTCCTGTGAAAGGTAAGTAATCCTTGGAAGTAAAGGCCTTGATGCAATGCTTGATCATTCTAAATGTCTTCATTGCAACCCCAAAAATTATCTGGATAAAATTCCATTTGTCAATCCCAGTTAGACAAGTTGAGCATAATGGAAATTCTCCCTTCTTTCAAGCAATAGCACTTCTTTTTTAGGTGGTGGTATTGGGGCTTGAACCCAGAGGCTCACATTTGCCACTTGAGCCATGCTTCCAATCACTTTTCCCATGGATTATTTTGAGGTAGAATCTCACTTTATGCCCTGGCTGACATGGGCAACCTTCTTATACTTTTCTGCCTGCATCACTGGGGAGCATGCATGCACCAGGGCGGCCAGCCATTATGCTTCCTTGGTAGTTGAGATAAGTATATACCACTTTGCTCAGTCTTTGATTGAGATGGAGTCTTGAGAACTAATTTTCTGTGGTCTGGCGTAGAACCACAATCTCCCTAATGTCTGCCACCCATGTAGCAAGGATTCCAGACTTGAGCCACCATGCTTGACTTAAACATCAGCTCTTTGAATAAATGCTTTCTCCCTCCAAGGCATTTTATTTCTTTCAATAGAGAGCTCTTAAATGTACCTAATCTGATATGAATGTCATGTTCTTCCTGCTACTTATTTCATTCTGTTTGACAAGTTCTTTTTAAGATGTTACAGAGTTATTCAAAATATTCCAGCTTTATCTCAATTAGTCAGAGGTATCAATTAGAATTATCCACTTATTTGTTATAGTTACTTTTAAAACATAAATAAAAGCTCTTTTTCTAGTCTACTCTCAACTGTTTATTCTGAAACTAGGTTGGAACTTGACTCTTGGGGATGTTTTTCATGCCCATGGTTCTGGGCTTTCTATTCTACCACTTTCCTGTCCAGAAATTGTTCTCTCTCCTCAAGTGGACATGGAAGAGGCACTGTCTGTGTCATGCTTCCTTGGCATGCCAAATATAAGATGAAGGACATGTTTTCTCCATGGATGCATTCATCCACAGTAAGTCAAGCTAGATTTGTGGTTTGGCAATGCACAGCCAGTGTTCTGTGCATAACTCCTGGAGGGCTGCAGGTGGCAGACACCTCGCCACCCCTGCATGTTGTTTAGCGATTGTTCCCGAAGACAGCAGCAATCCATCACCCTTCTGGTGCTTTTACCTTCTGTAGCAAGAGTTTGCATCTCTCTACAGTACCAAACTGCAATGATTACTTCCAATAAATATTAAAAGGAACTTAACTTTAAAGAACTTTTCAGACCTCTACAAAGTTATGAGTTACTATTCTTTTTTTTTTTTTTTTGCCAGTCCTGGGGCTTGAACTCAGGGCCTGGGCACTCCTGAGCTTCTTTTGTTCAAGGCTAGCACTCTACCATTTGAACCTCAGCATCACTGCCTGAGTTACTATTCTTAAAGCGAAAGTGAAAGTTAGGGCAGTATGAGTCCAAGAAGGTGCTGAAGGCCCTCAGTTCCCTGGGCTCTGTCTACCTGAACATTATTGTCCTTGCTTCTAACTACCTGAGGCTTCACTCTCAAGCTAAATTCCTATTTTGCTTTCCCTTTTCTACTGCAAAAAAAAAATCAAAACAAGCTGGGTGCCAGTGGTTCACACCTGTAATCCTAGCTTTTCGGGAGGATGAGATCTGGGGATTGCAGTTTGAAGCCAGGCCAGGAAGAAAGTCCATGAGACTCTTATCTCCAATAAACTACTCAGAAAAGCTGGAAGTGGTGCTGTGGTTCAAGTGGTAGAGTGCTAGTCTTGAGCATAGAGAGGTTCAGGGACAAAACTCAGGCTCTGAGTTAAAGCCCCAGGACTGTCACACACAAAAAAATCAAAACAATCTCTTCTTAGTTCCTCATCTTCATCTGGAATGTAATTAAATTCAAAGTATTGCAATAACTTAATCCTTGTGTGTGTGTGTGTGTGTGTGTGTGTGTGTGTGTGTGTGTGTATGTGTGTGCATGCACACATGCGTGTGTGCATGTGCATGTGAGCATCTACACATGTGCATCTGTGTAAAGGTAGTAAGGTTTGAACTCCAGGCTTCCTCCAGGCTTAGCTCTTCTGCTCAAGCTTGGAACTCTACCACTTGAGTCATACCTCCACTTCTGGCTTTTTGCTCGTTGATTAGAAATAAGAGTGTCTCTTATTTGTCTCTCTGAGCTAACATTAGCCCATAGTCCTCAGATCTCAGTCTCCTGAGTTGCTAAGGGTTACAGATATGACCCATTGGTGCCAGAGAATGTATCCCTGTCTTTTGCAGTGAATTCCATTTTGATTATAGTTATGCTACTTTCTTTGGTTGATTCATTTGCAGGTATTACTCTAGATATTAATGAAATCTTAAGCCTAAAATATTAGGTTTGCTGTCTAAATTTTAATGAAAGTGTATAGAAGTGCATAAAAAGAATGAGTGGGATGAAAGGAAATTATTACACCTCTTTTTTTCCTTCATATCATAGACAGGAAAAGTATCTATCCCTTTTGCATTCCTTTCCTCATTCCTGAGCACATTAAAATGGATCCCATAAATATGATTTACATACTCAACATTGATCAGATGTTAACTCAACTTGACTGTAGCTTCCAGGAGACATTCAATGTGTTTCTGCCATTTTTTATTGTTTTAGTCTAGATTATATGTTCATCCATTAATATATTATATTTTAACCTAAGATATATACTGTTTTATGACACAAAATTGGCTTTATGTAAGGTTTTAATTTACCTTTAAGAATTAAGCAATATTTTAAAGTGCTTAGAATAGTTCCTAGTACATTGTTGGGAAAATAAATACATCATTAGCATCAAGTTAGTATTTATTTCTAGCTCTGTTTTCAGCTTTGCTGTATACTTCAGTATAGACTTGTCATCTTTACCTGTGAACACATCTGTCATATAATCCCCTCGCTCCTCCCCTCCTTCTTTCCTTCCCTTCTTGGTATGGGTGCTTAAACTCAGGATTTCAAGCTCTCACTCAACATTTTTTGCTTCTGGCTGACTTTCTGCTCTCCCACTTAAGCTATGCCTCCAGTTCTGCCTTCTTGCTGGTCAATTAAAGATGCATATCTCTCAGACTTGTCTGCCTGCCTGAGCTGGTCTTAAACCAGGATCCCCATATCTCAGCCTTCTGAACAGATAGGATTAAAGGTCTCAGCCATCTTCACTTATTTTTCAAGAATTAAGCTATTATCTTCTATTTGACAGATGATATCTCCAGAATATAAACATTGTAGTAGAAGCTTTTATGTGTATTGTATCAGGCATGTTTATACAGTGAATTTTGAAACATAACTTCTGTATATCCTTTATGCAAACTAATTGATTAGGAAATCTTTGCAATATATTCCTGTGACAGTACCATGTTTTTACTGGCTTTATTTTATTCCCTACATCAATTTGATGAAATAGTTTTTCTTTAAATCTACCACTGTGAAGACAACATGAAAATCCTTTGCTCATTCTCATCTGAATGTATTGATAAAAACAACTTTGAGAAAACTTTAAAGTACAAATTGTAGATCTCAAGACTGATTTCAAATCATAAGCAAAAGGACCATAATCTTCTCATATTTCCATGTCAGAAGAAGTATTTTAAAAGTAGGAGGAGGCTACAATGCTTGATAAGAAATGTACTCATTATCTTGCCCATGTAATTGTAACCCCTCTATACAGTATTTTCACAATAAAAAATAAATAAAAAAGTAGTATAGTACCTAAGGGTACAAATTATAGTCCAGAAAAACTGTATCTAGCCATGATGAACTTGATATTTAATGATAATTTCTAATTTTGTTGTTTAAAAAGGTGTTGATTTCTTATTTAGGTACTCCTAAACCAACCATCAAATGGTTACGCAATGGTAGAGAGTTGACAGGCAGAGAGCCTGGTATATCTGTCTTGGAAAATGGCACACTGTTTGTCATTGCTTCTGTTACACCACATGACAATGGGGAATACATCTGTGTGGCGATGAATGAGGCTGGAACCACAGAAAAAAAATACAACCTCAAAGTCCATGGTAAGGATGAAGAATCCTAAAATCAGACAAATGAATATGTGGCAGCTTGTAAATTTTTTAATATTTGTATTATTTCTCAGTGTATTTTTAATATTACTATGACTAGATACTAGTAAAACAAAACACTGGTAGTCTGAGTGCATTTTTAATTACATTTAAAGTTTCATGTAATTTTTTTTTTTTTTGTCGGTCGTGGGGCTTGAACTCTGGGCCTGGGCGCTGTCCCTCAGCTCTTCAGCTCAAGCCTAGCGCTCTACCACTTGAGCTACAGCGCCACTTCCTCATGTAATTTTTGATTATGGTTTTTACATCAATTGAAACTTGAATGGTAGAGAACGACAAAATCATACAGTTATCCTTACCCTGAGCTGATACATTCGATCTGATTCTGTTATAGGCAAGGAAAATATTTGGCTTTGTGCACTCATACATTTATATGTGTGTGTGTGTGTGCACGTGCGCATGTTTATATATATATGTGTGTGTGTGTGTGTTTGCATGTATGTGTGTGAGAGAGAGGCAAAGATAGAGACAGACATAGGCAGAGAGACATCTCAGTCATTTTAAGAATATAAATATATTTTGGAATATAAATATATAAAGAAATGTGAATATGTAATATTTTACTCTCCTGTAACTATGAAAAATACATATATAAAAGAACATACCTAGATCAGTTCTATCTTGGGAATTATCAAGATCCTTATTTTATCCATAGCATCCATCTGTTATGCATGCTTTATTTAACCTTCTTCTACTAATGATGAGCCTAAAGGTTATCACCAGTTGATTGTTATTGTAAGGAACCTTCTGACATGAAATCCTGTCCATATGCTATTTTCCATACATAAAAGCATATGTACATTTTAAAATTTGTTTGGTATTTGCTTTCTTTCATCACTAATGAGTCCCATGTGACCCCATAAAAGACCCTAGCTAGCAGCTTGTCTTTTTAACAGTATATGAAATTCTTCTACAAATTTCCTCCAACTCTGAAATAATAAAGTAAAACTTTCCATAAAAGATTTTTATCAATCAATATATTGGTTAAGACTTCAATTTATGATAAAACACATGTCTATATACACCTAACTTTTCTAACCATTTTGTGTCTCTGAAATTGCTTCTGAAGGGACTTCAAAGGGAAGCTGACAAATAACATTTATTATAAAACTAGTCATGATTTCTCTCTTTCGCAGTTCCCCCAGGGATTAAAGACAAAGATCATGTGACAAATGTGTCGGTGTTGCTAAACCAGCTGGCCAGTCTCTTTTGTGAAGTGGAAGGTACCCCATCTCCCATCATAACATGGTATAAAGATGGCATCCAGGTAAATAAAGACATCTCAGTACAGGTATCTCCTTAACTCTGCACTTAAATGGATCACCCAGATGTGGGTTTCTTTGTAGTATGAGTAATACAAGCATTTTTTTCAATTTTTATTATGAATTTTTATTAAGATTGGAAATGACACCAACCATTTTGTTTCTTTAAGGTGACCGAAAGCAACACTATTCAGATTGTGAACAATGGAAAGACACTAAAACTCTTCAAAACCACTGCAGAGGATGCAGGAAGATATTCCTGCAAGGCAACTAACATTGCGGGCACCTCTCAGAAGTACTTTAGTATTGATGTGCTAGGTAAGGAACACATTCTTTAAAACAAAACAAAACAAAACAAAAAACTACAATCCAGAATCCTTTCTGACATGGAATAGAATTGACCATGATCAAAGAGAGTCAGAGGAAAAAAATAAATTGATAGAAGAAATACCATTTGTTTCACTCTATTACTATGTTTTCTTTAATTTTGACTAACCAGCACCATTTGGTGCAGAATGCTTTAGTATTTTTAACTCAGAGCTACCTTTGGGTCATATATCCCAAATTTTTACATACCCAGCAATGATACTATGTTGTATCAAGTAGTGCAATATTACTTAGGTCAATTTTTCTGGTAAATGAGAAGGAAACACTTCTATTGGAAGTAGCTCACACACACACAGATTTAGTCATTTATATGAGTAGTTAGATGATGTGCACTCATGTTGTGGACATATTCTAGTTGGAAGATTATACTTGAACCAAAGAAGGTCACTTCCTCTGCATTTTAATTGTTGTTTCTAAATAAGTACTGATTAAAATAAGGAAAGAGAAGTCTGAAAATAGGGAGGGAGAAATTTTGAACAGTGAGTCACCTCTGTAATATATAAAATATTTTCATGGTGACTCATAGATTTAAAATTTTGTAATTTTAGTGAGGTCGTATTTGACATTTAAACATTTATTTTGTGATGAGATAACTTTCTCCCTTTTCAATACTTTACTCATCAAAATGGCCAGATAATTTCTAATTCACTAGCGGAATTGAGGTCTACATTAAAGTTAGCATTCATAAAAATAAGTAGTCATATATATGAAAAACGATATTTCTTTTGTCTCCTCAAAGCATGAGGTACTTTTCATTTTTTAACCAAATTACCATTGCTATATTTATTTAAGTGTAGGCTACATAAAGAGATAAAGTAGTATCTTGTCATTAATCTCATCGGTATGATTTTTCCTCTTGACCCTTATTCCTTCTCATGACTTTGAATTCTATCTGTATGGTGATGACTCTCAAATTTCCATTTTATTTCCTAGTTTTTGCCTAACCTTTAGGAATAGATACCAAATATTCTCTTTGGTATCTTTTAAAATATTACATTCTTATTCACTTATTTTTGTCTTTTTGAAACTCTTACTGTGTAAATAGTCTGAAATACACTATCTTCAATCTCCTTATTTAGCCTTCTAAATGCTGGGATTAGAGATGTGTACTACCACACCTAGCTCTTGATTTGAATATCTCAGTTGTATATCATCCAATACCTTATTGGTAATCAAACAGTAAGATCCCAGTGAGTATGTGTTCTGATAGGTTTTAGAAACCCCTCTGAATGCCCTAGGCCATTATCCATCTACTTGCTTCTTCAGGAGCTTGTGTGTCTTCTTTCTACTACCCTTTCCACAATTCCTGAAACTTACCTGTATCCTTCACATCCACTTTATCCCATTGTGGAAATATGTCATCATTTGTAAGCAAAATAAATACTGAAAATAGCCTCCTAACTATCCTTGGGCATCCATTCTTTGCCACCCTGATCTGTTTTTCACTCAGTAGCTGTGTGGACTTAAAATACCAATTGGATAACCACACACATTCCCAATTGAAACCTTATACCAATTTTAGCATAGGAGTCCTCTAAAAGAGACATATAAGATGGACAACTTGAACATTTTAAGACTGGTTGAAAATGACATTCATTTTCTAAAACACTGCTTTGTGTGGCTATCACCACCAATTTAAAATCTAAGCTCTTTTTGTTTTTTGGGTTTTTAACTCAAAGTCTGCTGTCCCTGAGTTATTTTTGTTCAAAGATAAGACTCTGTCACTTGAGATACATCTTCATTTCTGACTTTCTGGTTATTCATTGATTCATTGAAGATCAGAGTCTCATGGCCTTTCCTGCCTGTGTTGGCCTGAACCCTGAGCTTCAGATCTCAGATTCCTGAGTAGTTAGGATTATAGGCATGAGCCACTAGCTGTCCAACTAAAATCAAAGCCTTATTTTGCATGCAAGTTCAGTATGTCTTTGATTCTATTATAGCTCCTGTTCATAATTTTCCTACTACCAAATGTCCAATGAATATATTTCTTCTCTTAAATTGAACACTTGGGTATACAGATGTGATGTGTAAAGGGATTATTGGGTGATACTGTGTTTTTAACAAGATATTCTTAATATACTATAGAAATCATTGACCATCTGTTCTTTCTCCCTAACTTTTTGTGCTCAGTCATAGATTTTCATGATAAATGTCTTTGTTCAAGTTCCACCCACCATACTAGGTGCCAACTTACCAAATGAAGTCTCTGTTGTCTTCACCCACAACACCACCCTTGAATGCCTGGTCAAAGGCACTCCCTTTCCTGTTATCCACTGGTTCAAGGATGGGAAGTGAGTATCTTTTCTGTATTTATTTTCAGGTCCTAGTTGCCAGGAAACAGATGTGCATATGTGTGTGGAGTTCCTCCCACTTAATTGCTTTAATCCTTTGTGTTCATTTAATAATTAAATAAAATCAGTATTACTAAAAACAGCCTGGAATTCTTTTGGTATCTTTCATTCTTAGGAATAGCAAAGCTCTTTCTAAATGCTGGGAAAATATTTTAGAAACAGAAGAATTCAAACCTACTGTACATTTAAATTCTCCATTCCAAGACTAGCAGTGACAAAAGTCAAGATTCAAACACAGAGATAACTATCATTTTGCATGGGATTAGGTTACTATAAAAGATAATGTGCTTGTGGCTATAAACTGAAGATCAATACTTAAGCTAGGGCTGTATATGGACATAAAGAAACCATAGTAGAGCAGGCTTATGATTCCCAGACTGCAAATCTCAAGGGATTTACCTACATGAAAATGACTGTAATGATTCATCTTGGTTTGAAGGTCTTCCTGAAACATTAATGGATTCAAAAGATGATTCTTAGGATACAACAAACGTCAATAACCATGATATTTCAAATATTAAAATGTGGCCAATGAAAATATCAAGAGAATCTTGTTCAAAAGTTTCTAAGGCCCTTTTTCACCCAAATTAGCTGGACATTTCCAATTAATCAGCAAAATATTGGGCTGGAGGCATGAATCAAGTAGTAGAATACCAGCTGTGGGCAAAAAAGCTGAGACAGTTATAAGAGTTCCAAACTTAGTACCAGAAAAAAGGAGAAAAAGAAAAAAAGGAAGGAAGAAAGGGAGGTTGGGAAAGACAGGAAGGAAAGAAGGAAGAAGGAAGGAAGGAAGGAATGAAGGAAGGGAGGAAAAAAGGAAGGAGGGAGGGAAGGAAGGAAGCAGAAAAGGGAAAAAGAATAAGGAAACAACCTTCTGGTATTATATTACTATCATGTAATGATTAAATGTTACAATGGGAAAACTTTGTTTCAAAATGATCATGATCTAACATTTTTTAGTAAATGTTTGAAATTTCATTCTTTTGATTGGGAATACTAATTACATTGCAATTTTCTTTTATTTTAAATTAATTAATTATTTATTTTTATTGTGAGAATACCATACAGAGGAGTTACAATTACATGGGCAAGATAACGAGTACATTTCTTATCAAGCATTGTTGCCTCCTCCTTGTTTCCCCTTCCCATCCCTTCCCATACTCCTCCCCTCCCCCCACCCCATCCTCTCCCCACTCCCCACCAAAGTTGTTAAGTTCATTTTTCGACATAACAACTTGTACATCTCATTGTTGCAATGGGTCCACCTGTATCCCTAGTTAAACGATTTATTTTTTTCCCTTCCCCTCCACAAATTATACCAACATCAAAAACAGTGAAAGTATGGGTTATACTGTGGGGGAGGGACATACAAAGAAATTATCTTATACACATGATAGAAACAATTGCATGAAAGGAAAAAAAAAACAAAAAGCATTTGAATACTTATCTTGGGGTTCATTCCACTAACATCAACTTATCTGACCTTTTCTGCTTGACTCAGACATACACTAGTTATTGCAAATAAGGGAAACCATGGGACCTATGTTTCTTTGAATTAAATGAATTAGAATCCAAAAAAAAACCCATAGAAAGAATCAACAAAACAAAGAGTTGGTTCTTCGAAAAAATTAACAAAATAGACAGACCCTTAGCAAATCTTATCAGAAAAAGAAGAGAACACACCCAAATAAATAAACTCAGAGATGGGAATGGAAACATCACCACAGAAACAACCAAGATTCAGAACATTATAAGGGAATACTTCTCAAACCTTTATGCTAACAAGTTTGAGAACTTGGCAGAAATGGACCTTTTCCTAGTAATTTTCTTATTAAATTTGATTCATATTTTAACCGTATGCCACTTAACAGTTTTTGAGGCAATTAATAAGCGAGGAAATGTGTGAAAATGAAAATAGACCTATGGAATTTGTTTTTCTAGGCCTTTATTCTTGGGAGATCCTAACATTGAACTTGTAGAAAGAGGACAAATTTTACACCTGAAGAACACACGAAGAAGTGACAAGGGGCGCTACCAATGTATTGTATCCAACGCAGCTGGCAAGCAAGCCAAGGATATGAAGCTGACTGTCTACAGTATGTATGACCTCTTTATGCTTTTGTTGTGATCACCTCTCAGTATAAGTTGATTAACACTTCTCAGAGTTTTAGACCACTTACTTCTCTTTCCTTTCTTATTGAATTCCTTACATGCCACTGGCTTCAGAAGGAGCCTGCCTCTGTCTTCAAGTGACTTAGACTAGAACATGACATCCAGTTCCACTGTATATTTTATCATTAAATATGGACATCGTCAAGCAATGTATTGATTTTTATATGATCCCACTAATGAGATCAACTACTTCCTAGCTGATTAGTACATACATAAGTCAAATATCTGTACCATTAGAAATCTAGGGGGGGAAAAACTTTGAAAATTATACAAATGTATAAAAAACTGAAGTCCACGGTATACAAACAATTCAGTTGTTCTACATTCATTCCTTCTAGGCCATTATCTTAATTATGGGGACACACACACACACACACACACACACACACACACACACACACACACACATACACACACACAGGTACAGTGCCAGTACTAGGCCTCAGGCTTTCACAACACTTTATTTACAGATAGTGGTCTACCACTTGCAGCACAACTCCATTTTGGGCTTTTTTTTTTAACTGCTAATTGGAGATAAGAGTCTCTCACATTTGTCTGCCTGGACTGACTTCAAACCATGATTTTCAGATGTCAGTCTCCTGAGTAGCTAGGATTACAAATGTAAGCCACTAGTACTGGGCAATACATGCACGCACGTGCGTGCATATGTTTATTGTTATCTTCAAATAGTTCTACATGTGGGTACAACATGACCATTTATGTATATAAAAATCACATACACAACTTCATCATTCTTGTCTCTTCCCTATCTGCCTTTTCCCCCATCTGTCAATCAAATTTTCCTCATGTGGCAATATTTTAATTTTCATATATTGGTGCTTTTCTTTTTTGTTGTATTCCACCAGAACCGATACAGTCTTCATTTTCACTAAAATATTTAACGTTCTCCAAACAAGGTGACATTCAAAGTCATTTTTTCATGAATAGAACGTTAAGTGGACAGATGAAAATTAGCAGACATAAAAAATAATAGAGCAGCATCTGGGAAGGTGGCTCAGTGGTAGAGCACTTGCCTTGCATGCCTGAGGCCCTGGGTTCGATTCCTCAGCACCACATAAGCAAAAAAAAAAAAGCCGGAAGTGGCACTATGGCTCAAGTGGTAGAATGCTAGCCTTATGGCTCAAGTGGTAGAATGCTAGCCTTGAGCTGAAGAGCTCAGGGACAGCGCCCAGGCCCAGCGTTCAGGCCCCACGACTGGACCAAAGAAAAAAAAATAATAATAGAGAAATAATCAAACTCTGTAGACCAGAGTTGCTTATCAGGTTTCTACTTACTGCATCATCTTCTTCATTTCCATAGAGAGTGATACACAAAGAAAATTTAGATCCTTCAGGAAGTGGCACTGTTGCTCAAGTGGTAGAGTGCTTGCCTTGAGCTGAAGAGCTGAGGCATATCCCAGAGTTCAAGCCACACAACCCCCCCTCCCCACAAAAAAAAAGATCCTTCAGAATAAGATCCTTGTGTAGTCACTTAGCCATGCTCTATTATGTTATGTTCATTCCTTTTCTTTTTAGCATTTACTGATATTTGCTTATCTTTCAATGAATCTCCTTTTCATACAATGTTCTTATGAACATATTCCCTACTTTATTGTCTAGTACACAGCAACTTTCTTGTTTGTGAAACAAAAGAATAGCCTAACACTCAATAATCCAATATGGTGGCTACTGACCAAATGTGACTGCTAGTCTAAATTATGCTGTAATAAAATACAAATCAGTTGTAATCATGTGTAATTAAACTGGAATGAGAAACAAGGGGACTTCCAATGCCTGTGATTATGCAGTGTAAGGACAGTCATCTAAGCCGGGCGCTGGTGGCTCACGCCTGTGATCCTAGCTACTCAGGAGGCTGAGATCTGAGGATCGCGGTTCAAAGCCAGCCTGGGCAGGAGAAACCATGAGACTCCAATCTCCAATAAACCACCAGAATACTGGAAGTGGCGCTGTAGCTCAAGTGGTAGACCTGAGGGACAGCGCCCAGGCCCAGAGTTCATGTCCCACGACCGACAAAAAAAAAGAACAGTCATCTAGCTATATCCAGCTCACAAATCCAATACCAAATACTTAGTATGATTTAAAAAATCGAGCAAATTAGTAATTTCATGTTAATTATATGTACTGAAATATATTGCCTTTTTACACAACTACTAGAAAAATTAAACTTGCATCTATGGTTTGCATTTTGTTCTGTTAGACAGTTCTGATTGAGTAATTAAGATGAGTTTAGGCATTTTGGAGGAACAGACTTGTGTTATGCCACTTACTAACTTGGGATAAATTTCTTCACTCTGAGCTTTGGTTTTCTCAATATTAAATGGAGATAATCGTAGTGATGATGTAATAGTGCTGCTGTACTGGTAAAATATTAGACATATGGATTACTTTTTTTTAGAATAATCCATATCATGTGAATTTATAATTATCTGTTTGATTTTTACATAATCTTTTTTTTTTGGTTGGTTGTGGGACTTGAACTTTGGGTTTGGGTGCTGTCCCTGAGCTATTCAGCTCAAGGCTAACACTCTATCACTTGAGCCACAGTGCCATTTCCAGTTTTCTGGTGACTTATTGGAGATAAGAATCTCACAGATTTTTCTGCTTGGGCTGGCTTTGAACTGCAATCCTCAGATCTCAGCCCCTTGAGTAGCTAGGATTATAGGTGTGAGCCACCGGAGCCTATCAACTTTCACATGATCTTAAAACCTAAAATTCATGTAGACTCTATTTTGATTTCTATGTAACTTAATTGCATTCCTAATCTCTCTTTGTTTTGTACTTTTTATTGTAAAAATGCTGTACAGAGGGGTTACAGTTACATGAGCAAGGTAATGAGTACATTTCCTATTGGGCATTGTTGCCTCCTCCTTTGTCTTTCCTCTACCATCCCTTCCCTCCCATGCCCCGCCCCACAAGTTGTAAAGTTCATCTTCAACATAGTGTTTTGTAAATCTCATTGTTACAATGCATGGGTCAACTGTATCCTTATTTAAGCATTTTGTTTTTTCCCTTCCCCTCCCCGAACTAGAAAAGTGTATATATAAAATTCAAGGCACCGACATCAAATACAGTGAAAACAAGGGGTTATATCATGGGGGAGGAATATAGAAAGCAACAACAAAATCACATGGTACATTATAAATATGTTAGAAACAATAGCAAGCAAGAAAGAAGATATTTGTGTCCCTGTCTTGGGGTTCATTTTGCTTAGCATCATTTTATATGGTCATATGTACATAGCTTTTGTCCTTTTCTGCTTCAGACCTGAGGACCAATGGAATAGAATTGAAAACCCAGAAATGAATCCACAGACCTATAGCCACCTAATCTTCAATAAGGGAGCTAAAAAGATAGAATGGAAGAAAGAAAACCTCTTCAGTAAATGGTGCTGGCAAAATTGGTTATTCACCTGTAGAAAACCAAAGCTAGATCCTTATATATCACCCTGCACCAGAATCAAATCGAAATGTATCAAAGACCTCGGAGTCAAAGCAGACACCCTGAAAACATCACAGTCCGGAATAGGAGAAACCCTAGGTCTCCTTGGCCCAGGCCGAAATTTCCTTAATAGAGACCCAGAAACAACAAATAAAAGAAAGGTTGCATGAAGCTGCAGAGCTTCTGCATGGCAAAGAACATAGCTAGCAAGATCAATAGAAAGCCCACAGATTGGGAGAAGATCTTCACTAGCCATACAATGGACAATGGTCTTTTTTAAATGTTAGTATTTTTATATACATTTGAGTAGCCATGTTGAATAAAAGAAGTTATATTTAATGCAGTCTTTTAAAATCATTTATTCCTGTAAATAGAAATCAACAGAAGAAATCAGTTATGAAAAACATGTCCTATAAAAAGGTAACATTACTGAAAGATTATAGAAATCCCAAGCTAAACAAAAATATTACTGTTACCACTGACCCTCACCTAGAGAGAGTCATTTAAACTAGAAGTATTATACTTCCTTACTTGGCTGAGTAGTCTTCCCTACCCCTTCTGGATTGTTGCCAGGGTTTGTGATGAATACATCTTGGTGATTGGGTAAGAATCTTATTTCTATGGGACTTAGATTCTTTCATTGCTGACCCACTCATTCATTCTGGACGATGTCCCTAGGCACCTAAAAAAGAAAGCTTTAAGATTGTCTGAGATGAAAAGCATTGTAATACTCTGACCTTCTAATTTGATAATTAAGGAAACAATGCCATTTCCTCTCTAGCTAACCCTCCGGTGCTTCCTTATACTTTCATTACTTCATTTGTGAATATGCTTTCATTCCAAAAATGGGGAAAAATTGAAACAGATGCCATACATTGTTAGTTGGACTTGTGTTTACAGAGTTCAGATTGAGAATATGTTTCACACTAGGATAGACTTGTTCCTTCTCCTTACTTGCACACAGACATAAAGATGATGCCAGTGGACCAGTGCACATGTAAATAAAAACACATTGTATTGGAATAAGGAAAAAGCAGCAACAATGTAAAAGGGTGAATAGATAGTGGAGGGGGGGAAGAAAATGGATAGTAATAAGAACATGGGCTTGGGGGAATTGCTGAAGCACCTATCTAATAAGCACAAAACACTAAATTCAACTCCCAGTTCTCTTAAAAAAGAAAACTTAGAGAATTCTAAGCATAAGAGAAACATTCTATAGGATATTCTATTTGAAAATGTAAGCATTCATCAATATTATATTAAGACATTCAAATTCAGACACATGCCATTTGATTTCTTGAAAATTTGTGCAATTATAGCATAATGCTGGAATGACCATATTCAATACATCTATCAAACTGAGCAACTTGGGTGCTTGCAAAACCCAGTGCTTGGGTGGTGTGAGAGGCCAGGCATGAATGAGTGCGGTCAAGTGTGAAAGATACACATGTGGCCAGTTACACGAGTGCAGTTGAATGAATGGACTAACGGCAGTTCAAAAAAGATAAGCAGTAAAAACAAAAGAATCTACAGCTGTTACCAGTAGCCCGTGATGAAAACACTTAGACCTGGATCTTTCGTATTTCATGAAGAGAGGGCATGTCATTGGACATCTGACATTCCTGTTCCCTTTCCTGATTCCAACCATATTATGGCTATTTATTGCGAGGTTTTATCTTGTTTGCTTTGTTTGTGAAATAACACTTTCTTAGTTACTCAAACATAAGCTAGTAGACTTCAGAGAGTCCCTGAAATAATGAGTAATTTATGGTTTTTACTGAAATCTGAAACTCCAAATTGGCGATATTGGGGTGGGAGTTTAAGGGGATGTAATCTAGTTTGTTTTGACCAGACCGACAATTTGCTCTCGGCAGATAATTCACAGACTTCCTGTCTAATTTGTATTTACTTTAAACACAATACTGAACCTCTATAGCATTGAAGAGCTTGACAACTTAGATTTGTTTTTTGTTCTGAAATCTTTTACAGTTCCACCTAGTATTAAAGGAGGGAATGTTACCACTGAAATATCAGCATTGATCAACAGTGTGATTAAACTGGAATGTGAAGCGAGGGGCCTTCCAATGCCTGTGATTACTTGGTATAAGGACGGCCAGCTGATTATATCCAACTCACAAGCACTCTATGTTGATAAAGGGCAGTTCCTTCATATTCCACAAGCGCAAGTCTCTGATTCAGCAACATATACATGTCATGTAACCAATGTTGCTGGAACTGCAGAAAAGTCATTCCATGTTGACATCTATGGTAAGGAAAATAGATACCCCAATGATTACCCTTCTAATGATGCTTTCTGATATGCCAACATCCAATCTGTTCATAATAAAGAATGGGTGGGATTTCTTTAAGTTGCATGGATGAGATTTGGAACATTTTGTTATGCTCTAGAAAAATACTTATTAAAGCTAAGGTGATTAACAAGTTGTTCAGTTATTCAACAAAATTATGCCTGTGGGACTGGAAGCATCTGGAACATTAGATTCTTACGGCGAAGGTAAGCAAGTTGTTAGGAGTGATATCATTTTCCATGATGCCTCTTTTAAGTTTGTTATCGGTACAAAGGTATTTCAATTCATCATGTCACTTTGTGAGTAGAATTAATATTGATCAAGGGTATCCCTGCTACCATTCTCCCACATGCCTTTCAACCTTTCCCATCCCCCAATATTCCTGATGCCATTTTTCTCATATGTACATTGAATATTATGACTGCATTCACTCACCCTTCCTTTCTCTCATTTGTCCTCTTTCTCCTTGACTTTACCTTGCCCAACAACAACACGTTTCAGCTTCCTCCTGGCATTAATTTCATTAAAATGTAAGTTGTTCAAAGGAGGAACACCACTGGTATCTTCCTGTACATATCCATACTTTAATTAAAACATTTGCATATAGATGCATATGACCCAGTGTAGTTTTACACATATATTTATGATTTAGATCTCACTTCCACATATGAATGAAAACACATGCCCTTTGTCTCTCTGAGCCTGACGTACTTCACTTAACATAATTTTTCAAGGTCTATCTCTATCCCTATAAATGATATAATATCAATAATACCATTTTTCCTGATGAGTAAAATTCCATCTTGTGTGTGTATAATGTGATAGACACATATAAACACATACATAGCCGGGCACCAGTGACTCACGCCTGTAATCCTAGCTACCCAGGAGGCTGAGATCAGAGGATTGTGGTTCAAAACCAACCCAGGCAGGAATGTCCATGAGACTCTTATCTCCAATAAACCACTAGAAAACCAGAAGTGGCGCTATGGCTCAAATGGTAGAATGCTTGCCTTGAGCTGTAAAGCACAGGGACAGTGCCCAAATGTAGAGTTCAAGCCCCACTACCGACAACAAACAAAAACACATACATATATGTATGTATGTATACACACATTTGTCCATTGAAGGGCATCTGGGCTGTTTCCATAACTTTTCTATGTCTTTTCACAGTACAAAGTGTTCCAGAATAGTTTCAATAGTTTCAAACCAGTAGAACCAAGAAATTCTTACCTCCGTAGCTTACGAGAAGATGAATACATAGCCAGTTTCTATGATCAAGCTATAGGAGAAGGAAATCTTCCCATTTTGTCATTAGGATATATATTTTATGACTGTCTAAAGAATTACCTGAAATATCACCTTTTTTTTCTGCCTAGTTCCTCCAATAATCGAAGGTGACTTGGCCACCCCTTTGAATAAGCAAGTTATCCTCACTCAGCCCTTGACCCTGGAATGTAAAGCAGCTGGAAACCCTGCTCCTGCCCTCACTTGGTTAAAAGATGGTGTACCAGTGAAAGCCAGTGACAAGATCCGCATAGAAGCTGGTGGGAAGAAACTTGAAATCTTGAGTGCCTTAGAAGTCGATCGGGGGCAATACATATGTGTGGCTACCAGTGTGGCAGGCGAAAAGGAAATCAAATATGAAGTTGATGTCTTAGGTAACTAAAAGTGTTATTGCCTGGATTCTCAGAATCACAGAAAAACCTAATTAGTGTATTGTATACTAATTTTTGTTCATGTAATATGAACCAATCTAAGATAACATATAATTTCTAGTTCGTATCTGGACTGCACATTTCTAGGAGGTAGACTTCACATCTTGATCCATGATCTAAATCTCACATGGATCTTACACACACACTGTTGTGTGTGTGTGTGTGTGTGTGTGTGTGTGTGCATGCACGTGCATGCAAATGTGTGCACACATACACATACACACACATGCCAGTCCTGAGTTCTGGGGCTTGAACTCAAGGCCTGGGTATTGTCTCTGACCACATTTTATTTTAATTTTTGCTCAAGGCTAGCACTGTACCACTCAAGCCACAGGCATACCTCTTGCTGTTTGTGGAGGTAGGAGTCTTACAGACTTTCCTGCCTTAGTTGGCTTCAAACAGCAATCCTCAGACCTCACCCTCCTGAATAGCTAGGAGGCTCACAGGTGTGAGCTACCAGAGCCTAATCCTTCTACTAATTTTGCTTCCATTCTTAAATCATGACATCTGATTGCAGTGAGCCGCAAGCACTCATCCTGAACACTATTGGGAAACACTCTGGACATTCAGAAATTTCTTTGCAACCTTGAGTCTCTATGTCTTCGCACATTGAAGGATTTTTTTTTAATACATGACCTACTTTTGGAGGAGGAAGGGTTCCCCTGTCTTTTTCTTATGAAAACATGCGATGTATAATATGAATTGACTATATTCACATGGCATCAGTAACATCATAGTGCTAACTAGAGAAAAGTGTCTACTACATCCTAAGGATATGCAATGATCCTAGTTAGTGCCTGTTACAAAATGTATTTCTAATACCTATCAATCAACTTTCCTTCACATACCCAAAGACTATAGTAATGATCAACTTTCTAATCTGCTGTTTAGCAGTGTTTGAGGTAATGATGTGTCTTTCCTCTTTTCACATCCATTCCTGCTGTTCTGTAGTGCCACCAGCTGTAGAAGGAGGAGATGAAATATCATACTTCATTGTTATGGTTAATAACCTACTGGAGCTGGATTGTCATGTGACAGGCTCACCTCCACCAACTATCATGTAAGGGTTTTGGTATGTCTTCAAAACACTTCTGTTTTGCTAGGTGTTCTGATATCATTAAACTCTTTTGAAAGGCTATGTATGTAAAATTGAAATTAAAACCATATTCCTGTTATATATTTTTAATTTTATTTTATCGTAAAGATGCTGTACAGAGGAATTACATTTACTTCTCATTGAACACTGTTACCCACTCCATTGTTGTTCTCCCACTATCCCTTCCCTCCCCCCATTCCCACTACTCCCCACTCACGAAGTTGTAAAGGTCATTTCTGACATAGTGTCCTGGTCCTGTGAGTGTCCTTGCAACAGGTCGTCTTTGGTACTTCTTTCAGCATTTTTGTTATTCCCCTTCCTTCCCGTCTCCCAATCAGATAAATATATTTATACATATACAAGATGGAAGGTACCAGAATCAAAAACAGAGATTTCCAGGAATAAAACCAATGGAAAAAGAAATATAAAATAAGAAGAAAGAACTAGATGTAGTACATTGGCGATATCAAGGCTGACAACTAAAACAAACAAACAAACCTGTTGTTTCCATGCCTTGGAGTTCATTTCAATTATCATCATTTTATATGGTCATGTAGCCTATACAACACACACACACACACACACACACACACACACACACACACACACACACACACACACATACACACAAAGAAACTTCCATGTGGTACTCAAAGAGTGCCTGAATTTCTTCAACTTGAGACATTCATTTATATCATTGTAGATATTACTTTTTTTAAATGCTGGTACTGGGGTTTGAACTTGGGGCCTAGGCACTGTCTGTGAGCCTTTTGTGCTCAAGGTTAGCATACTACCACTTGAGCCATACCTCCACTTCCAGAGTTTAGGTGCTTAGTTGTAGATAAGAATCTCATCAATTTTCCTGGATTGCTTTGAGCCATGAACCTCACATCTCAGCCTCCTAAGTATCTAGGATTACAGACAAGCATGACCCACTGAAATCCAATTCAAAATGATATCGTGAATTGAGAGAGACAGGCTATCAAACATTATTGTTAGCTCTTCTTGAAGTACTGAAAGGCTTAACAAATTAGAAAGTAAAAAGAATAATAGACAGAGGGAGAGAAGAAGGTAGCATGCATATATGCTTAACATTTGCACTGCATACAAAATGAGATGGGATATGCAAAGGAAGAATTGAGCAACTAGGCGAATGAGATATATTCACACATGATTAAAACCTAAGTGGAAGCTGGGCACCAGTGGCTCACACTTGTAATCCTAGCTACTTGAAAGGCTGAGATTGGGAGTATCATAGTTTGAGGCCAGCCTGCTCAAATACACATGACCCCTTCTTAATCAACAGCTGGACATGGTAATACATACCTGTCATCCTAGCTACATCGGAATTTAAGTACAAGAAGATTGAAATTCCAGGCCAACTTGGAATAAAAACTCATAGAGACTCGATGTCAAAAGAAACATGCTGAACATGGTTGTTCACTCAGCTATTCTTGGAATTTATTAAAAAGGAAGATTGTGGTCCAGGCAATGCCTCAAAATTAACCAGTGCAAAAAAGAGCTAGAGATGTGTCTCAGCAATAAAGTGCCTGTCTAGAAAGCACGAGATCCTTAGATCAAACTCCAGTACCACCAAGAGAAATTAACGTAAACGGAAAATTGTAGCTCAAAATACTTAAAATATATAAAATTACGTGATTTCATATAGATGTTTTTAGACTGTGCAGTTAATGTTAGTTAGTATTGAAATCAATGATGCTTAGGGTCATTTGCCCCTTCTATAGCCTAAAATGATTAGAAAAATAAAGAACTCAATACATAGTTATTCCAGCAATATACCACTTTATATGTTAGGCCATATTTCCTTCTTCTCTTCGTCATTCATAATTTATTTTACAGATTGAATAATTGGGAAATGACATAAATTCAAAATAGAGCAGAAGTTATATGTATACATATATAAAAGTTATATACATGCCCAGAATTCTTTTTTTTTTTTCTATAGGTGGCTGAAAGATGGTCATCTAATTGATGAAACAGATGGGTTCAAGATTTTACTAAATGGACGCAAACTGGTTATTACTCAGGCTCAGGTGTCAGACACAGGCCTATATCAGTGTGTGGCATCCAATATGGCTGGAAACCAAAGGAAAGAATTTGAAGTGACTGTACATGGTATGTATCAGAAGGGACAGGAATTACATTGTCAGTTCACCTCAGTGTTATTTTTTTAAAATCTACTTCAGCTTGTATCCCAGTCATCTGGATACATGTTGAGTTGTTGAAAGTAGTGTGAAAGGTGTGAATTTCTATTATGAAGACAAAATTGATATTCCCTTAGTCCTTCAACCAAGAAGTATCATGTGAATAAATGGAGACAGAGTTTACATTTGAGGAAGTGTATTCCATGTAGAGTGCTGCAGTCTGAAGACTGAGACTAAGTAAGATTGAAGAGACAGGCAGCAAATTCCAATTTAATGGGTTGTGTCAGCATTTAAGAGTGATGTTGAATGTAGAACTTTCCAGAAGCTGAGACTGAGGGTGTAATTACAAGATCTAGGGAACATAAGCACATTCACAGAACTGGCACATTTGGGTTACAACCATTAATCTGATGACAGGAACAAGTCTCTGCCAGAGTATTAGATGTCTTGCTTGCCGGCAAAACTTGAGAAAGAAGGGAATGGACCCAGGGACTGGAGAGCCATTTGGAAGCCACCAGAAGAAGTCTGTGTATCTCAATTTCATTCCTTTTTTTCTGTCTCTGTAGACTTGTTTTAATCATGGTTTGGGATTTTTGTGGGATTTTTTTTGTGCCCAATGTCCTGTGATGGAATATGGATAATCCTGTTTCTCAGTCTCAGTTTCAACTTCTTGAGAGAGAGCCTGGCCCACCCAGCTTAAATCAAGCCGCCATTTCAGGTTCAGTCAACCTTGCTGGGAGTGAAGTCATGTGGCATAAATATTATAGGAGTCCCAACTTGATTTAATGAGTTAGTTCAGAAAAGTGTACCGTCATTATTGATTGGGAAAACACACCATAAGTTTAAACCAAACAGCCATGATAGATTGATGTAGCCAGATGTACATCTTGCCTATTCTTTGGACAATTAGAAATCTGTAATTGAGAAGCAAGTGATATTTAAAAGTTCTTAAGTTTGTGATGAAATTACTTCACCATTTTTTGAAGTAAAGTTTATTTTTCTTTCTAAATTTATTCATACGTAATTTAATACAGTTTAATCCCCTTGATGATGCTTTTTTATTTTCTCTCTCTAGTTCCTCCAACAATCAAGTCTTCAGGACTTTCTGAAATGACTGTGGTAAAACACAAACCTGTTACCTTGCAGTGTATAGCCAATGGCATTCCAAACCCATCCATTACATGGTTAAAAGATGGCCAGCCTGTGAATACTGCCCAAGGAAATCTCAAAGTAAGTGCAAATATTAGTGAGAACAAATTAAGAAAGCTGCAGAGAACTTCCCAGAGCTATCCCATCATTATTTTTTTCAAAGATTTTATTGTTAAGTTGTTATACAAAGAGGTTGCAGTTTTATCAGTCAGGTTCTGAGTATGATTCTTCTTGATAAATGTTACCCCTCCCATGCGCTCCTCCATTCCTCCCCCTCCCATCCTGCTCTCATGTTAGGTAATACAATTTTTACATAATGTATGTTGAATATAATAACTGCATTTGCTCCCCTTCTTCCTTCTGTTTGTGTGACCCCCCCCCTTTGTGTGACCCCCAAAACATGTTTCCACAATTGTCTTAATTCTAAGTTTTCCCATTAGACAGATTTTGGCAGAGATTTTGTAAAAATGCTGTTTTCTTTAGTTATTTCACATGAACTTAAAGAGAAAATACTTTAACAATGATAGAGACCTGTGAATAATAGTTGGGCTTTTTATCATTTTGATTTATTCCTGTTTCACCTATTAAAAACTTGTTGTCTCTTGAGTGGGTAATATGCAGAAGTCATAATCCCTTATGTCCCAATGTGTTCACTGTAGACTAAAATTATGGTAAAGTCCTGTGTGTGTGTGTGTGTGTGTGTGTGTGTGTGTGTGTGTGTGTGAGAGAGAGAGAGAGAGAGAGAGAGAGCGAGAGAGAGAGAGAGAGAGAGAGAGAGAGAGAGCGAGAGAGAGAGCATCCTGGAAATTCTAATGTGAGTTGTGAGCTTGAAAAGAGCAAAGACACAATAAGTCTTTGGGGATAGATTTACTTCCTGAAAGCATGGTCCCTGCCATATCACAGTGTCTTAGAACATTTATTGATAGGTAAATATAGAACAGATTTCAAATATAGATAATTTAAAAAATGCATTTAAAATCAGAGTCAATTAGTTGAAACTTGAACCAACCTAACTGGCGAATGAGAGCTTGAATGTGACTTGTGATAAATTTTCTTGAGTTCTTTTTTATGGAAGTAATGGCAGATATCCTGTCATTGGTTATCCCTATTTCATATTCATTGGTATTCATCTTATATTAAACCTTTGATCTAGAGAAATACTCAGTGTACAGGTTTCAAACATAGGGTAGGTAAATAATTGTTTATCTAGGAGATACACTTTATCATGTTAGTGATGCCAAAAGAGAAATGTAGGCTACAGTGTCTGATTTAAAGAGAGGATAGAGAGAGGGTAGAGGGCATTACCAATGATGAAAGTCTTTAAGATGAGGAAGAGTTCCAGGGAAATCTTCAAAGAGGGTTCAGAAGAAGATGCAAGAGTTAAATGCATGATTTAGTATAAAACAACCAAGTATTGCAGAGGTGATGGTCACTGGCAACCAGGTTTCATAGAGAGCATAATGCTTCTTGAAGACCTGAATGCAAGCCAGTGGTCTGAGGAGCAGTGGCAATAGAGAGGTGGCTTCAGAAGACACTGTGAGCTGGAAGGAATCACTTACCTAAGGCCAGTGATTTGATTATTACTATAAGGAAATAAGAAGCCATTGAAGAGTTTTAAGACAGTTGGGGTATGATCAGTTTTCCATTTTACATATACACATGCCTTGCTTCACCATGTGCACACATTCTGAGAAATGCATGGTTAGCTGAGTTAACTTTTACAGACCTATATGATAAACTCTCATTTGTACCTACACTACATGATTTATACAATCATGTACAGAGGGGGGTGGGCAGAGAGAGAGAGCGCATACCACTGACCAAAACAATGTTACTGTGTGGTTCATAACTATAGTTACCTGGATCCTCTCTGAAAAATACATTGGGGGAGCCAAGAGTAGATGTCTAGATCCAGTTAGGATCAAAGAAAGAAACAGAAATGTGAACTCACATTCTGGCCTTGGAGGAGAAGGTATTTGGATAGATTGGAGAGTTATTTACTAGTGAAATCAATGGGGGTTGGTGAGAGACTGTTTCTAAAAGGTGAGGGAGAGGGATGTATAAGTAAGACTGCTAGGAATCTATCTACCTTATATACCTATGTCATTAACTGGATAAATGTCACTGATCATGTGTCATTAATGTAACATGATCAATGACATTACTGTCTTAAAACTCTTCATGGAAATTGTAGCCAAACAATGAGATGGGATATTCTGGAAAAGGACAGGTTGAGGGAGAAAAATTGTGAGTTGAGGCTTAGACTTCGCAAGGCTGAGTTCAACAGGTAGGGATGTCAGTAGATTCTTGAATATGTGGTGGTGTAGCTCAGCAAGAAGCTCTGCTACAGATTCTAGCACACTGATATTTGAAATCTAATGGGTAAGGAATAAGAAACAAAAGAAGAGAGGGTCAACCTAGACATCTATGCAATATTGTAGCAGTAAATACAAGCATATGAAAGTGTGTTATTTAACATGCTTAATATATTATGACTGGAAAATAGGTTAAGTGGGAATCCATATGGGAATTTGGAGAGACCATTTGGGGTCAGAATGTGGTGAACCTGGATGGCTTTTCTGGTTTCAGATTTCATTCTGGGCAAGGTGGGGAGCCATGCATGAAGTTTGAAAGGGGGACTACTTAAATGATCAAATTTCCATTTTAAAGGAATTATTCTGGCAGTATGTACAAAATAGATGAACAATTGGGGAGGTTGGAGGCACTGGAACATTAGTTAAGAAGCCATTATAATCCACAGTGACCGTGGAAATGGAAAACAGGGGCTCTTGAAAACATGCTGTGGTATAATTAATAGACATTGAAGTGGGCTCCAAAACCCAGAAGGCTGGAAAAATAGTGGGTGCCACTGGAAAATGCAATGAAATTAGATTTCAGGGAAACAATGAAGTAATTTATTCATTTAATTCTGGATAGGTTAAATTTTATATACTAACCTGTCTAACAGGTAGTCTGAACTACAGCTCCAGATTTCAGGAGATAAATCAAGGCTAAAAGTCTGCATACAGTTTTGTTTTGTTTTGTTTTACCAATACTGAGGATTTGGAAGAAAACTGTCAGCTGGTTCAATATCCAGCTGCAAAAAAAGAGGAAAAAGAATCTATAGAGTAATGTTTAAAAAAAAAGTCAGAGAAGTGCTGTCTTCAAAGATTTAGGTCATCAGTGATGTCAGTGCTTCAGATGATGGAGAAAGGTTTGTGCCAACTATGTAGGACAATGGATTATGGGATTGGAAGATACTGGTGATTTCAGAAGAATTCCTTCCAAAGAGGAACTTCTGGTCTACCAACCTCAAAATGGGAATGATCAGTTACAAGGAGTTTAAAGAGAGAAATAAGGAAAAACAATCAGAAAAAAATGTATCTGCACTCTTCTTTTTATATTTTATAATTTTTATTTTTTGGGCTCTCATGACAATTTAATCAAAAAGGATTGTTGCTTTAAAACTATTTATGAAGTGTTATATAAAATGTGGCCATTTTTTTTCAAATAGCTTAAAATTTCATCACAGACTTCATCGTTCAGTGCGAAAAGTCTTTTATTCAGAAGAGTTTTATGACTATACCAGCAAACTGGCCTTGGGTTATTTTAGTTTGTGTTTTCCAATGAATAAGAATAAGCTTTCAAGCAAACTAGCCTGTTTTCTTATGCATAATGAAGTGATCTGGCCCTAATCTGTCAGGAGATAGTTAAGCTATTGGCAGGAAAATATAATTAGATATTACAAACTTAGATGATTTTTTATTTTAATCTGGGCAAATGTTTCAAGTTCAAGTACAAAGTACCAAATACTGCCATGCTTTCTGCTCCCAATTAGATACAGTCTTCTGGTCGAGTTCTACAAATTGCCAAAACTTTGTTGGAAGATGCTGGCAGATACACATGTGTGGCTACCAACGCTGCTGGAGAAATCCAACAGCACACTCAACTGCATGTGCATGGTAATGTAATTTCCATATCAGAACAAAAGAATACTTTATGGTACTTTTTTATGATTGGGCTCATTTTGACTGACATGTTATTGAAAAGTAATTAACTTAGTTCTATGTGAAATGTTAGTTAACTGTAATTCTAATTCCCTTGTAATACATTAACCTATGAAGCTCTTCAGTTTTCAAGCAGTCCAATAGAATGTTCTGTGTTTTAGATTGTCTACATTACTTTAACTGATTGTTTTGTACAGACCATTCTGTTGAGAAAGACAAATTTAAGGGTACTACCTGAGTTTTGTATATAATTTTCCTGCCTGTTTCTGTGAGGTTCTTTGGGGAGCTGGAGCTGGCTTTTGCTTAGTATTCTCCGATGTGTTTTAATGAGAAGTGTGGGTGGCCATGGAACACATCATCCATAATAGCTTCACAGTAAACTTGAAAGATGACATGACCTTGAATATAAGGCTTTAGATCTTTAGAGACTTGCCAAAATGTCAGAAATTGGAGGCTTGGATTTCCTGATTCACTCAGGATATTTGCAGAGAGATAGCCAAACTCTTTGTGTATGCACTATTCATTTCCTCTAATTCATGCCATTGCTTGTTCATGTTTATTCCTCTTGCCATTCGTTTATCTATGTTAGTTAAAACTGCTGAGAAATGCGAAAGTAGAAGGGGAATGGAAGATTTCAGGCAGAGATTAGCTTTTCTACTCTGCTTCTTTGCATCTTTGTTTTCATTTTAATTAACCAGTTAGAATTTTTACATAATCTGCTTCCTTAATATTGTCAATAAATCAATTACTCTTTCTCCAGAGTCCTAGCTATGAACACTTCTGTATGCTCACACACATACACCATAGTCTTTAGGAGTGTCTTTATTCTTTCACTGAGCATTGAATTGCAGACCAATAGTTGAATGGAAGCACTTTGGCATTACCTGACAGGCTGACACCACTGTCCCTTAAATTGTCACTTAAACCTTCATATTCCTAGTGCTCTTGGACAGCTGTCCCCAACATCTACGCAAATCTTCAATTGCACCAAGAATGTTCCAGGGGTGGGCTTTCTCTCCTCCCAAAATTCACCCCCCCAGGCTCCTTTGATCTCGTTGCATATGAAGAAAGCAGTCTCCTGAGCCCAGTCTTAGATTTCTTGATTCAGGTGGCTGTGCACCCGTATATGGAAATAGGAGGTCAGATATTGAAGACTGATCTACAGATTTGCCAGTGAAGTTAAGAATGACTAAAAACCAGAAAGACCAAAAGCAATTTAGTGTTCTTTCAAATAAGCAAAATAACAGAAGCATAGAGGAAAAGCACAAGTAAATAATCTAAAAATCCACAGTGGTAGAAAATGGTAACACAATGATCAGTTGTCAGGAAAAAGGAGTTAGGGTACACATCTACATGGAAACTCGTCACAGAAAAGGGAAGAAGGTGAGAAAAAAAACCTGGGTTCCTATAAAAAGGAAAAGTAGCAGAAAGTTAGTTATGAAAACTTTACTAAAAAATGCCGGGTCAGATGGAAAATAGAGAACAATCTTATTGATGCAAGTGTGGAATAGAGATAAGATACAGTAATGCCTTAAAGTGTTTTGTCTAGTGCAATCCTGATTGGTCTGTATAACAGTTCATCTCACTGAAAGGAGAAAACTGGTGACATGAACTTGTACCATTAGGACCATGCTGTGGGCAGTTGTGTGACTGAGCTCTCAAGGGAAAACTTTGCCTCATCTTGGAACTCAGATGGCAGTGTCGCATAGGAAAGGAAAGGGCTCTGAACTGGAATTAGTCTTCTTCTTCTTCTTTTCTTTTGTACAGGTGACGTACAGAGGAATTACAGTTACATAATTAAAGCAATAAGTAAATTTCTTGTCAAACTTGTCTTCCCTCATTTTTTCCTACTTTCCCTCCCCCGTGTTCCCCCCAAGATGTACAGATTATTTCCAACATACTGTCTTGTGAATATTACTGTTGCATTTTTTTTTCTAAATTTCAGAAATAATCAGAGATGTCAAAAGAGTCTAGGAAATTACTTAATGAAAAGCTTCAAAAAGGGATAGGAGGTTACAAGGACAAGTTAATGGAATGCCAAAAGAAATCTGTAGAAAGAGTGTGGAAAGACAGTAGCTTAAAGACCGCATGCATTGCAAAGCTTGAAAATATTGGAACTGCATTCCTATGATGACTTGAGATAATAATTAAGCCTCATAAAAGGGACAATCAATCTTAGAAGTCAGAAGTAGAAGTTACAATGTGAAGAACAATAGAGGAACAAGCACTTTTCTTAAGTATGTTTGCACACATAAACTGTATTCTTTATGAGGGCCTATATTCATTCATTGAGTAATTAACAAAAAGAATTTTATCTGAATGGAGGCATTTTGGCATTAGCTCCCTTTGAAAGGTTAGGGACAGGCAGGCAGTGCTGTCCCTTAGCTTGCCCTGTACTTTCTGAATGCTCCCTGAGTATTCTATCTAAACTAGGGCTATATAGTAAGAAAGGCACGGGCAAATCTATAGGAAAAAAAAATCATCATTATGTTAGTTCAGTTATTAATTTTCTTAACTCTAATTGCTTTTGAATTCAAGATTCATTTTCATCTCCAACTTAATTGATTGGTAAAAAATAATCAGTAAATAACATTTATAACAATTGACATTCAAAATATTCAATTGTAGAACACTTAGCATTCCTATTGATTCATATTGTCCTCTTTTGAAAACATTTTTAGATACTGCTACTCTTCTCAAGCAAAGGAAAAAAAATGAAGGAAAAAACGTTTCCAACAGCTGAAGTAAGGGCGCATAGTCTTCTAGATTAGACCAAGTTATGACTATAAGAGCAGGAATGTTCTCGTGGGACTTTCCAGGGAGAAATTCTCTGATAAATTTCAGGAGCCCTCAGTAGGTGGTCTTTTATTTTATTTTATGTTTTGATCATCAAAACTTTAATAATCCTGGAAGTTTTTATTCTCTAGAACCAACTATGAAATTATAACTAAATCTCAAATATTTGCCAAGTGAAACAGATGTTTCCATAAACAAATGATTATTTGGGGCCTAATAGCTCAACTATTTACTTCATCTGCACATAATTATCTTCTTTTTAAAAAATCAACCAAGGTAAAGAATCCAAAAGTAGTAGAATTGTTAGGATGGGCTTCAATTTTGGTCCTATATTGTTAATTAAAGTTGGCGGGGCAATGGAGCTTAGAAGTTCACTTTCTAAAAGCGTATAAATCATCTTTGTAAGGTGGGAAGACAATAATAGCCTCTCATCTTCACGGAGCTTTGTGAGGCTAAAGTGGCAGAGGACATGTGAAAATGTTTGCCTGGTGCCTGGCTTCCAGGCAGCATCTGCAAATGGTAGCATGATGACTTTTGGCAAAACATGTGTTTGCCTTCTGGCCCTTCCTGCTACCCTATTTTAAATAATGTCTGAAGTCTTGCTGCCTTTAATGTTGGCTAAGAATCCTCTTGGGTCTCTACTGGTTGATGCATAAAATTATTAATGGAGAACCCCTTGTTTTTATTTTATATTTTAAAAGTATTTGCTTGGTTAACATCTGCTAACATCCACTCAGAAAAAGGTTTCTCTGTCATTTCTGTATTTTGTTTAATGGCTCACTTGTGACTCAGAGAAGAACTAGGAATGTTGTAGGGGCTCTTTTATTTTTATTTTTCTTCTTTTTTGGTCAGTTCACTTCAGGACTCTACTGTATCTGGGGGCTCAATAAATTTCTTCTCATTATTTCATCATTTCAGTGGCCAAAATCACTTTTTGATCAGGTATGCATTCATTCAAACTTAAGTAGAATTTGAAAGAATCAATTTATGTTAAATGCTTAAAGGAATCAAAAACATCTCATGCACAATGTGGCGAGAAGAAAGTACTATGGTTTGAGCAACTTTTGGAAGAGGAAGAAAACAAGAGACAAAGAGCAAGTTGAAAAGAATCGGCTCTTCTGCCTGGAGAATACAATCTGTATTGACATGAGATACTTGCCTGATTAGGGGTTGATATAGAACAGTGTTCTGGTGTCATTTCCATTGTATCCACATTTTTTTCTCAAAACCAGGCCAAGAGATCTAATTTTATATTGTTGCATGGGGCGATATTGGAACTCTCTTTCTGTCTGGCCCGTGAGACAATGAACTATCCCCATCTTCTGCAGACCGGACTGTGATTTCTTTGGCAAATAATCTAAAGAATGAAGGGATTATTAAGTGAGCTATTTAACAAAAACCTGCACTCCACTTGTTTGTTCTCAGTCCCTTATACTCGTGACTACACCGAACCACATCCCTGGACAGGGGACTTTGGCCTTCTGTCTTCCTCTTTTAGTTATCAGATACTTACACTTGACATTTCCAGAGCATATGTTTTAAATGCTAGCCACTTGTGTAACTTTATTATACTCTTAATTTCTCTGAGAACAACTTGTTAGATACCATATGTGAGTGAGATCATGCAATACTTTCTCCTTGTGCCTGGCTTACTTCAATTTACATAGTTTAACTCACATGGATCATCTTCATTGTCACAAATAACAGGTTTTCATGCTTTTATAAAATGATAGAATGATAATTGTGTATATTCCGTACTTTATCCACTCCTGTGTCAATGGTCATTTAGGGGAGAGGTGATTTTGTGGATATTGTTTTTTCAGAACTGGGGTTTGAATCAGGTGTTTGAGCCTGCTGAACTTTGTTTCTACCACTGAGCCATGCTGCTTTTAGTCCATTTTTAAAGTGGCCTCTTTTTTTTTGGAAGTACTGGGGTTTGAATTAAGAGGCTTGTGGGTTACTCAGCATGTTTGCTCAGCTAGCATTCTCATTTGCACCATGCCTCCAGCCCTAAGATTTTCAGGTATCTTGAAGTATACTCTACCCCAGCTGTCTTCAAACAGAGATCCTGCAGATCTCAGCCTACTACATAGCTTGAGATGACAGGCATGCGCCACTACACACAGCTATTAGTTGATGTGTGGGTTAGTGGGGGAGGGGGTGTCTCACAAACTTTTTTGTGTGGGCTGACCTTTTAACTTTTTCCCCTTATACTACTGATCTAAAATCTTAAGGAATTTTCTATCAAAAAAATAGGTGCCAATATTTTTTTCAATACTGCTCAATTTTATACTTCAAATGTATCAGTGTAGGGCTTAGCGCATGGCTCAGGTGGTAGATCCTGCCTAGAAGCACAAGGCCCTGAGTTCAAACCCCAGTACCATAAAGAAAAGAAAAGATAGATATATGAATCTGGATGAATATTAAATAAATCAATGCATATATGAGAAATAAACAAAGGAAGGATGATTATAATTTCCAGTGAGCAAGCAATCTAAGTATCCTGCAAGTATCTAAGTATCCTGCAAGTATCTAAGTATCTAAGTATCCTGCAAGTATCTAAGTATCCAAGTATCCTGCAAATATCTCAGTATCTAAGTATCCTGTATGGCCTCTTGCAGAGCCTCCAAGGCTGGAAGAAGCTGGAAGGATGCTGAATGAGACGGTGGTGGTGAACAGTCCCATCCAGCTGGAGTGTAAGGCAGCAGGAAATCCTTTGCCTGGTAGGTATATTTTCTCATCCTGTAATTTAAAGATAGTTAAGATTTCTGGGAATAAATGAAATTGTTTATGGATATAATATACCAATTTCTGATAAAGGAAACGTTATATAGCATATATTTCAATATATAAAGAAGAGAAGAGAGGGGAAATGCTGACAAGAGTTCAATGTATCTACTACAGAATGAAGAGTGAGAAGAGGAGGGGTGACATTGATCAAGATGCATAATCATGCACTACTTTGTTAAATGGCAACTCCTTTGTTCATCTACTTAAAGATAAAATAAGAAAAGATTTCTATTAATGAAAAAAGAATATCTTTAGATAAATCATTCTTTTGAATTTTCACTGTATTTAGCTGTATGAAGTAATGTGTCCACTTTATGTAGAAATGGGTGAATACCTTAGCTATCTTGTTCATATTGTGGCTAAAATTCTCACAATTCTTACCTTCATCTATGGTGGATTTGTTTTTAATTTTTAAAAGTATATTAATGAAACCGAGAAGGGTACTCAAGCTTATAATCCTAGCTATTTGGGGGATGGAGATCGAGAGATCTCCATCCAAATGGACACACAAGTTCTTGAGACTCCATATCAACCAATGAGTGGGCATGGTGATGTGTACTTGTTAATGGCTCTATGTCCCCAGAGACACAGGGAAGCAGAAAGAGGATTTCAGCTCAGACAGAACAGAGCATAAAGCAAGTCTTTGTTCTCAAAAATGCCCAGCACAGAAAGAGGCTAGGGGAATAGCTAAAGTGGCAGAGCACCAGCCTGGCAAGTATGAGGCCCTGAATTTGATTCCTAATACTGCTCAAGAAATTGACTGTAAATCACAGCCATTCTAAAGCAGTTGTCATTGATGCATACCTATCACTAGTTTCCTATTCATATGAATCAATAATAACATAAAGATCCTGAAGCCAATAGTATACATAAGGTTCTCATTAGACCAGTGGAAAATTTTTCTAGGAAATATACAATAAAAGTAATAGAAGAGGTTGAAAGTTTATGAACAATGTTGCTATTTAGAGACAGCATAAAGAATTGTTTCTGTGTATTCATTTTTCAGGATGTATATGATTCCTGGTGTTTTCTTCAGATCACCTTGTCTTAAAGATTAATTTGGAAGATGTATTTATTTAAACCATGCAACCTAAACAATATGAACAAAAACAAAGCAATTTTGGCTTAATTAAGATCCAACATCGTGTGTTGGATTTTAAAAAGAACACAACTTATATTGATCTTGTCTCATTCTCTCAGTTATTACGTGGTACAAAGATAGCCGTCCACTCTCCGGTTCCACCAGTGTAACATTCCTGAACAGAGGGCAGGTCCTTGACATCGAAAAAGCCCAGATCTCAGATGCTGGCATTTATAAATGTGTGGCCATTAACTCCGCTGGAGCTACAGAGCTGTTTTACAACCTTCAAGTCCACGGTAAGTGCTGTCTCTCTCAACTGTATCCTAGGTAAGCAATACATACTAAAAATGATGAAGAGCTTCTATAAAATTCTAGAGCAAATAGCTGGCAACAATTTAAGGACCCAGTGTTCCAAAACTAATAGCCATTTTACTCTGCATTTCCAGTTTAAAATACTTACATTTCACATGTAGCATTTGCCTTTAGATTGATTTTTGGAAATGAATGATGCCATTGACTAATCAATGTCATTGATACTTTTTGTCAGCAGCAATAATTCTGTTTATAAATACAGAATCATTCTAACACTCCATTAACTAAAGGAGTGTTTCCCAGTTATAATCTTTTTTATATAAATTTTTTTATTGTGAAAATACTGTACAGAGGGGTTACAATTATATGGGCAAGATAATGAGTACATTTCTTATCAAGCATTGTAGCCTCCTCCTTTGTTTCCCCTTCCCATACTCCCTGCAGGTCCCCCCCCCCCCCCCCCCCGCACCAAATCCTCCTCCAGCCCTCCCCCACCCCACCAAAGTTGTAAAGTTCGTTTTTTGACATAGTGACTTGTATATCTCCTTGTTGCAGTGGGTCCACCTGTATCCCTATTTAAACGATTTCTTTTTTCCCTTCACCTCCACAAATTATACCAACATCAAATACAGTGAAAGCAGGGGTTAGACCGTGGGGGAGGGATATACAAAGCAACAAAGAAATAATCTTATAAATATGTTAGAAACAATCGCATGAAAGAAAAAAAAATTTGAATGCATATCTTAGGGTTCATTTCCCTAACATCAACTTATCTGACCTTTTCTGCTTGACTCAGACATATACTAGTTATTGCAAATAAGGGAAAACATGGGACCTATGTTTCTTTGGGCCGGGCTTACTTCACTTAATATAATCTTTTTTTAAATTTAATTTTATTGTAAAGATACTGTACAGAGGAGTTACCGTTACACGAGTAAGGTAATGAGTACATTTATTGTCAAGCATTGTTACCTCTTCCTTTGCTTTTCTCCTACTATCCCTTCCATTCCCCACCACCCTCACTCCCTCCCCGCCCTCTGGGAAGTTGTAAAATTCCTTTCCAGCATAGTGTCTTGTGAGTATCATTTTTGTTGCAATGGGTCATCCTGTGTCCTTGTTTCAGCATTTTGTTATTCCCCCTTCCCCTCAACAAATTAGATAAATGTACATACAAGATGCAAGGTACCAAAATCAAATACATTGACAAGAGGTATATACCATAGGGGGAAGAACATACAAAAGAAACAAAAACAATCACATGGTACATTAAAAATAACAACAAAGAAAAACCTCTTGTGTCCATATCTTGGGGTTCATTTTGCTTAGCATCATCTCATATGTACACAGCTTTTGAGCTTTTCTTCTCATCTGACAAAATTATCCTAGACATATACTAATTATTACAAATAAGGGAAACTATGGGACCTATATTTCTTTGCATCTGGCTTACTTCACTTAATATGATTTTTCCAAGATGCAAATATAAAAGGGATCCAAATAGGGAAAGATGAAGTAAAACTCTCCCTCTTTGCAGATGACATGATCTTGTATTTAAAGAACCCCATGGACTCCACTCCCAAGTTACTTGAGCTGATCCAAAACTTTGGCAAAGTAGCAGAGCATAAAATTAACCCTCAAGGGCTGGGAAGGTGGCTCAGTGGTAGAGCGCTTGCCTTGCATGCTCGAGGCCCTGGGTTCGATTCCTCAGCACCACATAAGCAAAAAAAAAAAAGAGTTCTCTTCCTTAAAAAAAAAATTAACCCTCAAAAAGCAATGGCTTTTCTGTATGCCAATAACAAGAAGAGCACAGTTGAAATCAAGAAAGCAACTCCTTTTGTAGTAGCCCCACAAAAAATAAAATACCTAGCAATTAAGTTAAGAAGTGAATGATCTCTATGATGAAAATTTTATAAACCTGAAAAAGAAAATTAAATCAGAACTAAGCAAGTCGAAAAACCTCCATGCTCCTGGATTGGAAGGATTAACATCATGAAAATGGCAAAACTGCCAAAGGATATGCATCAATATCTTAACCTCATTCTTTAATGAAATAGAAGAAGCAATCCAAAAATTCATATGGAACAATAAAAGACCCCATTTATAATCTTTATTAAGGTTTTGTTGGAAGAGTTATTAAGCTATAATACTCCAGGGCATGCAATGGAGAAAGATATATGTATATGAATACACAACCATGAAAATCAATGAATAAGAATTCACTTTGACATTAAAACTGCTTTCTGGAGCTTAGTGAGATTGATTGTGTCTTTTATCTACCTACATAGGAGGCAGAATCAGAAAGGGTTATACTTCAGCCTCTGTGGTCCTAATTGTGCAGGAGGCATAGGTAGGAGGCTCTCAGTCCAATACCTTCCTATATAAAAACATGATAGGGTCTGAAAATGTAAAGTAAAACACTAAAAGAGCCGAAGGGTTAGCACAACTGGTGCAGCACTTGCCTAGCAGATTCAGGCTTTGAGTTCAAACCCCAGCTTCACAGCAAGCAAGCAAGCAAGCAAAGAAAGAAAGAGAGAGAGAGAGAAAGGAAAGAAACAAAGAGGGAGGGAGGGAGGGAAGAAGGAAGGAAGGAAGGAAGGAAAGAAAGAAAGAAAGAAAGAAAGAAAGAAAGAAAGAGAAAGAAAGAAAGAAAGAGAGAGAGAAAGGAAGGAAGAAAGAGAAAGGAAAGGAAAGAAAGAAAGAAAGAAAGAAAGAAAGAAAGAAAGAAAGAAAGAAGGAGGGAGGCTGGGCACCGGTGGCTCATGCCTGTAATCCTAGCTACTAAGGAGGCTGAGATCTGAGGATCATGGTTCAAAGCCATCCCTGGCAGGAAAGTCCATGAAACTCTTATCTCCAATAAACCACCAGAAAACTGGAAGTGGCTCTGTAGCTCAAGTGGTAGAGTGCTAGCCTTGAGCTGAAGAGCTGAGGGACAGCGCTCAGGCCCAGAGTTCAAGCCCCACGACCGACCAAAAAAAAAGAAAACAAAGGAGGGAGGGAGGGAGGGAAGGAAGGAAGGAAGGAAGGAAGGTAGGAAGGAAAGAAGGAAGGCAGGCAGGCAGGCAGGCAGGCAGGCAAAAACAAAAACAAGGAAACTAGTTTTGTACACAAACTTCCTTTCCCTTATATAAAATGGAGAATCTGATTTGTGTACTGCAGACCTCACAGGTTGGCTGTGTTTAGATCACAGATGTGAACTTTCCCAAACAAACAGGCAAAAAAAAAAAAAAAATCCATTTACAAAGACACTGTTAATAGTATGTATAGTGGACTTAAAAATGGCATATCCTGTTGTGATAACATTGTACTTTTGTTTTCTTTTTCCAGTGCCCCCCTCGATTTCTGGCAGCAGTAGCATGGTTAGTGTGGTCATCAATAACGTTGTGAGGTTAGAATGTGAAGCCAGGGGCATCCCTGCCCCAAGTCTGACGTGGCTGAAAGATGGGAGCCCTGTCTCTAGCTTCACTGATGGAATTCAGGTATCCTCTTCCATTTATTTGATAAAGTATCCCATTTAAGTACTCAACATGGCATGTACCAAGAGTAAATGCTTTTGGATTTGGAGAACAAGGATTATAAAAAGTGTTGCCTTGGGGTAGGGGAGATCATACATATGCACTTACAAATACCATGGTCACACAGTTGGAATTTCTAAATGATTCATGAAAACATGTGCATGTTAAGTTTCACCTGTGGGCTTAAGCTACCTGCCTTCTACCTGCCCCCACCATTTCCTGTTTCTACCATAAAAGACAGCTTCTTCCCAGTGCAAGGAATGGTTTTTTTTCAGGTAGTATTTATATTCCAATATTTATAAATATCATGAAGGTGAGAAATACACAGAGACTATATTTGTTAACAAACGCATCAAAGAATAAAATTTTAAAAATATAATGGAAACATTATGAAAAATGAATTATTTGAGTCTTAGGGAAAAATTAAGTACATTATATTGACCTGAGGTTGAAAGGATAGAATTCCTGTTTTGTTCTGCTTAACTTTATTGGCCTGTGTAGGTTGTTTATACCAATCCTGTGTGGAATAAGTTGATACATACCATTTTCCTATTGTTCAAATGATAATTGGCATTTTTAGAAGAAATGTATTTTTAATTAACATGTGTATCTTGTTTTGTTAGAGTTAATGCAATTGCAAACTTAATACACACTAGGATAATATAAACATAACTTTAACATACAATAAAAAATATTGTGTGACTTGCTTTATTAGAGCAGTCTGGAACCAGACCCTAAGTATCTGTGAAGTATGTCTCTGTAATTTGAGGTATCATTTTATTTTGCCTAACAGAGGATGTAGTTCACCTAACATGTATTTCTCTAGGTTTTAAAAAATCTAATCTTTCAGAATTTGGAATCATAGAAGATCCATAGTTATTGTCAATATTTAAAGGAACACTGGAGCCATGATTTCAAAGGAGAATAAATGTGGCTAATTAGTTTGGCTACTATTTTGTTGTTTATTATATCTTATCTATTTGTTCACAGTAAAATTTGGAGAATGACTTTGTTATTCCCACTTCTCCTTTCTGTCCCAGTGGCTTTCTCTGTGTGTTAAGTATACAGAACACTTGACTTTTACTGTGTGGGGTATGTAGAGACTGGCTTTCAATGGTTGTTGCCAAGTTTGGTTCTAGTCTCTCATATCTTTCCACCAAGAATACAAAAATGATATTGTATGTGATAGTGGCCCACTTTAAACATCCAAGCAGAGATCTTTCAAGAGGAAAATGCCAGTTGATCACTCACACCTGTAACTCAGGAAACTGAGATCTGAGGATGAGCACTTGAAGCCAGCCTGGGCAGGAAAATCTGTGAGATTCTTATCTTTAATTAACCAAAAAGCCAGAACTGGAGCTGTGAGTCAAGTGGTAGGGTGCTTGCCTTGAGCACAAAAGCTCAGGGCTAGTACCCAGGCCCTGAGTTCAAGCCCCAGCACACAAATAATAATAATAATCAAATGGTAAGAGGAAAATTACAGCTACCAGTTGCATGGGCTATGTTGGTTATTTATCTCTCATTTTATTGATAGGTTCTGTCTGGGGGTCGCATCTTAGCATTGACCAGTGCACAAGTAAGTGATACAGGGAGATATACCTGTGTGGCCGTGAATGCTGCTGGGGAGAAACAAAGGGACATTGACCTCAGAGTCTATGGTGAGACATGTTAGCGATTATTTCTGTTCTGAAATAAATGTGTTTGGTTCTTAAAGCCGTGGAGGAAGTTAAGGGCAGTTGTTGAGATCAAGGAACAATAAACAATGTCAGATCAGTTCAAATCAGATTGTCTTTCTGCTTTCTGTTTGACTTGGATTGATGTCTCCTTTTAAAGGCTGAGATAATAAAACATCCAGCCTGTCAAGAGTAGGTTTTATAGAGGAAAGACAATAGCTTATCAACTGCAAGACAGGAGTTCACAAAAGCAAACATCTATGAAAGGAGCTCTCTCTGTTTGTGTACTCTAAGCCATGATTTTATTACTTTTAATTATACTTGCAGTCAGCATACTTTGTGATCTACATTCAAGACTATTTGAGAAATGAAAGTTAAACCAGGACATAAATGTATATAAATTCAAGAATTTTTTCTACCTTCAGTACAGCCATATTATCTGCAATGCAGCATTACAGAAAAAGTCCCCCAGAACAAAGTTGGGGCTTCCTTGAACTCCACTCATTCATCACCTTTGACACACTCTCTTGGTATACTTTGATATTTAGAATTCTTTCAGACTTCATTTAGTACTTCTTCACATAATTTATGTAATTTGTAAATTTCTTGGTTCATGGACCAATGAAATTATTTCTTCAATGATCCTCCTATACAATATGTATTAAATTCATTCTGTTCATTTGTAACTGTCCTCACTTCAAGCAAATGTCTTCCTATGAGAAATATGTAATTTTTAACTTCCAGATCATATAGACCATGTTGAATTCTTTTTATAATTTTTTTTGATCGGTCGTGGGGCTTGAACTCTGGGCTTGGGCGCTGTCCCTCAGCTCTTCTGCTCAAGGCTAGCACTCTACTGCCTTAGCCACAGTGCCACTTCCAGTTTTCTAGTGGTTTATTGGAGATTATAGTCTCACGGACTTTCCTGCCTGGGTTGGCTATGAACTATAATCCTCAGATCTCAGCCTCCTGAGTAGCTAGGATTACAGGCGTGAGTCACCAGCACCCGGCTCTTTTTATAATTTTGAAGAACACAAACATAATGATTTAAAACAGCCGAAACATTAACTAATTAAATTTTCAGTAACTAGGTCCTTGGTTATAACTTAGCATGTTAAGATTAAAAAGTCCCAGTTGGCATTGCCACATTTCCAAAGAGGTTGTTCTCTGGGTTCTTGCTTTGATATTCTACTACAATAAATATGGCTCTATACTCCATGCCCAGATTTGCTCATGTATTTCAGATATCAAGTCTATAATATCCAACCCCAGGGATTCTAATTCTGCCACTGAATTGGTTCTCTGTTCCCTTTCTAAAGAATTAGAAGATGGTCATTCACAAGAGAAAAATGTCTAAATACCTGACATACTTCCTCTTTCAGGCATTAGTAGGCAATAGCACTGTTGACTGGATTTTAGTCAACAATGAATATCTAGCCATGCTTCATTCCATTGGTGCACTTCATTTGAGTAAGAGTGAGTCTAGGAGATGGTAGAGAAATAGTATCTTCCTAGAATGACAGAATACACATCATTATATCATTTGATAAGTTATTTCCTTCCTACCTCTTGAGACTAAAGATTAAAAATTTCCGCTGGTATAAAAATGAAATGACTACTTGCTATATATATATGTACTTTGAGAAATTGAATAAGCATTTAACATTTGAAATACATAATCAACAAACTTTCAAGGAAGTTAAAATTAGAAAGATTTTTTAAAATATGAAATTAGTTTTTCAACCTATCCTCCATTAGCCTTCTTTCCATGTGTTATATTCTGGGTTAGTATCTTCAGAAATCTGTGTCTAGTTGAAGTCTGATGAATGCTAATTCACAGAGGTAAGTCCCCTTGAAATTTACATGGTAGAATGAGGGAATGAATGGTAGAAAGAGGTTCATAGTAGGTGAAATAGCTTTCCCTATAATCATAAAAGCAGTTCCTTCAAAAAAAAAACATTTTCCCTGTTATAAATTCAGAGTATATTCTACCATATTCTGATACTCTGAAACAAGAAAAATGAGTTAAATGAGTTAAATTATATATATATATATATGTCTTTTAACTTTCAGCTCAGGGATTTCATAGCCTTCACCATCTCAGCAAATATAGCTCTATAACAGTTCTGCTTCAAGTAATTAAATTTAACAGGTATAATCTGTACAATGAGAAGTCATTTCAAAGTACATCTTTTCCTAACCTAACCAAATGGTAAAATATGGAGAATATCTAAGAAAGTTGAAGCCCTAAAGAGTGGGACCTTGTTCTCATCTTAAACTGAAAAAAAAAAATAGATTTTGGTTAACGAATGCTCACCTACATTAGATTTGTTTTGTTCCACTTTTTACTCTTTAAGTATTCTATGTTTTTTTTCTCTCTCAGTTTTAAAATTCTAGTTTCCTTTTGAATTGGGTTCAGCTCATTTAGCAGTAAAGAAAAGTAGCTGAGGAAAAATATTTGGAAATAGCATTCTGCATTCTTGGCTTGTTTCTAATGTTCGCTTCTGCAAACACTCATAAGGAAATATGTTCTTTTATAAATTCTACAAATAGTCTAAAATAAATGTATTTTATACAGTTTTAAATGTTTTATCCATTAAGACCAGATTTAATCCCCAAATTATTTCCAAGGTGTAAAATCAACTACTCTGTTCTGGGATTCCTATTCTCTAAAAATTGTGAATACACTTTGTTTTCCTGATACCTTATAAAGAAAACCATTAATTGTGCATATGTTCAACAGACTAGCCACATACCTTCTATCTAGTGTCACCTCTCAAAAACAATTACAGAATTTTCTAGTCCTCACAGATTGCTTTAAACTTATTGCAAGCCAAATATCTATGTGTACTGTGAAATTTCCTAAAGGAAGTTCTACTGTTGTGTTCCAGCTATTATGGTACAGCTTACTTCCTCTTCTAGAGTCCATTCCTTGGGGTTAACCATAAATCCTGTACCCAGCAACAAAACAGGAATGCGCCCTTTGGTTCATAACCCTTCCCTCTGAAGCTGATACAGTAGCAGAAAACCTCATAGTTATACAAACACAATGTTCCCAGTCAAAGTCTATTGTATTCATTGTCATCTTACCACAGTCTGGAGTATTGAGCCTGAAGCAGTGAGTAATAGACTATAATAATATTCCTTACCACAAAAATTTTATGTCTACCAGAGCATTTGGGAAGTCTCTTAGGAATCATTTGAATGCCACTTAGACTTCCTTATGAAAATAAACTAGACAATAGCAGCAACCCACCCAAAAAAGTCTACAAATTAATTTCCTACAATTCTGAGTAATTAAGGGAGTTAGTGAGAAGTGGCCAAACCTATCCTCTCAGAACTTTCTTTTTTTCTTTTACAATGCCCCTTTAGGAAAACCCTGACTTCCTTATTCCTTTGTCTTTTCTGAATTATTATGCATACAGATTGGAGTCCTTGCTTTCTCATTTTTGATAGCACTAAACCTTCGCCATCTAAGACAAATGATCGTTTATTCTTGAATTCATCCCAGAGGAAGGAGATTCTTTAAACTTCTCCAAGAACACATTTCAACATCTGACAAGCCTTGTAGCCAGGGAATGCTAATTTTAATCTCATTAAAATTTCAGCTCATTTCCTCCTGTTATTGAATTGGGAGTATACTATTCAGCTGGTCCCTGATGCAGCTTGCTCTTTTCTGTGTCACTGATCTTACACAGTCCCCATTCCCTAGAAAGTTGACAACGCACCCTAAAAACAAAACAAAACATTAAACTGCAAGTCAGAGGCTCCAGGCTTTCCCATCAATCACTTGTGTTATTTACTTAAGCTGTTACCTTTCACCTACTTTATGTTTTGCACACTGAGAGATGGGACCAGATGATCTTCATGTATTCTTCCAAACCTATTTGTGTTCATTTTGCTTCTATAGTTATGAACTTTATTCCCCTTGCAAAAAACACAAATAAATGTTAAAAGCATATTTTCTCTTATTAATTCATGGTCATTTCTAAAATATTTCATATGTGATTTATTACTTTGAAAACCTTAAGCAGTAGCTACTAATTCTGCAAGTTTCTGGAATGCACACTTGGTGAGAACTTCCAGTTCTAAAAGTTCTTTAAATAAAAAGTTAGTGAGAATGATTTGTGTTCCACAAGAATCTGTTGGTCAGTGATTTACTCATCTTGATTCTGAACCCAATGAAGCAAAGAGGGTATGCTAGAACTACCATGATCCTCTATGTTAAGATAACTAGTAAAGTTATGAGGTGTGTGTGTGTGTGTGTGTGTGTGTGTGTATAGATAGATAGATATAGATATAGATACAGACATATATCTAGATATAGACATATATCTATATATATCTAGATATATAGACATATATCTAGATATATGTCTGTATCTATATCTATATCTTGATGATTAGTGAAGATAAATAGTGTGCTGGCCTATTTTATTCTGAGGGAAAACTCATTTTTCATTTAGTTCCACCAAATATTATGGGAGAAGAACAGAACATTTCTGTCCTCATTAGTCAAGCTGTGGAGTTGCTATGTCAAAGTGATGCTATTCCCTTACCTACTCTGACCTGGCTAAAGGATGGTCGCCCCTTACTGAAGAAACCAGGCCTTAGTATCTCTGAAAATGGAAGTGTGTTAAAGGTAAGGCTACAGATTCATTTCATTGGATATTATTACTAATCATATGATTTTGGTGTTATTCCTATTTAAAACTTCCCTGACTTTTACAGTGTTTCTAGTTTCACCTAACAAAATTCTAGGAACTCTTTTCTTAATGAGGCTGGTAGTATTTTTCAGTTTTATGCTTAGTGAAATTTAAATATTTATTCATCTATTTATACTTGTAAAGAAAAGTCATCTTAAGAAATGGTTCTAGGAAACAACTGTAGAAATATTTCAAGCAGTACTTCATCTTCACTCATTGAACCAGCCAGTAAATATATATTGAGTGATTTAGATAAGGATGCAAAATTGTGACATGTCTCACATAGTGGATGCCTTGAGACGATATCAATTTATGAAAAATTAGTTAACAGCTGTAAGTTCTATAAGTTTGGGTTAATTGCCAAGTAGATGGAACAGACAGGCTATTTTATGAAGACAAGCGAAAGTGAGATGCAGATGACCTGGAGGTGTTGAAGTCTGTTTAGCATTCTAAGCATAGACAGGACCGAAGACCTGATTAAGCAAGTAAGTTAGTTTGGCTGAAACAGAGAGCACTTTACAGAGTGGATATTTGAAATAATATTGACAATCCATATCTGATTGAAATAGAGCTGACATTAAAAGCCATCCTAAAGAATTAGGATTTGGGAGGGCAAAGGTCTGAAGGTACTTAAATCCTACTGAATGTTTATAACATCCTCATGATAACCCTGCTGAGTAATTAATTAAAAGTATATATGACTTGGATTTAAACACAAGGGTTTTAGCTTCAGAATTCATACTGCTAACTACACATATCCTCTGAATGAGGAAGCTTATGACAGGCAAGTCTGAGTGGCAGTAGGCTGAATGACTTAACTAATAAGGACAGAGGCCTGTGGTGAGTGGACAGAGCATGAAAGTGTATGTTAGAGGAAAATGGTGATCTTGTCAAGTATGACCCAAAGGTGGAACTGAATGGGGGAGGGGGAAAGGGAGAAATGAGTGAAAAACAAAAAAAGGAAATCACCACCTTGTGCTTAGGTATAGAGCCCATTGCTTAAGATTGGGCTCTTAATCTCTCTCCTAAGATTCTAAATCTTAGAATGACTGAGGGAGACAATTGTTTAAGCACAGAACCTGTGAGTATGGGAAGTTTGTGTCTTTTTGTTGGTGAAAATCCATTGTTCTCCAGGGAGCTACTTCAAGCACCTAGGCAGGCAGATCCTGGAGAGAAGAAGAGAGAAGATCTTTTCAGTGAAAACTTCGTTACTACATACTACTAATTGGCTAATTTAAACTATTTGCTATACACTCCCAATATTAGTCATACACTTCTGTAACCAGATCAGATAGGAGACTCTTGCCATTTTTATTTTGCTTTGCTTTCCACACCAACATTTAACTCTTTTTTTTGAGGTGTGCAGGCTGTGCTGACTGGTTTTCAGGTCCCGTAGCCCCAAATTTGAGTGAGTCTGCTACTAATTATGTGAATTTGGGGAAATTTAGATCTTTTAATTGATGCTGTTTTCCTATCTTTAACATGATAAGGTAGGATATTATTAAGTTTCTTTCCACATCTCATATTTGTTAGTTTTCTATTTAACTCAGTTGTTCACAGTTTATTCACACCAATTAATTAGTTTATTGGATACCTGCTGTGCTACTTTTAGTGATCACTTTTTCTTCTTTTTCACCATTACTGGGGTTTGAGCTCAAAGCCTCCCTCTTGTTAAGAAGACATTCCACCGCTTGAGCCATCCTTCCATCACTCTTCTTCTGAATGTTTTAGGAATTATTGATTGCAAACTTACTGTGGAGATTAAACCACATGATGTTGTGGTATCTGCTATTTTACCTTATATTGTTACTTATACCTTGCTTATTACCTCTTATGTTCACAAACTTTACATCCTCACCTAAATTGTACACTCAAATCCAAAACTGTATACTTCATAGTATGTCTTGCTTTCTTCTGCCTCTAGTACTTAGGACAAGGCTCATAGGTCCATTATAACTGTTATATAATTAAACAATACTAATAAAAGCATGTTAAGGCACTCTGAACAATGTATATATATGCATATATATATATATATTCTTTTTACTAACACTTATTTACCGATCAAAGTACCAAACTGGATACTAAGAGATCAAAGCTAATTGAACTCTCACTTAAAGAAGCTTATGAGCCTGGCATGGGGAAGATGCATGTAATAAATCAATAATTCATATATTATTTTACCAAACATTTTCCTGGATATATAGTAATGGAGTTTGTAAAGTCCTTAAGAATTCACTGATAATTTTGATTTTTTTTTATTTTTCCTAAATTTTGCTAAAGGCCTTTCTAGGCTTTCAACCACTGATAAAAGTTAGGGTAAAATAAGTTATGACTTAGATGAAAATTTCTGAATCTTGATGTGTTGAATCTGAGTGATGACATTCATTTTATGAGTCTCTCTATATTTTATAGACTCAAAAGTCTCAAAATAAAAATTAAAAATAAAAAATTACAGAGATCATTAACAGAACCTTCTAATTGTGAAGTAGCAATTGTGGTTCCAGAACATGATTTAGTTTTCTTCTCAGATTGAAGATGCTCATGTTCAAGACACTGGTCGTTATACTTGTGAAGCAACAAATGTTGCTGGAAAAACAGAGAAAAACTATAATGTCAACATTTGGGGTAAGTAAAATTGACCTTTGCAATACACAAAGTAGGCAGTATTTGGTTGAATCTTTGATTCATTATGTCAATTCCTAAAATGACACTTAACCATCTAGATAAAAGTTGAGTATTATGAACACATAGATAACCATCAGTGCATTTAGATGACACAGAATTATCTTGATTGTCAACCCAAAGAGACAACCCAAAAGCTATAATAGATCAACTTCCTGGGCCTGGAGATATTAGTCATTGTGTAGAATTAGCTTTTGTGTAGAAAGATCCTTGTCACCTATCCATCTTCTATAAATAGGACCTTATACTTATTATGCCTTCTATATAAAACAATTTTCTTGTGTATTTTGAATAGAAATCCTTTGTCCTTGCATTTAAAGTATTACACAAAACTATAAGACTTGAAGCAGTGTGAAAACTGTATTTTTCTTCATTTCCTTTCAGTCCCACCAAATATTTATGACTCTGATAAACTTGCTCAACTTACAGTCATTGAAGGGAATCTTATCAGTCTTTTGTGTGAATCGAGTGGTATTCCACCTCCAAATCTCATCTGGAAAAAGAAAGGTTAGTTCTCATCCCTGGAATGTTTAAAAATTAAATATAAACATAAAATTAATATTAGTTTTGTCTGGCAAACCTATCAGTTTATTTTTTTTTAATTTTCCTGGGGTTGCATGCTAAGGCTAGAGAGCAAAAGCTCCTTACATTAAATTGTAACATGTGATTTTTATATAATTGAAATTTTTACCATATAACAAAGCAGTTTATGAATATCTTGATCCACGTCACCCCTTTCAATGTTCTCACCCATTTAGAGCAGCTGTAATTTTCAGGAATCCATCCACCATTTGTAAATGGTTTTTCAATATAGGTTTTCTAAATTATCTTCTAAAGTAAAGATTTGTTATTATGTTGTGACAGTCTTATAACATGTGCTAAGATAAAATTGTGTAGCTGAGTAGATTTCAATTCATCATCCATCTTGTGTGCCAGTAAATAATCTATATCTTCTGTTCATTTAACATTTTAAGCCTCCATCATTTTGCACACCGTGGCAGGAATATTCCCAAAGCTTGTCTGTCTTTACAGTTCTAGAGCCAGGAAGCGAATAAATAAGTCCACACACTTCTCTGAGCATGTGAACAAAGAACTATGTATCGCAGTCTGTCATCGTATTATTTTATTTCTCTGCAGGGTCTACAGTGCTGGCTGACTCTGGAGGGCGAGTTCGGATTTTATCAGGAGGCAGGCAGTTACAAATCTCAGTTGCTGAAAAGTCTGATGTAGGGCCTTACACGTGTGTGGCCTCAAATGCTGCCGGAACTGCAAAGAAAGACTATAATCTGCAAGTTCACAGTAAGTTCTTGCCTAGCCAAGCTCTGGACACAAGCTTCTTTTTTAATTTTGAAAAAAATTTTAAAATTATCTGTAAGCAATTGTACAAAGGAGGTGCCATATAACAAAGTGGTTTATGAATACAATACATCTTGATCAGTGTACACCCTTGAACACTCTCACCCCCCCCCCCCCACTTTGACCCACCCCTTCCCAGTTACAAATGAATGAGCTGACTCTATGGAGAGCTCAACTAGTATAATGTTTTAGAAAGACTAGGTCAAAGCCCACCAAAATCAACATCAGGAAATAGGTACATGAAAGAGAAATGGGTACATCCAAATGGTACATCCCAATAGGTGTGGAACCAAAGGGAAAGGGATAGACCAATGAAGTGGGGTGGAGGAGAGAACACAAGCTCCTTTTGAAGCTTTCCATCCTTCCCTTTACTTTTTCTTTGTATTTTAAGATTACTTTATCCAGGAGACAGTGTAATCCCACTACACAACAGGCTGAGATCTGAAGATCACAGTTCAAAGCTAGTCTGGGCAGAAAATCTCTGAGACTCTTATGTCCAGTTACCTACTATAAAGGCAGAGATGAATTGTAGCTCAAGTGATAGTTAGCTTTGAGGGAAAAAAGGTAAAGGACAGCACCCAGACCCTGAGGCTAAGCCCCAATATTGGCATATACACACAAAGATTAATTCAAAGTACTATAACTTATATGATGTCTGTCAACTGACCCACATCTTTAAATGTGCTGACCACACCAGAGAGCAACAGCTTAGTTCTAGCTACTCTTCATTCAGCAGTATGGCTGCTCCTTCTGCGTCACCTCACAGGGGACAGACACACCAGGGTGACAGCAGATTAGTGGATACATGCAGGGAGAGGAAAGACATTATACTATAGGATATACTACCAATGTATAGCAATATTTTAAAGAAATAGTTGACTTGTATAAGATTTTTCTTAAACCATTGGCATTATCTTGTTTAGTCTTTACCTGAGCTGTTAGAGCTGAAGAGCCACATCTCTTCCCTCTGTATGGAACATGTGTAAGGGATAGGACCACTTTTCTTTCCACCCACTTATATTTGAGAGTTGGCCTAATCTTTGTTTGTAAAAGTGTCATCTATCAGTTGCATTAAGCTAGGAAGAAACAGAAGGACTAGATACTAGGAGAGGTTTCCTTGTGTGAGTAGTGGGAAGTCTGAGGTGGGCAGTTTGTCCTTGGAGAGAGTCAGCAGCTTATTTACATCCAGACAGGAGTTTCTGAGTTTTCCTGATCCTTCCCCAGTGGTCTTAAGATGGCTGTGAGGCTGTGATTATCAAGTCCGCATGGAGGGCAAAAAGAGATGGTACCTTTTCCTTACCAGGAGAGCAAAACCTTTCCCTCAGGTCTCAGCAGCCTCTGTTTTGATATTATAGGTCCAAAATTATTTTAAAAATATTCTTCTTGTTATTATAAAGGCAATGTTTAAAGAAGTTACAGTTTCATAACTCAAGTAATGAGTACATTTCTTTTTAGACAGTGTCACCTCTTCCTTCGCTTTCTATCAGTTTTTCCCTCCTGTCCCCACCCCCCAGTTATATAGTTCATTTTCAACCTAGTATCTAGTGAGTATGACTACTGTGTTTGTTCCAAATTCATTCCTGTATCTGCTCAATCCCAAAGACTGAGAAACTGTCTCAGCTTTTCCAACCTAAAGTACGTGGTAGAAGGAAGAATGGAGTTGATAAGCCAGTGAGCCTATCATGCAAGGTGATCTTTTCTATATCAAAATGAATACTAAGAAGACCAGTAGAAAGCTTAATTTACAATTAATAAGTATAAATATTTAATTTTGCAAAAGTTAGAACACACAGCATTCTTTTCTTCCTGTGCCAAAATTTTATTTTAGGTATAATAAACCCACTAAAAATCATTAATGACTTCTGCCTTTCAAATGCCACCTCTGAATCTTTTCAAAAGCTATTTTGACATAAAAATAAACTTTAACTAATGAAAAATTCCTATGAGAGATCTGAAACACACATTTCATATCTTTTTTTTTTTTTGTTCTTTCTCTTGCATCCAGTTCGACCATCTATAACGAACAGTGGCAGCCAACCTACTGAAGTTATTGTCACCCGAGGGAAGAGTATTTCCTTACAGTGTGAGGTGCAAGGTATTCCCCAGCCAACAGTGACCTGGATGAAAGATGGCCGCCCCCTGACCAAGGGAAGGGGAGTGGAAATAGTGGATAGAGGTCGCAGCCTTCAGCTGAAGAACACTCATGTATCTGACACGGGTCGTTATGTGTGTATAGCTGTGAATGTAGCAGGAATGGCTGATAGAAAATATGACTTAAGTGTTCATGGTAAGTATTAAGTGGCTCAATAAGTCTACTCACTGGCTAGATATCATCCAGCATCCTGGAAGAGAAATATATACCTATGATGCTGGTTATATTTATAGTCCATCCTTGTCTATGTATCTATTACTTTTTTAATCATTTTTCCTTCTATGCTTGACCTCATATTAACTGACTTTGCTGAGATAAGCACATGTTAGGTATCCTTTTAAGAAATCACCCAGTAAAGTGTAATGTTATCTTCTTCAAGTGTTTTCAGTTCAATACTTTCTCAAGCAAAGTCCCTGGAGTATGTTTTTCAAATTAGTTGTCCTAACTAAGCTAGTGTAAACACAGGTTCCACAGAGCTAAAGACTGAATGTCAGTTGGGAATGAGCTGTAAAGATGTAACCTTCCAACATTCTAAGTAATGTTCCATGAATTAGAAATTTTCTGGAGCAAATATCTGGATGTATCTACTTTTAAGTAGACCTTTCAAATATCTAGAAGCAGGAGTGAATTTAGTAGAAACCAGTTATATACTTGAAGTCAGTTGACATACACAAAGTTCTCTTTTCCAAAGAGAAAAGAGAAAAACCAATCATTTAAATTATCTCTTCGTGAAATTGTGTTTAACTTTTGGGAAGGATTACTTGTTTATTAGAAAATCCTGCCTATACAATCATGAACCTATATTATAAATTTATCAGGACAGAGCATGAATCATAGGAAACAGCTAACCTTGAGGGAGAAGGTTGGAAGGAGTGACGCTGATGGAGTTGCATTGTACTCCTAAATTGATGATGCTGAATCAAAACTCTTGTACAACTACCTAATGGTGTTGTTTTAAAATTTTAAAGAAATTCACTAATCATATTAGAGTTACATCATGGAAAGAATTTATTGATTAGAGTGAAGAATAACCTAAGAAGTAAATAGGTAGTAGCATAATGTTTGTTTTGCTTATTCTTGGCCAGAAACTGGAAATCATCTTATTAGTAATAAAATGTTTAGAATTTAGGTATTTGATATATATTAACTGCATTATGTATTTCCTGTTTGTCTTGTTTTGTATTATAGCCCCTCCAACCATCATAGGAGACCATGGGGTGCCTGAAAATATCAGTGTGGTGGAAAAGAACTCAGTATCTCTGACTTGTGAAGCTTCAGGAATCCCTCTGCCTTCCATAACCTGGCTTAAAGATGGGTGGCCTGTTAGCCTTGGCAATTCTGTGAGGATTCTCTCAGGTACAAGGAATTCTGGCACCTTGACAATCTGGTTGGCTTCAGTTGGCCACAGTTTCTCTTAACCTTTTAAAATTAGTGTTTCTATTTTATTTTGACCTACCTGCTTATGATCACACCCATGAGTTTTATTAAGAAATATTTAAAAGGACCTGGGAATCTTTATGGAAGTCAGGAAAATCTCTATACACTTTTTTGTTTTAGTTGGTCGTGGGGCCTGAACTCTGTGTCTGGGCACTGTCCCTCAGTTCTTCAGCTCAAGGCTAGCGCTCTACCTCTTGAGCCACAGTGCCACTTCTGGCTTTTTCTGCTTATGTGGTGCTGAGGAATCGAACCCAGGGCCTCAGCATTCAAGGCAAGCACTCTACCACTGAGCCACCTTCCCAGGATAGCCAATAGACACATGAAGAAATGCTCAACCTCTCTAGCCATAAAAGAAATGCAAATCAAAACAACATTGAGATACCACCTCACCCCAGTTAGAATGGCTAGAATCAAGAACTCTAATAACAACAGATGCTGGAGGGGATGTGGACAGAAGGGAACCTTACTTCATTGTTGGTGGGAGTGTAAACTTGTTCAGCTACTTTGGAAAGCAGTATGGAGGTTCCTCAAAAGACTCCACATAGAGCTCCCCTATGACCCAGCAATCCCACTTTTGGGCATTTGCTATCAGCTATCAGCATGACTATGTTTATTGCAGCCTTATTTACCATAGCTAAGATATGGAACCTCTCTATAGACTTTTAAGCACTTACAAAAATCTTGGCATTTACTTACTATTTAATTCATGGTAATGTCAAAGTATTTGTGCTATAGTAATCTGAAACATTAAAAGAATGTCATATTTTGTAACATTTCCCTAAAATCAAATGTTGCAGCTAATGCTTGGTTGCTTGGAATGATGTTTTAAGTTCCAGAATGTAGCATTTCCTGTGAACTATGACTTTGTTGTTACCCAGCTTATTGTTCTTCTAATTTTGTAGGGAAATCTGAGAACACACACACACACACACACACACACACACACACACACACACACACATATGTATATGCTTAGAAAAAGGTTTCATCAGGCACACCACCAGAATCTAGACTTGTTCATTTCTGTAATGATTTAGATACAAACTAAGATATATATTAGGAGCCTTTTAAAGTATATGATTAATAAAATGCTTAGAATAATCACTAATACATTGAATGAAGGCATCTAAATTCAAATGTGCCTCATCTGGGAGGTTTTGAGTTAAACCTAGCAAGGTAATGGTTAAAGTCCTGCACTGATTATATTTAAAATCTATAGTGAAAATTATGGTGAGTTACAGCTTTCAAATTCTGAATCTAAGTAGATATCTGAATCACATTAGGACACAACGACAGTGCAATATGGTTATCAAGAAGATAAATGAGAATGTGGCCACACTTGTAAGGTATACTTTCTAAAAGAGAAAAATAAGAGAGCACCTTTAACCAGGGCATTGCCGACCTTATTAGGAAGATTAAAGAATTCTCTGGCAATATTTGCAAAGGAGAATAAGCATGATGGTAACTCATTGCAAAATAATTAATGTCCTGTAAAAATAAAGCTTATTTGTGTATTTGGTATATGATGAAAATTAAACTTAGATATTTGAAGAGCCACACTATAAAAGGGATTATGTAGTTCTTTCTGGTTCCAAAGGTAAAAGTCACATCAACATATGGGAAGTCCTGGGGAGAAATTTGGGTCTGACTGTAAACAATTTAGAAAAATAGTTTATTTTAAATCAAAATAATCTTCTCTAAGTGGTAATAAACTCCCTTATTTAACTCTGTTCAAACAGAGTTTAAATTCTAACCAGTGAAGGGTTTTTTCATAAAAGATCATAGTTTAGGTCTAAATAACCTAAAGTTTCTCTTTTTCTTCCTGATCTGTGTTTCCTGTGTTAACGTCATTCAGAGTATATATTTGCATTAACCACACATTAACTATAATGCCTAGTATATATGATCTCTAGCCAGTTACTTAAATTTGTTTAAATTAGTTTCATCACTTATGAAATGGAGACAGTAATCATATTTGCCTCTTAGAATTTTTGTAAACATAATAAAGAATTGCTGTATATAAGCAGTTAACACAGTGCTGTCAATGGTAAGCATCCATTGCCTATTAGCTATCGTTGTCAAAGACATCCCAATAACAAATTTGTAGTCTCCCTTTCCTGGGAAATTTCTCTATGCCTTTTCTATGATGCTTGCATTTTCATAGTATCTTCATTCTTTGTTGTCCTAAAGAAATGCAGAGTAATAGAAAAGATTTAATTATAATTTGGTTGCAAGAAATCTGAGCATATTATTTTTTTGCCTTGGAATATAAAATTTCAATTGCTGAGAAAATGTGAACATATTAAATACCATAACAATATCAGAGGTCTTGAAAATGAGAGTGGTAAGATAAAGTAATGTCCATTGGCCCGTTAGACATTTATAGGAGTAGTGTTTTGGTTCCAATTACTTTTGTTTTGCTTTAAAAACAGCCTGAGCAAACATTTTAGAAGTGTTTTACCTTGTGATCCTGCCAATCAGCTTTACAATCTAGATGTATGCCTTCTGCAAGAGATGAATGAATGTCAGATGAATGGCATATGAATGGATGGATCCTGATCTCTTGCACACTTCTGGCTCATTAAGATTAGTCCTCCTGAGACTACAAGTACTGCTTTTCTGTAAGCAGTGCTGTAGTGAAAGCCTTTCATTGTTATAAAGTTATCTGCCAAGAACAGATAATTGATATAAAAGTTTAATAGGCACAAGAAACATCTTCATGTAGGTATAAATTTCTGTTTTACTCTGCATTGAGAGGATCAGTAAATAAAGATCATGAGATTTTGAGTTTTGTAAACCCAGCATTGACTCATAAAAATAGTATTGCTTTGATATTTCTCAACTGGCATTTTAGTCTCACTAATCTGAAGTAGCAGTGAATGGGTAACATAAGAGTTTTCATTTTTACTGTTCAATTTCTTTATTTGCCTACCTAAATTCACCCAAGGGAAAAAAAGACTGACTTTAGGTTATGAGCTTTGTTTGACCAAACAAGGTTCAAAACAGTTCATCTTTCAGTTGCATCTTAGAAAAGCTCCTAATGAATCTGCTGTGTGTATGTATATAAACTGAAAGCAGATGGAAATTCTTCAACCAGATCTAGGTGAATTTTGAGATGAAAATTTCATGTTTAGCCATTATCATTTTTTAGTTCAAATTTGGGGTTCTAACCAAAACATAAAAAGAAAACAGAAAATTATTACACAATCTAACACATGGCTAACATGTTTTAAATGGTTTTCTTAAGTGGTTTGTAGGACTCTACTCTCGGGGTGTCTCTCCTCTGCAAACTTGGTTCCTTCTTATATGTAGACTTTGTCTTTTAAATGGAGTTTCCTTCCAACCCTTCAGTCTATCGGCTTTACACCATCACTATTCAATTATAGGGTAAATACTATCTCCTAAGACAAACTGTTGTACAGATGTTCATAAAATGGAAACAAAAGCATCCTTGCTAATGCATGAGGTAATACCTTCACCTTCCATGTACATAATTGTAGGATTCTTATAAACTTACTTGAAAGCTGGATGCCTGCCTTTGATTAGACCTATACCTTGTATATTGATGTGGCCCTAATGTTGCTCTAGTAGACTGCTTCATGTAGTTGTTTAGCTGATAGTCCCATTAACAACCTGACACAGCTGTTCATCACTAGCAGAAATTCAATCCTGGCCTTGTCTTGTGCATATACTTCCCTACCCTTTAGTTAACACAGTGAAGTTTCAGACCACAGAATCTGGCCAACCTCCATCTAGCCTCATCACTTAACATTTGTTGCTTAAGTTTTGGATACCACTGCTTTCTACTTCATTCATGATCCAATTGTGGTGTCTCTCATCTTCTGAACTATACTGACTTTTTAAGAGCATATTCAGATAATAAATATAATCTTCAAATAATAAACATAATCTCTGTGAAAGCCCACTTCTCACTTGATGTCACCAAGCACTAATTGTCTGGTGGTTTGTTTCTCCAGGGGGCAGGATGTTACGGTTGATGCAAGCTAGAGTGGAAGATGCTGGCCAGTATACTTGTGTTGTAAGGAATGCAGCTGGTGAAGAAAGAAAAATCTTTGGACTTTCAGTATTAGGTAATTTTGTAATTTGCAGTCACTAGGGGAAAAAGTCCAATTGACTTAATGACATCCTGGCCACAGTTAAAATTCATTTAGAGCTTGGATTCATACCTGTGTGTTCTTTAAATCCTTGACTATGGCTCTTGGCAAAAGCTTAGTGTTAGAAATGTTTGGAGGTAATCAGTCATATGTTGTCAGTTCACAAATTTTCAGCGCTGATCTGACATGATGAATGACTTGCTTAATGTGAGCTATTATTACAATTAATTACTCCTTCACTAGTTGCCATATTTTTATCTATCCTTTATGATTTACATTGTAATAAAATTCAGTATCATTGGAGACATGATATGTAATCTTACATATTAAAACTAGGATTGATTAAAATATTTAGACATTTTAGTACTGGATAATGAGTGAGAATTTGAAAGTCGATTTTAAAGAACACAGTAAACAGCCCTGTTTAGAATTATAACATTTATTCTGTTTTATTTGGTTTTAGTGCCACCTCATATTATGGGTGAAAATGTATTGGAGGATGTGAAGGTCAAAGAGAAAGAGAGTGTTACTTTCACTTGTGAAGTGACAGGTAAGGGAGAGGGCGCTCATACTGCTGGAAACCCCCCTCCACCTTACTGATACTCATTGTCTATTATATTTCTCCATTTGTCAAGGAAAAGCTTAGCCACTCTATAAAGCATTTGAAATTGAATCTTAGTCTAATGTAGGTGGTAGAAATGTAAGAGGAAGCCTCTCATAATCTATGGCTATAATAAAAAGGAAATTCTTCTTTTTTCTTTTTTCTTGTTTTTTTCTTTTCTTGTCTTTCTTGTCTTTCTTTTCTTTTTCTTTCTTCTTCTTCTTTTTTTTTTTTGGTGAGGCTTGAACTCTGGACCTGGGCCCTGTCCTTGAGCTCTTCAGCTCAATGCTAGAGCTCTACCACTTGAGCCACAGAGCCACTTCCAGTTTTCTGGTGGTTAATTGGAGATAAGGCTCTCACGGACTTTCTTGCCCAGGCTGGCTTTGAACTATGATGCTCAGATCTCAGCCTCCTGAGTAGCTAGGATTATAGGTATGACCCAACAGTGCTTAGTTGGCTTCAAACCACAATACTCCAGATCTGAGGCTCTTGAGGATCTAGGGTTTCAAGGGTGTATTTATTATAGGTATTATATAGGTATTTTATTATTATTATTATTATTATCATTATTTTATAGATGATCTTCTAGATTTAAAGGAAAAATACTCAAAACATTTTATGGAAAGCTAGTGTTTTAAGGAAGATGGGATGTGTTTCTTAGTTCATTGCAGCCATGTTTTCAATGAGCAATAAATGTAAGCAAGGATATTTTAAGAAAGGCAGACATAGAGAAGGTGTCATATACTATTAATTATCCTTCCATTTGTCCTAAAATCATATTAACAACTATTGAATAGATAATAGTTGTCTACATCTTACAAGTTAAAATTTTATAGCAATTCCTATTCAAGCTTTTGAGTGTATCACTCTAGCCTTCTTGCATACATGACCTGCTTTTATGTTTTTTTATGTAACATATTAATGTTTTGAATAAGATTACATTTGCTTTGAAAATACTTAGCTGCAAGAGCTAAAGTAAGGAAATGATGAGAGGGGTGGCGTTGATCAAGATGCATTGTACTAATAAACTGACATGCTGAATTGAAACTCTTAAAGATAATTTTAAAAATTATAATTTAAAAAAACTAAAATAGAATTTAGTTAAACACAAAGGTCAAATGAGAATCTTCTCACTTGTAAATAAAAACAAACCTGTACCTGAAAATGATCCCTAACCTATGTGTTTTTAGTCAGTGTATAATCATTAAATATAAACAAAAAGGTTAGTTTGCAACTTGGGCTTCAAAATGAATGGTCACTGTAGTTAGCATTTTTGAAGAGGAACATGTAAAGACCAAAAATGAATGGTCACTGTAGTTAGTGTTTTAGAAGAGGAACATGTAAAGAGCAAAGTGGAGGAAATATGCCTTCTTGAAATCTGTTATTTGTAGACCTGATTATTAGGCCATTCTCAGAAATGTTTTTTTTTTTTTCTTACAGGGAACCCAATGCCAGAAATCACATGGCACAAAGACGGACAACTCCTCCAGCAAGATGAAACCCACCACATAATGTCTGGTGGCCGGCTTCTTCAAATTTCTGATGCCCGAGTGTCTCACACAGGAAGATACACATGTTTGGCTACTAATGCAGCTGGAGACAAGAACAAAAGTTTCAGCCTGAATGTTTTTGGTAAGAGTCCACTTTGCTGATGGCTTCAACATTCAGACTTGAGTACTGGCTAAAATCTCTTTATTTCACTATCTCTATCGCATAATTACATTAAGGAAGGAACACCTAGACTTACACACATGTGCTGTTTTTTCTTTCTTTGTTCATTCCATTATGTACTATATTACCGGCAAGTGATGTCTTGTTGAGTGCAAAGGGTAACTTTGAACAACATATTTATTAAACATACAATAGTAAAAGAGTTAAGCTGATCAAAAAGAAGTAGCTAAAGAAATGAATGGGTCTGAGATACATTGATCTTTAACTTTGTGTGACTGATGTTGTTGGCAATTGTATTAGTAGCTCTGTGGCCTGAAATTACTGTGTGCCTTTGTATACAGTTGGTTCCTGCATTGTCAACGTTATGTTATGACATGAGCCACCAGCGCCCAGCTATATAATAGATTCTCAATCTCTGCTTATTTCTTAAAGTTTAAAAAGTACCACCTAAATTAATTCCACTTGATTACTAAAGCATTCTATTTGATTACTAACATCAAAATAATTCCTCTACCATTACCTGACTCATGTGAATATGCAGATTTTGGTCGATGAGTGTTGGTTTGCTTTTGTAATCATAATACTTTGAGACTGCATAGGTTTATAAGAACTTCCTACATAAGGCATTGATCTCGGAGGCCATGTAATTTTATTTTATTTTACTTTTTATTATCCCTTCCCATCTTCCCCCTTCCCCCTCCCCTCAGGCCAAAGTTGTAAAGTTTGTTTTTTCAATGTAACGTCTTGTACATCTCATTGTTGCAATGGGTCCACCTGTAAGACCATGTAATTTTAAATGAGTAGAACAGATGTAGAAACAAGAAAAGCTGAATCAAAATACTAAATATTGTACAAGTATCCAGTGGATAGTATATTAAAAAGACTGTGATAAAAGGCTATCAATATCCTCTTGGGTAGATCACATCTTTGCCTTATTTTCCCAGAATAGGATCACATAACAAGATATGGAGTTAGCTATGAATAAAAGTTTACGAACCAGACCTGGAATCTCTCCACACCTACTCAGTGTGTAAAGGACTATAGTTCATTCTGTAGTTCATCACTTCTTTTAAAACTCAAAATTCCTCAATGCCTTATTCCTCCCACTGCTGATTCACCTCCCAGTACTGATCCATTTTAAATTCTTCTGCACTGCCCTGCCTATAAAACAGATTTATCCAACCCCCAGCTATAATTGAAATTTGGCTTCTCAGCTCCCTGGAGGACATCTGCAGGGTAGATCACTTAGACTTTATTCTAGGTTTCCCGAGTCAATCTATCTACTACAGGCCTTCCTTGCAACCTTAGCCCTTCTGGTTACGTATCTCCATCATCATTCTCATTCATTGAAGACTGATGGAATCTGATCTGAAGTCTTCTTTTCCACCAGCTTAATACGCTGAGGCTATTCAAGGGTGTATATTTTCAACTTCCAATCTCCTTAGCCATAAACTTGGTGCCTTTACCCTTCCTTACATTATCTGTCCAACAGCCTCACCTTACACTGTTTCTTCTATCACGTGTGTGTGTGTGTGTGTGTGTGTGTGTGTGTGTGTGTGTGTGTGTGTTACTTGTCCTAGGGTTTGAACTCAGGGCCTAGGGGCTGTCCTGTGCTTTTGTCCTCAAGGCTAGTCCTTTACCACTTAGACCACAGCTTCACTTTTGGGTTTTTTTTGTGTGTGCTTAACTGGAGATAAGAGTCTCACAGACATTACTGCCTGGGATGGCTTTGAACTGTGATCCTCAGATTTCAGCCTCCTGAATAGCTAGGAGTATAGGTGTGAGCCACCAGCACCCAGATTACCATGACATTTTTAGGCGCACTTTGCCTGTACTTTGCTAATAAAAACAGGGCTTTTTGGGCTGTTAAGCAAGTTCTCCCCTGTTGCTAAAGCCTTGTGCTTTTTTTTTATTCCTGATCCTAGCATGGTTTACATGACTGACTGGTTTCTTCTTGCACTGTTCATTCCTAACTAGTGATCTTTGCTTGCCCTGGTTGGTCCCTAACTTTCTTTGTTGGACTCTCGCTTGATTTCTCTTATGAAACGTTGTGATCCCTATAATTCTGTTTTTACTTCATGAGTCTTTTTACTCTAGATATTCTCTTCAAGGAATACAATTCAATCCCAGATGTTTAAATAGACACTTGTGACTTGTAAAATCCAAAACTGCAATGCAGATCTTTCTTAGAAGTTTCAAATTCTATGTACAATTATTTGTTAGAATTTCAAGCTGGAATGTAGGACTTAAAATATAAAAAGATTTACAAGTGAAGAAACTCCTCCTCTCTTAAAAGGGCAAACCTTTCTATATGTTTTACATGTTTTTTAATGCAGTTTACTTATATTTGCAAGGAAGATAATTCGGAAGGTATGTTTGACTTCAGTTTCTTTTACTCTCTCCCCCATCAATCCTGTCATGTATCCTATTCATTAAGTTCCTAAGTGTCTCTTTAATTGGTTTCTTCTCCTTATTCTTGTTTACACAAGTCTCTGTTAAACTTCCAATATATTGACACAGTGTATCTCTGCTGTTTCCCACCTGTCTCCACTGTGTACTACCACCACTCTGCTTCCAGTGATTGCCTTCTTTTCTCTCTCTCTTTTCTTTCTTTCTTTTTTTTGGTGGGTCGTGAGACTTGAACTCTGGGCCTGGGTGCTGTCCCTGAGTTCTTCAGCTCAACGTGAGCACTCTACCACTTGAGCCACAGTGCAACTTCCAAGCACCTTATTTTATTTTAATTGTGAAAATACCATACAGAAGGGTTACAATTACATGAGCAAGGTAATGAGTACATTTCTTACTAAGTATTGTTGCCTCCTCCTTTGTTTCCCCTTCCCATCCCTGCCACCCACGTCCCTCCCTTCCTCCTCTCCCCCCCCCCCCCCCCCCCCCCCGCCTGTCAAAGTTGTAAAGTTCGTTTTTCGACATAAGGTCTTGTACATCTCATTGTTGCAATGGGTTCACCTGTATCCCTAGTTAAACGATTTGTTTTTTCCCTTCCCCTCCACAAATTATACCAACATTAAATGCAGTGAAAACAGGGGTTATACTGTGGGGGAGGGACATACAAAGCAACAAAGAAATCATCTTATAAATATGTTAGAAACAATTGCAAGAAAGAAAAAAAATATTTGAATCCTTATCTTGGGGTTCATTTCTCCTAACATCAACCTATCTGACCATTTCTGCTTGTCTCAGACATATACTAGTTATTGCAAACAAGGGAAACCACGGGACCTATGTTTCTTTGGGCCTGGCTTACTTCACTTAATATAATTTTTTCCAAGTCTTTCCATTTCCTAACAAATGGAACAATGTCATTCTTTCTGATGGAGGCATAGAATTCCATTGTGTATATATACCACATTTTCTCAATCCATTCATCTACTGAGAGGCATCTGGGTTGGTTCCATATCTTAGCTATAGGAAATAATATTGCAATAAACATAGTTGTGCTGGTAGCTTTAGTATAGTCTTGTTTGTGATCATTTGGGTAAATGCCCCAAAGTAAGATTGCTGGGTCGTAGGAGAGCTCTATGTGGAGTCTTTTGAGGAACCTCCATACCACTTTCCAAAGTGGTTGAACAAGTTTACAATCCCACCAACAATGCAGTAAGGTTCCCTTCTGTCCACATCCCCTCCAGCATCTGTTGTTATTAGAGTTCTTGATTCTAGCTATTCTAACTGGAGTGAGGTGGTATCTCAATGTTGTTTTGATTTGCATTTCTTTTATGGCTAGAGAGGTTGAGCATTTCTTCATGTGTCTATTGGCCATCCTTCTTTCCTCTTCAGAGAAGTTTCTCTTTAAGTCTTTAGCCCACTTATTTATTGGGCAGTTGTTTCTTTGAATATTTGTTGTTGTGGGATTTAATTTTTTGAGTTCCAGGTATATTTTAGATATGAGACCCTTGTCTATTGTATGGCTAGTGAAGATCTTCTCCCAATCCATGGGCTTTCTATTGATCTTGCTAGCTATGTCCTTTGCCATGCAGAAGCTCTGCAATTTCATGCAATCCCATTTGTCCAACCTTTCTTTTATTTGTTGTGTTTCCGGGTCTCTATTACGAAAATTTTGTCCTGTGCCAAGGAGACCTAGGGTTTCTCCTATTCCATCCTGTAATGTTTTCAGGGTGTCTGCTTTGACTCTGAGGTCTTTGATCCATTTGGAGTCAATTCTGGTGGACGGTGATAAATAAGAATCTAGCTTTAGTTTTCTGCAAGTGATTAACCAATTTTGCCAGCACCATTTACTGAAGAGGCTGTCTTTCTTCCATTCTATTTTTTTTAGCTCTCATATTGAAGATTAGGTTGCTATAGGTCTGTGGGTTCATTTATGGGTTTTCAATGCTATTCCATTGTTCTTGTGCCAGTACGAAGCTGTTTTGATTACTATGGCTTTGTAGTAGAGTTTGAAATTTGGTATTGATATTCCTCCAGCACTGTTCTTTCTGTAAGGATCATTTTTGCTATTCCAGGTCTTTTATTGTTCCATACGAATTTTTGGATTGCCTCTTCCATTTCCTTGAAGAATGAGGTTGTAATATTGATAGGTATCACATTGAATTTGTAGATGGCCTTGGGAAGTAATGTCATTTTCACGATGTTGATCCTTCCAATCCAGGAACATGTGAGGTTTTTCTACTTTCTAAGTTCTGTTTTGATTTCCTTTTTCAGGTTTTTAAAGTTTTCATCATAGATGTCCTTCACTTCTTTGGTTAATTCCTAGGTATTTTATTTTTTGTGGGGCTATTACCAATGGTATTGCTTTCCTGATTTCAGCCATGTTTTTCTCATTGTTGGCATACAGAAAAGCCATTGATGTTTGAGTGTTAATTTTATACCCTGCTACTTTTCCAAAGTTTTGAATCAGCTTGAGTAATTTGGGAGTGGAGTCCATGGGATTCTTTAAATACAAGATCATTTCATCTCAAAGAGGGAGAGTTTTATTTCATTTTTCCCTATTTGGATCCCTTTTATGTTTGCATCTTGTCTTATTGCTGTAGCTAGGCATTCTAATACTAGATTGAAGAGAAGTGGAGCCAGTGGACATCCTTGTCTCGTTCCTAAGTTAAGAGGAAATGGCCATGCACCTTCTTTATATTAACATTCTTTCTTTCAGCTGCAGATAGCACTCTTCCTTGAGGCTCACTTTAAAACCTCTTCTAGATCTAGTAGGAACCCTCACACCACATGCTCTGGAATGACTTCTGTCATTCCTTTTGCCTTTCAGTAGTATTCGCTGTCTGTCCTTCCATCTATGTTGTAATTTCCCTATGTTGTAATCTTCCCCTCCATTACCCTGAGCGTTATTTTTTTTTGTTGATTGCCTTTGAATAAAGCAAGAACAACAACAAATTATTTTTGTAAATATTCACAAATGGAATTACATCAATAAATGCCCTGGCAATTTAGAAATGCACAACTGAGGAAATTCCTCAATTTATTTCATTAAATGTGTTGTTTTTTTCAGTATCACCCACAATTGCTGGGGTAGATAGCAACGGCAGCCCTGAAGATGTCATTGTTATCCTCAATAGCCCCACGTCTTTGGTGTGTGAAGCATACTCGTATCCTCCTGCTACTATCACCTGGTTTAAAGATGGAGCACCTTTAGAATCCAACCGAAATATTCGCATTCTTCCAGGTAATGAACTTACTTCAGCTACCCAACAAGAATCTGGGTCATCTATTACTGTAGAAAAGCAGAATCATTGCCTATTTTTATAAAAAAAAAAAACAAAACTATGATATTGGTTATAGTCTATTCTATTGATGTTATACTTTCTGTTTATATTTATGTAAATATGTACTTATATACTATAATCAAAAATGCCAAAAATTACTTTTTTGAAAAATATTTAAAATGGCCCCAATATAATTAATTGCTAAAATATCTTGTAATGTAGAACAGTGAAAGGATAGGAACTCATCAACTTATTTTATCTCTTAAAAGAGAGTTAGTATTAGACTGAGTTATTCTTCTTTAATGCCAGCTATTATTTATATAAGTAAAAAAGATTTAAAAGTATAATTATTGGTCTTAAGAAACTTGAAGTCTTATGTGGAGGAAATAAAATATATGAGAAAAGCTTATTAACAAAATGGATTTGTGAAAAATCATGAGTAAAAATTTTGAGGTGGAGCTAGGCGCCTATGGCTCATGTCTTTAATCCTAGCTCACAGGAGGCTGACACCTGAGGATCCTAGTTCAAAGCCAACTTTGAAATATTTAAATCACCAAAAAGCTGGAAAAATGGGGCTGTAGCTCAAACAAGAACATCACCCAGGCCCTGAGAATAAGCCTAGGAGACACACACCACCACCACCACCACCACCACACAATGAGAGGTTATGAAAAATTGAATAGTTGAAAGATTTCTAAGAATTAAAAGGAGAGATGGCTACCTATGATCAGAAGTGGCCAGGAAAAGCCTGTTGCTTAGTCAGAATGTGGCCCAGACTTCAAAGGAAGTTCCAAAGTTTATCTCATTGGCAGTGCATTGGGAGAGATTTCAAGTCCTACAGGATGACAAGTGTGGAAAAGTATAAAAGAACGTATAGGTGATAATAAGTAGATTTCTAGTGTACTACTTGAAAGAGAACAGCTGAAATAAAGTAAGAAAATAGGAACCATGTGTTGAATGCATGGATTAAAGAGGTTTCATATCATACCCATGATTGGAGCACCCATGAAACTATTCTTAGGAAGAAAACTGTGCTCTAAAAAATTTAATCTCTACTGATAGATTAAAGGGGAAGATGATGACTAAGGCAGAAATTTGAGTAAAGTAAGAACTTTAGCTAAAGTTGTATACAGGAGTGGGAATGTATCAGAAAGGTCATAAAGTCATTATTGGAGAGCCCACTGGGCTGGGTAACTGTCACCCCCATACAATGCTCATGTCTGCAGTTAGTCTTATCTCAACTATATAGAGAGGCATATAAAAGAAGAAGAAACAAGTTCCAAATAGCTAAAATCCTGGTGGGTTGCACATCCTCTACTCTGAAGTCAGAGGTTCTTTAATGTTGCATGATGTCTCAGGAGGGAGAACTCTGCAGATCCTCAACGCACAGGAAGACAATGCCGGGAGATACTCTTGTGTGGCCACCAATGAGGCTGGAGAAATGATGAAGCATTATGAAGTGAAGGTCTACAGTAAGTTCTGGAAGAATGTGATATTTTCTGTCTTCTCTGATGTTTCTCACTCTCTCATGTCTGTTTGCCATTATGGGTTCATAATTATTTAAACTGACCATTAAGGACTCTTGTTATCCAGTCTGTTTAATGAATGATGGAAATAGAATTAAACATTGTACCCATGACCTCAATTGCTTAAAGATGTGAAGATCCCACTCAGTCTGCTCACTGTACTCTTGTTGAAAATTTTGGAATGGCACTGTTTTTCTTCGTGACTTGCTCTGTGGGATGAGTTATAATAGCTTCCTGTACAGAGTTGTGGTTTAAATACTTACGCCATAATCCATGAGACCCTCAATGATCTGACGCCATCATGATGTACAGTCACCTTTGAGCAAAAAGGCAAGGCTAAGACTGCCACTAATAGGATCCACATCTCGGGATGTTTTACCCCTATTTTTATACAGAAGGAGTATTTTTTAATTGTCATTTCTTCTTTGACTTACCCTTAACAATAAATAAAATACATTTCATGGTTCAAACATGGACTATTTATTGTGGACCTGGAACAAAGAAAACTGGCTGTTGTATGAATATGTTGGCTTCCTTGGCAGTTTTAGAAAAATGAAAGGAAAAAGCTGGTTTCTTTCACACTCTGTATCTAAATAGTACTGATCTTAGATTGATAACTCAAAGACCTTAATTGAAGGGCAGTATGGGAAATATCCTTGCCATTTCCTTATTTTCTGGTTAAATGATCCTCATTATGATCCTCATGGTATGTCATGTATCTGAAAAAGAAAAACACAAAGATTAATGCTTTAATATTTATTTTGAGCAGTTCCACCAATAATCAGTAGAGGAGACCTTTTGGGGCCAGGTCTTTCCCCTAAAGAAGTAAAGATCAAAGTAAACAACACCCTGACCTTGGAATGTGAAGCTTATGCTATTCCTTTGGCCTCTCTCAGCTGGTACAAGGATGGACAGGCAAGTCACAACTATTCTCACTTACTGGTAATTTCTTAAAGATGACAATAACCAATTAAGACAAAAGCATGCAGAAGTGACTTGGCGCATCATTGTGACCTTAAAAAGTAGCCAACACCATTGCTCCTAGAATCTGAAACTGCTTAAGTCAAAAACCAAAGTCACATTCAAACATTTTGGCATGGTTCCAACACTGAGCAGGTTTCAAGATTGTTCTTGTAGGTATTAGCAGCTGACTACAAAAACCTCATCCCACTCCTACAGAAGTTTGACAAACAGGGCGTCTGCTCTGTGGTTTCACTAAGTGAACTTCTCTAGAGAAGAAATCAATACATCGTGCTATAGCAGACTTAAATGATGGGTATATAATATGGGCATTCAAGTTATTCAGAAGTCTCACTAAACATCTTTAACTCCTGTTACAAGAGGTAAAATTTTTGATATTCCAAACTATTGGGGACAAAGCTAAGGGACAGAAAATCAATTTGGTTACCTGTAGTCTAGGGAGAAACATGAAATGACTGGCAAATCCTCAGTTCTCTGATCTGACTCTCAGTCTACCTACCTATTTGCCATTTAATTCACATTCTCCTGTGCATGTTATAAAGATATATGTACTGATATTCTTAAGCTGACATAGAATTTTTAGCTGATATTGATACTGTTTAATACAGATGTGGAATAAGCTACCCTGTGGTTTATTCTGTTTTACATATCATTAACCACATGGCCATGTCATATTCCAGTTGTAAGACTTCAGGTAGATTCAGGCAAAGATATCACATTTGCTTTTCAGACCCCAGATGGATTTTGCTAGACTAGAAGTGAGTAGGCAAAAAAAAAAAAATCATCTCATATAAAATAAGCAAATTTCATCTGGAAATGATTGCAGGAAGAAAATATAGAACTCCCACTAGGTTGTTTATAGTTTCTTTTTCTGACTATAATCATGCTTCATGGTGCAATATCAATTCTATTTAAGTTTATTTGGAAACAATTCCTCACTCCTTTGAATTTCTATTATTATTTTAATCTTCTGTATATCTTTTTCATTGCTTAGTTACTATATATACACATACACATAAACATGCACACATAAAACTTAAAGACTAAACAAGGTTCATCTCGAAAATTATTCCAAAACTGCAGAAGGAAGAAAATGATCATTTGCATCAAGATCATAAATCTAAACTAATTGTTGGGTATAAAGGAAAGAGATGAGCCCAAAATTCACATGAAATCCCTGGGAAAGTGGTATTTGAAAAGAAGAGATACAAAGATTAAGTTTGAGCACTCCCACATTTGAAAGTTAAGAAACTGTCAATGTAGTATGTCAAAAGATAAAGAGAAAAAGATATTTCAAAAGGACATAACTGTGGCATATACCAGTAAGTACCAGCAAGGTAAAATAAAGTTTTAGAATTAAGCAATAAATTTAGCAACGTGAATGTCACTGGTGTTTTCAGTCAAGTAGACCTAACAGAAGCTCAGTTAAATCAGATTCTAGGAAAGATGAAAGGAAAAAATTAGACATAGCACATATAGAAAGCATTTTAATATGTTTTTCATTGTAGAAATACTGTACAGAGGGGTTACAGTTACATGAGTAAGGTAATGAGTACATTTCCTATCGAGCATTGTTACCTCCTTTGTTTTTCCCCTACAATCCCCACCTCCCCAACTCCTCCCTCCCCACCCCCCAAGTTGTAAAGTTCATTTTCAAAATACTGTCTTGTACATCTCATTGTTACAATGAGTCAACCTGTATCCGTATTTCAGCATTTTGTTATTTCCCTTCCCCTCCCCAAATTAGAAAAATGTATATACAAGATGCAGGGCACTGATATCAAATACAGTGAAAATGGGTTATACCATGGGGGAAGAACATAAAAAGGAAAAAAAATCATTTAGAACATTTTAAATATATTAAAAACAATAGCAAGGAAGAAAAAATAACTTGTGTCCCTATCTTTGGGTTCATTTCACTTAACATTATCTTATATGGTCATACATATATAGCTTTTGACCTTTTCTGCTTGTCCTAGACTAATACTAGTTATTGCAATTAAGGGAAACAATGGGGACTGTGTTTCTTTGGGCCTGGCTACTTCACTTAATATAATGTTTTCCAGGTTTTTCCATTTCCTAACAAATGGGGTGATGCCATTATTTCTGACGCAGGCATAGAATTCCATATATATGCCACATTTTCTTGATCCATTCATCTACTGAGGGACATCTGGGTTGGTTCCATATCTTAGCACAACTATACTCATTGCAGCATTATTTACCATAGCTAGAAAACATTTTAAAAATCATTTGACTATACAGGAAATCAGAAAATATGAAGATGGGCAGCAGCCAGAGAGAGTTGTGTCCTTTAAGATTGGCAGTGGTAGGTATGGCTTACACTATATAATACTAGCTATTGGAAAGGTTTAGATTGGGTAGATCCCAGCTCAAGGCTAAATCAAGCAAAATTTCTTGATACTTTGTCTCAACAGAAACAGAGAGGGACATGCTATGCCTTCCATCCTGGCTACAGCAGGAAACATAGCAGGAGGATCATGGTCCAGTTTGACTCAGGCAGAAAATAAGACCCTGTCTCAAAACATACCAAAGCCAAAGGGCTGGAGGCATGGCTCAAGTGATAGAGTCCTTGCTTAGCAACTGTGAGGCCCAGGTTCAATCTCAGTATTGCAAAGAAAAAGAAAAAAAAGAGGTGTGGGGGGAGACCTAGAATGGTGTAAATGAGAGGACATGGCTTCTGGAAGAATGTCTTTTGAGGAGACTAAGGTTTTCTCAGAATGCAGAAGGATTGGGCTCTGTAAGAGTTAAGGTTTTACTAGAGTAAAATGAAAGGAGAGGAGGCCAGGGAGTTAGAGCTTATGCTTGGAGCGGCTGCTAGGGGAGATCTCAGGGTGAGGGAGAAGAGAGGTTAGGGAGGAAATGAGAAGTAGAGAAAGGACTGCAAGATCTAGCAGAGGAGCTGTGGCTTAAGTGGTAGAGTGCTAAGGATGAGCACAAAAGCTCAGAGACAGCACCCAGTCCCTGAACCAGGACCAGCCCCCCCACCTACAAAAAAGACTGCAAGGTGAATGGAATGCAGGTTTTCCCATAGGCTTAAACAACGATTGCGTTGTTTAAAAGGTTAGTAGGTTGCTTAAAAGGTTAGTAGGTAAATTAAAAGGTTAGTAGGTGGTAGTCAGAGATGAGCACTTAAAGCAGAGTGTGAAGGGGTGAGTTAATAATTTTTCAGCCCTCGGTATGACTGTCTTATCGCTGAGAAAGGATGGGGAACAATAAAGCCGAAAAAGATGGTAGAAGGGACTGGAGAGAGTACAACTTCAGATGGCTGCTTGAAAATACCAAACAACAACATCGCAGAAGGAATGAGAATGAGGCCAGGGTGAAAATCTTTAAGGATGTTGGAATATAGATATCAATATTCCTGCTTAAGAAAAAATGCCAATGCAACAATGATCAATGGGAAATGTACTCATTACCTTGCTCATGTACAGCAATTTTATAATAAAAAAATGTACAGAAAAAGAAATAATGCCAATGAATGAACAATAGTAATATTAGATCCAATTATATCCAATCTGAATGTGCTGTTGTCCTCAATTTTTTTATAAAGACCTGTGGTATGTGTGTGTGTGTGTGTGTGTGTGTGCGCACACACGTATGTACATGCTCACAGGCCCAATACAGTGCTTGAATTCAAGCCATCCCTGAGATTTTAGAGTGCTCTTGTATACCACTTGAGCCACAGCTCCACTTTCAGCTTTTTGTTGGTTAATTAAAGATAAGAGTCCCGTAGCTTTTTCTGCCCAAGCTAGCTTCAAATCTTCAAATCTCAGCCTCTTAAATAACTGTAATTACAGGTACAAGCCAACAGTACTCAGCCAAGAAATTTTTTTCACAATTATCATAAAAAGACACTCATATTTAAAATACTACATAAGAGCAGTGAATAAAAGAATAAACTTTTTTCTAAGATGGATCAGTGGATATGATAAACAAAACTGTAATTTTTAATCATAAAAATATGCAAATATATCTCCCATAAATACCTGGCACAATTGAAAGCCAACTCAGCTGTAATCATCAATAAGTAATCATCGCTCAAAAACTATTTTAATCAAAGTAAATTAATTAGTGTTAGCTTGACTATATTCCATAAAATTGTATTTCCATTTATTACACATCATAAAAATGATCAACTATATGGTCCCTGAGAGGATTTATGATGTATATGATGTTAACATTGTTATCATTGAATCACAGCCTCTTAAGTCAGATGATCATGTCACCATTGCTGCAAATGGGCACACACTTCAAATAAAGGAGGCTCAAATATCAGACACTGGACGGTATACTTGTGTTGCATCTAACATTGCAGGGGAAGATGAGCTGGACTTTGATGTGAATATTCAAGGTAATACTTGCATATTTATTGCATAAAATTTAGTGCATGATCTATCAAACTAATGGAAGAGATTTGACTTGGTTTATTTTAAATAGATTTTTTTTCCTCTTGATAATATTAGAAAATAAATCATTTTTGATGCTTTAAACTCAAGAAATTCAGGGAGAATTTTTTTTATTATCTTCAGATAATAAAAAGTGGGGTTTCAATGTAATATATCCATTTATATGTACCATGAATGTATCTTGATCAGAGCCAGTTCAAACTTCTAAGTGTACATACATACAACTCATCTGGATAATTAAATCACACAATACCAACTTCTCTGATACATTTTCATTCCCCTAACATTATATCATGGCATTTTAACAATAGAATTTATGTGGAAGACAGAAAATCCCTAAAGAGTTCAGAGTAGTCGACATTGAATTGGTGATTATTACAACTCCTATAAGCTTTGTGACTTGAACAAGTTACCTGCATATTTCAAACCTTGATCTTTCCCTTAAAGTCATTGCCTTTGTTTGTACAGTTGTGAATATAAACTAAGGTAACCTATATAAGCTCTTAGTTAAATGATTGAGAAACACTGATTGTTTTGTTTTGATATTGTTTTCCTTACTGCTTTTCAACATGATTTCTTGGTTCCTTGCTAGGGATTGAACCCAAGTCTTCAATCCTGTTAAATTAGTGCTCAACCACAAAGCTTTATCTCCAGCTGTCATCATGATTTTTGATAACTCTTACTTGTTTCATCACTTGGATATTCAAATATTTGTGTAATGACAGTCCTTTTGTGTTATTACAAACCACTAAGTGGTTTCCAACTTTTTATTACTTATATGAATCACCATACTGAATATATGTACGCATAAAACTTTTGCCCATCTTTGACTTTATACAAATGGCTAAAAGTAGAAGTTTTAGGTTAAAAGTTATGCACTTTTAGTATGTACCAGTCCTAAAGCTGTAACTCAGGGCCTCTAGCTCTTGCTAAGTCTTTTCATTCAAAGCAGGTACTCTACCACTTGAGCCGTGCTTCTGTTGCATCTGGCTTTTTGCTGGTTAATTGGAGATAAGAATCTCTCACATTTTTCAACCCAGGCTGCCTTCAAGGGTGATCCTCAGATCTCCGCCTCCCATATCTAAGAGAGTGATGGTGAGCCGCCACCACTCAGTAGAAAGTCAGGTACTTTTTAAATGTGTGTGACGTCCAGTCAAATCACCTTCAAGAAAGTTCACACTTGTTCCCAGGAATGGATGAGTTGGTCCGATTGTCTTAATGGAGTTTCTTATCCTGATTGTTGTGGACTTCATTTGCCTTCTTACATTGTTGGGAAATGTAAGAATAATTCAGTGGTCCACCAAAATTAGCTTTTCCTACCATGATCATATTTCTTAGCTCAGTCCTGAGAACAGGTATTCAATGCTTTTCAGGGAGGTGAGAGCTGAAATGAAGCCTTCCTAAGTCCCAAAGCTCTGGTCTCCTCCACATGAGAACCAACTCCACTTTTGTCTGCTACTTTGCTTAGCTAACAACTGGTGTTGGTGCACATATCAGTACTTGAAAATATTGTCATCATCTCCAGTTTATGTTTGCAGTCACTTGTCAAAAACAGTCAAAATTTTTTGTTCCATGGGTTGACCTTGATCATTCACACATAAACAAAATGTGTGGTGTTTATTCGTAGTTCCTCCAAGTTTTCAGAAACTGTGGGAAATAGGAAACATGCTAGACACTGGCAGGACTGGTGAAGCCAAAGATGTGATCATCAACAATCCCATTTCTCTTTACTGCGAGACAAATGCCACTCCGCCTCCCACGTTGACGTGGTACAAAGATGGCCAGCCTGTGACTTCAAGTGACAGAGTCTTGATCTTCCCAGGTAAGTGATACCACTGACATGGGAGTAGGAAATCTCTGCCAAGTGTGTTTTTCTCTTTTATAAGATGGCTCTCTGGTGATACAATTTTAATGACACGGAAGCCGTTGAATGCTACATGTGTTGTAGGTTCAATCTAGAAGAGGCTAATTTGAGAGCTGAACAGTGGCATAGAATATTTTAGTCATGTCTACTACAGGATCTCGCATGAACTCCTTCCATCTTCCTGTGTCTCCTTTGCTCTGTTAGTACAAGGAGAGAATTAGATTAGTTTTATAAAAAAGCATTGTTAAACAAATTATATTTTCCCAAGGGTGGCTACTGAACTTATTATAGATAAGTGATAAAATTTGTTTCAAATAGTTATTTGATTTTTTTTGGCCAGTCCTGGGGCTTGAACTCAGGGCCTGGGCAGTGTCCCTGAGCCTCTCTACCACGTGAGCCACAGTACCATTTCTGACTTTATGTGTATGTGGTGCTGAGGATTCAAACCCAGGGCTTCGTGCATGCTGGGCAAGCACTCTACCAATGAGCCACATTCCCCTGTTTCAAATAGTTGAGATATTACATTGTTTATAGAAAGAAAAGGTGTTTGAGATGTCTAGGAGTATTATTTTTGAGAGCTTCAAAATAATTTTGACAAGTGTCAGGGTCTGTTTAAGTTCATCCTAAGGTGTACACTGTGTTAGCATATTAAACAATTATGTGTAAATTTGACCTGCAATAAAATGATATCTTTCAAAATTAAAAAATATAAAAGGGGACTAAAAAGATAAGGTAACTATATTTAATATATAAGATTAAATTTGACCTAAGTCTAGGGGTGAAATGGCTATAAAAAGTATACTGCAGCAATAATGAAGCCAGAAACCAGTTTCATTGTTGAACAGCAGTAATGAACGATGGTTCAGCAATGGTTTTGTATTGGTTTTAAATTTCCCTGCTTTTGATTATTGTTCTGTGGTTATCTAGGGGATAGTCTTTATTCTTATTTAGGAGCACTTCAGATTGAAAGGGAACCGTGTCTGCAGTTAACTCTCAAGTGGTTCAGAAAAAGAGTGCATAATAAGTGAAAATAATTGATATGAGCTAAAAGTAATTGGTAAGTGGTAAGTTCAAATGAAAGTTTTATAAATAGTTATTACACCTTTTCTCTAAGTGTGAAACATCAACATAAAAAACTTTAAAACCAGCTACTGTGGCTCTTGCCTGTAATCTCAGCTACTCCAGAGGAAAAAGTAAGAGGATCAGGAGTTCAAGGCCAACCAAGGTAAAGTTCATGAGCAACCTTATCAGAAAAACAAATGAGTTCTTTTTAAGGGACTGAAAGTGTGGAGAGTTCCATAGGAAACAGTGCAAATATCTATTAGAGATACAAAGTTGGGCATGATAGTTGATGCCTGTTATCTCAGGTACTCAATAGATGGAGGCAGGAATCCCACAGGTTTCAGGCTAGCATGGATAAAGGTAGCTAAGAGACATTGTCTCAAAGCCAAACACAAAAGCAAAAACAAAACAATTGGGTTGAACAGGGAGTGGCTCCAGTACCGAGGGCTTTCCTAGCACCTGCAAGGCCCCAGGTTCAATCCCAACACCCCAAAAAGAAAGGGAAAAGGGAAAGGGAAAAGGATCAAAAGTTGAAAGGAAATTATCACAGCATGATTAGCGTCCTATATGGAACATGATGGGATATTATCCATTACCCGCCTCTGGGAAGATTTACATGAGCTATTCATTTTTCAGGAAAGCTGGTGTATATTACAAAATTGGATTACTTTTTAATAAGGCTATGTTTGTTATAAAAATGGATAGTATCTGAGATTTACTTTTTGGAACTCAGTGATTGAATGAAATGAGAGCCTTGGAAGAAAATGTGAGGAAGTCATTCTTCATGACAATGTGTGTCTGGGTGTGTGATTTGTAACACACAGAGGAGGAAACACACTGGGGTGTATTTTCAGGAGGGCGAGTGCTACAGATTCCCCGGGCAAAAGCAGAAGACGCTGGGAGATACACGTGTGTGGCCGTGAATGAAGCTGGGGAAGATTCTCTTCACTATGACGTCCGTGTCCTCTGTAGGTTGCTTGTTTTTTGTTTATTATACGCTCTCTCACTCAAAAAGATTTTTCAAGAACTAATGTGTACAAGCTGTTACCCTAGGCACTTTAGAGACTATAAAAATAATCAGAAACCGACAGTCCCTCCAAGGAATTAATTGTTGTATATACAAAACTCAGAGCACATTGTTGTCAGATCCCAGATAGCAAGATGGTTTAAACCAAAAACTCATTGACTCATGACTCGGAAAAGTCCCAGAGACCAGCTGGCTATCATCATGTCTGCCATCTATGGATCAAAAGAGATCAGCCAGACTTTACTCACAGTGAGGTCTGAGGGTCTGCAAGAGGCTACTGGGCTGACAGAAGTAAGAAGAAGATGAAGGAGTAGGGTTTTCAGAGCAAAGAGCAGTTTATAAAGGACTCCTGTAAGGAAGTATATGAAACAAAATTCAAATTTTGATTTATTAACAAACACGCATTCCGTGTTTCACTATAAGCCCGGCACTATACTAGGCACCAAGAATATATACCAATAGCAAATAGCCAAAAAAACCCATATTGTTGAATGTTATTTCAAAAGAACATTGAAATTCTGTTATATACATTGCAGTGTTATTTTCTTTATAAAATTCCAGTCTCATTCCTGGAGATCTGAATAACCACAAGAGTACTCTTTACTGCGTATTAGTAACATCATGTACTTTAGCAGAATGAAGTGAAAAGGAACCAAACTTGTAAACCCAAAGAATGATTATTTTGGACTTCCATAGTTGCATTCACAAAAGCAGCCATCCTCTGCCTTCTGGACTTAGTAGATGTTTCAATCATTTTTCCTATGGACAATATGGTATCTTTTATAACACACACACACACACACACACACACACACACACACACACACATGCTATTAAAGCATTTTAAATAAAAATGAATGCTTCTAGGAAAATCTACAGCCAGACTTCTCCAACTTCAGCATTTATGAGGTCACCTGGAGAGCTTGCCAAGACATTGCCTTCCTATACCTCTTTAGAGATGCCTACTGGGGAGGTCTGATTAGGGCCCCCAAAATGAGCATTATAACCAAGTACCTGGGTAATGCTGATGCTAATGCCATTGATGGTAAGTCCAGATAATCCCTCACAAATGAGACAAAATCTGCACATTGCAAATACACTTAAAAGATGTAAGTTAGCTGTGAGCTAGCAACTCATGCCTGCAATCCTAGCTACACATGAGGCAGACATCAGGAGTATAGTGGTTCAAAGTCATCTTGGCCAGAAAAGTCTTCAAAATTCTGTCTCCAAAAATAACTATCAAAAAGCCAGGCTGGGAACATACCTTAAGTGATAAAGCTCCAGATGAGTAAGCAAAGGCATGTGTACAAGGCCTGAAGTGTGAACCCTGGTATTAGTAAAAGGAAAAAATAGCTGAAATTTACTAGTCTTGATCATAAAATAGCTTTACTTAATAGAAGCAATACCCAGAAGATACCCAGAAATGCTGGGAGAGGAGAGATAGGCTGTATTAGCAAAGACCTGGGATTGAACAATAAGGAGATGACATCATTGAAGGGATTAATTCACAGTAGATACGAGAGGAAAGAGAATAAACTCACATGCTCAGTTCACCACCTAAATTTATTAGTATAAAATTTTGCTCCTTGAGAATTATGGCTTCTACTTCGTTTTCCTTCTCTGTTACCATCTTGACTTTTTGATGAGCTGTCAGAAAACTAGTCATTGTAGATTTCCTAATCATTTAGGAAAGTACTTGTTTTCTATCCGTATCTCATTTTTGCAATCATTTCCTAGTGCCACCAGTTATCAAGGGAGCAAATGCTGATGTCCCGGAAGAGGTCACCGTGCTGGTGAATCATCATGCACAGATGGAATGCTCCGCCAGTGGCAGCCCAGCACCCAGGAATGCCTGGCAGAAAGACGGATTGCCCGTGCTCGAAGATGAGCACCATAAGTTTCTCTCGAATGGAAGGATTCTGCAGGTAAAATGAAAAACCTAATTTTAAATCACTACCATTGTTTGACTTGGTACTTTATTTATAGTTGTAGTTTTCCAGATTCAAAAAAATTTTAGGAGAGCCTAGGCATTTTTCTTTTTGGAGATAACTAATCATCATGAGAATATAAGATAAATTATTCTGTTTCCATTGTTAGAAATTACCATCCCAAAAGCTTTTATATGAATTCTCCCACAATTCATTTAACATACAATAACCCCTCTATGTTTATGTTGATAAATTATGTGTGATAAAAGCCATTATTATTTATTAAATAATTATTTCCATCCTCTGTCTTTAATCTAAAGGCTTCTTTAGATTAAAACTTGTTCTACATTTGCAAAGGATTAATAAGAAGAAATAATGTCAATAGAGTAGATTATTGTTCCTCATTACACTTGTCTATATTTCTTTAACCAAGTGTCCTGAACTAAGGTCAGACATGTATAGAATAGAATATAGATTGATTAGAATGCAGGTTGATTAGCTGGGCACCACTGGCTTACACCTGTAATCCTAGCTACTCAGGAGATCTGAGGCATATTACGATTCGAAGTCAGCCCAGGCAAGAAAGTCCATGAGACTCTTATCTCTAGTTAATCACAGAAAAAGTCAGAAGTGGTGCTGTGGCTCAAGTGGTAAAGCAGTAGCCTTGAGCAAAACGGAGCCCAGGGACAGTGCCCATGACTGGAGTTCAAATCCCAGGACCAGCAAAAAGTAAAATAAAAAAGAATACAACTTGATTAAATCATTACTTCAACAAAATGAACACTATTCTATTGGTAGAGAAATGTAAAGCATAACAGTGTATCCAACACAGGGCATATGTCACAGAATTTATTATACATAAAAGAATTAGGCTATCTATAAATATTAGCTAAGCATCAAGGTTATATTTGCTTGATGACCATCCATCTCTACCAAAAGACTTCAATGTTTTTGTGTCTAGGGAAGAAAGACATGTGGAGGCATAGAAATTTCTGCCTAATAAAATAAATATCCTGCTTTATTAGCTAATGCTTGCTGCATGAAACAAACAGCTCCAAAACTAAATGGCTAGAAAGGAGACGCATTATTTAGTTCCTAGGTCTGCCAGTTGGTTGCGTGATGTTTCTGGTCTCAGTGGGACTTGCTTGTGCCTGCATTGAGCTGTGGATTGAGTGTGTGACTTTGATGGGTTTTGTCTGGGCTCTTGCATGTATCTGGGCCCTCAGATGCAATAAGTGGGCTGGCTCTGCCACTCCTGATCACAGCTTCCTCAATCCACTCATGGCTTCTCCACCACGAAAGTGACAAAGTTCCAAAAGGGAGAACCAAAATGCAAAGACCTGTTTTTTTCAATGATACTCCTTTACTTCTCCACAAATCCTATTGGTCAAAATCAGTCACAAGGCCAATGCAAATTCTACATTTTCTCTACCTCATGAGGAAAAACTTTAAGGCTACAATAGAATTAAATAGATTTAGTGTAATAGCAAATAAATTCTGTAAAAAAATATATCTAGTGCTGGTGATGGTGATTTCATGGATAATTTTTATATTAATAATAAGTAGTTACATACCCCCAAAAGATTGATGTGTTAGCCCAATATGCAAGCGTATAAAGAATAATAAAACTATGATGAACAACAAGAAGTTACATTGCCAGAGGAAAAGGCAGTAGAGTGGAATCATAATCTGAATTGTTTTTTAGTCAGTGTTTACGATCCATGTGTATATTTCTGATTAGAAATTCTTTAAATGGCTTCAGCTCTAGTATGTACAAAAATTTCATCTTTTTCGTATTTTGTATTAACTAGAAAGTAAGTAAGTATGTATGTATTATATATATGTGTATATATACTGTTTATCCTTTTTAAATCACATATATTACAAATTATTAAAACTTTCTAATTGGTTCATTTTTTCCTTTAGGTTCTAAATACTCAAATAGCAGATACTGGCAGATATGTGTGCATTGCTGAGAATACTGCTGGAACTACCAAAAAATATTTTAACCTCAATGTTCATGGTAAGGGTTTTTTCATTTCTAAAACAAATGGTAGGGTATACTGTAAGAAAAAAAATCTTTTAAATTAGACACACTGGCTTTCTGTTTTTAACTTGATCAGTATGTGAAGCTTGCCTTCAATCTCCTCTTCTTTTTTCTACCATAGCTAGCAGCATTTATAAAATGCTGATCTTCTAAAGCCCATTTTTTTACCCTGTACCATTTCTTCAGTAAAAAGTAGTTACTCGAAAGAGAAATCAAAATAGAAAGTCCCAACAACTACAAGTTTTTGTGAAAGCAAAACAACATACTGTAACTCTTTATAAAAATTTGTGAAAGTTCTAATTGAAACCAGCTTTTGCCCTCAAGTGCAGAATTCATATTGAGTCACATCCCCTAGTGTCTAACATATTTCTTGAAGAAGAAAATCTCACTTTGTAGATTAAGTAATTCCTTCCGAGTCATGAACACATCTTGTCAAATTCAAGTTCCATACCAGACACTCCATAAATAATATCATGTTTGTGAAACTGGCAGTAAGATGCCTACCACAAAAGAGAAGTTTTATTTTTCTGAGATGGAGCTTCTTCCAGAATGTTAAGTTGGAATTGATGAAAAGTAGTATGTAAGTAATATGTACATTAAATTTTAGCTCATTTTAGAGATAGTTGAAATTTTTATGAAAATTACTCTTCTCAAGAGACTCATTTGACATGAAGGATGGATGTTTGTTTTTGGTGTGAGACACAAGAAGTATTAATATTCTACCATTTTATATTTATGTAACACAAATTTGAAACCTTTCCATCATTGTATTCCCAATGCTTAGCACAGTGAATAGGTAAATACCTAGTAGCTCAGTAAATATCTTTGAGGCTCTTTAATAAGTAAATCTGACCTGGACAGCAACAGATATGCTATCAAATCTCATGAGGAGGAAATTTATTGGACAATTATAATTGTCATTAGTATAAGTTTTAATCTATACATAGAATAAATATTAAAAATCAAAATGTTGATTTTTTTTTCCGATTCTACGAAACAGCACTCAGTGCTTTCTTAGGGTACAGAACTTGGATATATAGTTAGTCAATTGAGTTATCTGTTCTGGTCATATCTGATTGTAAATATATATATATATATATATATATATATATATATATATATATATATATATATATACTTTTACAGTTCCTCCAAGTGTTGTTGGTCCTAACCCTGAAAATCTCACTGTCGTGGTGAACAATTTCATCTCTTTGACCTGTGAAGTCTCTGGCTTTCCCCCTCCTGATCTCAGCTGGCTCAAGAATGAACAACCCATCAAGCCGAACACAAATGCTCTAATTGTGCCTGGTAAGCAACTTATTATTTATATTATAGGTGGGAAAAAAATCTTTCTTTTATTTTTACAAGTCACATTTCAGCTTTGTCTCTTTCCGAACTTTGTCTTATCCCATTTATTTCATCCCAGGAAATGTCTTTCTGTACTTATTTGGGAGTATTAAGGTATGACTGTACAGACTTAGGATTTTTGTGAAGCTGTTTAATAAAAGGATCTCCTCCAAAAATTTCTGAAACTTAGGAACAGAATGACTTATAATTCTGAGTATAAAGGATTACTAGCATTTTTATTATATAAATCCACTGGTTGTCTTTAAATCAACCTCAGGTTTTCTTTCCTTATTAGAAACTAGATCCCTTAATATAATGAGTACACACTAAACAAAAAAAGAAAAAGAATTACAGGAACATAAAATAAGCTCTATTGCCGAGACAAAGGGTCAAGGAGGGAGGATGGCAAACAGAGAGGCTGGGTTGGGATGAAAATGGTCAAAGTACTTTATCTACATATATGAAAATAGAACCAAGGAATGTTGAAAATGTTTAGTCATGGGCAGATGATAATGTAGAATAATAGAAGGAGTTAGTTTGATTTGGTTCCTTCCTAAGTCTTTATGGAAATGTCACAATGAACCTTACCCCCTTATATAACTGATATGTGGTAATAAAAACTAGAATCAGTAATAAAGAATCATATAAAACTGATTCGATTATTTTTATTATATAAATATATATATAGTACTGGGGTTTGAACTCAGGGCCTTGAGTTTTCTAGGCAAATGCTCTACCACATGATCCACACCTACAGCCCTAATTTTTAGTGTAAATGTTTCTATACAAATTTCACTCCATGAGAAATTATGTATTATGTCATTTCTTTTATTGATAAGGTGGTTAACAAAACAACCTTGTACTTCAGTTTACATCACATTTGCCTGCAGGTGGCCGGACTCTACAGATTATTCGGGCCAAGGTCTCCGATGGTGGTGAATATACTTGTATAGCTATCAATCAAGCTGGTGAAAGCAAGAAGAGAGTTTCCCTGACTGTTTATGGTGTGTCTTTACTCTCCTGGGAGTGTTAATTCCTATTAAAACTGACATTCAATATTACTTGAGAAACTTAACAAAAATAATAATAATCTTCTGTTCTTTTTCTCTACACAGTGCCTCCAAGCATTAAGGATCATGGCAGTGAGTTTCTCTCTGTAGTTAATGTAAGAGAGGGAACTTCAGTGTCATTGGAATGTGAGTCAAATGCTGTCCCACCCCCAGTCATTACCTGGTATAAGAATGGGCGGATGATAACAGAGTCTACTCATATGGAGATTTTAGCTGATGGACAGATGCTTCACATAAAGAAAGCTGAGGTGCATCTTTTATTTCTGTTTGAGTATCTTGGCTCCTACATGGGTTATGAAGATATCAGTGAAAGTTGTATACTCCCTTTACTACAATGAAACATGATTATCATTTGTTTGTTGTTGCTATTTTGGAAGTTGTTCATTTTGGATAATTAGGAACTCAAATTTTGTACTATGGTATTATTTCAAGCAACATTAGTTACTAAATGTGCCTGGTTTGTAAATTCTCAGGTTATTTATATAGAAAATATATACTTTGCAGTCGGGTGCTGGTGGCTCAGGCCTGTAAATCCTAGCTACTCAGGGGGCTGAGATCTGAGGATCATGGTTCAAAGCCAGCCCAGGGAAGGAAAGTCCGTGAGACTCTATCTCCAATTAACCACCAGAAAACTGGAAGTGGCACTGTGGCTCGAGTGGTAGAGTGCTTGCCTTGAGCTGAAGACCTCAGGGACAGTGCCCAGGCCCAGAGTTCAAGCTCGAGGACTGACAAAAAAAAAAAAAAATGTGTCTACTGTTTTTTTCTTTCCAATGCAGCTACAATAATATGGTACTGAATAAAAGTAGTGATAAGTGTTTAAAAATAAAAATATGCACCCAATGTTACTGAACTTACTTTCATAACAAAAAGGAAGTAAAATTGTTGAAATGGGCCATTTGAGTATAAAGATGACTGATGATTCCATTACACCTGAGCAGTATGATTGGTCATCTATAACTTAATGGAGCACATACAACTAGTATCTTTTTCTTTTAGGTATCTGACACAGGCCAGTATGTATGTAGAGCTATAAATGTAGCAGGACGGGATGATAAAAATTTCCACCTCAATGTATATGGTGAGCATCTGCCTCTAATACAACTCGTTTTTCCCCCCAGATATGCAAATGAAAGAAAGTGTCCTCAATTAGCTTAATGTGGATACATGGTTTTCTTCTGTCTTCTTACAGTGCCACCCAGTATTGAAGGGCCCGAAAGAGAAGCAGTGGTGGAGACAATCAGCAACCCAGTGACCCTGACTTGTGATGCAACAGGGATCCCACCTCCCTCCATAGCATGGCTAAAGAACCAAAAGCCTATAGGTAAATACAGCTGTGCATTCTTAGGCTTGCCTTCCTTTGTTCTTTACTCACTAAGCTTATAAACTAGCACATATTTGTTATGTTTCATTATCAGTGTGCTTAGTTCAAGAAAGCCAAAGGAACTAAAATACAAATTTACAAAACAGACCCATTGTAAAAGGATGAGTCATTGGATAAAGAGAATTAGTCCTTCTTCAAAAAGCTTCTCATTGAAAATAAAAGTACAAAAGGAAAAGCATGACATTTTTATGGCAAGTTGTGAAAATGTTAAAAATAAAAGCTTCAGGCTGTGGACACTTGTCAGAATCTAGATTCAATCCCCACCACCACAGAAACTTATTCATGTTTTATTTTGCTTTGTTTCTACCTGTAGAAAATTCAGACTCATTGGAAGTTCACATTTTGTCTGGGGGTAGCAAACTCCAAATTGCCCGATCTCAACGCTCAGATAGTGGAAACTACACATGTATTGCATCAAATATGGAGGGAAAAGCACAGAAGAATTATGTACTTTTGATCCAAGGTATGTCACATACACTATGATATATTTTCAGGTTTTGTTATAGAGTACAAAATAGTATAGATTTAAAAGGACTTTTTAGTAATTGACTCAAAATGCCTTTAGGTCACCAAATATATTGTCAATTTTTGTCCTACATTTATCTGTGAACTCTATTCTCATAAAAATGGGTATAAATGTCCAAAAAGAATAGTAGAATCAAGAAATCTCTAATATTTTTCTGTTTTAATGAACTTATTAGCTCTCTAAAATATATGGACTGAAATAGAGAATAGAGATGTTTTCCTATAGGAAGGTAATAATTTAGCAGATAATATTTAATAAATTATAGCAATTTTAAGTTATTTATTTTCAAATGGCATAATATTATTTTGAAATTAAGACTAAGTTTATTCTTATTTATATAGATTAGTAATAAAACGTACTGCCTGATTTTTGTACTATACTCTAATCACAAGTAAGAGAATAGGCAAATTTCAAATGATCAAGGTTCTTATATAATTTTATAGTGAGAGTAAAGAGCATTAATACATGAAATAAATATTTAGTTATTCATTCTATGTTCCAACATGATACTGAATACCATAGAAAGAACCTGGTTTGTGGGTTTAAAAAAATCCAGTAAACCTCTGAGTAATGACTTTTGACTTAAAACTGAAAAAGAAGTCAAACTTGAAACTAAATTGAAGTATTTTTCCCAGTTGTATTACAGTTACTACATAAAGAACCTCTCATAAATTACACATTTAATTAGGAAGATTACCTATTATATGCTCTGCTAAAGCCAACTCCAAAAAGAAAAAAAATGGAAATTAACTAAAAGGAAGGTGTATCAGGAGCTTCTTAATGATAAGCAATTCTTTGAGATTTCAGAAGCATAAAGGGAAAACTTCTATTTATACACACAACACCATGAACAGCATGTTTAATCATACTTCTGCATACAATAATGACACACATAGCAACCATAGGTTATATGGTACAACCATTGTACCAGACTTTTAATTTAGTATATCTTAAGACTGCAGAAAATGCATCTGTATAGGATAGAGTTCATTCCGTGTTGTATGTTAGATATCAATTATGGGAAGTCTCTTATTTAATATTCATATTGACTAGATTTCATTAGTACTCCCAGGTCTGAAGATGTGGCCTAATTATCATGTTCTGTGGTAGCTCTAATAGAGTAAAATGATATTTGGAGACATAATGCAGGATTGTGCTAGTCAGTGTTTAAGAACCGATTTTTTTTTTTTTTTTTTGCCAGTCTTGGGGCCTGAACTCTGGGCCTGGGCACTGTCCCTGAGCTCTTCAGCTCACGGCTAGTGCTCTATCACTTGAGCCACAGCACCACTTCCAGCTTTTTCTGCTTATGTGGTACTGAGGAATCAAACCCAGGGCCTTGTGCATGCGAGGCAAGCACTGAGCCACCTTCCTAGCCCCAAGAACGGATTCTTTAAACAAGAGATTCCTGCTTCATAGCTTCATAGCTACTTTTTTTTTTTCCAGTTGTGGTGCTTGAACTCGGCCTGGCCACTATCCCTCAGCTCTTCAGTTCAAGGCAAATGCTCTACCACCTGAGCCACAGCTCTACTTCTGGTTTTCTGAGTGGCCAAGATAAGAGTCTCACAGACTTTCCTGCCCAGGCTGGCTTTGAACTGTGATCCTCAGATCTCAGCCTCCTGTGTAGCTAGGAGTATAGGCATGAGCCACCAACACCAGGCCATAGCTACTTTTTTTTTTTTATTTGCCTCTTTCTTGGTGTAAATATACCTGCATGAAGACACTGAATGAGGAGCAGCTTGGCTCCTGGGAGCTGACAGGAGCTGTGGCTAGCACACATCTAGAATTACGCAGAATAGGAATTCAAATATGTTTCTATCTGATACAATTGTTAAGAACTTTATTATACGTTAGTCCTTGATCAGATCATTAAAGATTAAACAAAAGTATGGAATAAATACTACTTAGCAGGGAGAATGAAGGAAAATATAATCAACTTAGATACTTTCCTTGGACCTTTATTTTATGAAACATTGTCTTAAACTATCTTAATTATGTACAATCCATTGAAGACTTAATCCAAGAATAGTTCCTTTTGTTTAAGAAAGGTACCCATGGGGCTGGAAGGTGCATCAGTTGTAGAGTGCTGCCCTGGGTTTAATTCCTCAGCACCAATAAGCAGAAAAAGCTGGAAGTGGCACTATGGCTCAAGTGGTAGAGTGCTAGCCTTGAGCTGAAGAGCTGAGGGACAGCGCCCAGGCCCAGAGTTTAGGCCCCACAACTTACAAAAAAAAGAAGAAAGAGAGAAAGAAAGAGTGAAAGAGAAAGAAAGAAAGGAAGGAAGGAAGGAAGAAAGAAAGGAAGGAAGAAAGGTACCCATGATGTAAATCTGTCCTTAGTCCCTATGATAATATAATCAACTTAGAGACATACCAGGAATATTCAAATGATTTGATTCCTTTATCTTTCTAATTTGAAAGTAATTCATAAAGATAATAATCTAGGAAGAATATGATTCAGAAATGCTGCATACTATGATTCACACTCATTGGAATGTATGTCCCTAGGCCTTGTTCATAAAAGTTCTAAATATTTGTATTTCTCCAAAGTTCCTCCAAGTGTTGCTGGGGCTGAAGTTCCCAGTGAAATCAGTGTCCTTCTGGGGGAAAATGTTGAGCTGGTCTGCAGTGCCAATGGCATTCCCACCCCACTTATTCAATGGCTTAGAGATGGAAAGCCCATAGTGAATGGTGAGACAGAAAGAGTCAGGTATGTTTGGAATGTGGGTAGTTTTACTGTAAATGGTAAAGTCTTACACAATGCTTTACATTTCATATTTCACATGGACCTAGTGCCAACCCTTATTAGAATGTCGCTATCATTTCATTCATGAACTCAAAAGATCATTTTTTTGTGGAATTGGACATAAGTTCTCTTTAAAGAACGCTCAACTGTATGTTTATATGTGAATCTTACCCATTGCTGTATTATAAAATCTCCTTGGGCTGTCATTCCTTAAGCTGTTAGTTAACAATCATTGGTTATATTTCTCTAATTTGGGGATGTCTTATCAAAGTGTCTGACATAAAATAATTCTTCTTTCCTACTAAAGTCAAAGTAGCTTCATCCTAGAAAGATTTGTCAGCAATCCTAACTTTAATTTCTTGTCCTACAACATCAAACTGAATACATACCATATTGTTTGGCTCATTTAATGAGACAAAATACAGTACCATAACACAGTTCATTCCTCAAAGTGGCTTTTCCAAATTTCACTTTCAGCTGAGACTTACACTACTCACAAAGAGATAGAAAAATAAAGCTGGAGAACTTCCTGCTTCTGTCAACACCAAATTCCCTCAGGACAATCCAGAATTGTATACTACAAGATAATTTTCTCACAGTTATCCCTATCATATGCCAAATTATTATATTATTAAACATATAATATATTACTATTTACCAAATTAGTTATAAGTATAAATAGACATTAACTGAATGCATTATTAAATGTATCATCTTGAACAAGCATTTTAATTTTAATGGTTTGTAGTATTGGTAAGTGTTATTTTCTTTGGGTTCATTTTATGTTAAAATGTATCTCATATTTTTGGAGTAATCATGTTCTAGAGACATTTTAGATAACATTTCTCTTATGTTAATGTTTTGACTAACTGATAAGTATTTAATTATTATTAATAATAAGCAAATATTGGCCTTCTTCCAGAGGAAGTACTACATGTATGGGGAAATACCTGAAGATCTAAGATAATATTTGAACCTAGGAGTCTAGGTCATGTCCCTTACTTCAACATCCTAATTTGTTTATTTTTCTATAAACTTTATTGATTCTGTCTTCACTACTGCTCACTATATAGAGCAATTTATTAATAGTTTACTATTTTTTCTCGATTTTCACAGCTTACCTTTTCAGTTTGTAAAATTATTGGAATTTTAAATTTTGAAAAGCACAAATAGACCAGGACATTACTACTGGAATTTTCAATATTAGTGTTAAATTATACTACATGGGGGATGTTAAAAGTGTACTATTTTCTTCTGAGTTTGTGAAATGCTAATGAAATCACTATTGTTAGAATAATCATATATAACATGCCTCTTAAAACATAAGAAGTTATGTCTGAGAATTAATGGTGTATGAAGAGAATAAATAAGGTAATAATCAGAAGTTAGATATATTTGATTATCTAATTTCATAATTTTCATTTACTTTTGCATAATTCAAAAGAAAAACTTCAACAATTTGTAGAAAAAAATTGAAAAAATATATTCACATTTGAATTGTCACATTTAGATAAATTATCCTATTCTATTCCTTCACATTAAGGAATTATTTTGTAATTTCATTTAACTCAAACTATATTGATAACTAAGAATAGATTTTTTCCCCCCTGTATCAGGGTTTAACTTAAAGCCTTGTGCTTATTTTACTTCTTTGCTTGGCTGGAGTTCTATCACCTGAGCCGTATCTCAACTCTAGCTTTTCTGTTAGTTAATTTAGAGCTGGAGTCTAGCTGACTCTTCTGAACTGGCTTCAAACTTTGGTTCTCCAGAATCCACCACTCTGAGTAGGTAGGATACAATGTGAGCCTGTGGCTTACTAATAGAATATTCTGAAGACAAGGTGTCTTTGCCCGTAATTGGGTAGAGAGATCTTGAAGCTGAATTTCTTCCTTTTCTCCTTTTTTCCTGAAGCAGGTGATGAGTAGGAAAGATCAGAGAGCTGTTTCTGTGTAATTTTAGTTAGATGTCTGAAATCTCCATCAATTTCTCTAGCTCTGACTCTTTACCAGGCTCCCATGTACTTAATGAAATAGTTGTGAGACGCTTCTGTGATGGTATTTTTAGAGAACACAATAACGTGAAGTGAGTTTTGCAGCTATTACTGCCACATTCATCTTAGTGCCTCTTTTGTGGCCCGCTCCACAGGGTGACTGCTAGTGGCAGTACATTAAACATTTATGGAGCCCTCCCGTCTGACATGGGGAAATACACATGCGTGGCCACCAACCCTGCTGGAGAAGAAGACCGGATATTTAACCTGAATGTCTATGGTGAATATGAAATACCAATTTTTAACTGCACTAGGGGTCCACCATTGTCTGGAAGATTTAGCTTTACATCGAGTGTCACTGCCATTTCCTTCTGAATTCAAGCAGAGATTTAAGTGATTATTGTGGAAATTGTTTGAGTGCTTAATACATCCTTCTCTTTCTTGTACTTCCTGAATGACCTAGTTCCCCCCAAAATTAGAGGTAATAAGGAAGAAGCTGAGAAGCTGATGGCATTGGTAGATACTTCCATAAATATTGACTGCAGAGCCACCGGGACGCCCCCACCACAGATAAACTGGCTGAAGAATGGGCTTCCTCTGCCTCTCTCTTCCCATGTCAGACTGCTGTCTGCAGGGCAAGCTATCAGGTTAGCCTATTGAGGGTTATTTCCTAAACATTTCAAATAACTGTGAAACTTTGCCTTTATGTACACATTGTTTAAGAAATGCTTTCTTCTAAGCTTTTACTCTTGTTTAGGCCTCTCCCCCATTCAGTGTGTTTTTCATAGGGGGAAGACAAGAACTATAAAATGAAAATACTTTTAAATTCTTACTTCAAAGCTCATGTTTTAATGAATTGGTCCACACTGATTCTTTACTAGATGGTAATTGTCATCAAATATCAAATATTTGATAGTTATCAAATAGTGGCATAGTGTCACGGCATAATTGTTGTCATAAAATCAATTGCATTTAAGCTATCTCTACCTTCTACGGAGTGGTTACAAGCTTCCTTACTAATTTTTCTCAAAATAAATCACCTTCTCCAATCTGTGTACAAATCCTAATCATTTTCTGAGTATATAGTGAGTGAGATGAAGTGATGAAGCATTGGATTAAATTGTTTTGCAGGATTGTGAGAGCTCAGGTGTCCGATGTGGCTGTATATACGTGTGTGGCCTCCAACAGAGCCGGAGTGGACACCAAGCATTACAGCCTGCAGGTGATTGGTATGTCACAGAAATGCCTCAGTTAAGCCTGGTACTAAGACACAGGCTCCCCGTTAGAAATTGGTTTCCTCACTGATTTAAAAATTATACTTTCTCTCTCAAAAATAATTGGGGGAAAAGCATCTTACGGACTAGGGAAGACAATCTTCCCCTAAGGAGTCCATATTTATCAGAACTATTGTATGTCTGTCAGAAACTATCCTAGCCCAGAATTTTACACTAAATCAGATACATAGTTTCCAAAAATGGCTTTTTAATCTAGACACCAAACAAGTCTGCCATATAAACATAATAACACCATTAGTGCAGTTGTAATACTTAAATATGAACAGATATATGTATCTATGTGTGTGTGTGTGTGTGTGTGTGTGTGTGTGTGTATATATATATATATATATATATATGCAAAGAATTCAAAATATTCAACTTCTGAAGTAGAGAGACTTAGTGCTCCATATTTTCTAACCTCCCCAAAACATCTCAGAACAATTAAGCAATTGTTTGCTATATTATAATGTACGCTGAAATATAACAAACTTTTTCTAGATCATATAAGTATTGTTCTGCATGAAATAGCTGAAAAATACCACTGGAACTATTATAACCATTATTATAACAATAAAACAAATTGAAGAGACAAACTTAAGAAGTTAAAAAAAATCACCAAAATTTAAAACACATTGTATTCTCCAAGAAAACAACTGTAAGTTTTCATTGCTGGTATTAGAAAGATTAATAATTAGCACACTTAATAGATGGTTTTAGTAGAATGATCAATTCCTATATCCTCTTATAAAGTATATTTCATTGACCCTAGAAACCTTATGGAATTTTTTGTTTTTTATTGTAAAAATAGTGTACAGAGGGTTTACAGTTACATGAATAAAGTAATGAGTACATTTCTTATCAAACATTACCTCCTCCTTTGTTTTTCCCCTACCATCCCTTCCCTCTCCACCTCCCTAATTCCCCTCTCCCCCTACAAGTTGCAAAGTTTGTTTTCTACATAGTGTCTTGTCCATCTCATTGTGACCATGGGTGATCCTGTATCCTTGTTTGAGCATTTTGAAGTTCAATTTAACATATAAATTTTACATAAATATGACATACAAATTTTGCCTGTTTTATTTTCTACCTAGTACCACCAAACTTGGACAATGCAATGGGAACAGAGGAAATCACAATTGTCAGAGGTAGTTCCACCTCCATGACATGCTTTACTGATGGAACCCCAACTCCCAGTGTGTCCTGGCTCAGAGATGGCCAGCCCCTGGGGCTTGATGCTCATTTAACAGTCAACACTCAAGGAATGGTCCTTCAGCTCATCAAAGCTGAGACTGAAGATTCAGGAAGATATACCTGCATTGCCTCAAATGATGCTGGAGAAGCCAGCAAGCACTTCATCCTCAAGGTCTTAGGTATGGGAACATTCCAATAAACTCAGAACAGTGGGGAAGTCAGGAATGGTGGGGACTTCTTAAGTAAGTGTAATTCGTAGAATCATTTAGTATACGACAGAATTTGACAGAAGTATTACATTCATATTTCTGTTTTGAAATTAATCCAAGCTTATTCTCATCTGAAACACATTAAATTTAATTTGCTTTTTTTATTTGCCTGAAAAGATGAAAACTCCAACTTGTAAAAAGAATATTCATTGAAAAAAATAAGCTTATGGGTAACTTAAAAAAATGCAATTGTGAGAACTAAAAACACATTTTTTAAATTATTTCCCTTCCCCTCCCCAAATTAGAAAAATGTATATATAAGATGCAGGGTACCAGAATCAAATACAGTGAAAACAGGAGTTATATCATGGGGAAGAACATACGCAAGAAACAAAAGAAATCCCATTATAAGTACATTAAAGTACATTATAAATACAACAGCAACAGGGCTGGGAAGGTGGTTCAGTGGTAGAATGCTTACCTTGCATGCATGAGACCCTGGGTTTGATTCCTTAGCACCACATAAGCAGAAAAAGCCAGAAGTGGCACTGTAGCTCAAGTGCTAGAGTGCTAGCCTTGAGCTGAAGAGCTGAGGGACTGCACCCAGGCTCTGAGTTCAGGCCCCACTACCAATAAAAAACAAAACAAACAACAACAACAAAAAAGCAACAAAGATAAAACCTCTTGTGTCCCTATTTTGGGGTTCATTTTGCTAAGGATCATCTTATTGGTTATATGTGCATAACTTTTGATCTTTTCTACTTGTCTGGTAAGATTATCCTAAACGTACACTTGTTATTGGAAATAAGGAAAACCATGGGACCTATATAAAAACACATTTGATAATAAAAATTCTTTTATTCAAAAGGGGTATTTACACCAGTGTATGTCATCCCAAACAGTTTTAAATGGTTCAATCTGTAGATCATATTTGAAGCTGTCCTTTCAAATAGTGTAGTTTGCTTTACTTTCTTTTTCTCTTGTGTCAATGGAAGGGCTTGAACTCAGGGCCTAAGAACTTTCTTTTTAGCTTTTTTTTTTTATTGTGAAAATACCATACAGAGGAGTTACAATTACATGAGCAAGGAAATGAGTACATTTCTTATCAAGCATTATTGCCTCCTCCTTTGTTTCCCCTTCCCATTCCTTCCCAACTCCTCCCACCCTGCTCCCCCTTTGTGTCCTCCCGCCCCCCACCAAAGTTGTAAAGTTCTTTTTTTGACATAACGTCTTGTACATATCATTGTTGCAATGGGTCCACCTATATCCCTTTTTAAAAAATTTGATTTTTCATTTCCCCTCCACAAATTATACCAACATCAAATACAGTGAAAGCAGGTGTTATACCATGGGGAAGGGACATACAAAGCAACCAAGAAATCATCTTATAAATATGTTAGAAACAATTGCAAGAAAGAAAAAAACATTTGAATCCTTATCTTGAGGTTCATTTTGCCTAACATCAACCTATCTGACCTTTTCTGCTTGTCCTAGACATATACTAGTAATTGCAAACAATGGAAACCATGGGACCTATGTTTCTTTGGGCCTGGCTTACTTCACTTAATATAATTTTTTCCAAGTCTTTCCATTTCCTAACAAATGGGGCAATGTCATTCTTTCTTATGGAGGCATAGAATTCCTGTACCAGAATCAACTCCAAATGGATCAAAGACCTCAGAGTCAAAGCAGACACCCTGAAAACATTACACGATGGAATAGGAGAAACCCTAGATCTCCTTGGCACAGGCTGAAATTTTCTTAATAAAGACCCAGAAACACAACAAATCAAAGAAAGGTTGGACAAATGGGATTGCATGAAATTGCAGAGCTTCTGCATGGCAAAGGACATAGCTAGCAAGATCAATAGAAAACCCACGGATTCGGAAAAGATCTTCACTAGCCATACAACAGACAAGGGTCTTATATCTAAAATACACCTGGAACTAAAAAAATTAAATCCCCCAACAACAAATCCTCAAGGAAACAACAGCCCAATAAATAAGTGGGCTAAAAACTTAAAGAGAAACCTCTCTGAAGAGGAAACAAGGATGGCCAATAAATACGTGAAGAAATGCTCAACCTCCCTAGCCATAAAAGAAATGCAAATCAAAACAACATTGAGATACCACCTCACCCCAGTTAGAATGGCTAAAATCAAGAACTCTAATAACAACAGATGCTAGAGGGGATGTGGACAGAAGGGAACCTTACTGCATTGTTGGTAGGAGTGTAAACTTGTTCAACCACTTTGGAAAGTAGTATGGAGGTTCCTCAAAGGACTCCACATAGAGCTCCCCTATGACCCAGCAATCCCACTTTTGGGTATTTGCCTGAATGATCACAAACAAAACCATACTAAAGCTACCAGCACAACTACGTTTATTGCAGTATTATTTACCATAGCTAAGATATGGAACCAACCCAGATGCCCCTCAGTAGATGAATGGATCTTTTAGCTTTTTAATTCAGGCTGACACTCTACCACTTAAGCTACAGCTCCATTTCTGGCTTTTTGCTGGTTAATGAGAGGTAAGAGTCTCATAGACTTTCCTGCCCAGACTGGTATTGAACTGAAGTTCTTAGTTTCAACCTCCTGAGTTGCTAGGGATTACAGGCACAAGCCACTGATGGCTAGCTTTATTTACTCTTGTGTACCTTTAAGGTAAATATTGTATGTATTCCAACTTTTCACATAAACAAATAGCATAAAGAAAAATCACACCTTTTCCTTGAAGCAAAAATTCTGACCTTGGAAGGAAAAGGAAGGTGAATGCTATTTCAGTAATCAAGACCAAGACTTTTTTTTTAGTTCTCTTCCTCTATTTTGATGTAGGAGAGGGGCCAGGCTTTTCTCATAGCACAGAAATTCATACTATAGAGAATAGCAAAAGTTTTCGGGCAAGTGTTTAGCACCAGAGTCTACCGTTTTAACAATTTTATTTTTATTGTAAAGGTAGTGTACAGAAGGGTCATAGTTACATAAGTCAGGTATTAAGTACATTTCTTTTTGAACAGTGTCACCCCTTCCTGCATTTTCTCCCAGACTTTTTCCTCCATTGCCCACTCCTTCCCTAAGTCGTACGGTTCATTTCCAATATAGTGTCTAGTGAGTATCACTGCTGAATTGGTTCTTCAGATAGACTTATATACAAGACAAAAGGTACAGAAATCAAAACCAGTAACAAAAGGGGAAAAAAAAACAGAAAAAAAGAACCGCAAACAGTAAAATAAAAAGCTTCTTTTTTTTATTGTGAAAATACTATACAGAGGGGTTACAATTACATGGGCAAGATAATGAGTACATTTCTTATCAAGCATTGTAGCCTCCTCCTTTGTTTCCCCTTCCCATGCTCCCCCCGCCCCCACTCAATCCTCCCCGCTACCCCCCCCCTCTGCCTGCACCAAAGTTGTAAAGTTCATTTTTTGACATAACAACTTGTACATTGATTCTACTTCTTGTAGTTCATTTCAATAAGCATCATTTTATATGAGCATATGCACATAGCTATTGAGTCCTTGTGATCCTCTCCTAAGAATATCCACCTTTGTTCTCACTGTGTGAATATTTAGAGTCCTGTTTAAGCTATCATGTCCAAATGTAATTTTTTGTCTTTTACTATCCATTGGGTTTACTTACAGATGTATAGGCACATTCCATGGAACCTATGTTTCTTTGGATCTGCCTTTCTTCACTTAAGAGCTGCTTCCTCAGAGTACTTGTTTATATAACATTGAAACTCTGCTGCATTCCTAGTTAAGCTTTATGGTGGCAAAGGCAGTGTGCACATTGCTTATTGTTGTGCCCTAGTAGGTAGACTGACATCTGATTTGTTAGAGACTGGTGATGTTTATTTGCTGGGCTGAATTTAACACTGAAGGAGATACTTTTGAACTGCAGTAATGGGTACTGTAATTATTGAGGGAGGCCAGACAGTATCTAAATAAAATAAGTGAAATACTCTGGTCTCTGATACTTCAGAGAATGGAGGTGGTGCTCATAGAGGAAATTCTGTAGGATAATCAGAGGCAAAAGAGAAAAGAAAATGTCTGGAAGGGGTGGGATGAGGGTTAGTAGCAAATATAGATGTATCAATTTACAGAGTATTGGTAACATAGATGTTGTATGGTTATCTTATGCCTGATTACTCATATATTAAATATTAATTACTAAATATGCCTAAGTACTGGGCATGTTCTTAACCATTATTGAACAAAGCATTAAGAATGCTTACTATATGGCAGATCCTTAAACACATCAGAGAATAAAAAGGACAAAAACACCATCCTATAGGTCCTTCATCTGGGGGAAGCAAAGGTACTGAACAAGTAATTACTCTGAGTTGTGATGAGGATTGTGTGGTTAATAGAACATTCTGGGTGTTGGTAACCTCAAGATTTAGATCCCCTTAAGGATAAGTGTGAGTTCTGGAGGGTGGAATTCTGGAAATGAGTAGAGAGTTAGAGACTCTTGCCTGTGTCTTTCACCTAGAGATGATCAAGCTTCAGCTGTCAGTTTGTACAAATGTAAAAGGAATGTGAAAGGAAAGAGGTATGAGACACTAGATGTGCTAACTGCAAAAATCCTGGAAAGTATTTTAAATAGTTCAGGCCTCGTTAAAAGGCAAAGAGGATCCTGAGCAAGAATGAAAAGGGAGAGAGAGAAAGAGAGAGACAGAGAGAGAGAGAGACAGAGAGAGAAAGGAGAGAGAGAGATGTACTACGAAGCTCTGAAAATATATATAGAAGTCTTAGCTACTATATCTATATCTATACTATATCTACGGAGAAGGAAGAGGGAAGAGCATAGGATGTCCTTTGAAAATACAGCACCAAAAGTCACTGGCCAGGGCATCACTGAAAGAAATGAAGGAGATAACCAACCATGATACTATTCCAGTAGTGTACAAAGAACAGCGTTCCCAGTTGAAGAGTGTATAGGAATAATACTTCTTCGAAAACAGATTTCAAAGCTGGCACAACAGAAAGATGAGAAGTTTCCGCATCTGTTGAAAATTAATTCCACTGCACTCTTAAAAGCTCTTTGCATAGAACAGTGCTACTACTCAGAATGCAAATGTCTTAACTTGGGGAGCTGCCATTCACAGCTTAATTCTACCCACGTGGTGGGAGGTGTCCTGGTGTATTAGTGGTTGTGAAAATGCACAATGTGATTGGGAGAGCCAAAACAAGAAAGAGCATTATACAAAATAAAACTAGGGAAGTTGGGGGGGGGGGGGGGAGGGAGGGGGAAGGGGTTGACAGGATCTAGGCAATTGGGCTTGCTGACCACATGAAAAATTTGTTTTTTCATCCCATAATGTGAAATCATCATGGAATAACATGTGTAGATCTGTATCTGGAAAAGACTATTCTGTTTCAAAGTGGAAGGCACTTCAGAGAAGAGAAAGAATGAGTTCTATTAGGAATTGTGTTTGGTTGTTCAGAGTAGTTTAAATATGGTGGCTTAAACAAAGAACCTTTTGTTATTATGGTGTTGGGGGAATCTAACGCAGGGTCTTGTGCATGCTAAGCAAGTTTTGTACCACTGAGCTACATCCTTGGCCTGAACAACTTTTTTGTTTGTCTCACTGAGAAAGATACATAAAGTTTGGCTGTTGTAGCACTGGTTTAGCAGTTCAGATATTTCAGTTCTCTTGCATCATGGTCAATGATCGTGCTGTGTGCTCTACCTGAACAACAAAGCAGGGAAAACAGGAAGGGCCTATGGCTTTGGTGTAGCATCTTTACAGACTTTCTTAGAAGCGCTACAAAAAACACATCTCATTAGTCAACAAATTCAAGTACCATCCTATCTATGAGAAATTTTCCAAATGGGGAATTTTCTGGTAAGTGTCTATATCTGTTCTATTTTGCAATTAAAGTTTATACATTACCACTGCAATTTACTACAGCTGATAATATGATCATAAAAATCTGCCTCCTAAAATTTTCGGATAGTTCTCCTTTTCCATTCTGGAAAAAGATACGTATTAACTCTGTTGGCTGTTTCTGACAATGAAAGAATTCGAATTTCTTAATTATCATCATGCTTTTTTGTGTATGGTGCTGGATTTGAATTCAGGGCTTCTTGTTTGCCAAGCAGACATTCTACCAGTGGCATCACATTCCTAGCTTTTTTGTTTTTTTCTTTAGTTAAGTTTCAAATAGGAGTCTCACATTTATGCCCAGGCTGCCCTGAACCTTGATTCTCCTGACTAAAACATGATTAGTACCTATAGAATAAGTACACTTGCATCATGGCTTCCAAAGTTTCTATGACATAGACTTTATCTTTGTAACATTGTCTCCTATTAATATGTTTCAAATGACCTAAACTTCAAATTAGGCTATCACCCTCCTCCTTCAACAGGCCTGGTCCATCTCTGTTCTTCACAATGCTACCACTCCCTATTGGGGTTATATGAATATCATTAAGTTTATGTTTACAAAACCACAAATGCTTTCTTGATGCTTTAGGTTAATGGTAAAGTGTCTACATCTTTCAATTCCAGATTGTGTTCTACCACTTCATAACACTTGTCTACTCTTCCACTTGGCTATAGTCAATTCTTCATTATTTACTACATTTCAATTACTATGAATATAAAGATTAATTAGACCTTGCCTCCATCCACAAGTTTATCATTGAGAGTTTTAAAACAACAGTAGTAACAACAATATTGTCCCTCTTGGTTCAAATCCCAATTTCTGGATCTTGCATGTGGTAATGGCAAATTATTTTATCTTATGGTTGCCATAGGTCTTAAACTTGGGCCAGAGTAGTATCCTACCCTCTGAGGACCCTTGAATTTCCAGTCTAGTTCTGTTTTGAGCCCTACATTCAGAAAGGCAATAATCATATAAACATCTGTATTTGGACATTTAAAAGCATTTCCAAGTCAGTATGTTCAGCCTAAGTCTGTTTTACTCAGAATCTGGTACATTTCCTGTATCTCCTGAATCATGTGATAGATCTGACAATCAGCAGTCACTAAGAGTCATTCTTTTTAACTTTTCCATCATTCTCCTAAGTCCAGATCCATAAGCAAGACCCAATACTTTTACCTGCAATCATTTCTAAAATATGTGTTTTTCTTTTACCTCTATCACTTCAATATGAGCTACAGCACTATTTATTTGGCCTCTCTTTCTTCCTGACCTCTTCTTTCTTTCTCATTAAAAGATCCCAATTTGGATCTTTTAATGTATTCAAAAAATTATTCAAAAATTGTATTTTGTAGTCTTGTTAGTAATAGTCAGTAAACCATTAATGACAGGAAAGTCAAACAAGGTATTGTTGGAGGCCTAGGTATCAGAGGGTTGGAGTGAGGTGAATGGAAGAGATGAATGAAGATAAAAATGGTCAACATATATACATGTATGGAAATAGAACTGTGAAACCTGTGGAAATTGCTTTAAGAAGATGGAATGAGGGGTGAAGGTGAGTGATGGAGGGGGTGAGGTTGATGGGTACATTTTATGTATAGAAATGTCAGTCACTATGCTCTTCCTTCAACAACTAATATTAGCTAATAAAAGATGTGAACTAATAATGTTAAAAATAGAAGTGTAAAACTTTAGTGCATCTCAGACTTAACTAATGTGCTTTTTGCATAAGTCATCATGTCAAGTGTTTTGAAATTGGAGCAATGATGAGAAATGGTTATAACAGATAGGTGCAATCACTTCAATTTCTGGATTCTTATCACATGAATGTAAATTTAAGCTGGATTGTCTTTTTGGGTTCTAATCAACTGTATTTTTTTTTTTTAATCAAAGAGCAGATTTATTTTGCTATTGTTTTGAATCTCTTTACATAGAACCACCACACATTAATGGATCTGAAGGATCTGGAGAGGTGTCAGTAATTGTCAATTACCCACTGGAACTTTCCTGCTTTGCTTCTGGAATCCCTACCCCTAAAATTGCCTGGATGAAAGATGGCCGGCCCCTTACACACACTGATCAGGTGCAAACTCTACAAGGAGGGGCTCTTCTTCGAATATCTAGTACTCAAGTAAGTGTCAAAGTTTATGCAATCATGTTATTCCAGATTAAACTTCTTTCTTGTACTATATTAGAATTGTTAGATACACGATGTCTTTGCATCTAAACACTTCAGAATTCTCTGCAACTTTACTAAGGGTAGATTTCTTTTATGATAGGCATGTCTAGAAGGAAGACTAATACTAAACTCTGAAACCACAAGAGTCCAACTCATTAACTATTAAGTGTTTTCACAGATCTGTGTTAGTACATGTCCTGAAGCTTCTTAGCATCTTCTTAACCAGCAAGATGGAATCCAACATATGTTTATGTGATACTTCAAAGGGCACTTTTGATTTCCAATATGAACTAACAGGTGTAGATGTCTGAAGAGACACAGATTTTCAAACAGTGATCAATTTAAAATTGACTACAACCTTTAGTTTAGGCAAGCTTTATACTACAGATTCTTTGTGCCCTAAGATTCATTTGCAAGCTGAAAAAAAAAAAAGATACTTTTACATATACTGGGAAAGAAATAGTCTAACATTCTATGCCTAGTCTAGTGTCACAAAAATATGTGTTTCAAAAGAATGAGGGAAAAGGCACAATTTTTTCTCTTGTTATCATAATCATCATTCTGCTCAACATAGAGTAAGAAATTTGTTATATGTAATTTGTTGTTTTACTGACAAAGAGGAAAGAAAGAAAATTGCAAGATTGCAAGACAGCTGTTTTATAAATTATCTAATGTTCAGCCTTGGGCTTTCTAACATGTTCTTGACATTTTTTTGTTAGTCCTGGGACTTTTGCTCAAGACTAGCACTCTACCACTTGAGCCACAGCACCACTTCCAGCTTTTTCTGCTTATGTTGTACTGAGGAATCAAATCCAGGGTTTCATGCATGGTAGGCAAGCACTTTACCACTGAGCCCCATTCCCAGCCCACTTGGCATTCTTTTGTGTATCTTCACCCCCATTTTACAAACTCAGGAAAAAAATACAGAGAAATTAAGTATATGTCTGCTAAAGACTCATCATTGCTCAGTGATGGAGCTGGGTCTCAAGCCTGGCTTGTGAAGTCTAGCCAATGGATTTCATCACAGTTTATAGCTAGTGTCCTAGCAAACAAACACCCATTTCCTCTTACATCTCCCTTCCAAACACTGCATAAAGCTAGGTTAAGCTATCATACTCCTTTCTGAATCAAAACCCTGCAACAAGTTTTTCTCTGTCTTACAGACATAAAATTACACACAAAATCCAGGTAGATAAGAAATAATAAGAAGACAATTAAAATTGCTTTGAAGCAGAATATTAAATATGAGCAATTTTGAAGACATCTCTTGATTCCACTGATTCTCTCCTAGTGTTTTTAATGCATTTTTAATTGTTATTGTAAAGGTGATCTGTAGTGGGGTTATACTTATATAAGTCAGATAAAGAGTACATCACTGTTTGAACAATGTCACCCCCTCTCCCAGTGTTTCCCTCCCACCACCACCCACAAGATGTATAGCTCATCTTCAACGTAGTGTCTAATGAGTATCACTGCTGCATTTATTCACCATTTGCCCCACTGATGCTGTGTGCCCCCTTACCCTCCCAAAGACAAATAAGACAAAAGGAAAAGAAGACAAAAACAGCAACAAAGAAAAAAATCCTCATTTCCATTTCCTGGAGTTCATTTCAATAAATATTATTTTATATGCTCTGAAGCACATAGGTATTAAACCTTTGTTATGTTGCTCTCCTAAGAATCTTATCCTCCTTTGGTCTCACTGTGGGTGAATGCCTACAGATCTGTGTAATTTATCATGGTCTAGTGTATTTTTTTAACCATCCAGTGTGTTTAGTTGTAAATTTATAGGCATATTCTAGCTACCACATATGAGAGGAAACCTATGTTTCTTCGGGTCTAGATTACTTCACTTAACACATTTTTTCCCAAGTCTTTCCATTTCCTTATGAATGGTACAATATCATTCTTTTTAATGGATAAGTAGAATTCCATTGTGTATATATACCACATTTTCTTGACCCATTTAACCACTGAGGGGCATCTGGGCTGAGTCCCAGAACCTCCTTACTGTTTACCAAAGTGTGACTAATCAACTTTTGTAGTAAAGTTTCCTTTGGCCACATCCCCACCAGCATTTGTTATTGTTAGTTTTCTTGATAATGGGTATTTTCATTCTAATGGGTATAAGGTAGAATCTCAATATTGTTTTGATTTGCATTTTTTATGGCCAGAATTGAACATTTCTTCATGTGTCTATTGACCATTCTTATTTCTTCTTTGGAGAAGTCCCTAAGTCTTTAGCCTAATTATTAATTGGATTGTTGTCTCTTTGATGGTTCATTTTGGATGGTTTAATTTTTTGAGCTCTAAGTATATCTTAGAAATCGGGCCCTTATGCATAATTGGTAAAAAAAAAAAAAAAAAATCTTTTCCCATTCGGCCATGTAGGAACTCTTCAGCTCAATTGAATCCCAATTATCCAGTCTTTGATTTGTTGTGATTATTTAGGAGTTTTTGACTTGTGCCAAGGAGCCCTACTCTGTCCTGTATTATTTTTTATGGTATCTGGCCTTACATTGAGGTCTTTGATCCATTTTGAGCTGATTCTATTACAGAGTGATATATAAGGATCTAGCTTCAGTTTTCTACATGTGAATGGCAAATTTTACCAGCCCCATTTGTTGAACAAGCTGTCTTTCTTCCAACTTTTGTTTTTGGCTCCCTTATCAAATATTAAGTTGCTATAGGTCTGTGGGTTCATTTCTGAGTCTTCTTTTCTGTTCCATTGATCCTAATACCTATTCTTGTGCCAGTACCAAACTGTTTATTTATTAATATGGCGTTGTAATAGAACTTGAAGTTTGGTATTGATATTCCTCAAACACGGTTCTTTCTACTAACGACTGTCTTTGCTATTTGAGATCTTTTATTATTCCATATGAAATTTGGGATTGCTTTCTCTATTTTATTGAAGAATGTTGTTGGAATTTTAATGGGTATTGTGTTGAATTTGTAAATTATTTTGGGCAATATTGCCATTTTCACAATGCAATTCTTCCAATCAAGGTGAATGGAAGGTTTTTCTATTTCCTTAAATCTGCTTTAATTACTTTTTTCAGATTTTTAAAGTTTTTACAATAAACGTTCGTCAAATGTTTGGTTAGTTCCTAGGATTTTTTTGAAGGTTATGGAGTTGCTTTCCTGATTTCAATCTCAGCCTTCTCATTGTTGGCATACAGAAAAGCTATTGATTTTTGTGGATTGATTTTATACCTTGCTATTTTGCCAAGTTTCAGATCAGCTCAAGTAACTTGGAATAGAATATAGGGTTCTTCATGTACAGGATCATATGATCTGCAAGAGGGATTTTCCTTCTTCTTTCTCTATTCAGATTCTCTTTGTGTTTTTCTCTTGCCTAATTGCTCTTGCTAGGAATTCTGGTAGTTTATTGAAGAGTATCTTTGTGTTTTGAACATAGCTCTGTTTTAGTACTTACCTCAGTCTATTGTACTTAAATGAACTTTGTATTTATCTGCAACATATATTTATGCCAAGCACATAATGGATGCTTTGCAAATTCTAGTATGGAAAGACATGTTTCCTAAAATATCTTCTATCTAATTTATTCTCAGGGGAGAATGAGACCATTCTGCCACCAACTAGATTGAAAACGTTCATATACTCTATCTCCTTGTAAGCCATAACACATGTCAACAATTCTGCAAAACAATCTGAAGGCATGTGATTGATTATAATTTTTAACTCCCTATTAACAGAGCACATTTTAAAAATTGCAACTGCAAATAGTGCCAGTGGGTGTCCACAAAGAGTTTGGCGGAAAATCTTTCCCAGAGGAGGCAAAGGTTCAGAGTAGCCAGCCATGTATGATGGTTCAAGATTGGCCAAGAGGAGAAAAATGGAGGGAGCAATATTGATTTGGAATGACCAAAAGTTCCTAATGAAACATTTTCTTTAGAGGTTTTAAAAATATAATGAGAAATTCATAAATTATTCTCTGGAAAATGATACACAATTTTTAAAAAAATTCTTAATTTAAAGAAGCTCAGGAGAGGGTTGCTCTAAAATATATTTGACTATTTTTCCGGACATTCTATATCTAAATTTTTCAAAAGAATTTTTGCAGCTTTTCCATAACCTGTAAAGTCAATTTTCAATTCAAGATTGTTAAAAATCCCAATATTTTAGGAATGTTCAGTAATAAAATAAATGAAAACAGGCCTTTGCTACTTTTACCCAATCCATTTTTCACAGCAGAAAGGACACTCATTTTCCAGCATATTCTCTACATATGCTATTGTTATACAGGACTTTGATCATGAGATACAGAGATGCCACATTTTGAGAGGTCAACTTTGAGAGGTTTAATTAGAAAGCCAGTGACTTTAGGAGGACACATGTCCCACAAAAATTTGCAGCCTCAGATGTGCTTAATACTGTTGGGAAATTGAGCCATAAGGGTAGTAAAGAGAGAGCAGAAAAACTATTTCAACAATCCTGATCTACTCTACTGGAGAGCTGTATAGGGCACCATAGAAAAGTGTCAGGAGACAAGAAGCATGGCACAAAATGGAGGCTGAGCTGGTTGGGGCCTAAATAAGGTCATGATAAGGCTGCAGGGTCACGAGGTGCTCATGAGTTCATGGTATAGTTCTGGCAGGTCCAGTAACCTATTATTCAAGTTCCTGCCAGTGCCTCTAGGAATTCAGGCATGCCTATCACTGTGGATGGGACTTCACCATCATCCACCAAGAAGCCAAGATGACTCTAATGAGAAGCAATTCCCTACCATCTGCCCCGTTGCCAAGATGGTGCCAGTTAGACCCAGTGTCCTTATTTCTTTGTGTGTGTACAAGGCAAAACATAACTAGTGAAGGTTAATTTCCAGTAGAAACCAGGCCATTTTTGTCAGATTCTGCTGTCAGTCTGGCCTTATTTATAAACAACATATTACCATTTTATTTTTTCATGCCAAAGATAAAGTATTCACCAAAAGTGATGTGTTTGATTTCAACAACTTCATATTTTGTCTGTTGACTTAATAAATATATTTTATTTTCTTCTTTAAGACTATCATGTATGTCTTCAATCGACATTGGGTGTCTAGTCTATTGTATGTGGCATTAGGTCATTTTTAGGTCAAATACTAAAATCTATTTAAAACACAGCTTCACATGTAATAGAGCTGCTAAGCACATGTAATAAGCTGCTCAGTATCTGAATACTGATAAAAAGTATTATTACTAATGATAAGTTTAATATAATTTCTATGCTTCCTTAATGATTTTTCTTAAGATAGGATTTAACACCATGTTAATATTGTGCAATTTCCTTATTTGGGTTTTGTAGGTGGAGGATACAGGAAGGTACACATGTCTGGCCTCCAGTCCTGCAGGCGATGACGACAAAGAATACTTAGTGCGAGTGCATGGTAAATTGGCAACAAGTTCTATGTTCTAGCTACACGCTCATAACACAAAGTTACGATACAGAACGCAGCATATAACACTTGTTTTAAATTAAGAAATGCATATTTTATAAACATAATTTTTCTACTTTTCATTAGCATCAATTAATTTTACAGGGAGTTTCATTTTGACATGTGCATATAACGTAGCAGACTTACTCCCTCTGTCCACTCTTCTCACGGCCCCCAATCCTCATCCCTGACCAGTACCAACAAGCAAAATGAACATTTGTTGATTATTGATAGATCAGATGCTTTACGTTACATTTATTAAAAGTGCTTGATGTCTTCTGTTCATGTCTAGTACCCCCTAATATTGTGGGAACTGGTGAACCCCAGGATGTGACTGTGTTACAGAACAGACAGGTGACACTGGAATGCAAGTCGGATGCAGTTCCCCCTCCTGTCATTATGTGGCTCAGAAATGGAGAGCAGTTGCAGGTAAACCTTTTGCAGAAGTTCAGTTTTAAGACAAAAATGGCTATAGAGCCTTTGTGAAGTGGTAAACGCAGAAATATCTGTGAATGGATCCTTGTGTTCATTGTGCCAAGGGAACTGGGCCCGTAGTCATGCCTCAACTTCCCTGAAGTCATTGAAATAGTTCCCAGGGATTTTGCTACTACTATAAAGATTGTAATACCAAGAAATACTAGTATATTACTCTAATGCTATTAAATAACATTTTATTCTCTTTTCCTAACACCGTGATAAGTGTCGAAAGGTTGGGTGTGGTACAAGTGGTAGAAACGCTCCTGGAAGCATGATGTCTCAGGTTCAAAAATACAATAATTAATGATAAATTTTATTTATTGGCTCTAGGCAACACCTCGAGTGAGAATCTTATCTGGAGGGAGATATTTGCAAGTTAACAATGCAGATCTAGGAGATACGGCCAATTATACCTGTGTGGCTAGCAACATTGCAGGAACAACCACAAGAGAATTTATTCTCACTGTAAATGGTAAGAAGGATTATTCATTGTTTCACTATTGAAAAATTTAATCAAAGGCATTCAAAGAGATGGCACGATTTTTCAGGAGCTTATCAAGTAAATCTTCCAGGTTATGTTATTTATTTTGAAAAAAAGCCACACATAGTACTTGTTACTTGTCAGAATATTACAGTTTCAGAAAGACATAGAGATAGACATTTTCCCTTATTCAAGTTAGAGCCACTGATAAATGAGTCCACCAAGTCTTTGAATGAAAAATGGACCATCATTTAGATCACCTTTACTGGTAGTGGCTTGAGAAAATGCTCTATATGTTCCTAGTATTGATGTTTTGTCAAATACTGCCAAGAGTTCTGTAATTTTCTTAAATATGACATGTAAATATCAATGCTTGCCAAAAATGTAGAAAGAAAAGCAGACTTTTTCCCAAAAATAGTCCCCTTGGATTTTTAATATGTGACATTTTACAGGATAATTAGATGACCCACACAACTAATACATTTAATACAAAAATTAAAATTCAGTCTTTCTTTTCCCACATGAAGTCAGTGATTAACAAAATCCATGTTCTGAGACTTCCGTGATGAATAACAGATGTGTTTTCTGCAGCACCAGCCCACTTCTGTTCTTGATTTGAAGTGAACTTGTTCCAGTGTTAACATTCTCTGACCATTATTTGGCCAAAGAGAAATAAGAAATATCATCTCTAATTTGCATCATACCAGAGCAGTTTCTTATTCAAGTTTCTCTCACAGAGATCCAGATTTTATACACCATATCAGGGATTTCAAAATCTCCTCCCCATCTACTCTTTATTTTTAAACATAGAGTATCTTGAGTAACACTCCATCGATTAAACTTCAGTTCTATTTATACTAACCTAGCTTAGTGTAGACACAACTAAACACTTCACTCAAAGCTCTCATTACATCGTCAAACTTTTCCTGGAGTTTATGTTATTTAGTATAACTAGATTGTTATGTTTATTTCTTCTTCAGTTCCTCCAAACATAAAAGGTGGCCCCGAGAGTCTTGTAACTCTGTTAAATAAGTCGACTGTGCTGGAATGTCTCACTGAAGGTGTGCCAGTCCCAAGGGTAACATGGAGAAAGGATGGGTCTGTTCTTTCTGGGGACCACTCAAGGTAACTGTTCTGGAAAATAAACTAAAACAGAAATCTTTAAGTCTTTATTGCTAATGTTGTAAATGCATTATTGGTATTATTATATTTACAATTAATTTTTTTCATACTATTAAGAGGAATGCTTAATTCCTAAGGCTTGTAGTTACAATTACATCTGCCTAATGATTACAATTCATTCAAGATCACAGCCTGTCTACTATGTACCATTGCATTGTATCCTTTTGTTAGGGAAGGGTTTGAGCTCAGGACTTTGAGCATGGTTGTTTTGCTTGCTTGTGGCTAGTTCTCTACCACTTGAGTCATACCTGCAGTCTAGTATTTTGCTGGTTGAGGATGGGTTCTTGTGGACTTTTCTGCCTGGTCTGATTTCTAACAGGAATCCTCCCATCACAGCCTCCTGTAGATAGAATTACATGCCTGAGCTACCGATGCCCAGGATACTATATCCTCTTTTTCTACCAAGTATCATTCAAATGTTAAGTATCATCCAAAGCAGAAAAAAGCCTAAATAGATTTCACTGAGTCTTTTAAATGGCTTTTCAATAAAGAATAGAGAAAAGGCCAATTCAAGGGAACTCATCTTTTTTGTAGGTACTCCATCTTGGAAAATGGATTTCTTCATATTCAATCAGCACATGTCGCAGACACAGGAAGGTATTTGTGTATGGCTACCAATGTGGCTGGAACAGCTCGTAGGAGAATAGACTTACAGGTCCACGGTAAATATACACTTACAAACAACATCTGTGCTCTGGGTAAAAGTGTTTTTTGATCACTTAAAGGAGTGAATTCTAGGCATTCACACATAGTGAGTCCAGAGGATTAGTCTTAGGAGAACACAAAGGTGCAATACCTATGTGCATCTGGTCATATAAAATAATATTTATTGAAATGAACTATAGGAAATGAAAACAAGAAGTTTCTTTGTTAAAAGAAAGGGAGTATGGGGATGAGAAGGTGGCTTAGTGGTAGAGCGCTTGCCTCGCATGCATGGGGCCCTGGGTTTGATTCCTCAGCATCACATAATCAGAAAAAGCTGGAAGTTGCATTATGGCTCTAGTGGTAGAGCACTAGCCTTGAGCTGAAGAGCTGAGGGAAAGCACCCAGGCCCACAGTTCAGGCCCCATGACCAACAAAAAAGTGGGGGGGGGGGGGAGTTTGTAAAGGCCTTTGGTATGGAAAGCTATTTAAACACATTACCTTATATTGTGGACAAACAACCCACACTTTCCCCTTAGGATAGTTTATATCATCACAGCACAATTTAAATCCACAGTGCCCTGTGGTATTATGTCTATGAGACAAGTTACCAGGGATGAAATTTAGTTCAGCAGATGCTTCAAATGCCATCCTGTTTGCTGAGTGTGTTTTCTTCCGCTTTCATGACATTGTCCTAGTTCCTCCATCTATTGCTCCTGGTCCTACCAATATAACTGTCACAGTAAATGTCCAGACTACCCTGGCTTGTGAGGCTACAGGGATACCAAAGCCATCCATCAGCTGGAGGAAAAATGGCTATCTTCTTAATGTGGATCAGAATCAGAATTCATACAGGTAAGAATAATTGATTCATTTTTAAAATGCTTTCAGTTTTAATTGAGATTGTGATTTTACATAGTCATGGGGTACAATGTGACATTTCAATATATATATATATATATATATATATATATGTCTACATATATATATACACACACACACATAGAGAGAGTGTATATTTGTCAGATCAGAGTAACCAGAATATCACTTCAGACATGTATTAAAGCTTTGTATTGTATCACAGTTGCATTGGTTTGTCCTTTGTCCTTTATTGTTTCCCTTCCCTTCCCCAATTCAGCTAAATGCATACATAAGACACAGGGTACCAAAAGCAAATATAGTGACAACAGGGGATAAACCAAAGAAAAAAATTAAAGAAAAAAGTAATCATTTCACACAGTACATTAACAACAACAACAACAAAGAAAAACCTTTTGTTTCCATATCTTGGAGTTCATTTTGATAAACATCATATGATAGGAACATATGCACATGGCTATTGAGCCTTTGTGATCCTCTCCTAAGAATGTCTGCCTTGTGTGAATGTTTGAAGTCCTGTTTAATGTATCATGTTCAAGTGTAATTTTTTTTGTCTTTTACCATTCATTGTCATTACTTGTAGATTTATAGGCACATTCTAATTACTGCAAATGAGGGAAGAGGTTTTTGTTTTTGCTTTTGGTGTTTTTCTTCCTTTGTTGCAACTCCTCCTTTGATTACTGTACCTTTTGTATTATGCTGTAAGTTGATCTGTCTTTGGGAGGGTAAGGCAGAGACAAAAATGGTGGGACAAAGGGTGAACAAATGTAACAGTGATACTCACTAGACACAATGTTGAAAATGAACTACATAACTTGTGGGGGAAGAGGATTGGGAGGGAAAAATCAGGGAGAAAACAAGGGAAGAGTAACTGTTCAAAAAGATAGGTCCACATTACCTGATTTATGTAACTGTAACTCCTCTGTACATCACCTTTACAATGCAAAGAAAGAAAAAAGTCTCATTGAAAAACCCCATCTACTGTTTAGAAACAATTATTTGTTTTAAGAACCAGTATTTTACCTCTTTCACTGGGAACAGCAAATATATAAGATGTAAGAAAGTAGAGACTATTTTTCCTTAATGCAAGATTAGGTTTCCAACCTAAAGTATTTTTTGTGAATTAAAGCAACCACTTTTCTATTTATAAGCCTGTGAGTGACTGTCAGTGAGGTCTGTAGGATTGAATTTTAATCCTACTTCATTTCGTTAGACCCTTTTGGAATTTCATAAAAATAAAGGCTAAAACCATCATTTGTTAAAAGACAGGAAAAGATAGGAGGGAGGAAGGAATGTGGAAGGAAGGAAAGGGAAGGAAAGGGAAGGGAAGGGAGGAAATTTATACTTGTACTTTGAAATACAATCTAGATGTTTTCGCAATATGAGTGAGAGAAAAATACAGCATTTCTGCCTTTGTATTGCATTCCTTCAGCTTTACTATCATAGCTTATAATAGGGTAATGCATTTGTAAAGGCTTGCCTTTGAGTCATTGAGAATTTCTAGCAGTTTAAGGGAACCTCTTTTTTGACATATCAGTTGCACTAATAGATAGTTATCCTGTCAAATGATTTTCCATAGTGCTAAAAAATGCTGTTATAGATCTAATTTGACAGATGCAAAAATCTGACATACTAAGATATCTAAAGCTAGGCATGTTCAATGGAAGCACTCTTTCTCACCCTTCTAATTTTCTGACATTGAGAATAACTTAAAAGGACATAATGTAGAAGATGAATAAAAAGTTATGTCAATATATTTCCATTAAACCAAATATTTCTATCAGTGTACACTTTGAAGAAAGTCAATATTTACTTATATTGATTTTAAATTGTGTATGTGTGTTGTCATTAAAAACTCCTAAGCATTTGAAGATCCAGATTGATTTAATTTTGAAATGGTTAGAAGAAACAGATGGCTGAGATGGATGGTATAGAATACAGATGCAGATAGACAGATATACTATATTGTGTACATAGGGTATAGTACATACATATATACGTATATACACACAAAGTGCATATACTATACATACTATACATTCTCAAAGGGGCCATCACAAATAAGGACATAGGTGAAATAGAAGAGACACACAGAAGTTTCCCTTCTGCCAGTAGAAAGAATAGCCTGAAAAGTGTTTTACAATTTAAGGAAAATTTATGGTATGCATTTTGGATGGGCCAGGAATATATTCCATGACTAATAAACAATGGCAAGTCCCACTGAGCTCACAACACTTTATGTGTCCTAGGAGAGCAAGTTTGATCATGATATCTGCATTCAGCAAATGCAAGCATCCCTCTTCAGGCCATCCTGCCAGCCAACTGCTTCCCATTAATGTCAAGTTTGTGACCCTCTGCCATATAAAAGACTTTGATGCACTGTTTGCATGAGCTAAATGATGCTCATTTAAACATGAAGGAGATGCTCCATTGCCTTTAATTAAAGACACATCACTGTATTGTACCAGCTGAAAAAACATACAGGAATTCAGAGACAGGATCTCATGCTTTGAAATTTCTCTTCTAGGCTCCTTTCTTCGGGTTCACTAGTAATTATTTCCCCATCTGTGGATGACACCGCAAGCTATAAGTGCACTGTGACAAATGATGCTGGGGAGGATAGGAGAACCATCAATCTCACTGTCCAAGGTATCACAGCTTAGCAAGTAGATAGAAAGGAATTATAGGTGGTTATTGTGGTTATAGGTTCATGCCTCTAATTCCAGCTAGTAGAGAAACAGAGATTGGGAGTATTGCAGTTTGTATCCAGCCTGAGAAAGTACAAGCATAGAGTGGCGGCACACCGTATGTAATCCCACCTACATAAGTAACACAAATAGGAGGATTTCCATCCATGCTAGCCCTAGGCCAAAAGCATGAGCCCCTATCTGAAAAATAATTAAAAATAACTGAAGTAAAACGGCTGCTCATGTCATGGTTCGTGTGGTAGAGCACACTCCTAGCAAGAGTGAGGTCCTGAGTTTAAACTGCAATACCACCAAAAGGAAGGAAAAAGAAAGGAAGGAAAGGGGAGCAGAGGGAAAGGAAAAAGATCATAAACGAGAAGAGAAATGAAATGAGAACAAAGAGAAGAGAAAGGAAAGATCGGAAAAGTCTTCAAATGCTTCACTTCATTATTCCACTCCTTCGTCCATGGATTTCCTTTTCTACTTACCTAGCATCCACTGCTAATGTAGTTGTGTAGTGTAGTGTAGTGTAGTGTCGTGTAGTGTAGTCTGGAAAAGTGTAAGTGTTGGGGAATGTTCACCGTTTCCTTTTTGTCCTTGCTATTGCTTTAGTTCCGCCTTCCATAGCTGACGAGCCCACAGACTATTTGGTAACCAAACGGGCCCCAGCAGTAATTACCTGCACTGCTTCAGGTGTGCCATTTCCATCAATTCACTGGACCAAAAATGGTGTAAGACTGCTTCCCAGGGGAGATGGCTATCGGATTCTGTCCTCAGGTAAGACCAGGCTCAGTGATTCTTCACCTCCTGATTGCATGGGTTACTAATGATGGTGGAACCTGTCCTTTCATTCACCAGAGTAAAAATGACGTATAGTTGGATCTCTAAACTTAAGTATCTGGTAAAAACAACAACTATGTAATTAAGGAGGAAAGGAGAGTAGGGAAAATAAGAAAAAATAGAAGAAGGAGTTGAAGAAGGGGGAGGAGGGAAAGAAAGGAGAGAAGAGGAAAGGGAAGTGTGAATAAGAGGAGGAGGAAAGTAAAGGGAAGGGGAAGAAGAAGTCAAGGAAAAGGAATAGGAGGAAGGGGAGGAAAATAGCTAATACTCATCTGAATGTAATGAGAATGACCACTGGCATATGTATGTCTCTCATAAAGTTAAAATTTGGCAATTTGCTTCTTAATTGTAAGTCATACTTTTTCACTGGCCAAGTAAAATACTTAAAAACGTTTAGTACCTTAGACAGGCGATATGCTCTAGGAGGTTGTTGAAGCTGTAAATCTAAGGCAGGGTGCTTGGTTTCAATTTAGCAGCAAAAGTCAAATGCTGACTCTGTAATTGTCAATTTTTGATAGTCGTGGGGACCATTATTGATACAGCAACATATGAAATTGAGGTGATAAAAATAATAAACTACCTGAAAGTATTGGCAATTCATGCTCTGAAAACCTACCCAGCTCTGAGTAGGTACACTAGGGATGAACTAAAGCAGTAGCTAATATCCTGGTGTTTCCTGAGTATGAGCATATTATTCTAACAGAATATATATGTTCTACTAGAGAGGAAAAAAGATGTATTTAGGCAAATTATTTTAATCATCATGGGAACCTGGACAATTCAAATTATAAAACCAAGCTAAACCCCCTGCATCATAATCACAAGGTTTTATCCTATGAAAATGGCTTAGCATTTTCTCAAAATGTTAAGCAGCATTACCATAAACTCAACAACTCTAGTCCTGGGTGTTACGCAATAGGTGTGAAAGTATATCTCTACACAATCACTTGTATGCGGATGAACATAAACACTCATTAGCAACAGTCAAAAAAGTACAAACAATACAAATATCTATCAATCTATGAATGGATAAACAGGAGGTGGTTATTTCTACAAAATAACATTCTATATGGACTGTGAGAAAAAGAAAGAAGAGGTGACACTGTTCAAAAAGAAACATACTCATTACCTGACTGATGTAATTGTAACCCTTCTGTATATCACCTTTACAATAAAAATTAATACATTTTAAAAATACAAAATGTTAATAAAATTTTAAAAAAGAAATCAAATTCTATGTAGCAATGAAAAGGAACAAAATATGACACATGATTAAACAGAGGAACTTCAGAAACATCATGCTCATAGAAATGTTGATCCAAAAACCACATTGTATATGACTCCTCCTGTAGGAAGTGTTTAGAAAAGACAAATCTACAGACACAGGAAATAGCTTAATGATGGCCTAGCGTGTGGCTGGGGGTTTGGAGTGACTATAGATGATCACCAGCCTTCTTTGGTAGTAGAGGATGGAAATGTTCTAAAATTTGATTGTTCTGATAGATGTTCAACTCTGAAAATACACTATAAATTACTAAATTATACATTTCAATGGGTAGTGTTTGTGGTATGTACATTGTGCACCAAGAAAGCTGTTATTAATAGTAAAATCAAGCTGTGCTCTTCACTTCAGGAAGTACAAATAATATAAAGAGTAAAATACAGTCAACCCTGCTGGGTGAAGAAAACACAAAAATGAGAGCTCTAATGTATTGCACTGTACATTAAATATTTTTTCTATTCAGGAACAATTGAAATATCAGCCACACAATTAAATCATGCAGGAAGATATACTTGTATTGCTAGGAATACAGCTGGCTCTGCACACCGACATGTCAGCCTTCATGTCCAAGGTATGGAAGGGTATTTACTCATGAAAACATTGCTGGCTGGGTTAGGTTATAACTAAATAGTCAAGTGCTTGGCTAGTGTGTGAAGTCCAGTGTCTGATCCCAGGGAGGGAGGGGTAAAAGGAAAGAGAAGGAGGGAAAAATAGAAAGGGGAAGAGGGAAAGAGGAAAGGAGAAATACGTCAGGACTTGTTGAGTTTGGGATTTGGTGTGGTTTGGTTGTACATTTGACTTTTTTTCCAAGTCAAATCTATTTTTTAAAGATGGCACTGTCTAGAATTATAAACCACAGTAGAATCGTAGGATATGAAAGGCTGGGAGTTATTCCTTTTTCTTCTGGGATTTTTATAATCTGTTCTTGTTTGTAATCTTCTGATATAGTTTTTCTAGGAAGGTAGAACGAATGTAATATGACCAAACTGTACTTTTCTCTTGAATAATCAAATCGCTAAGATTTAGAAACTGTATATATGGGTGTAGGAAAATCAAAAGGACAGTAGACTGCTGTGCCTTTAACTAGTGCTATTCTCTTTGTCTATTGGCTTTTCTAGAACCTCCAGTCATTCAGCCCCAGCCCAGTGAACTAGATGTCATTCTAAACAATCCCATTTTACTACCATGTGAAGCTACAGGGATACCCAGCCCTTTCATTGGTTGGCAAAAAGAAGGCATCAATGTGGTCTCCTCAGGTATCTACCACTGTCTCTATTGTTAAAAGGAAAGCACAGCCCACTCAATGGCTTGCAGTTTAGAAGTCAGTATGACCTTTAAGTGAAAGTCATTCCCTTCACTCTGCTTTCTGTCACTATGATATAGGCAAAAATCATGCAGTTCTTCCCAGCGGCAGCCTACAGATCACCAGAGCTGTTCGAGAGGACTCAGGCACTTACATGTGTGTGGCTCAGAACCCAGCTGGGACAGCCCTGGGCAAAATCAAGTTAAATGTCCAAGGTACCAGAATATTTCACGGCTTTGACTTCAACTCTCTGTGTTACGTGGATACTAAATATTTATATCTCTGAAGTGATGATGCTGTATATCCCTTGTATTTCTCAACTTTCTTAGTTTGCATTATTCTGCTTGTTTTTCTCTCTCCTTTATAAAGAAGACAGTTTAATGCATTTCCTTTGTTCACATTGTCTAAGAATACTGAGGTGTCCATCCCACTTTTAACTTCTGTGAAACTTCACTTGGTAGAGGGGTACCTTCCTTAGCTATATTTTAGCTCTTGATGATTTTACTTACTCAGAGCCAACCAGTCAACCATATTTCAGAAAATCTGAAATGGAAACTTGTAGAAATAAATAACTCTGGAATTTTCAATGGTATACTCTTACAAATAGTAGGATAAAACGTCATCTGTAAGGGGCAGCATCTCTCTGCCTTACTAGCTCTCTTAGTTATCCAATCATCACAGCAGAACAGTGCTTCTGTTTAATCCTTCTTTACATTAATGATGGCCTCAAAGCATATAAATAATGATATTGGGGTCCAGGCACCATGGCTCACACCTATAATGCCAGATTCAAGGGGGACAGACATTAGGAGGACCATGGATCAAGGATAGCTCAAACAAAAAGTTGGCACAGTGACATTGTCTCCACAATTTGTGGAGACTTTTGCTAGACATTGTGACTACTTGGGATAAGGAGATGGCCCAAGGTCTGCTCTAGATAAAAAATGTTGAGACCCTGTCTCAAAACAACTGAAGCAAAAAAAAAAAAAAAAAAAAAAGGAGGTTGGGGATGTGTCTCAGGTGGTAGAGCAAGAATGAGCACAAGGCCCTGATTTCAACCCTCCAGTGCCGCCATCATAAAAAGGAGGAAACATGTATCAAATGGTACTCCTGGAAGTACAAGAAACAGGTGGAAAAACAGTAAGATGTACTGAGAGAGAAAGAAATCCCCACACATTGATGTCACTTTTACCACAGCATTGATTTCCTTGTTCTGTTTTATTATTTTTTTTTTACTATTTTCTAAGTCCTAAGTTCAACATTATTATAGTTGCATATGTATAGAAAAAAACAGGAGCTGGTGCTTACACCTGAAATCCTAGCTACTCAGGAGGCTGAGATCTGAGGATCTCAGCCAGCCCATGCAGGAAAGTGTTTGAGACTTATCTCCAATTAATCACCATAAAACCAGAAGTGGCGCTGTGGCTCAAGTGGTAGAGCACTTGCCTTGAGCTGAAGAGTTGAGGGACAGCTCCCAGGCCCAGAGTTCAAGGCAGAAAGAAAGAAGAAAAAGAATCTGGAGCTCATGGTATCCCCAGATTCAGACATCCACTGGCATCTGTATGTCCCATGGACAAGTTGGAGCCACAGCAATCTGCTTTATTGTAGCACAGATTAAAGGTGATTTTAAATTTTTTTATTTAGTTTTTAAATGAAATTACATTTTAAATAACATACATGAATAGTAAGAACACGTTTCATTGCATTAATTCCATAAATGTGTATAATGCACATTATATTCTCACACTCCACCTCCTCACTTCATTTTTTTAAAACATCCTGTCTCTGCAATGCTTTGATATACTATGAAACACTGGATTGAAACATCTATTTTTTTTAAAATAACCAGCACTTTACCTACCTCCTTTTCAAATAGCATGGGGTTTCACTGTTCTGTGCATGAAGCACATGCGCACGCACACATATCTATCTCCTCCAAGACAGTCCTCCTTTTAAATGTATGTCCTATCATTATTACTTTTGCCATCATTACCTATCCTCTAAGGATGATCTCCAAGTCCATATACTTTCCTGCAAATGACATAAATTTTCTTTTCCTTTTTTCTTTTTTTTTTTTTTTGTCGGTCATGGGGCTTGAACTCTGGGCCTGGGTGCTGACCCTCAGCTCTTTAGCTCAAGGCTAGTGTTCTACCACTTGAGCCACGGTACCACTTCTGGTTTTCTGGTAGGTTTTTGGATATAAGAGTCTCATGGACTTTTCTGCCTGATTTTGAACAGTGATCCTTAGATCTCAGCCTCCTGAGTAGTTAGGATTACAGGCATGAATCACTGGCCCCAGATTTTCTTTTTTTGTTAAATTTTATTGAAAAGTTGATATACAGAGAGGTTTATAGTTACATGAATCAGCTAATGAGTAATGAGTACAATTCTTTTTGAACCATGTCTCCCCTTTCCTTGTTATCTCCCAGTCTCTCCCCACCCACAGGATCTCTAGTTCATTTCTCACATAGTGTCTAGTGAGTATCACTGTTGTATTTGTTCATCCTTGTTCCACCTTTTGTGTGTCCTTTGTAGCCCTCCCAAATACAAACAAACTAACAATATAAGACATGGAAAAGAAAACAAAATCAGCAACAATGGCAACTAAAACAATATCCCTTGTTTCATAGAATATTATTTCACATGATCATCTGCCTAGACTCAAAAAATTAACCTTCCCCCAAAATAAACCCTCAGAAATTCAACAACCCAATCAATAAATTGGCTAAAGATTAAAGAGAGACTTCTCAGAGGAAGGAAAAAGAATGCCAATAGGAACATGAAGAAGTCATAAACATCTCTGGCCATGAAAGAAATGTGAATCAAAACATCATTGAAATTCAACCTCACTCCAGTTAGAATGGTCATTATCATGAAAATTAATATCAAATGCTGGCAGGGATATGGCCAAAAGGGAACCATATTACATTGTTGTTATGAATGTAAACTTGTTCAACCACTCTGGAAAACAGTATAGATGTTCACCAAAAGACTAAACATAGAGCTTCCCTATATCTCAGCAGTTCCACTTCTGTGCATTTACCCAAATCACCACAAACCAGGCCAGATTAAAGCCACCAGTACAACTATGTTCATTGCAGCATTGTTTATCATAGCCAAGATATGTAATCAACCTATATGTCCCTCAGTGGAGAAATGGATCGAGAAAATGTGGTATATATACATAATGGAATTCTGCTTATCCATCAGTAAGAATGATATGGTACCATTCATAAGGAAATGGAAAGACTTGGAAAAAAATCATGTTAAATGAAGTAAGCCAGAGACAAAGGAACATAAGCTGCTTGGTTTCCCTCATTTGTTGTAACTAAAATACTCCCATAAATCTACAAGTAAACACATTGAATGACTAAAGTAAATAAATAAATAAACATATACACACACAACGGGACATGATAAATTATGTAAGACTCTAGTCATTAATATACAATCGGAGTGGTGGAGAAAGGCCCAATAGCTATGTACCGATGATCATATAAAATATGAAGTAAGCAGATTTTTCTTTATGGAAGAGTAATATTCCATGCCTATGTGAATTTCATTAGAGTGGGGTTTTATTCATAGTTTGAATATATAAAGTTTACTTTCTTCCTGATCACAAATCCAGTTCCTTTGTGTTTTCAACATTTTTTCAACATCAATAACTGGATATATATGTACATGACATACATGTTCCTTCTCTTATGGCACTTACATTTTGATAGACAAGAAAAAGTAATGAATAAATACAAGGATGATAGATTCAGATACATGCTATCTGAGCAAGAGACTGATCTGGTGAATAATGGAGATACATGGGGACTATTTTGGCTTATTGACTATTTAGGCCTCTCTGGAGGGAAGGAGGAAGAACAATGAGCAAAGTCAGGCTTGAGTGTCCATGGAGGAAAGACACCATTTTTGCAGTGGCTCTGAGGAAAAAGTGGGAAAATGAAGTATGATTGCATGGCTTGACAATGGTGAGAGAGATGAGACAGGTGGGCAGGACCAGTGCATGGAGAGATGAGCACAGCAAAGCACATGCCATCCGCATCCTCCTCTATGCAATGGGAAGCCTTACAATGGTTTAACCACAATTCTTATTTGGTTTTAGAAAGACCCCTTTTGCTACATAACAGTTTGAAGAAAAGACAAGAGCTAGAAAAATGAAGAGTGTTATGGTTCAGGAGAGGAAGAAAGTGATGAATGGGAGGTTAAGAGAAGAAGATTCATTCTGTTCCTTGGACTTCAGTTGTAACTACAAGTGAATGGTATTTCCAGGAAAGAATATGAGGGAAAGATCGAGTTTTGGAAAAACAAAACCACAATGTCTGTTTAATTCCGTTAAGTGCAGAATATTAGATATCCAAGTGGAGATGTCTAATAGAGAGTTGATTAGGTGCTGGAGCTCATGAAAAATACATAGTATAAAGCTGAAAAAAATGCTGAGAAAGGATAGTGGGCCAAGTAATAGAGCATCTTCCTGGCAAGGAAAATGCTCTAAGTTCAAACCCTACTACCAGCCCCCACTATGCACAGACACACACACATACACACACAACCTGAAAGTAATCAGTGTAAAGTTAAACTCAGGATATCACCTAAGGATGTGATCAACTAAGGAAAAATACAGACAGAAAAGCTGGCTAAGGAAAAGGTTCTGGGACAGAATATGGCTTAGCAGTCTCATGAAAGAGAAGACACTGGAAAAGAATCCAAAGGGTTCAAGTTGATGCCCAGAGACATCAGTGAAAAATCAGAGGAATCTAGAAGGGAATGGTATTTCAAGAAGAAACTGGACTGTAGTGTGGAACGTAACTGTATCAAGGCGTAGAATCCAAAAATATTCATTGGTTTCTATAATTTGACATATGATGAGAAAGAAATTGTTTCCAGTTGCTAGTGCTTTCTTCATTAAATGATTTAGCCTTTTGTTTTTGTTGCCATTTGGTTTTTTGTGGAGTTTTTTGGCAACAAAAAGAGCCTCCAACTCTTACTCAGTTTTCTTGCTCAAAACTGGGACTATACTACTTGAGCCGTGACTCCAGTCCTGTTTTTTTCTGGTTAATTGGAAACAGTCTTGAAGACTTTTCTGCCCAGTCTGACTTTGAACCTCTGTCTTCCAGATCTCAGCCTCCTTAGTAGCTAGGAGTACAGATGTGGGCCATTGATGACAGGCAAAGGAAAATGTTGATGTTCCAAACAGGACAAACTCTAATGCTTTATAAAGATACAATAAAGGGAGGATTTTGTTTTTGCACAAATGTTCCTTTGCCACAGCAGGACTGCAGTGTGTAGTCTGTACACTCCTGATTCTCAAATGAGATTTGAATTCTCTTTTAGTTCCCCCAGTCATTAGAACTCATCCACAAGAATACATCATTGCTATGGATCAACCCATCACACTCCCCTGCGAAGCAGATGGCCTACCACCACCGGACATTGTGTGGCACAAAGATGGGCAGACCATTACAGAATCCATCCGCCAGCGCATCCTCAACTCGGGGGCTCTGCAGATAGCCTTTGCTCAGCTGGAGGATGCTGGGCAGTACACATGCATGGCAGCTAATGTGGCAGGTTCAAGCAGTGTAAGAGCCAAGCTCACCATCCATGGTAGGTTGTCTAACGTGAATTGTTTGCTACATTACTGTGGTAAAATAAAAGGTCGCCAAGAGCAAATTTGGTGGAAAAGAAAACTAATGAAAATCAATATCCAAAATGTGTGCAAAGAGAGAGAGTCATAGATCTTGTTTGTAGACCATATAACACAGGTGAAATTTGTTTTCTGTAGTGCTTTGTGTTATTCAAGATCTGGTGAGCACTTTGAGCACTTTATAGTATCTATGAATAGCCGGTTCATCCAGTCAACATGTTGTGGGGGACAAATTCAAAAATTAAAGTACCATAAAGGGGCTTTGGATTTGCACTTTGGCTTGTTTTATTGTTTTATTACAATAAGTAGAAGAAAGTCAAATGTGAGGACATCAAAGAGGCAAACAAAAAGATTTCTAACCCACTTGTAAATCATTTGGGCATAAAGTGAATTGAATGTCTTCCACAAAGTCGAGTACTTTAGAATTCTTGCTATGATCAAAAATATCAATTGCATTCCTAGCAAAAGAAATCAATATCTTGATAGCTTATTATAGTATTCCTATTAGAATGACCCTCAAATGTCTTTTATATGTTAATTTTCAATGGAAATAATGATGATTTTAATTTAACTTCCTGAAGTCAATCTTTTTGAAATTCCTAGTACCACCTAGCATCCGAAATACAGAAATACACTATGCTGTCAATGAGAACTCACAAGCTATTCTACCATGTGTGGCTGATGGAATCCCCACTCCAGCAATTCACTGGGAAAAAGATAATGTTCCTTTATCTAACTTGTTAGGAAAATACACTGCTCAGCCATATGGAGAACTCATTTTGGAAAATGTTGTGGTAAGTTTACCAAATGTAAATAGTTGTGTAAGCCAGATGGTTAATTCATATTCCTTGTTTTTACTAATTTAATCTGAAAATATAGTCTATAATGATAAAAGAAAATACTTATATAAATGTATATCCAATTAAAAATTAGACATATATTTCATTTTAAGTCCCCACAAGGAGAATAGCATTTAGCAGATAGAAGGAACTAATGAATACCTTTTAAAACTGTTCATTTGATGTGTGTGTGTGTGTGTGTGTGTGTGTATCCTGGGGCATGAAATTAGGGCCTAAGCACTGTTTGAGCTTTCTCTCTCTCTCTCTCTCTCTCTCTCTCTCTCTCTCTCTCTCTCTCTCTCTCTCTCTCTCTCTCTCTTTCCCTCTCTCTGTCTCTCTCTCTCTCTGCTAGCACAATACCACTTGAGCCATAGCTCCATTTTCAGCCTTTGGGTTGTTAATTGGAGATAAGAATCTCATGGACTTTCTTGATCCAGCTGGCTTCAAACCACAGTCGTCAGTGCTCAGCCTTCTGAGTAATCCTAGTTACTGGTCATATCTCAGTCAAACAATTGGATCGTGGGATGACACTGCGATAGGCCTATGTCAGGCTATGTCAGCTAACATTGTACTTTCCAAATTCTCTTTCCATCAGAAAGGAAACTATATAGCCAAGCCACAGTAACCTATCCATGTTTCAGTCGTATCCTAATATCAAAGATCTTAGTGGTTAAAGAGTGGGAATCTTAGAATTGATAAAATAAGAATAAATCCTTTTATTTGTTTAAACTGCTAAATATCTGTGGTGGGCATTACTCCTGTGTCCATGTACAAAAATCTTTTAGACTTTGAAGAATTAAAAGGGGACAGTTTAGAATTCAGTGGGACAATGAGTCAGGTACAGTAAGAGAATACCAATACTCAGGTATATCCTAAATATGAGGGGAGTGACATAAATAATATGTAGTTGTATTGGCATATAACATATATGACCCAGATTTTTAAATATTTCATTTCCATAAAAATCTTTTATTTTAAACTTAATTTGTCACAAGCTAAGAACTTAAAACCAGTTAAGTGGTGTGTGATGAGGGGAATAAGATTTATGCTTATTTGCCTTTTTTAAGAATACAACAAAAATTAGGTGTATCTATAATGAATGGTGGTAAATTTTATGATGTATTTCTAATTCTTTGGTACTTCGTTGACAAAGAATTTTAGTCTTAAATTTAGAAAAGAGAAATAAAACCCATAATATATATTTTAATTTATCCAAAGCATTCAGTCAATTAAACTATATTTATTAATGGGTCAGGCACTGGAAATACCAGAAACAAAGGCCTGAAGATCCTAGCTCTTATGGAGTTTATTTCTAGAAGGAGATAGATAATTTAGGAAATATGCAATAAAAGTAGTATGCAACATGTACGATGTCACAAAAATGCATTGTAAAGTGGAGTAAAAAGGATCTCTGGAGCTGGAGCAGGTTACAATTTTAAGTAAAATGATCATTGGGAAAGTGATAGTTTAGCCAAATCTAGGAGAGTGACCCAGCCAACAAAATATTCAAAGAAAAAGCAACCAAGGAAAGAAAATAGGCAGAGCGAAAGAGTTTAAGTGGGAATGGGCCAGTTGGATTTGAGACTCAGGAGGCCAGTAAAAGCAAAGAAAGAGTATAAATTAGATAGAAGGCAGAGCAAATGGCAGTCAGATCATGTAGTCTTCTAGATCATTAGAACCATTTTGCCTTTTACTATTCCTAAAAGTCTGAATCTATTGGCAATACTGTATTTCTGTAAGACCTCGTTGGCTTTTATGATAAGAGTAGATGGTAGGGTGGCAAGGACAGAAGCAGGAAGACCTGTGGGAAGGCTGGAGGAAGGCAAATGCGAAATAATAGAACCACCAGTAGAATGTTTCAGAGAAGGAGTAAGAAGTGGTAGGAGGCCACATATACTTTGACGTTAGCATGTCCTAAAAGATTGCAAATGGAATTTGAGAGGAAAAAGTAAAGGATGACTGAATGTCTGGTACCAAAGGCATGAATAATTTAGAGGATACAATAGCCATTATCTGAGAAATAAATAATAGCACAAAAACAATGATTTGTTCTATTGAGTCTAATTTCCATGCCACCTATAACCGCTATATATCAGTTAACTCCAAAGGAGAACTGGAATGAGCTCAATGCAATTGGAGTTTGGAAATAAGATCTAGATACTGGTTGTCTTCAAGATGTAAGTGGTCATATAAAGCCATGATGTTATGAAGGAATTTATGTAGGTAACATGACATACAGGTTCCATACATCTAGTTCCATGTAGATACAGATATAAAGGGACCAAGACTGAGCCTTCTCCTGCATCAACATTACATAGAGAAGCAGCAAATAGTATTTTGGCAGGAAACTCAAAGACTATACGGTCCAAGTGAAGGCAAAGTTTGAGAGTGTGGACTATTGCCAGTCAGACAAATAACAGTGATAGGAGTTAGCCATTGGGCTTAGCTAGTGAAACTCCAGAACTGTAGGTGATATTGCTATTATGCTTGTCATTTTTCTGCTAATTTTGGTTGGTACCACATTACCCAAAGAGCCCACTAGATTGTCCAGATGCCTCTTAGCAGCCTTGGATTTAATGTTATTTTTTAGTTTCTTACTTATACATTGAAAAGTGATAGTATATTGGATATTTGCTAGACTTTAGGGTTTATTTTTGTTGAAATCCTGTTGCTAGAAAATAGTTGTTGTAGATATGTAACATGTGGGATTATGATTTAACTCCTATGCATTTTGAATGTTTGAGGATGAATATGGTTAAAGTACTTTATTTGCATGTATGAACATAGAACAGTGAAACCTGCTGAAACTGTTTTTTTCTTTGTACATTTTTAAAATTATTATCTTTAAGTAGTTGGACAAAGGAGTCAGTATGCAACAAATTGGAGCTGTTTTTTGTTTTGTCTGTCGTGGGGCTTGAACTCTGCTTTCGGGCACTGTTCCTGTGCTCTTCAGCTCAAGGCCAGCGCTCTACCACTTGAGCTACAGCGCCATTTCTGGTTTTCTGGTGGTTTATTGGAGATAAGAGTCTCACAGACTTTCCTGCTCAGGCTGGCTTTGAACTGTGATTTTCAGATCTCAGCCTCCTGAGTGGCTAGGATTACGGCGTGAGCCACCAGCACCCAGCTGGGCCTGTTTTAAGATGGGGCAGAGGAGACAGGGGAAAGATGTGCCGGGAGGGGATCACGTTGTATATGTGTATGCAAATGACACTAAAGCCCTGTGCAACTCATGTATGCTAAGAAAAATACGTAACTTAAAAAGTAAATTTTGCTCTTCAAAACTAACCTAATGATTTAGCCCTGAGCTGGTGGCTCATGCCTATAATCCTAGCTACTCAGGAGGCTGAGCTCTAAAGATCAAGGTTCAAAGCCAGCCGATGCAGGAAAGTCTATGAGACTCTTATCTCCAATAAACCACCAGAAAACCGGAAATAGCGCTGTAGCTCAAGTGGTAGAGCGCTGGCCTTGAGCTGAAGAGCTGAGGGACAGCCCTCAGGCCCAGAGGTCAAGCCCCACGACCAACCAAAAATAAAAAAGAAAACCTAATGATTTAGCATTTAAAAGTGGAAATGTTGGGGAACAAGTTTTACAGTTTTATGTATTTTGTGTAATGACATTTTGTGTACTGTGATTTTTGTTTTTAACATTTTAGCCGGAAGATTCTGGGCTGTATACATGTGTCGCTGGCAATGTGGCGGGAGAAGATACTCACACCATCACCCTGACTGTGCAGGTTCTCCCCACATTCACCGAACTACCCGGAGACGTGTCATTAAATAAAGGAGAGAGGCTGCGATTAAGCTGTAAGGCAACCGGTATTCCATTGCCCAAGCTAACATGGACGTTCAATAACAATATCATCCCAGGTGCGTGATCTCACTCTTCAGAAATGAATCCTTGTACTCGTAGAGAAGTGGAGACCAACCTCCACTTGCCCTGATCATGAAGTACAGATGAAGAATTGGTGACTTTAAATATTATAAAACATGCTGCAGCTTGGATTTTACTCTCTACACACACACACACACACACACACACACACAATGTTTATTCTTTCTGCAGGAATAAGTGGATTACAGTTCTATATAGTGTGTGTTGCTAGAAGTTCTTTTCAAAATGTCCTCTCTCCATGAGAAGATAATAGTGTAAATGTAGGCAGCTATTCCCCCTGAGCCTCTTTCATCATTGATAAATTGATAAAGGTGGCTATTGCTAAAGTCATGTAATATTATAGAAAATCCAAACTCTTCACTGTATGAAGCCAGGGCAAATCAATTTCACTTAATGTAGAAAAAATTACTAGTCACTATGGATACTGCATGACAAACGTCTACTTACTCACTCGGCCTTGTCATCAGTGTAAAGGCACTAAATAGCAAGAAGTTGTCCTTTGCCAAAATTGAGTTCAGCTCTTTATTGACTGTCTTTCTAGAAAAGTGGTAATAAGACTGAGTGTTTTCTTTTGTAAAGATTTATGTTAATGACTGGAACTCATCAACTGTGTTATCACAGTAATGACTAAAGAAAAACAATGTCTAAAAATTCCAGTCTGTGTCTAAAGGCCAATGTAGTTTTTTAGTACCAATTTAGCTATTAAAACTTTTAAACCTTCATTTTCCACTTTGTACTCAGCATTGCCAATTTTTTGTTTTAATAAACAGGTAAAAAAAAACCTACAAAGTAAACATACTACTTAACATAATTAGATTTAGGCTGCTCAAATTATAATTTTATTTGGTTTTAGCTAACTTGTACCATATCATGTTAACCTTACATTCTCCTCTGCCTTACTAAATATTTATAACATCACCATGTATGATTTATAAGGAGGTTTAAATTATTACAGATTTGATCGTGTGGCTGCTATGACCAAACAAGCATGTATTTTTATGATTTGCCCTCTGACATGACAAGTCAGTTGAATTATAACTAAAAAGGTGTTCATTTTATTGATGTAAATTGGAGGGAAAGTACCAGTTAGATAAATGGAATGGAAAATGTCATGTTCCTGAATGAAGGATTTTTGAAACACAGAGAGACTATGAGCCTGCTTTAGGTAGCACATTGAAATGAAAGATGTACTTTCAATCTAAAATAGTTTCTGAATGATGTTTGTTTGCTTTTTCTCTTCCTGTTCCCCTGGCTGTTTTTTTTTATTCTTCAAACAAGAGTCTGTAGACTAGCTAAGAGGGAGGATCAGAGGCAAAGGCTGTGTCTTGCACGGTGTCTTGATGAGATCCTTTGGTTCCATTGCTGACCAACTCATAAATCTAACCTGTAAAATACTGCACTGCCCTGGATTTTTTCAAGGTCACTGAGAGGCATTCAGGCATTCGTGTTGTTTCCTAATTTGTTTCTCCTCAGCCCACTTTGACGGTGCAAGTGGACACAGCCAACTTGTTATTGAAAAAGTGTCAAAGGAGGATTCGGGTACCTACGTGTGCACTGCCCAGAACAGCGTGGGCTTTGTGAAAGCAATCGGGTTTGTTTATGTGAAAGGTGGGTAAGAGTGTTTTCTTTTCTCACCTGTAATTTGATTTATAATGAGAGGGCTGGATTTTATTTCCTTATTATGTAGTAATACAATAAAACTTTAATTTATGAGGTCATTTAGGCCAATTTCACAAATGTATTAATTCATGAGTGGGGGGAAAAAACAACCACCATGAGCATTTAACTCAAAAGTAAGAAAGAAGTAAATGAAGAGATCATTTCACATGAAGTGGTCCCATAGAGAACTGAAGTTGACCAAATCATCGGGTAGTTTAGGAGGAGACATGCATTCTGAAAAAAAATCTGTGAAGGTTTTAAATGACTCTTCTCCTACTTTACACAATTATCTTTCTTTTTTTTTAATGACCTTTAAGTAGTTCTGCAAAGGTACTTCAATTCAACATATCAGTTTAGGAGCACAATGCATCTTGATCAAAGCTACTCCTTCCATAATTCTCCCTCATTTATTCCCACCCCACCTATCCCTTCAAGCTACCTGGTTCCATTTTCACAGGTGTGCACTGGGTACTATGCTTGCATTTGCCCAATATTCCTTTCCCTCACTCATCTGCCCTCCCTCCATCCCCCTATGCCCTACCCACCTTAGACAAAACATACTGCAGTCTCCTGGGATTCATTTTGTTAAACAACTACTTAAAGGAGTTACACCATTGGAATCCTCGTCCCTGCCTCCCCGTGTATACCCTACTTTAGTTTGTTTGTATACGCATGCCTAAGGCCCTGAATATGTTTTCACTGGGGTCAAAATTCACCAAGAAATTATCAATAGCACCTGCTTTGACTTTGTACCTGTCCTAATACTTTCCAGAACCTCCAGTCTTCAAAGGTGACGACCCCGCTAACTGGATTGAACCACTTGGTGGTAATGCAGTCTTGAACTGTGAGGTGAAAGGTGAGCCTGCCCCAACTATTCAATGGAGCAGAAGAGGGGTGGATATTGAGATCAGCCACAGAATCCGACAACTGGGCAATGGTTCCCTGGCCATCTATGGCACTGTGGTAAGTCACTCTGGAATTGTGGATGTACCCTTAAATTCTCACAGTCACTGGCCCGATACACCTTCCATAAATGAGAAAATGTTCTCTTCCACTCCTCAAAAGTTTACTTTAAATGGTGTACAAGAAACTTTGAAAAGTACATATGAATGGAGTTCAAGGAGATGCTTCACACATGTACACATTATGAAAGATTTCAGTCAGGTTAAACATATTGATCTCTTTAAGCAGTTATCAGTTCTTTATGGTGAAACATTCAAAATCCTTTTTTGCAATACGTAGCACATAATTTTTATTTATTCACCCTGCTGAATGCACTAGACTTTTTTTTACTTCTATCTAACTATAATTCAGTATCTATTGGACACCATTTTCTTATTTCTTCTCCCTGATCCTCCAGAGTCTGATAGCTACTGTTCTCTCTCTCGTATAAAGCCAGCACTGTAGATTCTACACACAAACGACATCCTGCAGTGCTGTTCTTTCTGCACCTGGCTTATTTCAAATTACTTCTAGATCCTACAAGATTTCATCCTTCATTATGGCTGAATAGTGTTCCTTTGTATATACCCCCTTTACTCCATCTGTTAGCCAATGAAGTTCTTTTAAAAACTACAACTAAAACAACAGTGGAAATTGGTATTTTTGGTACTTTCAAGTAAATACCACAATTAAGATAATTTTGCTGCCTATTTTCTTATCCTTGTCCTATTATTTAACAATAGGAGATAACCTCTATAGATCCATTTTAAAAGAAAGAAAATGAAGAATTATGTACACTTCTTCAAATACAAAGAAATTTCATCAGTAAACTGATGATTATATTGAGACTTTCCAAAAGCTTTCATATTTCAGAAATAGGATTTTTTTTCACTTTGAATTATCTTCGCTAAAATATGTCTGGTTAATTTGTAAACATACTTACTGAGCTTTCTATGGGCTTTCATTGTATAGATAGTTAAAATAACAAAATATATTATCTAATCTCCTGCTTCATTCTCAAATGTTTATTCTCCTTAATTTTACTTCAACATTAGCTATTGTCAGTCATTCATGTTGAGGTTATTTCTAGTCATAGTTGTGATCATATCAAGTTGTCTCAGGCTTCTCATTGCCCAGGCCTTGAGTTCAAGCCCTTAAACTGGCATTCAAAGAAAAAGGACTCAATAGTTGTTCATTTGCACTGACTGACCATTTTAATGATATTTAGGACATCCTGAATAATACCATTGACATTGTTCTGTAGTAAGGTATCTTTAAGAGGTGGTCATAAAACAATGTTATTTTTGCTTTGATTTTCTACAAATTATTACTCTTGGTAAAAAAAAAAAAAAAGGTAAGTTTGGAATTTCTTTCTTGATCCTTCTATTCCTCCTCTTTTTAAAAAACTATTTATGAGGTTTGACCTATTAGGTTTGACTATTTCTATGGAAATGATTTCTCAAAGACAACATTGTAAACCAACCTTCATAAAAAATACTGGGATTTTCCCCTCTTATAGATTCATTTTATGGAAATGCTTGTTTCCATAGAATGAAGATGCTGGAGACTACACATGTGTAGCTACCAATGACGCTGGAGCAGTGGAACGCAGCATGAGCCTCACACTGCAAAGTAAGCTCCTGGTGGAACCCATGTGAAACTTTATGCCATGGTGCCTAATGGAGAGTACTTACTTCCTTTAGCTTTGTGGAAGTGCAGTAGTGGTTCTGTTCACAGTAGGTCTCATTTAGTTTTCTGTTAAGGGGCTGTCATCACATATGACCAGATAAGATGAAGTTAAGCGAAATTAACCTGAAGATAGGGACACAAGTGGTTTTTTCTTTCTTGCTATTGTTTCTAATGTATTTATAAGGTACCATGTGATTTTTTGTTGCTTTATAGGTTCCTCCCCCATGGTATAACCCTTGTTTTCACTGTATTTAATGTTGGTATAATTTGGGGAGGGGAAGGGAAAAAACAAAATGTTTAAATAGGGTTACAGGTGGACCCATTGCAACAATGAGATGTAGAAGACACTATGTTGAAAAACTAACTCTACAATTTAGGTGGGGGGCACAGTGTAGTTGTGGAGATGGGAAGGAAGGGATGGTAGAGGAAAAACAAAGAAGGAGGCAACAATGCTTGATAAGAAATGTATGCATTACCTTGCTCATGTAACTGTAAACCCTCTGTACAGTATTTTTACAATTAAAAACTTATTTAAAAAACTGACACATTTTCTACAGGTCCTTCTTTCTACTTTATCTAACATACATAGTATAAAATTACAATTGACTACTGGGGAAGTCTTTGTTTAATAACATGTTTAGTGGAGTTGACCACAGTTCTTGCAGCATGCATAGGAAGATGTCATTTCATTCTAAGCCTCCTGAGAAACTAGGATTACAGACATGAGCCACAGGCACCAGCCTTCTTGATAATTTTTTAATGTCTTCCTTTTTCCTTCCATTTCCTTCCATTTTTTGATATATTCCAAATTAGCATACATGTACCTTTTCTATACATATGTTCAAGTACAAGTAAATAGTTACTTGTTTAATTTACCAGTATGCTAGAAGCTCTTAAAGACTGGGAATATCTGTTATCCCTGTACACTAGTAGAACGATGCTGGAAAATAACAGGCTTTCAATGCATGTCTGTTGAATAAAAGAAGACCCATGATGAGTTCTTAGAGAATCTTAACCTCAAAAATTATCAAAGGAGGGACTAGGAAGGTGGCTCAGTGGTAGAGCACTTGCCTTGCATGCCTGAGGCTCTGGGTTTGATTCCTCAACACCACATAAGCAAAAAGAAAAAAGCCGGAAGTGGCGCTGTGGCTCAAGTGGTAGAGCGCTAGCCTTGAGCTGAAGAACTGAGGGACAGTGCCCAGGCCCAGAGTTCAGGCCCCATGACTGGACCCCCAAAAAAAAAAATCATCAAAGGAAAGGGGAAATTCATTATGTGAGACAAAGAATAGCAGTTGAGTGTATTGAGTTGTGTAACAGGAATCCTGAAAAAAGCACTCTTTCTAAGGTTACAAAGGCTTAGGGGAACAGTTAATAGTGCAGACAGAATTTGAATCCAAAAAGCCTAAGTATGGAGCCCATGCCGTACACTAACTCACTTAGGCATTTAACATTTTTTATTTTTACTAAATAAAATGGGGCTACAATAATTTTATCAATGGCCATTACAAAACTATAAGTAACTTTTATTCATTTTGTAAGTAGGCTTGTTTTTTCTTTCAAAAGAGTATTACCGTGTGTGTGTGTGTGTGTGTGTGTGTGTGTGTGTGTGTGTGTGTGTGTATGATAGAAATGTTTTAACTTAGCTGTTCAGAATCTAAAAAAGTCATTGTGCACTTTTTTAAATAAGCGTTTTACTATGAAAAAACTGTACAGAGGGGTTACAGTTACATGAGCAGGGTAATGAGTACATTTCTTATCAAGCATTGTTGCCTCCTCCTTTGTTTTTCCTCTGCCATCCCTTCCCTCCCATCTCCACAACTACACTGACCCCCCCGCACCTAAATTGTAAAGTTAGTTTTTCAACATAGTGTCTTCTATATCTCATTGTTGCAATGGGTCAACCTGTATCCCTATTTAAACATTTTGTTTTTTCCCTTCCCCTCCTCAAATACAGTGAAAACAGGGGTTATACCATGTATAAGGGAAGGACATACAAAGCAACAAAAAATCATATGGTACCTTATAAATACATTAGAAACAATAGCAAGCAAGAAAAAAACCATTTGTGTCCCTATCTTCGGGTTAATTTCGCTTAACTTCTTCTTATCTGGTCATATGTACATAGCTTTTGACCTTTTTTTACTTGTCCCAGACATATACTAGTTATTGAAAATAAGGGAAACCATGGGACCTATGTTTCTTTGGGCCTGGCTTATTTCACTTAATACAGATACTCAAAGAAACAACCTCCCAATAAATAAGTGGGCTAAAGACTTAAAGAGAAACTTCTCTGAAGAGGAAATAAGAATGGCCAATAGACACATTAAGAAATGCTCAACCTCTCTAGCCACAAAAGAAATGTAAATCAAAACAGCTTTGAGATTCCACCTCACCCCAGTTAGAATGGCTATAATCAAGAACGCTAATAACAACAGATGCTGGAGGGGATGTGGCCAGAAGGGAACCCTACTGCATTGTTGGTGAAAGTGTAAACTTGTTCACTGTGCATTTTTTTCTGACAGGTCCTCCTATTATCACTCTTGAACCCGTGGAAACTATCACTAGTGCTGGCAGCAAAGTCATACTAGATTGTCAGGCAACTGGAGAGCCTCATCCGACTATTACATGGTCCCGTCAAGGGCGCTCTATTCCCTGGGATGACCGAGTCAGTGTTCTGTCCAACAACTCATTATATATTGTGGCTGCTCAGCAAGAAGATACATCTGAGTATGAATGTGTGGCTCGAAACTTAATGGGTTCTGTCCTTGTCAGAGTGCCAGTCATTGTCCAGGGTAAGTATGACCAGAGGATATTCTTATTAAACTCTACCCAGGCAATTCCAGTCATAAAAATTATTACCATATTGCTGGTCATCAGTGGCTTACACCTGTAATCCTAGCTACTAAGGAGGCAGAGATCTGAGAATCAAGGTTCAAAGCCAACCCAGGTATATATAACCTCAATCCGAGTCTCTTTTAACTTTAGGGTACTTCTAGACGATGGAAATAGAACAAAACTAACATCATGATTTACAAACTAAGGGAAACAAAACAATGCAGAATAGAATTTTTTTTAATTCCAGGTTAATGATTCAAAATTCCAAACTAAATGCATTCTCAGAAAGCAATGCATATATTTTTCTTTAAGTAATGAAGCATATTCAAAAGGTAAAGACTCCATGAACTTCTCAATTGCTAACTTCCAGCAGCCACGTTCATGTGAGTCAGGATTGGAACTCTAATAAACTAAAGTTCTGCTTTCACTCATATGTGTTACTTTTACCATCAGTGAAATCTCCCACAAGCTACTCATCAGCAAGCATAGATTCAGCTCTCTAGTTCGTAACTTAAATGGAGCTTGCTTTGTAACTTTGATTTACAAAAAGGTGACAGAGTATAATGCTTTCTTTGCAGTTCATGGTGGGTTTTCCCCCTGGTCCTCCTGGAGATCCTGCAGTGTAACCTGTGGAAAAGGCATCCAGAAGAGAAGCCGACTGTGCAACAGCCCTCCTCCAGCCAATGGTGGCAAACGGTGCCACGGGTCGGACTCAGAAACCCGAACGTGTCAGAACAAGCTGTGTCCAGGTATACAAGGGATTAAGGGTGTTGTTAATTGACATTAATTTGCATTCCCTACCTATGCATAGCCTCACAGTTAGTACTTTAATTGCAATGTACCTTATAGTGCAAAAACTGTTCACCTTTGTATAGTGGATGGTCACTGGTCAGAATGGAGTCTTTGGGAAGAATGCACAAGAAGCTGTGGACGGGGCAACAGAACCAGGACCAGAGCTTGCAATGATCCGCCAGCCCAGCATGGTGGACGGCCATGTGAAGGGAATGCTGTGGAAATCATCATGTGTAATGTGAGGCCTTGCCCAGGTGAGAGCCCACCAGTAATAACCCGCCAACCATATTATGATAAGCTTCCTAAAAGGCAGCAAGCTTTATTATCACTGTAGCTTCTTCATTGAGAGAAGGGAAGAGCCTCACGTTTGAGAATGCGTTCATTCTGATGTGATTAGTTCTGTTATGGGTAAATCTGTAAAGGATGGCATTCTTCAATGCTAAGTAAAATTCTTAGTGTAACATAAAAATGGCTCCACATTGTGGTTTATTTTTATAATCATACTAAGTAGCTACAAGAAAGATCCTAAGATTTTAGAAGTAATGGTGGCTTTGGGTAACATCTAATCCAGCCATTCATTTCTAGACAAGAAAATGAGAGCTTACAGAGACTCAGGAACACATTGCTGGTGAACAGGGAACAGTGAAACATAGCTACCATTCACCAAAAACCCAGCACATGATACAACTGGGCTAGCTGGCTTGTCCATGTGCCTTTATTGACTTTGTATATGAAGACTCTTTCAGATTCAAGGGACAGAAATAAAACTTAAACAAAAACAGTCGAAAATTCATTTTTTCAGGTATGATGAAAGGCAAGGATTTGACCAATGCTTTTATGGATTTTTCCATCTCTCATCTCTCTTCTTCTGTTGGGCTTTACCTTGTTGAACTCTTTTCCTGTGGGAGAACGAGGTGCTAGCAAAGACTGGCTCTGATGGACTTTGTCAGCTAAGGCCTCAGAAGGGAAAAAAAGAGAGTTCTTATCAGCCTCTCAGTTCCTTCTCAGCCTGTGGAAAAAAGAACTCTGATTTTGAAGTTATCACATGCTTGTGTCTGGACTCAGCTGAGTGTATAGCCCAAGTTCTATGATCAGCAGCTGATTCAATGTGTCTTTCTATACACGGTCAAGAAAGGAAAGCTTCTTTGTCTGGAAACTTGAAAAAAAATTATATGGAAGGGAGGAGAGGTTGCTTATTTGTTTACTTATTGATTAATCTAACAAATATTTGCTGTGCACCTACTCTGTGTCCAAGGTTCTGTTCTAAAATATCACTTTCCTGTATCACAGTAAAATGGTAAAGTGACAAAGAGACAATGTCTTTCAAATATTGATAAGCATACTGCTCAAACTCGAAGAAGTGAATTGATGAAGCACAACAGGATAAGACACCTTAGCTTGGGGAGTGGTTCAAAGAAAGATGTGGATAATTTTTTTAACAAAAAAGAAGTCCTTACTGCATTGGGTATTTTGTTCTATGATAAAGAAAAATTCAGGAAATAATGTTACATAATTCACTAAGTAGCAAAAAGTGAATCGTGAACTTCAATTCACATTGATGGATTCCCAAGTTTAACTGCTTTGTTTCGAGATATCTTGATTTTCAGTCTGACATCTATTAAATTTCACAAATGAAACTCTAAGCCTGACATGGTGGCTTATGCCTGTAATTCTAGGACCTGAGAGGGAGAAGAAAGAAGATTAAGAGTTTAATGTGAGTTTAGGCTAGATATGGCCCTGGTTTGAAAAAAACAAATAAAATAAACCAACACTGTCCTGAAATCTTAAAGAAAATAAATCAAAGCCAAGGGTTTGAGCCTTGAAAAATTTAAAAAGCTCGTTACAGAAACATTATGTTCTAAAAAAACTCCAGAAAGACCTAAGAGAAATCATTGGACAATTGGTAACAATATAATGGAAACCTGAATATTAAAGCTAATGTTAAAGTAAAGGTCACTTTTGATTCATATTGAGTAACTCTGTGCTTCCGGTCTATTTACCTATTACCAGTTGCTCACTAATCTGCTGGCATATTATTATTTTAGGCTTTCTTGGGTTATTCCAAGCCCATAAACCAATTGAATTTTCTGTTATTTTGGCACAATGTCATCAGTATCTCAGAGCCAGTAACTAAAGCAATGTAGTGTTTAGTTGCACCATGTCACTTGGTAGATACTGCAAATGACACAATTTCATTGCTTCTATGTGTATAAGCCATTCTGTGTATGTATACATTTATACATACATATGTACATGTGTATATATTCTGCATATACCATATCCTCTTTATTCATTTATCTATTGTTGAGACCTAAGCTAATTCCGTGACTTGTTTATTGTGAATTATTTATTTTTAATGATGTCAAGTTTAAAGAAAAGTTGTGAGAATGACCAAAAATATTTCTGTATTATTCTTATACACATATATTTACTAATACAAGGGCCTTCAATTTCATAAATAAAGTAGTATCAAAGTTGACACTGTATATATATATATATATATATATATATATATATATTATTTTTAAGCTCCTTATCTCATTATCTAATCCACAGTATACATTTCAAATAACTGTTAGTTGCTCCAGTAATATTCTTTATAACTCTTCTTTATTTGTTCCTATTCCAAGATCCCATCTAAGATTTTACTGATTTGTCTTGTTTCTGTAGATTTTTTTAGATGTTTTTAGTAGAGAACTTTCTAACACTGTCTTTCATGACCTTGATACTTTGAAATGTCTGTATCAGTCATTTTGTAGAAGAGTTTTCAATCTGGAATCATCTGATATTTCCTCGTGGTTACACAGTTGGGGTTTGCTTTTGGGCAGAGACCACACAGAAATAATTGCTCCTCAGTGCATCTGTTCAGAGGCCATGAAATGTCAATTTATCTATACTCATGACAATTCACTCTGCCTGCCCTCTAAATAAAAGTACTACTTGCCATTGTATTGTAGCTACTGTTTTTACTTTTATTATAAATAAGTGTTTTATAAGGAAACTTTGTAAACATCCTCTTATCAGTCTCCCAGTGGATATTATTAGCTTTAATATCCACTTGTAATCCTTTTGGAATTTATCATTACTATGAAGTTTGAATAATACTGTTTTCCTTACTCTGTCATAGGTTCTACATTTATTATTGACTTTCTATCAGGGAGAATTTTTTTCTTTACTCTTTATTTCTTGATTTATACCAGCGAGGACTCAGATGTTATACAATAATGGAATACTCTGCTATCATGCAATGGATTATAATACATAATTACTATTATTATATATTCTGATGTGCAACTTATCCTAGGTTTTTTTAATGGAGTCTCTAGGCTAGTTTCAGTGTCCCCCTGAGATATCTCCATGAGTTTGTGAGTTAGTCATTATTTTCTGGTGCAAATTACCTACATATTGCAAGTAAGTAGACTAGGAATACAGACACAAACTCATTTGTCTGAGATAGTGAGGAAAGACCCGCCCTTGCACAGTATCTTTCCCAGAGTCATTGCTCCTAACTCTAGTTCTGATGTCTACTTATGTGTAATAGAAACTATTAAATGAGTAAAAAATGTCACCCTAAAACTATAATCCTCCAATGGAAAAAAATCATCTTATACTATATAATATTTTATTGCCAGAGTTTGGGCTTTGGTTAACCAACAACCCTAAGAATAAAATGTCTTAAAATAATTGGAATTGTAGACATTTTGGCAAATGAATCATACATGAGGATGTTGAGCATCTATAATTTGAGTAGCACTGAAACACTTTTGGGTATTATCTGCCTCAGAGTTAAAGTATTCTCCTTCCCTCTTAGGTTTATTTAAATTGTTTATTAGTACAAATGTTCATTAGTTAAAATAGATTGCATGACTATGTTTGCTCCTGTCTACAAATTGTAAGTATATGTAGTCCACTCAGTGAGAAATCAATTAAGTATGAGAAAAATGCAAATATTTAAATACTTTCTAAATGAAGCCAACAAATGTTAACCTCATTGATTGAGTTTTTTAACTTGTTATCTGGCCCCCTCATAGGTTGTATTAACAGAATATTTAGAAATGGCCTTTTTGGGGTTCACATCTTGGTTAACTGGGCCTCACTTTACAAGGCCAGTATCTAGAAAGTTCCCCTAAAGGAAACATCATGACCTGACACTGACTTGCACGTAAGAGAATTGGTAATGTTGACTCTCAGCCCACACACCTGGTAGGAAACATAAAGCTGTGCCAGCCTTGTGGTCAGATGCTGTAATATGTTAGTTACTGAAAGGAAGGCCTTACTCCTTGGAAACTACTAGTCAGGGTTTTCTGTTGTTTGGGAAGTAGGTGAGTGTGTTATTCAGAACATTTGTGAACATTATGTAATAGAAAAAAATTTTCAAAGAATTATAACTGTACAAATCATCATGTTGTTGAAAGAGTTTGGTCAATGTGTAAGTAGGAAGCCCATCACATTTAACGATGTGCTGGGATCCAAATTAGCATTGTTCAAAATATTTGTTTTATTCATAACCACATCTAGATCTGGAACCATGTCAGAATTTGCAAGAAGCTTCCAGACTTCCTCCGAAGCTCCTGGGTCCTTTCACTTTCCCAAAGCACCAAATCTAGACAGATACTTAGCTACATTTAAACACTTAGGATATGTTTACATACAGTTGCTTGATTCAATTTGATTTTAATAAAATAGTCCCCATGGGATAATGTTAAGCATTTATTTTGACATTAGGTAAGCCTTCTCAATTTCCCAGTACACAAAATTCTCCTGGGATCCAACCAGAAGGAGAAAAGAAGAAGAACATTTGTTCTTTTTCCTTTGTTTTGATTGTAGTTATTTTAGATTGTGGGCAGATTAACTCATGGCTGAGCTAATTTATTTGTATAACTGTTTGTTAAACTAATGTGTTCTCTAACTGCATCTCTTGGGGTCTTTGTAGTTCATGGGGCATGGAGTGCCTGGCAACCTTGGGGTGCATGCAGTGAAAGTTGTGGGAAAGGGAACCAAATGAGAACAAGACTTTGCAATAACCCACCACCATCGTTTGATGGAGCCTACTGCATTGGGCCAGAAACGCAGGTGCAAGTTTGCAATGAAAAACACTGTCCAGGTAAGACAAACCTGTTTCTTATTAAGTAACCTCCATCTCATATCTAAGTCTCTTATCAGTAAGAATCTATTCCCCTTTGACTCAAGAACATGACTCAACTTAAAAATGTCCAGGGCTTAACTTCCTCCTTTTTGGGTAGTAACCAAGCACCTGTGTTCTTCTGTTGATTCAGTTGATGGCAAATGGACAACTTGGACCAGTTGGAGTGCCTGCACTGTGTCCTGTGGGGGAGGAGCCAGACAGAGAACAAGGGACTGCTCTAACCCTGTCCCCCAGTATGGGGGAAGAAGATGTGAGGGAAGTGACATCCAGAGTGATTTTTGCAATAGTGACCCTTGTCCAAGTGAGTGTTGGAAACAGTGAGTCAACATTATACTTTCTTCAAGTTTCATTATGAACTTAAGTCCTTCACGTTAATATTCTGTTACTTGGTTCTTTAACCTTTGGTTTTTACTGCCACCATGTTGTAGGCTTACTGTGAGCTGTGTGTTATGTTGTGCTTTGCATCAAAAGCAGAGATTGTGTCTCATTCCTACATCCAGTCTGTGGACGACTGTAAACAAAACAGAGCAAATGGGTTTTAAAGAGAATCACAAAATCCGCTGAGTATCTATTTGATGTCTAGTCAAAACAGCAGCTGAGCTTTCTGCGTTTGTCAGTTGCCCTTTTAGAAATTCGTATGTTTGTGTTTAATTCCTGGAGAAAGACTCTTTTGTACTTTTATTCTTTTGGATGAATGTCATTGTTTATCCCTACACATTTTTAGAGCTCTGTTTTGATATGAAATGATTCCATGTTGTAGCCCATGGGAACTGGAGTCCTTGGAGTGGCTGGGGAACTTGCAGCCGGACTTGTAATGGAGGGCAGATGCGGCGGTACCGTACCTGTGACAACCCTCATCCCTCCAATGGAGGAAGAGCTTGTGGGGGGCCAGACACCCAGATCCAGAGGTGCAACAGTGACATGTGTCCCGGTGAGGTTCTTGATTCCTGACTCTGGGGGTAGTGAAGCCTTTCCTTTAGAACTCACTGTAGATTTTTAAAGCATCTGTATATACTCAGACCATCTCGTTCTTGTTCCCAGTGGATGGAAGCTGGGGAAACTGGCAGAGCTGGAGCCATTGTTCTGCCTCCTGTGGAGGAGGCGAAAAGACCCGGAACCGGCAGTGTGACAATCCAGTGCCATCTAAAAGTGGTCGTTCCTGTCCAGGAGATGCTACTCAGGTATCCAGGTGCAATGTACAAGCATGTCCAGGTAAGTACCGAATTTGGACTTTCGGCAGGACCGTTGCTAGCACATTCAGAGCCTTCTGTGCAAGTCAGGGGGGGAAAAAAGATTCTACTTTAGGCCCCCTAATTTATAAACAATTCCAGGGACAAGTAAAATTAGGGGGGAAAGTATTTTTTCTCCTAATTGTTACAGTTCTATTTATATGCTCATGTCTGGATTTTGAAGCCTGTTTATCACCTTTACAGACTTCCTAATTTCAGAGACAGACTTGTAATGGTAGTAAGAAGATCAGACCCTTGTTTCATATTGCTGAAGTGTGAAGATACCCTTGGATTTTTACAAAGCTCTAAAATCGTTTTAGATTTTTTTTTTAAGTCTGAAAATCTGTAAGGCCTATTTTGGAAAATTGAGTATTTGTGGGGAGAGTGATAGAAACTTATACTAGACCATTTGTATAACATAGACAAGCTAAAAAAATGTCTATCCTTCATAGACATACCTGTTCCACATTATTAGCTGGTCACAAAGAGTTATGAAGTTCCTTCCTAAAGGTTTGGTGGCACTTCTGATTTGAGATGAAGCATTTTGCCATTGATGGTGACAGGTTCCAACTGGCCACAGGGATTCCAGATAGGACAAGTCAGTTAACAGAGTCTGGCAGAGGGATTTAAGGATTCCATCCAGGTAGCCAGAAAGAGAGATAGCTAATTGTGTGTTAACACTCAAATTCATCTGTTACACTAGAGAGCCAGGTTTGAATGGGAAGCCATAGGTGTCAGAGAGGACCAAGAAAGCCAGTGACTCTGCTAACCCTTGCTCCCTCCCTCTAGTTAGGACCAGGGATAAGTGGCCACCAGGCCTTGATTGACTGATTGCTGCTCTCCTGCAATCTTTACAATCACTCTTTAAGGTCTCTGCTCCTTTTAGCTTCTTAGATGTAGAAATCACTCCCAATAGGCAGTTTTCACTATCTGGAAAATGCTCCTCCTGCCCTCTCTGGCTTAGTGAAGTATTTTTTAGTTCAATATTAAGGAATTATTTTTACTTTCTTCGCAGACCTTCCTGATTAACAGTTGTCTACCCGATACATACATAAACTCATAGAGCTGTAATAACAGGTGTCAATCTTTCCTTTTCTTTTTGTGAATTATTATCCTTAAGTAGTTGTGCAAATGAGTTGCCATTCAGCAAAGCATATTGTGAATATAATGCATCTTGATCAGTGCCACCCTTTCCAACATTCTCCCCCATCCCTCCCAACTCCCACCCTTCTCTCAGTTTCCTTTTGTAGGATTTGGGTTGAATTTTACAACTGCAGTCTCCCCCCATACCAATCTTCATTCATCTGTGCCCCCCACCTTGAACCCACCCACCCCCTTCTTTTGAGTGCTCATTTCCCAGTGTATCTATTGTTGAACTGTGCATTAGTCCCTCTAAGAAATTACATTTGAGTTCTCTTCTGAGTCTACTGTATCTTGATCAATACATTCATATATGCTTGCATACCACCCCAAAATGTTTACTCCTATCCTTATAAATTAATTCTAGCTTCCACATATGAAAGAAAACATGTATCTCTTGTCTCTCAGTGCTTGACTTACTTCACTTAACATGATTTTTTCCAGATCCTTTCTTTTCATTACAAATGATTCAGCATCATCCTTTCTAATGGATGAGTAAAATTCCATTGTGTATAAATACCACATTTTCTTGATCCATTTGTCCATTGATTCCATACCTTGGCTATAGTGAATAGTGCTGCAGTGAACATGGTTGTGTGTGTGGTTTTACTAGTTTGTAATCTTTTGGATTAAATGCCCAAGAGTGGAATTGCTGGATCACAGGGTAGTTCTGTGTTTAATTTTTTGAGGAACTTCCATACTGGTTTCCAGAGTCATTGAACAAATTTCCTTCCCCACTAATAATGTACTAATGTTTCTTTTAGCTCACAACCATGCCATTTGCATTCTTGATAATGACCATTTTAACTGGGGTGAGGTACAATCTTACTGTTGTTTTGTCAGCCTTTTATTTTCTTACCTCATTTTCCTTCTTGATGTTTGACAAATTAATATAGTTAGTGCAGAGCAGAAAACTGTATCCACATGAAAAAATTTCCTCTCACCTATAAAGTAATACGAGTTAAACTATGAACTATTATGTTTATTGATTTCTAAACTGAATGCACTTGTACTTCTCCCTAGTATGTAATATCTGATAATAAAGGAATCTAAAGTACCTTATAACTGCTTTAAAATATATTTAGTGGGCTGGGAAGGTGGCTCAGTGGTAGAGCGCTTGCCTTGCATGCATGAGGCCCTGGGTTCGATTCCTCAGCACCACATAAGCAAAAAGAAAAAAGCCGGAAGTGGTGCTGTGGCTCAAGTGGTAGAGCGCTAGCATTGAGCTGAAGAGCTGAGGGACAGCGCCCAGGCCCAGAGTTCAGGCCCCACAACCAGACCCCCCCCCAAAAAAAATAAATGAAATATATTATATTTAGTTTTCTGTACTATCAAGGAACGTCTTCTAAATGATGTCCTCTCTTGTCAAAAGAGAGGAAATTCATCTAAAAAGTTGTTATAAGTGGCACTGTAGCTTAAGTGGTAGAGCGCTAGCCTTGAGCTGAAGAGCTGAGGGACAGCGCCCAGGCCCAAAGTTCAAGCCCCACGACCGACAAAAAAAATAAATAAATAAATAAATAAAAAAATAAAAAGTTGTTATAGGGGCTGGGGGTTTAGCCCAGTGGAAGGGCACCCGCCTGGCGCGCACAAGGCCCTGGGTTCGGTCCTCAGCCCTGGAAAAAAAAAAAAAGATAAAAAGTTGTTATACTGTTATTTGCTAATAACTAACAATTTTGTCGCACAGTAGAAAGAATTCATTACAATACTGGAGAGATACTTTTTAAACTTTTTAATAATTTTCAAAAAATTATCTTCAATGAATTTACAGTACTTTCAAAAGTATAATAACTTTTTCAGATTTTTCTCAAGTTAAGCATTTTACAATATATATGTAAACTAAAGAACCTGAGCCAGGATCTGGTAACTCACACCTGTAATCACATCTCAGGTGGCTGAGATGTAAGAATTGTGGGTTGAAGCCAGCCCAGGCAGGAAAGTCAGTGAGAATGTTATCTCCAATTAACTACAAAAAAAAAAAAGCCAGAAGTAGAATTGTAACTCAAAGTGGTAAAGTGCTAGCCTTGAGCACAAAAGCTTAGGGACAGCATCCAGGTCCCTTAGTTCAAGCCCCAGGACCAGCACACACACACATACATATACACACACACAAAAAAAAAAAAAAGGAAGAAAAGAAAAGAAATTGTCAGACATTATTGACTCATGCCTGTGACCCTAGCTACTTGGAAGATAAGAATTAGAGAATCAAAGTTCAAGACAATCCTGAGCAGAAAAGTTCATGAGCCTCTTTCTCAATTTATAGCAAGGATCAATGTTATGTGCCAGTGTCATCCCAAGCTACATAGGAGACTGAGACTGAGAGGAATATGAATGTAGGCCATTTGGGGCAGAAAATTCCAGAGTCCATCTCCATGGAAGGAAGATTAGAACAGTGTCACACACCTAAAATAGAAGCATAATCCCATGTGGGATTATGAGACTCTATCTCAAAAATTTCCCAGCTCAGAATAGAACTAGATATATGACTCAAGTAGTAGAGCACCATCCTGCCTAAATGTGAGTTTTTGAGGTCAAACCTCAGGCCTGCAAAAAAAAAAAAAAAAAAAAAAAAGAATGAAAAAAAACCTTTATAAACTTTTCAGCTAAAGCTCAAGACTGAAGACTGTCCTTAGATCCCCAGCATTTATACTGGCAGTGACCTGTAACAAAGGTTAGGGGATTTCTTAAGCTATTTTGTTTTATTTTTATTTTTATTGTGAGATTGTTCCATTTCCTCTATGTTCTCACGAAGGAAGCAACAGGTAGAAGAACGTCTGTGGCGTTACTTACTGTAGTCATCATGTTGTAAAATAGGTATCTTGAACTTTTTCTCATATCTAACTACATTTTGCATCCTTTAACCAATGTCTCTCCAAAACTCCTCCTTCACCCCTGAGTAACCCCTCTTCTTTGTGGCTTATTTCTTTGTAGTTGTTTGTTTGTAGGCTTTATTTGTGCCAATACCAGGGTTTCAGTTGAGGGCCTTCTATACTTGCTTGGCTCCCATGCTTAAATGGTGCTCTACCACCTGAGTCACGCCTCCTGCCCAGCACTTTTCTAGTTAATTTTCTAGTTAATTGGTGATCTATAGTCAGGCTGGCTCCAAACTTTAATCCTCCAAATCTCAGCCTCCTAAGTAAGGAGGATTATGTGTGGTGAGCCACCAGCTCCTGGCTATATTCTCTATTTCTATGAATTAGCTTTTATACGTTTCCTATAATTGGGTTATATTCTGCAATACTTTTTTTTGTCAGTTGTGGGGCTTAAACTCTGGGCTTGGGTGCTGTACCTATGCTCTTCAGCTCAAGGCTGGTGCTCTACCACTTGAGCCACAGCACCACTTCTGGTTTTCTGGCTATTAATTGGAGATAAGGGTCTCATGGACTTTCCTGCCTGGGCTGGCTTTGAACCAAGATCCTCAGATCTCAACCTCTTGAGTTGCTAGGATTACAGGTATGAGCCACTGGTACCTGGCTCTGGAATGCTTTTTTGTTATTGTTGGTGGTGGTGGTCATGGGGCTGTTCCTCAGCTCTTCAGCTCAAGGCAACGGTCTGCCACTTGAGCCACTGTACCACTTCCAGTTTTCTGAGTGGTTTATTGGAGATCAGAGTCTCCTGGACTTTCCTGCCCAGGCTGGCTTTGAACCATGATCCTCAGACCTCAGCCTCCTGAGTAGCTATGATTACAGGTGCAAACCATTGGCACCCGGCTCTGGAATGCTTTTTAAGAATAGATTTTATGTGTTCTTACTGCAAGGTAAGTAGACAAGGTAGCCAATGTGCTTACTAGCTCAATTTAGACTTTCACAATGTATGTATACCTCAGAGCAGCTCATTGTACCTGATAAATATACACAATTTGATTTTTTAAAATTCAATAAATAAGTAAGTCCCACCCAAGAAAAAAAAAATATATCCATGGATTTTAGTGCCAAGTAGATAACATGTAGGTATTCTATGAAAGTTGCTTAATTTTTCTGAGCTTTTCTCTCCTAATCTGCAAGTTCTGTCTACTTAAAGCTATCTTTTAGGATTATTGATAGGAATTAAAAACACACACACACATTTATTATTCACCGCTTCACAGGAGATACTGGTGAACTCACCATCTTCCTCATTCCCTCACTGTCCAAAAAACACATTATTTGGTCATGGTACTAGACACTACTGTATTCTTTGGCTTATGAAATAATACGACAATGTGAATAGGTTGGAAAGACCCTAGATTTATGGGGGATGATGGATGTCACATCAAAGTACAATATTTTTAAAGCTTATTGGTTTCATTTTTAAGTTCAGATGTTAGAGGGCCTTTTCGATGTTCATGAAGATTTGTAGCGTCTCTGACCATTGGCCTTCTTCTCTCCTATGTAATGTTGATGGAATTGCTTCCTTAGCCAGCAGTCTTATTTCTTCCCTCAACAGGTGGGCCTCAGAGAGCCAGAGGAAGTGTTATTGGAAATATTAATGATGTTGAATTTGGAATTGCTTTCCTTAATGCCACAATAATAGATAGCCCTAACTTTGATTCTAGAATAATCCATGCTAAAATTACCAATGTGCCTCGCAGTCTTGGTAAGTCTGTTATAAATGTTGTTCCTAAATGTCTTTTTAAAAACATGCTATTCTTTCTATGATTCTAAAGGGTATTACTACTAAATCAAGTTTAGTAGTTTTTAGCTCTGTCACAATGTTAAGCTCCTAAACACAGTTGAGGAACTGGTATTTATTTTGTGTTAGCCCAGTATTTAGTATTCATCATTGTGAACAATATACTATGAAAACAGTAACAACTGACTCTAAATATTTTTCTTTGTCACCTTATTTATCCTCCTCCCTTCTTAGGCCCAGCAATGAGAAAGATAGTGTCTATTCTAAATCCCATTTACTGGACAACAGCCAAAGAAATAGGAGAGGCAGTCAATGGCTTTACCCTCACCAACGCCGTCTTCAAAAGAGAAACACAGGTGGAATTTGCTACCGGTTAGTGTCATCTGAACCCAACACTGTAGCACTATAAAAAATGATGGCTATGAAGGTTGGTGGTTAAGAAAAACTAAGTTTCCACTAAGCAACATTACAAAGTTTTTGGTACAATCTTATATATTAATATTAATATATGTGATCATACAAGTTTCTACCTTAGATCTCCATCTTGAGCCTCTTTCAAGTTGTTCAGCCCCTAAGGCAGAGAGAAGGGTTATCTGTAATTAGTATTAACTAATCCAGAAGATAAGTGGGACCTTCTTATAATGCTTTCTGCTTACTAAGATGTCCTGTGCTACTTTGAAGCACTAGCTGGTACAAAAGCCTGTGGCCATACTTGTAGTCTTTGTCAATTAGTCTTGTGAGGTTCTTGGTCCCATCCAAAAAGCAATCCATGTTTGTAGACATGTTTTGTTATTGTTTGTGAGTTTAAAGTATGGGGTTGGTCGCATAATCATATGCTACCTTTTTGCCTTGTTTAAAAAAAAAGACATTTTAGGACAAGATAGAATGCATGAAGCCTGACTCTTTGAGAGGTTGAATGATACTCTCTCTAGTTTCTATTCATTCATGTTTGAACTCAAATCACATCGCTGAACTGCTGTTTTAAATAACTGTGCTCTGTGTGTGCAATGTCATTCTCAGGAGAAATCTTGAGGATGACTCACATCGCCCGGGGCCTGGATCCTGATGGTGCCTTGCTGCTGGATGTGGTCGTGAGTGGCTATGTCCTCCAGCTTCCGTCACCTGCTGAAGTCAATGTGAAGGTAATCTACTTTTCTATTGAAGACAGTTTTTCTGATTGTTAGTGTAATGGTCAGAGATTCATAAAAAGAGCTGAGAGAGCTAAGATCCTTTTCTTTGTTCCCTCTAGAGAGTTAAAGTCTAAGCAAGAAAGGTCATAAGTAATTATCTGGTCTCAGTTTGAAAAATCTTTGGGTACAAGTTTTTGGACACTCCCTCAGAGATTTTGTTACCTTATCAGGATTAACAAAGGAAGAGGCTACAATGCTTGATAAGAAATGTACTCATTATCTTGCCCATGTAATTGTAACCCCTCTGTATAGTATTTTCACAATAAAAAATAAATAAAAATTTAAAAAAGAAAGCATTTGAAAAATAAAAGCTTAATTTGTCACATTTTTTTAAAAAAAGAGTGCTCCTCTGCTGATTTGAGGCATTTGTTTAGTTTTCTTCAAAGAGACTAGTAATTCTAACATAAAAGATTTCTAGCACTTAAAAGAATGATTAACAATTATCCTTTTGTTTATTCCTGACCTACAATTCTCAGTCATTTATTAAGCAGTCATTTATGACAGCAGAATTCATGTAGTTACAATGAAAAGGTTTACCCTTCCAGATATTACCTACTTTCTCTACCATCACAATTTTATTTAGAATTCTTCACCTCTTAAGTCTTTTTTTCCTCATTCTTTATCTCACAGTACCCTTCAGTGAGAGAAAACAGAAAGTACTATAAGCCATGTTGAACTTGGACTCTGTCTCCTCCTCTTTAGGACTATACAGAGGACTACATTCAAACAGGCCCCGGCCAGCTCTATGCCCATTCCACCCGGCTTTTCACCATTGATGGTATCAGCATCCCATACACATGGAACCATACCATTTTCTACGATCAGACACGGGGAAGAATGCCTTTTTTGGTAGAAACACTGTATGCATCCTCTGTGGAATCTGACTATAACCAAATAGAAGAGACCCTGGGTTTTAAACTCCATGCCTCAATTTCCAAAGGTAATTTAATGAAAGGGAAGTCTGTGTGTGTGTGTGTGTGTGTGTGTGTGTGTGTCTGTGTGTGTGTGTGTGTCTGTGTGTGTGTGTGTGTGTGTATTGGTACCAGAGCTTGAACTCAGGGTCCACTGCTCCTTAGCTTTTCACTCAAGGCTGGCACTCTACCAGTTGAACCATGCTTCCAGTTCTGGCTTTTTGCTGGTTGATTGGAGACAAGAGTCTCGTGGAATTTTCTACCAGGACTGTTTCAACCCACAATCATCAGATCTTAGCTTCCTGAGGAGCTGGGATTACAGGCATAAGCCACCAGCTTCTGGCCAGAAATCTATATCTTCATGCCACCATCTAGTCCTTTCTAAAAGGGTAAAAATAATTACAACTATGCCATTTAATATAAGGAAACAAAGGCCTGCATTAGAGGTAACAAAATTTAAGTGCTTTACATGCATTGTCTGCTTTTTTGTGGACAAGGCCGTGTGGTAAAACTAATCCAATTATAGTCTTCATGAATTTAGTTTACTAATATGCTTCTTTATACTGCATAGTAGAGTTTTCTAGTCTATATATATATTTGAAGGAGGTTTAGTATATATATTATATACAATATATAATATATAATATGTCAAAATTATTTTTCTGTGAGCAAAAATGTTAAGTGTTATTGTTCTGCATCTCTTATATTTGTCAAAGAGCTTTTTGAATTCTTGAAACATAATGTAAAGAACTGTCCTAACTAGGGGTTTGGGATGTGGCTGAAGTGATAGAGCACCTGCATAGTAAGTGCTAAGGCCCTGACTTCAAATCCCAGTACTGAAAAAAACATGTGTCTTAACATAAAATAGTCAAAAGAACCATTTCCCTATTTTAAAAACAGCCCCCCAAATATCCTCATTTTCTTAGTTGATTATATGGAAATTGTTTCTCAAGAAGTCCAGTCTAGTTTGGTCCAACTGGAAATAAAATACAGAGAAAACATGAAAATAAAAGAATTAATACCAAGACAATATATCCAACCACTTAGGAGCTTAGATAATACGGCCATAAAATGTATCGTCCAAACTAGCATGCTTTTGAACATGAAAAAGGGGACTAGTTCAATGAAACTGCCCCAGACACCAGCGTACAACATGTGGGCACCTGAGGCAAAGCAGTTTTTTTAAAACTGTGCAGCAAAAATTATAGGCCTAACCGTCATTTCTTGTTCCTGGAGATTATGATATTTAAACTGCTTTCCATTTGTCAAGCACAATTCTACAAGTCTTGGTCTCTCTGGTGTGTGATTGTTTGATGTATCTGTTTGTTGATTTTTCTTTTTCACTAATAAGAGGCACCAGGGCAGTTAGTATTCAGTATTCTGTTTAGTAATTGGGGTTTACGTGATCTTTAGCTTTGAACTTTAGGATTCCATGACTTTGATTAGAAGGATTTACATTATCTATGTGTGTTGTGTGTCTGTGTTGCTGTGGGTTGACTTCCCTAAAATATATTCCAGTAGATTTTTATAAACATCGTTACTATCTTACCAATTTAAAAAACAACAACAAGAAGTTCACTTTTTCTGTTTACTCTTGCTTTCATCAGGACCGTATTTTCATGTTCTCCTGAAGTATTTATCAGAACTCTTTCATCAAATTTAAGATTGTAGTAATCTGGGAGAGTAGGTATACACTTTTGTGAGTGGGGAGGTCCTGAGGCTTGAACTCAGGGCCTGGGAGCTGTTGCTAAACTTCTGTGCTTAAGGCTAGTGCTCTACCGCTTGAGCCACAGCTCCATTTCTGGGAGGAGAGGAGGGTTGGTGAATAATTAGAGATAAAGAGTCTTATGGGCTTTACTGCTCAGAATGATTTTGAACCACAATCATCAGATCTCAGCCTCCTGAGTAGCTAGGATTATAGGCACTAGCTCTTGTCAGGTACTCACTGTTATAAAGAGATTCATGAGATCTCTTTGTCACAGGGACCCATGTCCCATACCCTCTCAACTCACACCATCACCTTCTCTTATACAACTGTTGTGTATGTTCAAGAAACATAGACAAAAGAAAAAAAGCACTGTTGAGATTGAAAAGTTGTTTCTTTTTCTCCAATTATGTCTACAGGACTAATCTAAGCTTTGCTTCTTCTCTTTTCAGTTCTCCATCTAATTACAAAAAGATGGCTATCATTTTTAATTTTAACCCATTACATTTTAACATTAAGCCTATTACTATCTTTGGGCACTATAATCCTATGAAATACAACTGATATATTGTTGAAGTGCCTGGGACTTTCAAATAATAGTATACCTGCGATTTGATTTTCAGTGACCACCAGGGGGCAAGCATGTATTCTCAATGACTTAACCAATTTCATTTTAGAGTCTGTCCCAAGAATGATCACAGAAATAGTACAAGATGAATGTTCCAGAAGAAGCCTCATCTAGTTTTATTTTGAATAGAAAAATAATTTAATGAATGTTCTAAAAATAGGAAATTAATATGTAAATTGTGACACAAATATGTTAATTGCTTAAATAATCATGGAAACAATTTTTATGAAATTTCCAACTTATTAATTTGACAGGTATTTATTGATGTCCTCCCATGTACTAGACATTGTTCTAGGTATTGGCAGTATAACTACACAAGTGGAAAGGAGAACAATGTTTATGACTTAATAATCAAAAAGCAGAACAATGTTTATGACTTAATCATCAATATGCAACCCAAACCTGGATTACTTACACTTGAGTGATGTAGAGAAATCTTTACAGGAGTTAAAAGGCTATTCCTGCATCTCTCCATTTTCATTAAACTCTCAGTAATATTTTTAATTAGAAAAACTTGGCAATTATTATTACTTCCATACTTTTTAAGTGTGGTTCCATAAAAATGACTAAAAGCAAAAGTGTCAGATGTAAACACACAACTGTGTTGTTTACAAAATGGCAAAAACCATAGGAATTTTATTTTATACTTCCTAAGTTTTCTATTCTCATGCATTTCTATGGCATAAATATTTTGTGTACCCCCTAGTCTCTAAAAGTGAAAATTGTAACTACTACAATTCAAAATAACATTCTTCTTTATATAAAGAAGTAAAACACTTCATAATAAAATACTTTCTATCTCAATATGAATATCATTGGACAAAGACCAATAGTCCTATACCTGAAACTATAGAATCTTACTGTGACTTTTTAAGGAATGAGGTGATGCATTTAATAAGTTTTAATAACATTCAAAAAAACAATGTACAATCAGGTATCAATTCATATAACAGTTCCACTCCTGAGAATTTATCATATATTTAAGTCATGTGAGGAATGTTTCACATATGACACACAGATAATTACTAGTTACAGTTTCCTTACTTTCAGAAAAGTCTTGCAGGACAAGGGACCAATGTCTTCCAGGACAGCTCTATACATTGCAATATTGTAAAACCTGTTCCAGGCCATCCCCACTTAACTAAATTTTAATAGGCCTCTTTTATCATCCAGACAATCAGTACATCTCTTTAAAAAATAAACACAAATGCTACCCATTAAAAATGTCTTTCCCTATTAAAACAAAAAATCTATTGCTACTATGACTGATTATGTTCATGTCACATAATGAACCCAGTGCCCCACACAACACACTGTTTAGATTAAGAAGGTAAGAGTAAGTGAATAAACACAATTTTTCATCCCCACCCAATTCAGTGGCTGCAAGTCAAACAGATTTTCATCTAAATCTTGGTCCTGAATAGCTCTTTGATCCTAGACAACTTCTATAACCTCAGATTCAAATGCTTCATCTGAAACTAAGGTACAGAAACAACAGTGATGGTGTGACCCATATAAATTAAACAAAGAACAACTTCAATAATCATTTAGTAACCCCATTGGTCCTCTTCCATCAGTCTCGGTTCCGTGCCCTTGCTCAAGCAGGAAGACTAGCATGCTATCAGGAAAGAGACTCTTGACCAAATTGTTCTTGTGTATTTTCTTCTAACCCCTCCTTGAATCTTATGTTTCCACGGCTTTTGACTATACAGAACAGGAAAAATGATTCTATACAGAATAGTTTAGTGCAAATGGTCAACCTTGTAAATGGAAAAGATCCAAAAGAAGGAGGGGCTTCTTTGTGGAACTTCTCCTTTTCACTGGCATGGATTATTTTAGTTATTGCCCTGAACAAATCAGAATAGCTGGAAGAACAGGCCTTGCCTGTGGCATATAATCTTGTCTTTTTTAAATTTTTATTTATTTTTATTTAATATTTTTTGATGGTGGTAAACAATCTAAACAGAAATTCTGATTCTAGTAGCAGCTTGCCCTCAGTGTCTGGACTCTAATTCATTTAATTTTTGTAGAGGGAAAAATTTGCATTCTTGCTTGTTTCCATCTATGTTGGCACCATGGGCTTTGTCTTTGACATATCTTTCCAGGAAGGATTGTTCTAAACCTCTACTCTGTGAACGTTCCTTTTCTCTCTGTGGTAGGTGATCGTAGCAACCAGTGCCCCTCTGGCTTCACGTTAGATGCAGTTGGACCCTTTTGTGCTGGTAAGTATAACTACTTTTTCTACTACTTTTTATATGTCAATGGCAATCATCATCTAATGGGCATCTATTACCATTTTATTAGGTATTAATCATTGCAATATTCTTTTTTAATCTTATTCTCTCAATTGACAGTGGAGAGAATTTAGATAGGATGTTAAATAAATTGGGTAAGATCACTTGGCCTGGAGGAGAGGGAGAAGGGGAATGGATTTGGATTTAAGTTATAATACAAAGCCCAGACACATTCAGCTGCGTAATGTGACTTAATTAACTGTGTCAAAGCTAGCGCCCAAACTCAGAGATATTGTGAGTGGAGGCAATACTAACTGGCAGCAGGATTGCTGAGTGTGTTGGATGATCCAGCACTAAGTCACTTTACCCTAGAAATGCTCAGTTTAGGATAGGGCAAATCTATGACTAAAGACTAAACCATCTTTTTCCCATCAAGTCCAGGAGACTTGAAGATAAGTGAACAGTTAAGCAAATGGCTTGAGGAACTCAAATCTGCCTACACAGCACTATTTCTCCACAGCCAGGCAATATAATATAGTCTCATGGTTACAATGTGGTCTTTAGCCTGCCCTCAAATGCCATTTCTGGCAAATATGATCTCAGTATCTTGAGGAAATTCATTTAACCTTTTTGTCATGTGAAATTAGTGTAGGAGTAAAAATAATCTGTCTCTTAGAAATGTTTTGAAGAATGAGTTCAAGTTGGTTTTAAAAAAGTAATTAGATCATAGTACATGGCAAATATAGCTGTCATTAAGTCTGAACAACTTATTCACTATCAAAGATACCTTGGAGATTCTAGTTATTTTGTATTCACTAAGTCCATTTTGTGGCACTTGAGCTTGCTTGTTATAGTTGATTCAACTTCTTGGCTTCTATAAGCAACTAATATTCACTGACTTTGAGACCTAGAAAGAAGAGGTTTTATACATTGGTTCCACTTGGTGTTTCCTTTCAGATGAAGATGAATGTACAGCAGGAAATCCCTGCTCCCACACCTGCCACAATGCCGTGGGAACCTACTATTGCTCCTGCCCCAGCGGCCTCACCATCGCTGCTGATGGACGGACTTGTCAAGGTATTCACAAAGCTAAGTCCAACCGACACATTAAGCAATGGACCAGGCAACCTTTGATGTAGGAAAGCATCACAAACCAATCCTCCTCTTCCCCTACCACTGCCCACACTTTTCAAACCAACAGGAAGGTCCTCAATGGGTTGAGAAAATATGAAAGAAGAAACACTCATCAGACATTGCCTTTAGATGAGCACTCAGACAGCAGAGATACCTGGAACATCTCACACAAGATCTCAGAAAGAACAAGTTGCTTTCTAATAACCAATTTATTTAGAATGGCTTGCTGGTTGGTTTAGGAAGACATCTGGTCATGCTGCTATGAGCCTATCGGCTATTTAACCCTCTGAAAGAACTCAAATTAAAAAACTGTCAGTCTTGGTGTTTATTTCACTTATCATTCGTATTCCTGTTTTATAGCAATAGTTTGAATTGGGTTTTCTTCAACTCACCTCAATTGCATGACTCTCTGTGTTGTAGATATTGATGAGTGTTCTTTGGGTTCACATGCCTGCCACACTGGTCAGGATTGTGACAACACGATCGGATCCTATCGCTGTGTGGTCCACTGTGGACTCGGCTTTCGAAGAACCTCTGATGGGCTGAGTTGTCAAGGTATAAAACAATGGAGGCCTTCGCCCTGCCCCAGCGGCTCTCATTTGGAATCTTAGCTATTCAGGAGGTTGAGATCTAGTATATAACCTTTCACTTAGAATTTAAGCATCCCCTCCATGTCTTTTCTTGGCTTGATAGCACATTTCTTGGTATGAAATAATGTACCATAGTATATATGTAAATATATAAACCCATAGATATAGTTAAATAATAGACATTTAATTGAAATTGAAGACATAATATGAAAATTATGTAGTGTACAAGTATATAAAGTATAATTAAATTATATAATTATATAAAATAATTATTCAATTATAGAAGACATGTCATTGTCTTGCTCTTCTAAATTAATATTACAGTTCTCTAATATTAATATACAGTTTAACCAAAGGCTGTTAATACAAAGCTCTTTTTAAATGTAGTAAATTTAGTAGCAATATATCTGTCAGAGTAAATATTAACTCATATATTCCATCATTCAAAAATGATTATATAAAAAAGAGTATATGCAATGTCATAAAGTAATTTTATACCAAAATATATGAAATATATAGTAGCATTGAGAATGTCCAGATTCTAAGATAAATATCAATAAAATTCTGCTCCCCAAAAAAGAAAATGATGCCAGGCTCTAATAGCTCTATAATGGCCTGTAATCCTAGCTACTTGGGAGACACTGACATCTGAAGACTGAAGTTTTAAGCCAACCCTGGCAGGAAACTCTGTGGACTTTTATCTCCAATTAACTACCAAAAAATGCCAGAGGCAGAGCTGTAGCTCAAATGGTAGAGAGATAGCTTTCAGCAAAAATGTTTAGGGAGAGGGCTGGGAAGGTGGCTCAGTGGTAGAGCGCATCCCTTGCATGCATGAGGCCCTGGGTTCGATTCCTCAGCACCGCATAAGCAGAAAAAAAAAAGCTGGGAGTGGCACTGTGGCTCAAGTGGTAGAGCGCTAGCCTTGAGCTGAAGAGCTGAGGGACAGCGCCCAGGCCCAGAGTTCAGGCCCACGACCGGAACCAAAAAAAAAATAAAAAAGTTTAAAGAGAATGCTTAGGCTCTGAGTTCAAGCCCCAGGACTGGAACAAAAAATAAAAAAGAAAGAAAGATCGTTTTTCAACATAGCGTCTTGTACATCTCATTGTTGCAATGGGTCCACCTGTATCCCTATTTAAACAATTTGGTTTTTTCCCTTCCCCTCCCCAAATTATACCAACATCAAATACAGTGAAAACAGGGGTCATACCATGGGGGAGGGACATACAAAGCAACAAAAAAATCACATGTTACCTTATAAATATGTTAGAAACAATAGTAAGAAAGAAAAAAAAAACACTTGTGTCCCTATCTTGAGGTTCATTTCAACTTAACATCATCTTATCTTACCTTTTCTGCTTGTCCCAGACATTTACTAGTAGTTGAGGATGTGGGAGGGAAGGGATGGTAGGGAAAGAGCAAAGGAGGAGGCAACAATGCTTGATAAGAAGTATACTCATTACCTTGCTCATGTAACTATAACCCCTCTGTACTTCATTTTACAATAAAAATTTATTAAAAATGAAAGAAAGATAGAGAAAGAGAGAGAGAGAAAGAAAGAGAGTTAGAGGGAGGGAGGGAAGGAAAGGAGGAAAGAAGGAAAAGCAGGGTATGAGGGAGGGAAAGAAGGAAGAAAGGAAGGAAGAGAGAAGGAAGAAAGAGGAGGAAGAAGGGAAGGAAGGAGAAAATGGGTGACATCAATCAAGATGCATTGTACTTAACATTTTATTGAATGGTAGCTCCTTTGTACAACTACTTGTAGAAAATAAAAATACAAACAAATAAAAAGAAAACAATTGCAAAATAAGAGACATTGGCATCCTCAAAATCTGGAATGTGGAGTGAGATACGAAGAACATAACTAAGATGGTTGCTTGGTTGCTTTTGGTGGGGGAGGGTTGAGATAGAGCAATAGAGAGGGGTAGGAGCTTGAGAGGTGTGTCAGTGACCTTCGGGAAGGATTGAGTGATGCTGGACAAGAGTTGATTACATCTGTAGGTTTATGAGAAAAGATGACAGTATAAAAGAAGGACTGTTTTTGTTTTTTAAATCATAGGAGTAGGGAATGAATAATGGGTCATAATCTTCATCTTAGTGAGTAAGGAGAAGGTAGGGTTGCAGGGTACTTTCTTAAATGGAAGAAGAGATCTCTTCCTTTGGGACTAAATACACACACACACACACACACACACACACACACACACACACACACACACACACACGTGCTTAAAAGTTCAAAGATTTTACCCTCCATTCTTTGACACTGTGAGCCAGGTGGTATTAGAGAAGAATCTGCTGGTGATGACTTGTTGCAGGCAGCCAGATTCAAGGTAGCAAAGACTGTGGAGAGCTCACAGCAGTAAGAATGGGGAAACAAGGTCAAGTGCAAAACCCCTCAGCATAGTTTCCCATCTGGATTTATCACAGATTGTCAGCAAAAATCCATAGCTTAAATTTTCCAGAAATAGGAAAGGGGAAAGACTTGCAGTAGATGATTTTTTTCCATACAGCTCAAATTATTAGCAAATATTTACTTTGAAGGAATATTAAGGAGAGAATTTCTCTCCAGAAGTTAATTCTATTGATTTTTTTTTGGACTATGTGAAAGCAAATGTATTGGCTTCATTTTAGAGGTCTTAAACGTAATTGTCAAGATCATTAATGTTAAAAGCTTTTGTGGGTTAAGGAAGTCTGCCTCACATGGAAAGTTCCCAGGTTCAATACCCAGCACTGGAAAAAAGAAAAAGTTAAGCATTGGGGATAAATTAGCTTAGGTTTTTCCTTTTTCTTTCCTTTCCTTCGTCACAGACAGGGACTCAAACTCAGTATCTAATGCTTGCTTTTGCTCATTGCCTGGTACTCTACCACCTGAGGCATGCCTCTCACACCTAGTTCAGGTTTTCTAACAGCCTATTAAGAAAGTTTTCTTTTATTTAACAGATATTAATGAATGTCAGGAGTCTAGTCCCTGTCACCAGCGTTGCTTCAATGTCATAGGGAGTTTCCACTGTGGATGTGAACCTGGCTATCAGCTGAAAGGCAGAAGATGCTTGGGTAAGAAAAGGGCTTTGAATGCAGAGCAGGTCTCTGTAACTTCTTGGTGCCACCTGATGTAAAGGCACAGGCTGTGCCCAGGACTGATTCATTTTCAGAAGTGCACGCATTCTGTATGGCATCCATGCAAAAAAAAAAAAAGAATGAACTCAAGTGCTGTTTTACAATTTTCATGTTCTAGTTGCATAGCTATGCTTTTAACATCTCCCTATTTACCACGTTTTTCCCCAATATATACTGTTCATACATACATATATACTAAGTGTATATGCTATCAATGTACATACACACTATCAATTTTATTTTTCCAAGAGGAGTAAGTAGTTGATATGATGGCCAGCTTTGTAAAACAATACATTTTCATTTTGATTTATATCCTCTGTCCTAAAGTAAAATGTGTTCCATACCTTGTGGGATCTCAGCCTTTTCACCTCCCACCGTGATCATGTAACTGACATCTCTCTTTGCTTATGACACCATTAAAATCCAGTTAAATTGTTTATCTGAAAAAGATGGAAGACATAATTTTTTTTTAGCCGGCATTATCTTTGTTACTTTATCAAGATGTGAACGAGTGTAGACAGAAGGTATGCAGACCAGACCAGCACTGTAAGAACACCCGCGGTGGCTACAAGTGCATTGATCTTTGTCCAAATGGAATGACCAAGGCAGAAAATGGAACCTGCATTGGTGAGTGGTGGCCTTTTTCAGTAACTGAGATCTGTTTACCACCAACGGTCATGTAAGGCATCTATTTAAAGAACTAATGACAAGTTAAGCTCACAAGGAACTTTTTCTCCAGCAGAACCTCTAATTTCTAATATGTTTGAGCTTAGGGTCCCAAGGTCAAGACTACTCCAGGAAATGGAAACTCATGATGGAGACTTTTGACAGTTTTGAGTTCCCATCAACTATGCGTTTGATTTCCATAGTTGAATATTAACATGAATTAGTATTACATCACTTCTGATATGACTCTTAGCATCTATATTTAAAACATCATAGTAAAGTTAAGAAAGCATGTCTATATTTATTAAAAGTTCCTAATATAATTGTTTCAGAACTATTTTATGCATCAAATCAGTGACCAGATAATAAGATAAATTGTATTTTCCCTAAAGTTTATCTTTTGTGTGTCTGTTCTATATCAGCCTACTGAGTTTAGCAGCTCTTACCAGTGTCAATATTAGAAAATAAAGTAAATTATACTTCTACCTACCTGAGTTAGCAGAGCTAGAAGCTGCAGGATTTATAAAAACAGCAGGTGTAATTCCTGATCTTGTAAACTTAAATCTATTGTGTTCAATTGGCCTACTCTTCTCCTACAGCCAAAGAGAACTACAGTACAACAAGATGGAATGAAGCATCATAATGATATCAAAAAGTAAAATCCTATAAGAGTAGCTAAGAGAGTGATTATATGCAATTGGAGTTATTATCAAAGGCATCATGAAAATAATCATATTTAAATACAGATTTGAATGGCAAGTTGTTGGTGAAATAATATAAAATGAAAGCAAAGAAGCCCTGTACACAGGAAAATAGCTGCAGACTAGGATAAACTATCAAAAGGTATCTCTCATTCTTGACAGCTATCTGACATTGGATAGATTTTACAACCACAAAGAAATTTTAATTTACATTGCTCATTTATTAAATGGCAACTTTATTTTAAAAATCATTATGAAATAATCCTTAATAAAGTTAGAATATATATTCAATTTAGCTCAACAAAATATGGTAGGAATGGCAGGTATAGATATAGATAACAGATACACTTGTTGATAACTGTTGATGTATATGGAAATTAATATATCATAATGAAACTAATGGTCATGGTGGTGTTGAACTACCATATTCCAAAGACTTTTCAGCTCTAACCAGATGAATATGGGTAAATATTTTTGTTCACTCAAGAGAAACAACCAACTCAGAGTAGCATAGAAAGTTACATGAAGTTGTAAGTACTGTTTGGAATATTGGTTGTTGTTATGTCTACGATAATTAGAAATGAGATGAACTAAAAGATATTATAACAAGAAAATAAAATTACCTAGTAAGAAGCAGGAGGAACAAGAGGAGCCAGTTAATACTAGAAGAACTGGGACTTGACTCCAGGTGTTCCCACAAGTCTTAAGTCATAAATTAAAACCATCTCAGCTGCATGCTGCAAACAGCACCTCTGGCAATGCTACAGGAGTGTGATTTTTAAATACAGTTTTAAATACAATGACTTTAGGTTGGGAAAGGGAAAGGTTATCACTTTTTATTGTCCTTGTGTAGACATTGATGAATGTAAAGACGGGACTCATCAGTGCAGATATAACCAAATCTGTGAGAATACAAGAGGCAGCTACCGTTGTGCGTGCCCCAGAGGTTACCGCTCACAAGGAGTTGGAAGACCCTGTCTGGGTAAGTTAACAGAAACTGTCATTGAGTAATGAAGCGCTAATCGAGTCACTTTGACTTACCAACCACTTCTGCCTCCTCACATGCTGTCTTGCTGCACCTAGACGGCATGTGGTCCAGGTAATTCACAACATAATTCAGCAGAGACTTCATGTTGAGTTCAATTTATTTTGACATTTTGAGTGATAATGTGATCATTTACAGAGTGTGTATTAAATGCATCAATACATATTAGACTGACCTTTGATATAATTGCCACGCCAACTTAATTATCAAGATCATTTCAAGCCAGGCATGGTGGTACAGGCTTTAATCTCAGCACTTAGGAAACTGAAGCAGAAAGATCATTTGGGTTGAGGCTCTCAAGGCAAACCTGGGCAAGACCATGTCTCTCAAAATAGAGGATTTCATTGTTTTCTCTATACACAAAATATAAACGTTTGCACTCATGTATTTTATTTGAATATGAACTATACTTGTATGTAGTATGAAAGTTTAGGTTTAAAGGATTAAAACCACAAATATGCAGTTTAAATGAATTATTGCTTTCTCTACCTTATAATTAGTGTTTACTATGTGTCATTCCCTGGGATTAAAAAAAATGTCATTCAGTTCTCCCAACAGAATATTTGTTTCTGTCCCAATTATAATAAATGCAAAAGTAAGGAACATAATAGAAAATAACTCCAGAAAGGAAACCATATACTGTTAGAAAACTAATGCACTTATAATCAACAGATTTAGCAAATTGTATTCTTCCTAATATTTAAATGCAGTAAAAAATCTATATTCTTTAAAATAGTAGCTATTTTATGCTTTTAAAAATTAATTGGCTTGATTGTTTAATAAACAATTCTAGCAAATTCTCCCATAAAGCTTTCTGTCTTTGTATATGCTTAGCAGAATACCTTGCCTGTAGCAAATAACATTCCCTGAAACCCTTTTAAAAGAAATTATTTAGCAGGTATAGATAACCCATGATTTTAACCATCGATTTAGATACTGCAGTTTACATATAATTTAACATCTTATTCAGCTGTACCAGTGACCTATCAGAATGAAACGTTTGTTTACTAATTTGACCAATCATTGAATATATTACATTGAACTAGAGAATAAGCAACAAAGAACATATAGCTGTTGCCTTAAAGAGATTTAAAATGTTTGTTTTGTTAATTGCCTAATCAAATCACTTTTAAAGCAAAATTTACTACTTTTAGTCTGTCTTTTTTTTTTCAACAGTGCTGGGGATCGTATCCGAACCCTTGCACGCGCAAGTTCCATCCTTAGCTTGATTTCATCATTTTTGCATTCTTTTCTTATCACTGGTAATGGAGTAAAGAATGTACCTTTGATCCCTGGTTTTCACTTCTACTTTACATAAGTTACAGTTATATAATCCACTTGTTTTTATATAAGTTGAAAGAAAAATAACTTCGATCCCATTCATGGAATTGGTGAATTTCTATCTTAGCAAGAAGGGAGTCTTTGTTTCCTTCGTTTTTGTGTATTCTGGTTGTGGGACTTAAATTCAGGGCCTGGACACTGTCCCTGAGTGTTTGTGTTCAAGGCTAGCACTCTACCACTGGAGCCACAGATCCATTCCTGGCTTTTTGGTAGTTAATTGGATATAAGGTTCTCACAGCCTTTCTTGTCTAGGCTGGCTTTGAACCATGATCTTGGAGCTTTGCCTCTTGAGTACTTAGGATTACAAGCATGAGTCGCCAATTCCCAGCCTGTTACCTTCTTTTTAATCTTTTGTGGCTTGATTATTAATTAAAATTCTTAATTCAAAATAGATGAGAAAAATTTAAAGTCTACACTTATATAATATTTCTGCATCTAAAATTGTGATTTTTATGGATGACTAGAGACACTAGTGATTGATATTATAATGAAGTGAAAGCTAGAGACAGAATCTCATTCTTCCTTCCACCAACAAGACTAACATCTCATTAGCTTTTAAACTCAGCTTTCTCTGTATTCAAGATCACATTTCCTTAGCTGACATTTCTGATGGTAATGGCTCAATTTAACACACTGGCAAACTAGTTGCTCAATTAGTTCAACACATGTTTATTGAGCACTTGATCTGTGCCAAATGACATCAAGGCTGTAGAATAGCAGCTCTGAGTAGGGTGGCCGGGGTCTCTGTCCTCACAGAGTTTTCCTTCCCTAAGAGGTAAGAAGAATCACAAAATGAGTATGCAGTACAACTTCAGAGAGTGACGAAGACGTGAAAACATGGAGATAGAATGAGCCAAGCTAGGACAGTAGCATCATGACCCAAGTCACCTCTGCAGAGACCAAATGAAGAGAAGGAACAGCCAGCCTTATATCTGAAGAAGAGCCTTCCAGGCTGATGACAACAGCCCAGCCATGTCCCTCAGAGAGAAACACAAAAGCAACCAAAGGGCCACTGCTCTCTGGTTGGAGTAAAAATAAGAAAGGTTACAGAGATTAGGAATGAGTTTACATTTTCTTTTAAATGTGTGATGGGAAGACATCAAAAGGCTTAAGCAATGTGATACGATTAGATTTACATTCGAAAACTATCACTCTGGCTTTAATGCAGAGAATAAATCACAGAAGGACACAGCTACATGTGGAAAGATGAAGCTCATTTACATATACAAAGAAAGAAACATGAAGGTAATTACATAATTTTTAAAGCTATATCTTTACAAAGTAAAATGTTTCCAAACATGTCAGGAATATCAGAAATCCATTTGAGAGATCTATTCATCAAAAGAGGGAACAAAAGGGGCTGGGAAGGTGGCTCAGTGGAAGAGTGCTTGCCTCGCATACATGGGGCCCTGGGTTCGATTCCTCAGTACCACATAGACAGAAAATGCCAGAAGTGACGCTATGGCTCAAGTGGTAGAGCTACAGAGCTGTGGGACAGTGCCCAGGCCCAGATTTCAAGTCCCAAGACCAACCAAAAAAAGAGAAAAATAAAAGAGCTTAAAAATGTACACATATCATTTTATTCTGAGTTTTTCTACTGAAATGTTTTAGTCACTATAGTATTGTGGAAATTCTATTAAGGTTCCACACTCTTCTATATCTCTATTCATGGGGGAATATATACAAATATTTACAACGTAGCACATACCTACTCGGAAAGCTCTCAGCTGCAGTACTTGTAATATCTGCTGTACTTGCAAGAGTTAAAATTCTCATGCTTCTAATCCCAGATACTGAGGAGGTAAGAGAATTGCAAGAAAAGCATGAGATTCTTATCTGGAAAAGAAACTAAAGCCAAAAAACTAGGCTAGAGACATGGCTCAAGTGGTAGAGCACCTTCCTGAGCAAGTGCAAGACTGAGTTCAAACTCAAATACCTCAAAATAACAACAATAACAAGTGATTTTAAATGCCAATGCTGCATGTCTATGTTTTGATGTGTGCAAGATTTTAACCCAAACTAATATCCAAGTGGTTTTTAAGAGAGGAGATAAATGAATATAGAGTTCTTGATGTTATCACAAGGGGAAGCAAAATCATGGATTCACAGAACCAGTATCTATGTTTCAGACTCACCTGCTACAAAATAAGGGTTTAAATAAAACTTTATATGTAAAGCAGTGTTTAGGGAGAGTCACAGAATCTTTCTGTATATTCATCCCTGAGATATCAGAAGTGCAACAGGAGTTGAGCAGTTATTACATCCCTGATTTTTGGAGAATAGTGTAATGTCTCAGTTTCTTTCACAGACTGATTGTTTCTTCCTGTGTTTTGTGTATGTATGTGTGTTTTTTTTCTCTTTTTTATGTATCATGGCACACGGGCAGACATTAATGAATGTGAACAAGTGCCTAGACCTTGTGCACATCAGTGCTCCAACACCCCCGGCAGCTTCCAGTGTATCTGTCCACCAGGACAACATTTATTAGGGGACGGGAAATCTTGTGCTGGATTGGAGAGGCTGCCAAATTATGGCACTCAGTACAGTAGCTATAACCTTGTGCGGTTGTCCCCTGTGAGAAACAACTATCAACCTCAACAGCAATACAGACAGTACTCACAGCTCTACAGCTCCTACTCAGAGTATAGAAACAGCAGAACATCTTACTCCAGGACTAGAAGGACTGTTAGGAAGCCTTGTCCTGACGGCTCTGAGGCAAATCATGACACATGTGTAGGTAAATGTCAGCCATGTTCCATTTCCTTCCTGTGGGCTCTCTCCTCACCAACGTCCAAGTGTGTGTCCAGCACCTGGGATTGCTTGGATAGAGTAAGCTGCGTCTGACTTCAAGTCTGGGATGACTCAAAAGCTTTTAAGACATTTATTCTGGCACCTCAAATGATTACAAACTTTATTCAAATAAATGATGTTATTTGCATGTGTGCATTCTAATAATTGATGGTGTTATAGTAACAATTTTGCTTTGAATCACTTTGAATGTATTCCTCAATTTAGTGCTATAAAGAAATAAATTGCAGTGGTATTTGGAATATATATATATATATATAATATGTAACATATCTTATATATAGTCAGATAAAATAGTACAATCCGATTTATGGCTACATTTGATTGGTATAGAAGCAGTAGATTAAAAGTAGAGATTTTCCAGGCACAAATAGCTACTCAAGAGTATCTGAGGATCACAGTTCAAAGCTAGCCCAGGCAGGAAAGTCCATGAGACTCTTATCTCCAGTTAGCCATCAAAAAGTGAAGCTGTGGATCATGTGGTAGAGCACTGTCCTTGAGCAAAAATAGGTCAGGGACCATGCTCAGGCCAGGAGTTCCAGCCCCAGAACTGGCACAAGAATGTTTTTTAAGTGACGATTTTCCTCTCAATTCTGTTCTAGAAGGCTATCAACATCTCCTTGGCTGTTGGCCCTACGCAATCGGTGGAATTTCTCTATTCTGTTATTATTACATAAGTCACTGAAAAGATAACATGAGCTAGGGGAAAGTGAGTTGCTCCCATCACTCTAAAATATGTGCATTCTGTATTTTTATCTAAACCCACAAGTGTGTCATTCCATTTGTTTACAAAAGCACAATGTGATTTCCAATTTAAGAATCAAGGCATTGTTAAGTTGTAGCTCAGTTTTCTGTGAGTATCCAAAGTTTTCTTGCCATTCAGATAGGCACCAGGAGGAATTAGCAAAAAAATTTAGCTCTGCCATTTATAGATGAGAAAAGAAAGCAAAAAGGAGATGGAGAAGGAAAGCAGGGAATGAAGAGGGACGGAAGGAGGGAGGGAGGGCAAGGGAGGGCAAGGGAAGGGAGGAAGGAAGGAAGGAAGGAAGGAAGGAAGGAAGGAAGGAAGGAAGGAAGGAAGGAAGGAAGGAAGGAAGGAAGGAAGGAAGGAAGGAAGGAAGGAAGGAAGGAAGGAAGGGAAAAGAGAAAAAATAAAAAGAATGGAAATTCTGTTTAAATTAAGAACCATTGTGCCAACCTTATTTTGGGCACAGTTCTTTTAAGTATTCTTCGTTTTCAATACACTTTCTGTTAAAGAGTTCATTTAAATATTTATGGCTTTCTTCTTCTTGAGACTTCTTTCCTTTTCTACACTGTTTCAAGCCCTTTCTTCCACCTTTATCTTTCCAGACATACTTCTTGGTTAACCTTAGGCAACTCTAGCCTCTCCTCAATTGGACTCCCCACTTCACTGAGGAAAGAAACTTCAACCTTTGCTATTAGTTTTGTCTTTTCCCACAACTTTTCTGTCTAGATGTCTCCATGTGCATGAAGTTTACTGTAATGGATAGTAAACAATCCATTATAGAAGACAGAAACTTCTCCCTTGTGAAGAGCTCCCAGTACCAGATGCTTGTGAACACTACCAGATGCTTAGACTTCAAACATCAATGCATTTATTGACAACACTCTACATTTTATCCAAATACTCCAAACCACTATACTACTATTCTTGACAGTTTTTCATGTCTACTCTGTGGACTTACTCTTTACTACTTAAAAATTTTTTCACTTTTTCATTGCCAGAATTAACATGTGACATTATCTGTCTCAAAGTCTCTTCCAAATACTTTTTCCTCACTGGAAGGTTTTTATAGACTATGTTCAGTCTTCTCTCGGCTTTCATTTCAGACAAACTCTTTCTTCTGTTTTACTTTTATTCTTCTGCCCAAACTCTTTGTTCAGTATGTAATTCATGGACTAGTCACTTTCCCACACTAAACACCATCATTTTCAGTGATGTGGTCTGAAGGTGTAAGTCATTTTCTTTGACTTTTCTTCTGCCAGGAACTGGTGGCTCATGCCTATAATCCTAGCTGCTCAGGGGGCTGCTATCTGAGGATCAAGGTCTAAAGCCAGCCCAATGAGGAAAATCCATGAGATTCTTACCTTTAATTAAACACCAAAAAGCTACAAATAGAGCTGTAGCTTAAGTGATAGAACACTATCTTTGAGAAAAAAAAATCTCTAGGACAGTATGAAGGCCTTGAGTTCAACCCCCAGGACCAACACACACACACAAAAGTTTCCCTCATTAATAACCCGGTTCTCTGCTTTACATCAGTGTCTATAGATGAAGTTCTGATAGTCGATTCTTAGAAATACTTTCTCTCTTGATGTTTCTATTATACCAGTACTACAGTGTGTCATAATTATCCTTCTCTATAGATATCCACTATTTGACCCAACTATTATTCCAGAGTGAGGATCAATCTTATAAAATACAAAGTTAACTTCTATAACTTAGTTTCCAAATATTTAAATTTATTTGGGAGCACTGACTAGATTTTGACATCTCTTAAAATATGGTAAGTATTATAGCAATGGAAGTAATAAAGAAATTTACACTAAGACTGGAGACAGCTTTGGAATTATGTAACAAGAGCAATTTACAATAAACACCAAATGCCTTTAATTAGCCATCTGGAATACATAAATTACAAGAGATTCAAACTCACACTGTGATATTGTTAGACTTATCCTAAACTTAGGCTTTCCAAGCAATTGATCCCAAGAACATTATTTTAGAATGCAATATAGAAATCATCTTGAGGGCCACTTTAAGATAGATTCATTGAGAGATTACATATTAATTACTTGATGTTCAACATCATTAGATATTTAAATTATACTTATATTTTTACTATTTCAATACTAAGATGTAACATATGTTTTATTTTAGATTAAAGCAGATGTTTAGAGGGGGAAACTAAAAATAACTCATATAAGTTAAAGAATGAAATGCTTTGGTTATCTAAACTGGTGTAGAAACACAAATACATATTTGATGAGTAGTTCTAACAGATTTTTAATCACTACCGGTATTCTCATAGCATGTGCCAAATATGCAAGGTGGCTTCATTCTTCTGCTTTGAATCATCTCCCAGTCTCCACTGGGTTTTGCTTAGTTCTACACTCCAGCATAGCTGCTACCATCTCACTTCATATTCTCTTTGGATATCCATTGACTAGGCTGTGTTCAGGGACTGTGAACAAATTTAAATATCAGTTAAGGCAAAACACAATTAGGAGGAGAGATTTAAGACCTCCCAAATCACACATCCGTTATCTTCAAAGAAAATATTGTTTTATGATTATCTAATCTTGGTGTGTGTGTGTGTGCATGACTGCGTGTGTATGCTGGTCCTGGGGCTTGAACTGAGGGCCTAGGAGCTGTCCCTGAACTTCTTTTTGCTCAAGGCTAGTGTTCTACCACTGAGCCACAGCTCCACATCCAGCTTTTTCTGAGTAATTTATTAGAGACAAGAGTCTTGGGCAGGACTTTCCTGCCCAAACTGTCTTTGAACCTCAATCCTCAGATCTCAGCTTCCTGAGTTGCTGAGATTACAAGTGTGAACAACCAGTGTCTGGCATGGTCCCCTTTTTATTGCTATTTTTCTAGCTTTGTTTAATAATAATAGATAATCCTTTGTGCTTTGTAAAATACTTTCCCATATAGTACTGCATGTGAACCTTTCCACAACTGTCATACATAGTGTTGATCACCTTTTTGTGTTTGCGTCTCTCAGAAGAGTCAACTGAGCTATTGAAGAATTAAATGAGCTGCTGAGCTCATTATTTACCAATTAGTACTCTGAAATTATATGATGAACACGAATATTTCTATCATAGTAGTAAAACTTTTTCCATTTAATCATATCTGTGTTTGGGGAAATATGTATAGGTGTTGTAGAGAGGAAATGTAATCAGAAAGACAAACTTTGGATAAAATGAAAACTATTTTTTGAGGAGAAGCTTTGCCTTTTAGATAATTCTACCAACAATGCAAGAATTTTCTTTGGTGGCTTAGGATCTTACACTTATCTGTCACCTCTGCCATATCAGTGTAACTTACTTAAGTAGTAAAAAGTTAACCAGGATGGAGCTTCAGCTTATAGATCCTTGGAAAGATGTTTAAAAGGTGATTCATATTGTGTAGTACAGTATGTTATATACTATAGCATATTTAACATTTTATATAAGTAAAACAAATTGTGATGTAAAACAGCCCTGAGAATTTTTAAGTACATGGGTGTAAAATCACCAAGAATTTTTTCTATTATTTATTATTTATTTCTATTATTTATTATTATTATTTCTATTATTTATTTTCATACTTCTACCTCTTCCTGGCATGGTTACACACTCTGCTTTCTTTCTGAACAGACGTCGATGAATGCCAGAATAGGGACACCTGCCAGCATGAGTGTAAAAATACCATTGGAAGCTATCAGTGTACCTGCCCACCTGGCTATCAACTCATGCTCAATGGAAAGACATGCCAAGGTAAGAAAAGCATGGGATGTTGGTTGCCTCCACTCAATGTATAAACAACCAAAAAGCTGTCAAAAGTTTTGGTGAATAACCAGTACTCTAATTGATTCCCCTCCTTTCACGTTGGTCAGGCTTACATTTCAATATTTTGTAAACAGAAACAAAACAAGTCAGTAAGGAAAATAATTGTGATCCATCTTGGGTATAGATTTACTTGAAGGAGCGAGAGTGCCTAAGCCAGCTCCTATTATATATTTTTGAAACTTACAGCAATAGATCTCATTGATTTTTTTCACAATTCAGCTAACATTGCACAAGAGATAAGGACATTATTCACTAATTAGTGTGTGAGTGAATCATTATTTTATATTCTTATCTCTCAGACTTATTTTTATAGCAATCAATAGATAGAGAACTCATTCTGTCTTTGAATCTACATATGATGCAGATTATTGAATGTTAGATTTACAGAATATTATTTTTAGTGTCTTTTATTGTAAAAATATTGTACAGAGGGGTTACATGAGGAAGGTAATGAGTACATTTCCTGTTGAGCATTGGTACCTCCTCCTTTGTTTTTCCCCTACCATCCCTTCTCTCCCCACCTCCTCAACTCCTCCCTCCTCCCCCCCACCTTGCCCGCCAAGTTGTAAAGTTTGTTTTTAACATAGTGTCTTGTACATCTCATTGTTACAATGGGTCAACCTGTATCCTTATTTCAGAATTTTGTTATTTCCCTTCCCCTCCCCAAATGAGAAAAATGTATATACAAGATGCAGGGCACCGACATCAAATACAGTGAAAACAGAGGTTAAGCTTTACAGAATATAAAAGGTTTAGAATAGACGAATAAGGGAGAAAATGATGAAAAAGGTGACATTGATCAAGATGCATTATATTCATAAACTGTTTTCTTGAATGGAAATGCCTTTATGTAACTACTTTAAGATAATAAAAGTATATTTTAAAATGGATGACTAAGATACAGGCTTTATCTTTAAGAGCCTACACTGTAGCAAAGACACAGGTAAATAAAGAAAAATACTAGTTTACATGTTCGATTGCAGTTATGGAGACAAAGTATACAGCAATCACAATAGAAAGAAAAAGATATCATTCTGAAGAATTCTTTTCTTTACACAAAAATGAGAAGGAATTGTACTTTGCTGAAGTATGTTACATTGCAAGTGTGTAAATAAGTTTAAAAGAAACAAGAATGTACATAATATTGTGTGTGTGTGTGTGTGCGCGTGTGCGGGTGCGTGTGTGCATACATGCATGCACTAGTCCTGAGGTTTGAACTAAGGACCTAGGCATTGTCCCAGAGCATTTTTGCTCAAAGCTAAAACTCTACCATTTGAGCCACAGCTCCACTACTGGCTTTCTTTTGTTTAATTGTAAAGGTGATAGACACGGAGATTACAGTTACATAAGTCAGGTAATGAGTACATTTCTTTTTGAACAATGTCACCTCTTCCCTCATTTTCTCCCAGTTTTCCTGGCACCCAGCCCTCCTCCCTAACGCATTGTATAGTTCATTTGCAATGTAGTGGCTAGTGAGGATCACTGCTGCATTTCCTCACCCTTTGTCCCATGATTTCTGTGTTCCCTTTCACCCTTCCCAAAACAGATAAACTTACATGCAAGACAAAAGGTACAGAAATCAAAAACGGTGACCCAGGAGAAAAATATAACAAAAAAAAAGAAGCAATTGGAGATAAGAATCTCACAGCCTTTCCTACTCTGGCTGGCTTCAAACCTTAATCCTCAGATCTGTTTACTGAGTAGCTAAGACTGCAGGCATGAGCCAGTAGTGCCCAGCTAAGAATGTGTAAAACATTTTAAAATGTTCTAAGAAATGTCCTCAATATCTGAATAAAATCTAGAGGTATTAATATGTCTTAGTATACTTGTAAGTTTTATTAATTTCTATCTTGTACAAATCATATCCTCTGGTAAAGTACATCAAAAACAAATCTTCAAAGGGTGCTGTATTGGTGGCGATCAAATTGAGGTCAAATGTTCCCTTTTTGAGATACAAGAAAATGTATTAGAAATATACTCCATGGAAAACATGTTCAGAAAGGCAAGGGAGGATGGGCAAAAGGCTTTACTTAAGCTATGGTCAGCTGTCTCCATCTTCCTCTCCTACCTGTTCACATTCCCAGAGGCCTCACTATACTACATTGGCATGATGAAGAAGCTACCCAACACAAAACTTTATTGTGCCATGTGTTCCCGAAGCAGCCATTACCTACACTGAGCAGTACTGACATATTTCTACCCATTGTACAGATAACAAAATGAATTCTTAAACTGATTCATTGAATGACTGAGACCAGAGTTAGGACTTGACTTCGGAGCAAATCTTTAGTCTCTTCTGAGGCTCCCTGAGCACCAAGGACATTCCACTATGGATCAGGGATGGGGACACTGATTGCCCAATATGGTAAACATGCCTCAGTTTCTCCACACACAAAAAAAAAATGTTTCAGAAGAAAGACAACATCCTAAAATTACACCTCCTGTGTGTATACCAGGCACCCGGGACGGAAAAAAGGGCAGATAACAACACATTTGGAATAACCAACCAAATCCCCAAATGCTTCAGCCACAAAGAAAGTGTTGGAAAGCAGTATGGAGGTTCCGCAAAAGACTCCACATAGAGCTCCTCTATGACCCAGCAATCCCACTTTTGGGCATTTACCCAAACGATCACAAACAAGGCCATACTAAGGCTACCAGCGCAACTATGTTTATCGCAGCCTTATTTACAATAGCTAAGATATGGAGCCAACCCAGATGCCCCTCAGTAGATGAATGGATCAAGAAAATGTGGTATATATATCCAATGGAATTCTATGCCTCCATCAGAAAGAATAACACCATCCCATTTGTTAGGAAATGGAAAGACTTGGAAAAAATTATATTAAGTGAAGTAAGCCAGGCCCAAAGAAACATAGGTCCCATGGTTTCCCTTATTTGCAATTACTAGTACATGTGTAGGACAAGCAGAAAAGGCCAAAAGCTATGTACACATGACCATATAAGATGATGTTAAGCAAAATGAACCCCAAGATAGGGACACAAATATCTTTTTTCTTTCTTCTTATTGTTTCTAAAGTATTTATACTGTAGTATGTGATTTTTTTGTTGCTTTGTATGTTCCTCCCCCATGATATAACCCCTGTTTTCACTGTATTTGATGTCAGTGCCCTGCATCTTGTATATACACTGCTCTAATTTGGTGAGGGGAAGGGAAAAAACAAAATGCTTAAATAAGCATATAGGTTGACCCATTGTAACAATGAGATGTACAAAACACTATGTTGAAAATGAACTTTACAACTTTGGTGGGGGGGATAAAGGTTGGAGTGAAGGGATGGTAAGGAGAAACAAAGGAGGAGGCAATAATGCTCAATAGGAAATGTACTCATTACCTTACTCATGGAACTGTAACCCCTCTGTACAGCACTTTTACAATAAAAAAGTACCAAAAAAAGAAAGTGTTATATCATATACTCACAGAGAATATTCTTCTGTTCCAAATTTTGCCAGTTTATTTTTTAATTGCCCTCATCCCTCATTTACCTCCAAACAACCCTCAGTTTTCATTTATGCTACAGAGTGGAAAACACTGTGAGAAAATCAGAAACAGCTGCCATCTGAAACACTTGCGATTTGAGTGGGTTGCATATTTTTGTGGTGTTTAAAAAGACATGAGAAAAAACAATTAATGTCTTTTACAGAACTCATTAAATTGGAGTTTCTCTTACAGCTAGAGAAAGTGTTTGAGGCATTTATGAGGAGCAAATGGCTTTTCTGTTCACATATGCTATCTGAAAGCTCCATGATTGAAATGTGAGAAAGGGGAAAATAAAGTGAACTTAGCTTGAAAGGACAAACTCTCCTCAAACATGGAAGTCACCAGACTCATCTGAAAAGCAAAATAGAGGCATGAGAAATCAAGATTTTTGTCAAAGCACAGAGAAGAAGCTAAAAGATCCTCATGCTAATTTTATACATGACTAATTTTATTCTGAAAATTTAGAAAGATTATATAGATGAGGACACTCATTTTTCCATGTTTATTAAAAATAATTCATAATCTTTATCAAGAATCCAAATTAAGTGTACTTTTTATAAAGTAGATGTATTAAGTATTTTGTCCTAAATTATGTTCTAATATCCAGGAGCACTTGGTTAAAGCATTCTTATGTTCTAAAGCTTTTAATATAAAAACTGTTCAGCTCATGTTGGTGTATTTGCTTCTATCATACATATAAGTATCTATATAACATACTTATGTAAAAGCACAAATCATCACTGTCCACTAACAGCAAAGAAGAACCTGTCTTTACTATTTCCTGTCTTCCTTTGGAAGAGGGAAGCAGTTTTGTTTTATTTTAGTTTTTGTTTTCCTTTGTTTTTTGTCACTCTAGCACTTGAGCCACACCTCCAGCCCTGCTTTGTGCTGATTAATTGAAGATGGAAACTCAGGAATTTTTCTTTCAAGGACTGAGACCTCAATCTCAAACCCTTGGCATCCTTAGTAGCTAGCTGGGATTCCAGGCATGAGTCACTGGTGTCCAATTTGTCTTCTTTTTTTTTTTTAAAGAATAGTGTGTAGAATGACTGAGTAGAGAAGAGTGAATGACTATTGAGTCCTTAATCCTGGGAAGAAGTAATAGACAAAGTAAAGGGAGGATTATTTGCCTGGAAGCTCACTACTTATAAGGAATTGACATAAAAGGCTTGTTTCTTATAGAAAGCAAACCTTATGCTCTAAGAAGAAGCACTTTATGTAATAGATTCATTTTCAGCCAGTAAGAAGCTATGATTAATTAACCAGATTTCCTTATCCATACAGATGTGTCTCCATGCCACCATTACCATGCTTCCCTAGAGACCTAGCCCCACACTTCTGCATGAATTCACTCTAAAAGTTACAGATAAAGTGAAATGTTAGAAACGGATAGGGTGGAGAACATTTGCAGTGAGGGGGAAAAAAGATAAAGCTAATTGGATTGCTTCCACATTTTCCCAGAGGACTTTTCACTTCATTTCTAAGATAATCTCAGTTTGTTAAGGGGATAAAGCATTTCTGACATGTAAAACCATATTAGAAATTGGTTCACAGTGCTAACAGTCTTCATGGTCTTAACTGACAAAGATATTGTTTCCCACTAGATTTCATTCCTGTAAGGAAACCGGTAGCAAAACCACAGAACATCATCATCAACATAAGTAACTAAAAACTACCTACCATATACCTTTCTAGCACACAATTTGTTTTACTCGTGTAGACTGTTATTAAACTTAAAGGAAATAAGTACATTATGCGTTTCTTATAAAACAATGTGTTTGGAATCTAAAATATACTTTTTTATGGTATTGGGATATGAACTTGCTAGGCAGGATCATTTCCATTGAGACTAACAGCCCAAAATCTACATTTTTAATACAAAAGTGCAGGCAGTAAATAATTGTTATTTAGCATACACAATTAATGTAATGTCTCTTGGAATTCCTTCTTTCCATTTCTTTTCCTTTTTTTTTTTTTGGCCTGTACTGAGACTCAGACTCAGGGTCTGGGTACTTGTGTACTGGCCCTTAGCCTTTTTGCTCAAAGCTGGTATTTTACCACTTGATCCACAAGTACACTTCTAATTTTTTTTTAGGGGGAGGTGTCTGGTCATGTGGCCTGAACTCTGAGCCTGGGCGCTGTCCCTCAGCTCTTCAGCTCAAGGCTAGCGCTCTACCATTTGAGCCACAGTGCCACTTCTGGCTTTTTTCTTTTTGCTTATGTGGTGCTGAGGAATCGAACCAGGGCCTCAGGCATGCAAAGCAAGTGCTCTACCACTGAGCCACCTTCCCAGCCCCCACTTCTAATATTTTTGTGGCAAATTAGAATCTCATATACTTGCCTGTTAGGGCTGGCTTTGAACCATGATCCTCCAATTTCAGTCTCCTGAGAGATAGAATTATCGCCATGAGCTACCGCACCTTGTTCATTTTTCTATTTTAATGGTAGGGCTCACCAAATCATTACACTAATTATGGTTGAAAGGTCATTATATAGCTACAGAAGTGTAGCCATAGAAGTAACCTACAACTGTGAGAGTACCTAATATTTATATGTGCCTATTGGTTAGCATTGATCCCCTGATAGAAAAACATTGGACTTTCAGGACCCATATATTAGGAAAACTGCTTTGGATTCAGATAGTTATAAGTATTCTCTTCTGTGTAGCAGAATCGATTTATTGCTTAAGAAAGAGGAATGCTGTAGTTACCCACATACAACCAATTGACTTAAAATGTGTAAACGTTATGCTTCCCTCACACATTTTCATATTAGTCTTTAAAGTCTCTTATCGAAAGGTTAAAATGCACACAACATATATGACTTCTCTTATTGTTTAATGTGCTTTGGAGTTTGTGTTTGAATTCCTCACTTCATAGGAGGTGACTACTATGAAATTTAAGTGTTTAGTTATTGTTAAACCAATCATGTTGTTAGAAAAAGTTTAAATGTCATCTTTTTCTGTCCAATTAGAAGTGTTAGTAGGTGTTCCCATGACCACCAAGTCACATAATAATGGAGAGGTGAGACCATAGCTTGCTACCATCAATCTGTATTTCTAATATTCTCTTTTTAAAATATCTCTTCAAATTCTGCAGCCTTCCTTTGGTTCCTGGAATTGCTGGCAACCTTTCTTTCATAAGGCAGATAAAAGCTGTAAAAAGAGAGAAAGGAAAGGAGATGTCCAGACCAACAGAAGTTCTCTGGCAGATTGATATTAGGAAGGAGAATGTGTGGAAAATAAGGATACAGAAATGGATTTCCTGAAATATTTGTCCAGCCTCATAGGAGAAGGATTTCCTGTATACCAGGAAAGATGAAGATCCCAGTTTAAAAAGGATTGTTCTAAAAATATGGCCTTAAAGTTGGAATCCTAAAACTCTTTACACCAAGAGTTTTTAATCAAGTATTACAGATGCTCTTTCCAGAAAACTCTGTCAATCATTCTCTAACTCTGCCTCCCTCATTCTCCTCTTCCTTTTCCTCCTCCTCCTATCTCTACACATGTACATTCATACACAAAGATTTTCAGTGTACCTAATGCTCAAATATAGATCAAGTGTAAACTCATGGAGCAAAAGCATTTATTTTCAGAAAGCTCCAAAAAAGTGTTCTTTAACTCTATGTTAATATGTCTTAATTGGGGCAGGTGGCTCAGTGGTAGAGCACTTGCCTTGCATGCATGAGGCCCTGGGTTCAATTCCTTGGCATCACATAAGCAGAAAAGGCAGAAGTGGTGCTGTAGCTTAAGTGGTAGAGCTCTAGCTTTGAGCTGAAGAGCTCAGGGACAGCATTCAGGCCCAGAGTTCAGGCTCACGACCGACCTCCCAAAAAAGTCTTAATTCTATTGATTTAAATATGTTTCTATATGATAATAACTCTTCAGAAAATAACAGAATCAACCATTTTTTTTGCATACTTCCCCAACCATAGAGCAGCCATTCAGCTGTGGATGGACTATACAAACAAATCAGTAGACTCTGTTGCCTTTGATCAAATTTGGATTCTGGTTCTTGAGTCATTCACTTGATCTCATCGTAGTCTTTGTTTTATCTCTTTCCTCTACATGTCACTGACCTCTGAAGCCACTCCTGAATTCATCATGTGGCATCTTTAATTTCTACTATCCTACTTACACTCAACAATTTAAACTTACAATATATCAGGCAATGATCACACACATTGAAAGAGATTCTTCATCTGAAAAATATTCACTGGGCTGGGAATACAGCTTATTGATAAGAGTGCTTGCCTAGTATGCATGAAGCCCTGAGTTTGATTCCCCCTCAGTACCACATAAACAGCAAAAGCCAAAAGCCAAAAATGGTATCGTGGCTCAAGTGGTAGAGTGCTAGCCTTGAGCAAAAAAAGCTCAGGGACAGTGTCCAGGACAGTGCCCTGAGGTTAAGCCCCAAGACTAGCAATATATATATATATTCACAAGTGTCTTCTAAACTTTTAGCTCCTTGGTAGCACAACAAAACTTCTCCATAAAACTTGAATGTACTCAATTTTTTCCAAATTTAAGATTCACCAGAGAGCTCTCAACAGTTCTTCTTCTACTCTTGTGGTTCTCAGTTTTTGGTGTCTTTTCACATACATTAAAGAAACGCTTCCTTAAAGCAATTTGAAGAGTGAATGCAGAGATTCTGGGGTTCTTTTGTTGAAGCTTAAGTATGAGAAATAAGTTCATTCATGGGACAATCAGTTACCATCGCCTGCTTAAAGAGCCTTTGCTGACCTCCACTGCTGACACCCTTGTCTTGTTCTGGCCCTAGATGTTGATGAATGTCTGGAGCAGAACATACGCTGCGGGCCAAATCGCATGTGCTTCAACATGAGAGGAAGCTACCAGTGCATCGACACGCCCTGTCCACCCAACTACCAACGGGATCCCATGACTGAGTATGTCTTGTCTTTTCCTCCCAGATATGTGCATCATCTCTCTCCTTGATAAAATAAACCCTGGCTGCAGTCATGTCTAACTCAGAGAAAGTCAGTCCCTCAAGACAATGTGCATCTACCATGTACTCCTTCTTCAAGGAATGAGCAAGAAATGAGTTCCTTTAGCTACCTTCCCCACACAGGATCACCATGTAACAACCTGGGCTCTAGCTCAGCAACAAGCATGTTACACAATAATAGCGCCTGCCTTTCTTTTAAATTTTCTGGTATAAATTTGTACTTCCTTAGAATTCTGAATTCTCTGCTCCCGTAGAGGCCTACAAGAAGTACTGATTCTATTGCTGCAATGATTCATGATGCCAGGAAGAAAGCAAAAGAATCTAGGATAAGTAAAGGGTCTGTTTATCGGCAATATCTGAGAAAAGTCTTTTCGAGGTTCTGAATAAAATATCCTGTTTTCATCTCCTCTAACAAATGTTTTACCCTAACCAGAGGCCACAGTAACAGAATGCTTGAAAACAAGGGGAAATGTTCATCCTTGTTTAGTCCTTGCCTGCAAAGCACAGGTGTTTCTGAAACAAAATAGAACTCATTGCAAGTTCCCACTTTGTTTTCTTCTTGGTAATGCTTATGAAGTCACTGTAACAAGTGTGGGTTGCCTAGAAAGCTCATTTGCTATTGCTCTCATAGGAATCGGAAAAAGAAAGAGAAAATTTAAAACATAGACTATTATATGTCTAAAAAAAAAATCTGTGACTGAAGAACCAATCTTCATTAAATGCTCTTGTGTGTTTCTTTTTTCTTTCAAATGTTAGTACATTAAAGTGATCGTGATACAAAAGACAGTCAAAATAGAGATTTTATCTTTTATTATTTTTTGGAACATCAGCCAAATATAAATGTAGCTTATTTCAGAAGTTGACAGTGTTAGATTAGATATAATTTAAACTTAGTGTATATTTTTTTCTCTTTAAGAAGTGCTTGTTTCCAATGTATAGACAGATACTTCTGTTTCCCACACTGCTTCATTTTAACTGATTCATTAGGGATGAAATGTAGCTCAAAGATAGAGCATGTGTTTAGCATGCACAAAGCCCTAGTTTAATCCCCAGGATCCTCAGCCAAAAAGAAGGAAATCAATGTATAGTATTCATGCTAGCTCACATGTTTCTGATTTAAATGGAGCAGAGAGATACTTGACTCTAGACTGTGTATTCTAAGAGCCAGATGGCATCTGGTTTGAGTTAATGACATCAAACACGGAGGGAAAAACCACACTGTCTTCTGCACCTAAGGCCTAAATGTTGACCTAAACGTTGTCATGGGTCCTGACCACCAGCATCATCCCTTGTCCTGCTTCCAAGATGGATAACTTTGTGCATTTTGCCTATTTATTTCCCTTAGGTTCTGCCTCAAGAACTGTCCACCCAATGATCTGGAATGTGCCTTGAGCCCATATGCCTTGGAATATAAACTTATCTCCCTTCCCTTTGGAATAGCTGCCAATCAAGATTTAATCCGACTGGTTGCATACACGCAGGATGGAGTGATACATCCCAGGACAACTTTCCTCATGGTAGATGAGGACCAGACTGTTCCTTTTGCCTTACGGGATGAAAATCTGAAAGGAGTGGTGTACACGACAAGACCACTACGGGAGCCAGAGACCTACCGCATGCGGGTGCGAGCTTTATCCTACAGTGCCAATGGGACCCTTGAGTATCAGACCACATTTATTGTTTATATAGCTGTATCTGCCTATCCATACTAAGCAGCTCTCCTGAGCCTGTTACACATATTTAAACCCCATTAATCATGGAAACAAGTGCGCTCCGCGTTAGTGTCTCAACAGTTGCCGCCTTGGCAGCTTGGAAATGGTGCTATGCTCTGTTTTGTGTGCCTTCTTTGGTACTGCTGAGGTAGTTTTAATCATCCCACTGCAGTCTTAGCTTTTTAGAAGGTTCTAGAAGAGTCCTTTCTTATTTCCTTTATTTATTACACTGGAGAAGTGACGTCCCAAAGATAATTCTGAACATCGAACAGGACATAGAAGTGAGGATTTAGAGTAGCCGGGATCATTTTCCTGAAAGCAAAAGCCAAGCAGAAACAACTACTTCTAAGTCAAATCAAATTTTTGAGCATTTTGCTATTTTTAATAAAACTAGTTGCTCTGTGTTCTGGGGGGAAACTTAGTATAACATCAGGAGATATTTTTAAATCTTGATACTTTACAATAGGGCTATTCATGTACTCTCATTTTCAATGAAGAAACCTAAATACCACACAATTTAAAACTATAGCTACTTGAAGGTTTCTTTGAATCCAAGTGGTGCTTACCTTGACTGGAAATCCAAAAAAAAGGAGATTATTTCTAATGATCTTGTAAAAATCATCAGAACCATTTATAATAATAGGAAAAGAAGTCACTTTGTCCTCAGGCATCTGGCCTTGGTGCAGATATTTGCTCAAATGTTTTAAAGTAACCATACATTAATTTAGCTCCATAACTTTTACATTCCATATTTTAAATTTTCCTGTCAAGTAAAACAATTTTTCAAATATAGGACAGATTTGTTTGTTTTTGTTTAAATCTTGTATGTTCAAATTAACATGTTAAACGTCAATACACTGTACATGGTACTAACCAACTCTGCCAGCAATTGCCAAGATGTATTCTATTTTTATGAAGTGTACATATATTATCTTTGTGTGCATTTTCTATATAATACCTGGATGGACTCTTTTATAAAGTTATTTTATAAAAAAAAAATGTTGCAGTAAAATCAGCATAAATAAAATGTTCATATTCTTTTTCTTAACTTCTTTGAGAACCTAAAACTGTTCTTCCTTACAGCTACAAGTGGTAACGAAATGCACAGTCACATATAAGTAAGTACACGTCAAAATAGCCCTTGAAATGGGTGATATTATTATTCAAATCTTACGGAAACCTGAACGAAAACAACTAGTGCAACTTCCTTAATACAGCACAGCTAGTTAGTGGCAGTAATGTCATTCTTTCTATCTTCTATGACCCCAAGTGAAGGGCTAGCTCTACTATCTGACAGTTTTCTCATTCATCTTTATAGTTTTCTGGCCAGGTAGAATAGCTCATACTGTGATCTCAGCTATTTGGGAGACTGAGATTGGGAGAATTGTGCTTCAAGGTTAGCACTGGCAAAAACTTAGCAAGATCCCCTCTACCCCTCCACCCCGACACACACACCCAATGTCATCATCAACAACAAAAAAGTAGGCTTGATGATGATGATTCATACTTGTTATCTCAGCTATGTTGGGGTGGTTTTAAGTAGGATAATTGTAGCCCAGGCCAGCTGTAGGCAAAAATATGAGAACCTATCTGAAAAATAACTATAGTCAAAAGACTGAGGACATGTCTCATGTGGTAACAAGCATAATATCCTGAATTCAAAAATAAATACCATCAAAACGAGAGTTTTAAATGTCCTTTAACCTTATCTCAGGGCAATATGTCTCCCACTTGTGACAGATATTAAACTGTTGAGGGCCAAACTATGGACTATGATTTGAGGACACCTTGGTCAAAGATAGTGAGCCTCTAGCTCACATACAACTGCTGAGAATGTGGTTCACGTGATAGAGTCTGGCCAAGCATGCGGTATGAGGCTCCACATTCAACTCCAGTACCACAGACTGGTTTAATTTGTTCAAGCAAAGTTTTTCATCTTAAACTTGTCTTCTAATATATTGTCCTATCTCACTGAAGACTTGTGGAAATGTTCTAGACAGTCAAGTCAAGATAATCTTCACCCTTCACACCTTAAGAAAGATATTATAGGGGCTGGGAATATGGCTTAGTGGTAAAGTACTTGCCTAGCAGGCATGAAGCCCTGGGTTTGATTCATCGGTACCACATACACAGAGAAAGGCAGAAGTGGTGCTGTGGCTCAAGTGGTAGAGTGCCTGCCTTGAGCACAGAGAGGCTCAAAGACAGTGCCTAGGCTCTGAGTTCAAGCCCCAGGACCAGCAAAAAAAATCATGATCCATTTTGTAAACAATTTCAACACCAGATTCTGACAAATTGGTTTTCTTTCTTCTTTCTAAAATCAGATTATATCAACTTTGCTCATTTCTCTCTCCCACATTCTTCAAGCACAGATGCACAGCGTAGTAACCAGACATGACTACTACTAGTCATTGGGAACACACTTCTAGTTGCTACAATATTTGATTTGGAAATTCCCCCATGGAGCAGAAGATCCAGCCAGAATCTTGACTTTATTTATTTATGTAGTTATTTATTTGAAGCTTTAAGAAGTTGTACAAAGGTGCTGCCATTAAACAAAGCAATCTCTCAACACCCTATCTCTTGATTAATGTCATCCTTTTCAACATTCTCAAGGACTTGTGACAAACTTCCTTTGACACAACACATGATCTCTTCAGTGGGTGAGCAAGTTACGCAATGAATGCTCCCACGAGTGAATGCTCTCGGTTAGGATGGCAGAGTAGGCTGATATCCAGTGTAACTGTGAGGAGCAAGCCCACATTTTGGCTGTTGCTACTGCAGTCTCCTGATCCCACAAATTCTTCAAATGCTCCAGATAGGAAGACTATGGTATAAAAAGGAAGGGCTCCAAAGGAAGGAAACTTGAAAGTCAAATGAGAAAATTAATAGGTAAGATTTAGATTTAGATGTCATAAGGAATTTGCTTTTAACATGGTTACTTACTCTGATGTTAACATGAAAACAAGTATGATTGACTAGAAGATAGTCAATTTATTTTTTAAGAGCCCGCTGGTAAATATTTAGACACTTCATGCCATAGGGCTGCAATTGCTTCTACTTAACTCTGCTGTTTACCAGAAAAGCTGCTGTCAAGCACAACACAGAAATATACATTCTAATGATATTTTGTTTACAAAATCAGGCTGCACTTGGCTTACAGGGCATAGTTTATTCTACAAGGAGTATAATTCATTTTTCCTTCACAACAGCCCAATCTAAGCCCAGTGTATAGTTAAGAAAGAAGCAATGGCTTTCATTACTTGTGTAACAAAATGCTTTCCTCAGCGTGGGCAATCATGCTACATCACTATATAATACATTCTTTATATTAACCTAGCCTGCAGACTTAGCTGCTTCACCAGCAACCACATTGAATTATCATTGATAAATACACACAAGCACATAGAACTTTATGTAGGGTGAGTTAACAGCCTACTTACCAGAATTGATTATTTTTACATTTTTAATCCATCTTGATGAGCCAAGTAAACCAGAGACATGATGTTTCCACGATATAGACCAATTTGTCCAAATAGGTATTTGATAGTTCACTTGTCTTTTTCCCAACTAACCAACTTTTGTATCAAACAAGGTTTGACCCCAACTCCCTCCCAGGTATATCTTATTTTCCAGCCACTTTCTAGTTACAGGGATCATGTATCTAATAAGGCACTTGGTGTGGCTTTTGAAAATTGCTTTATAAGAAGTAGTCTTAGTGACATGGTAGTCTGATCTTTTGGCCTTTTCCATCTTCCTATACTTAGAATTTGCCTACAGATGTGTCAGAAGAGAGGAAGAGAAGGAGGGCACAAGGAAGGCAGGGAGGGTAGAAGGGAGGAAGAGAAGGAGGGTGTAGGAAGGCAGGGAGGGAGGAAGAGAGTTAGATGATGAGAAAGAGGGGCTTGGACCGTATATGGTGATAGTGAACCACTTTATATGGTTGACTGATACCAATTAACTATTGCTTAAACCATTGTAAACCATTGTTGGAGTATCACTATACTTGAGTGCATTCATGCTTATGAAATAACCTTTTCCTCCCCTCATCTTTCTCAACTATATTAATTGTACTACCGTGTATCTGCTTACTCCAGATGAAACTCTGGATCAGTAACTTCTCACCAAACATCCCATAATCAGTCCACTAAATTCGACCTCTCCTTATCCTGTGCCACCATCCTAAGGAGGGCACCATGGTCTCACACAACCCTCTCTCAGCTGCTTCCTTTTCTATTCCCACTCTGCTATTCCCCATCTTCTGCAAGACTGACTGAGCTTTCGATACATCCAACAGATCATGTCACTCCACTAACATTCCATTCCTCTTCTTCCATAGCCTACGGGTGTTAGATGATCTGTTCTCCCTTCTGTGTCAAGTGAGACAAGCTGTGACTCCATTTCCTTTTCCTGCCTCCAGATTGTGGGCTACAAGACACATTTTACACTAGCTTTGGCAAGTAGAAATGACACTGAAGCTATCTTAAAAGGTCACTCCAGTAGCGTTAGGTGACACCGAAAGTCAAAGACCTTGTCATGTTGACTTGCTGGTGTGAGACAGTAGTGGGTCTGCAATTGTCCTATGTCCCACTGAATCCTTTCCCTTCTGCAACCCCTGGGACCACATAGAGGTCTACCTCTGTGTCAGAGAATCCCAGACTTTTCTGCATGACAGCTACATCATGGAACTTGGGGATCGAGATAGTGAAATACTGCTATTGGCTCACTTGTTTATCCTTTAGCCCAAATGTGATAGCTTATGGAGATAAATTCTATAAAGAGATAACAGCAATGAAATGAGGCCACAGAATGTGACCTTAATCTGATAGCATCAGTATCCTTCTAAAAAGTGACAGCTCTCCGCCTCTGTGCCTCCCCCACCACCACCACCATAGTGTAAGGATACTGCACGGCCATCTGCAAGACAGCCTCCCTTCCCCCACGCCCCCCTCCTCATGAAACCAAACCCTATAAAACCTTGATCTTTAGCTTTCTAGGCTCCAGACCAGTATAAAAAAAATAATTCCTGTTAAGCCAGGAAGTCTGTGGTATTCTGTTATGGCAGCCCTGCCCAAGCTGACTAATGCAGAGCCCCACATGTGGTTTCCAGCTCATAGTGATGTGTTTCAGTTTTCTCCCCAGGATCGTTTTAGTGAAAGTAGAGGGTTCCTTGCGTGTATCTGAAGTCCTGGAGAACTTAGAGAAAGAAAATAAGTGGAAGGCTTCACTCCCTAAAGATCTGAGGGGCTGGGGGGTGGGGGGAGAGACATGAAGTTGAGAATTGGCCCATGCAGCCTTCAAGGAGCCAAGGTTTCTAAAACCCTAAGTCAAAACTGCAATGGCCAGTAAACTCCCAATCTCCTGGGAGAGCTTTGATATTAACACTGGGGCATGGATGAAAAGAAAACGTAACCTGAATGTTTGCGGTTGAGACATTTGGGCAAGTTCATTGGAAGCCGGAAATGTTGAACTCAAAATCTGACATCTCTATATAGACAAGAGGGGCATGTTTTCCTCTCTGTCTCATGAGATTGCCTTGATCACCTGCAGGGACCTCTTCCAAAGTCTCCTGAAAGAGACTAAGGGCCCCTCACCACCCATTCCCATCACCCCTCCTTGCTTCTGGACCCAAAACCACAGATACCTGGGGGGGTGGGGGGGGGGGAAGAAGGGAAGAAAAGCACTAAAAAATTTAAATAATTCTTTTACTTTATCTTTTTCACTGAGTATTACTTGTACTTTATGTAGTAAGCATTTTTAAATTTCATATTATTAATTGTCAAGGTGATGTACCGAGGGGTTACAGGCACTAAGGAAGGTATCGAGTATTGGAACAGTGTTAACCTTTCCTTTGTTTTCTCCCATTTCCCCCCTCCCACGCCAGCTCCCCCCCCCCAGTTGTAAAGTTTATTTCCTATGTAGTATCTTGTGAGTGTCATTGTTGTATTGCTTCACTCTTTGTTCATTGTCTCCAAGACATGGACACAAGAGGTTTTTCTTTGTTGTTGTTCTCATGTACTACATGGTTTCTTTTTTCTTTTGTGTTTCCCC